GGCATTATACATTAAAAAAACCCAGCACTCTGAATTTAGTCTGGTAGCTGATTAGCAGCCAGTGAAATTCTTTCAACAGTGGAGTTGCATGTTGGTGATATTCTGCCTCAGTGAGCAGTCGAGCCACAGCATTTTGCAACAGCTACAGCTTCCAAACCTCAAGAGCGGTCCTAAGTAGAACACATTGCAATAATCTAGCCTGCACATGGTGGTGGTCAGGCTATCGTGGTCCATCACTACCATAGTTTTGTTTCCTTCCCATGGGCCTAGCCAAGGGGAGGCAGCTGCCCCCCTAAAGTAAAACAACAGAAATACTAACTGACCAATCACATCAGTTTTACCCCCCCAACAAAAGTCCTGACAAAGTCCTGCCCCCCGCAAAAAAATCCTGGCTACGCCCATCCTTCCCCACTACCCTCACCTCAGTGGAATATATGCCTAGCAATGCAAGGGCTCTCTTTAAGGATAACATCTTGCACTGTAGCCTCTGGACCTCCTTGGCCCATAGGAAATGCAGAACCCACTTTCATTATTTATTAAATTTGTACCCAGCCCTTCATCCATAGGTCTCAGGGCAATTCATAGCATAAAAATACAAGATAAAAATACAAAATACACAATAAAAACACGAACAAGAACAAAACAAATCACATTCCACATAGTAAGCTGGTATCACTTGGTTTAGATGTTTCTGTGAATTTCCTTATTCTACAGCAAACCTTTCTTTTTTTATCTTTATAAGCGGTATGGTGAAAAATCACTTAATCTAGCTGATGAACCACTGAACATTCATCGCTCAGCACACAGTAAGAAATGTCTTTGTCATGTTTTCACCAGTGTTACAGATGGGACCTATGCAAAGAAGGAAGAGAGATGAATGTCTCCCAAAACTCTGGGGGCAGGAAGTGAGCACATACTATGGAAAAACTGGTATACATGTTCCTTTGGAGGAAACTCCAGTGAAAGTGCGCCAAACATGTGTATCAGCCCCAAGAGGGCATCTGTTCCTTTAATAAGCACCAAGAAAGAAGAGTTTCATTGGGTGCAGCATTTTCCCTTCAGTGCTGAAGTGGAAAAAGAAGCCACGCTTTATTGAAACTTTGCTTCTGTGCAGCACTTACAGAGGCCCTCACAGGATTTGGACCTGATAAGGATTAAGGATTTTACAATCTCCTTTTCCCGCTCTCTTGGCTTTTCCACTACTACCACTCTGAAGATTTGTTTCAAGGAGGAAGAAGTTGGCAGTTGCCTTGGAAACTGGGATGTTCTGTAACTCAGAAGTGATGGGGGGCATAAAGCAGTACCTAAGCAGCCACCAAGAGTTTCTTCGCCTCCATCTGCTTCAGTCACTGTTGAAGAACGACCCTGTGGAAAGGGAAATGGTAGCCTCTGGCAACACTGAGGCCACAAATACCCAAACACTGAGGAGAAAGCACAGGCACACAACCCATGACAACAGTCCCCTCTTCATATCAGTCATTGAAAGAACACACTAACAAAATCACATGAGATGGGCAGCATTTGACTTTTTAGCAAGGCCACCCAGAGCAGGACGATATACAAGAAGAACCTGTCTGGTCACGCCTGCATTTGATGATCCTTCCACATGAATGATGTACCGAGAAAAGCAGTTTCTTCCTCAGCTACTGGCTTGTTTGCAGTCTTGACTTTCTCAATGCAAGCAAGGAGTAGGTGTAAGTGATTCAGTCATGCAGCCTCCACAAATTCCAGACTTCAGCATCATCTCATAGGGCAGGAGGTTCTAAAGACTGTCACACAATCAACAGCCCAGTTTTTATTTGACAGGAATTAGTGGGTGGGGGGCAAAAATAACCAAACACTGCTGTACATCATATATCGATCAACTAGATTCATGCCACGTATCCGGCACTCACACTTTCAAGGAAAGGAAAGAACAGAAATTTTAAAAAAATCAGCTCTTGCAGGGAGGAAAAAAGATGAGAAATAGGATAGCCACAGTGCAACAAGAAATACTGTTGTCAAAGCAGCATACTGAAAAGCAACTTCTAATGGAAATGTCTAAATCTATAATCATTCCTGACCACTGGTCCTGTTAGCTAGGGATGATGGGAGTTGTAGTCCCAAAACATCTGGAAGGCCGAGTTTGCCTATGCCTGCTATAATCCTACATGCATTGAACTGAGCAGGAAGTTGGCAAGTTTGTAGTACAGTTTGATTTCCAATACAACAGTAAGCAAAGCTCAGGAACTGAAATTTTCTTAAAAGTTGTGCCTCTAATCAGATACATTCTGAAGAGCTAAAGTAAAATTTCACATCTTTTGGCTTTTCATCACTTTCTTTGACATTTTTTTCAAGAAATGCTAGGGGGTTTGTTGCCTTTCATAGGTAGAAGAATCACTGAAGTGACAGGAGAAGCTGTATGTACCAAGTATCTTCATGGTATACAACTACATAAAGCACTATTGCTTACTCCATGTCAAGAACTGACAAAACAAGTTCTGTGACTGATCAGGAAGAGGATAGGAAACCTGTGGGCCTCCAAAAATTGTTAGACTACACCTTCCACCATCCCTGACCAATGGTCATGCTAGCTGAAACTGATGATACTTGGGAGTCCAGCAACATCTGGTGGACCACAGTTTCCGCAATTCTGGTAGCATCATTTCTGTTTATATAATCTTCTCACACTGAAGAACAGAAGAAGACCCTAGTGTGTCAGGCCCATGACCCATCGAGTCCAACATCCTGTTCTCGCAGTGGCCAAACACATGCCCATAGGAAGCCAGCAAGCAGGACCCAAGCACACTTCCCACTAGTACCATTATCTCATCCTATAAGTTATCTTTTATAAACAAAATACATAAGGAAACAAATCCTAAAACAAGTTCAAATGTTAGTAGAACTGATGATCAACAAGATTAGCTTTTTTTAAAGCAGATGTTGAGAGGGGAGTGGATTTGCCCATTTACCACAAAATTCTGGAAAGAAATTATATGATGAATAAATAAATTATTGGATGTTCCTCTTCCTGCAGATCTTAAAATTATATGATCAATTTATCTGAATACTGTAAGACAGGAAGGATTGTTTTGTATATAGTCCTCAGCTAAAATGTTGATAACAAAGCTCTGAAAATAAAATAACTCATCCATCAGTGGTCAATTAAAGTCTGTGAAATCGCAAACACAATGAATCTATAAGACAACATTTTTAAAAGGGTTGATAGCAAATCTGAAAGAGCAAAAATCCTTAGCCAAACTCTTACACAACTCTAGAATGATAAAACTGCTAGTAACCTCTTGCTTTGTAAATTCTTTGAGTTTTATCAAATTTATTTTACATGCTTTTCTCTGTGGTATAACATGATAATAAAACACAGAAGTGCATCATTGATGCTTTTCAGAACATACCATTTTGCCTGGAACCTTAGATAGCTTCACACTGTGGCAATGCTGGAAATTGTGAGTTTTCTTTCTGCCCAGGTGACATTTAGTTCCATGTGAAGGCATCACTTTTTCTTTCCTTTGGTATAAAGATCCATAATTCTTATAGCCCCTGTTTTCCCCATTCTTATTGTCAATGATTTGACGCTCCCATTGCTCTATTGCCGCTGTTATCTTATTGGGTGCTGTTTTAAATGCCGCCTCCATTTGTGACCCCAGCTCCACAGCCTTCGCCAGAGTTAGAGAATCTATTTGCAAAAATAGGGTCTCCCTAATTCGCCAGTCTTCTGCTTTCTCAATCAGCTGGTCAAGCACCAGCTCATCCTGCAAAGGCCCAAAATCACAGCCTGATGCCAAATCCCACAGTGCAGAGGCAAAACTCATAAAGGTCTCCCCAGGAAGTTGCTCCCGCTGCCGGAAACAGAGCCTCTGGATTCTCTTGAAAACACTTTGCCTTGGTGTGAAGTCTTCCTGGAACTCATCAATAGTCTCAAATAATGCAATGGAGCCCAGCTTTGTCTTCTGATTTCCCCAACCAAAACGGTAGGGAAGTTGGTCCTCCATGTTCTCCCATCCAGATAAACACATGAAGAATTCAAGAGCATTTAGTCCATGTGACTAGGACTTCTCCCCGCTAACGTTTGGGGGAAAATAATAGAAGAAAGAAAGTATACGAGTCCACCATCTTCCAGTCACAGCAATGTAACTGATAGTAAACACACCACTTTGCTTTTCTAATTAGCAGGTAGGCTTAGTCAGCAGAGTCACATTTAGACTCTTCCCCATAAACTGACCTGACCTGTAATTTGTCATCTGGACATCTCCGCCTTTTAATTTCTTTGTTTCCTGAATATTGTTCGTGGGCATAAAAATCATTAAAAGTACTTATTAGTGCTTATGAACTCAGAATACTACATTGCCTCAGATTTCCTGGCATCAGAGGCAGATAGCATCCCTCATTCAATCCCAGGTAGACATAAAACTCATAGTAAAACAATTTCCAGATGCCAAGAGAAGTAAACTGGACACAGCAAAGCCTAAAGGACCCTCAACAGAACAGAGGCAAATATTAATAAATGGGGTGGCGCATTTGATGGTGTAGTGCGGCTGCTCTTCATGACAGCCCCATAGCCACAATCAAAATAAGCTTTTAAGCAAAGCCCAATGGCTCCAATATCAAACTACCTTTTTTTCACACCGGCACCCCACTTTACTTCACATCCAGCCCAATGAAGAGTTCCAGTGGACTCCAAAGCTTGCTCATTATTTGGTGGCATTTGATTGGCCATAATAAAGTTTGGGTTTTTGGGTTGTTTTTCCCCTCAAACAAAAGTGGCAGTTTCAACCTGAGCCATGCATGCAAATTGAACAAACATCTTCCTCTGCTTAGCTTACCTCCTGGGTTCCTTTCTGAGAAGAGTTTATTTATTTGGCATCAGATAATTGGAAAATAGCATCCCAGTAGATGGTTATCATCCCTGCTGTGAAATAAGTGCCAGTGCTTTATCCCTGACCCATGCCCACTCCGCAACATCACTGAGCACCTTTTTGATTTATTTATTTTTGAATTTTTTTGATATTTGGAAACCTAATTTCCACACTTCAAGTCCTACCCAGTATTTGTAGCTATGGGTAAGAATGATTACCTGGAAGGCTGCCGAGAATACACGTGAGGAGACTTGTTTCCTACAGTACTGGGTGTCACTTTTACCACCCACATCATTCGTCTAAATATAGCTCAGTCTGAACTCAGCAGGCAGCAATCACAACTGCAGAAATGCAGCAAGACCACTCTATAATGAGCATCTTCCACAAACTGCCCTGAAAATAAATTAAGCTTTTTGGACATTTGAGCATTTCTGAAACCAGTGCCAGATTTACGTATAAGCTAAACAAGCTATAGCTTAGGGTCCCACACTCTTGGGGGCCCCAAAAAAAATTAAAGGGAAAAAAACGGGATGTACATTTCCAAAATATAAGATAAGAAACAAATAAAATAAAACCTACATACAGCAACTGTGTTTTATGTTGTGTAGGCTCCTATGATATAAATAATGGGCCCCGCCTGCTCCCTAAAATATCGCTGGTTTGCTCATTTCAACATTCTGCATGGACTGGTTACATGGCAACTTGTGCAAATGGCTTTAGATACCTATTAGGTCCATAAATTACCATATAGCATATATTCAACCAAAAAAACAGAGACACTTTGTTGTTGACAAAGGACAGCTAGACATATAGAGGGTCCCATTACCTTCAGTAGCTTAGGGCCTCATGAAACCTAAATCCGACCCTGCCTGAAACATTAAATATGAACACCTGAACATGACCAGCTGATACTTTATTTTATTTTACTCCCTCCTTCCTTACCAGTCACCCCACCTTCTTCAAGTCAAAAAAACTGACTTGGGGAAGGGACTAGTTGACAGCTGAGGGCTCCTTTCCTCGCTAGCCCTCTCCTTAACTGTAAATACTGTGTGGAACATCACTTCCTGCTGAGGGACCAAGTGACCTGAAGACAGAAAACTACGTCCCACGATCCTTCGGTAGAAAATGGTGTTGCTCAGAGTGTCATTTCCTGCCAAGGGTAGCTGCCTTCACCTGTGTAAAAAGGAGTCTGTTACCCTATCCCAAAGTTTGGCTTTTTTTGGCTTGCAAAGAGAAGAGGCGGCTGGCAGGAAAATGACAGAAGCATTTTGAATCCAGGCAGACTCAAAGCAGGCTGTGACCCAACTCCTAGGCCTAAGAGGGCTTTGCATCCTCCATTACAGAGGGCAGCCCTCAGCCTAACAGAGTTCTCTATTTGAAGGATTATTGGGGTCAAGTCTGATAAGATAAAGAAAGATAAAGATAAAGAATCACCTGAGCAGCCGTGCAAGTCACCTGTTTAGTCTTCTCCATTATGGTGAAATATATTGTATTTCTATTTCAAATCTGATGCAATTTGTTCTTCTCTTTTATTCTCTTTTTTGATGAAGCTTTTCCTCTTTTCCAGCAATATGTAACCTGCCACGCTTCTTAGATCGTAATCCCATATGTGTCTACTCAGAAGTGAATCCCATTGAGACATACTCCCAGGTAAGTGTGTATAGGATTGCAAACCTAATGGGCCAGACATTTACAGCAGGTGGAGTCTGCATTACAAACTCCCCACAGTTGCAAGACTCTTGACATCCTTTTGTTGAGCTATGAGCAGCCTCTCTTAAAAGTATAACAGTTTAAAACTCCCGATTCTTTCAAACTTCTTACCATGTAACTTTTGTGGTTCTCTGAATCAATCTGTGCTGATTTTCAGCAATGACTGTCATTATGCAAAGGAAGGGACATGGCTCACTGACAGAGCATCTGCAAATCAGTAAATATGCACCAGTTCAAACTGTGCTTCAGAAAAAGTTATGACAATAGATCCAAGTTCCAGGATTCAGAAGCACAGAATTTAGTTCAGGGAACCACCAAAAGGCCAGAATCTAATGCCTGGACCAAGCTAATAGACCCAGTAGTGGCATTTCCATAAAATTATCAGTTTTACAGCAGTTTAACTTTTGCAGCTTCTCCCAGATAATCCTGGAAATTGTAGTTTGCACAAACTAAGCTGTCTATCCCTCCCCCACAGAGCTATAGTTCCCTTGCCAGGGTACGTTGATGATTATATAAACCATTTTAAATTTAGAGCATAGATGTATTCACCATTTTACACAAACATACACTCCTTAATAAATCCCTGAAAAATAAATATAGAAAATAATAATTATAGTCTACAATTCTACTTGTTAAGGTGTGTTAGAGTAGGATGGAACAACCAAAATTGTCTTAGAAAAACATGTAATCTTAGCAAAGTAGACCTAAATGACTCACATGGCCTTGTGGGAGCTGGAAAACCATTAAGTCTTATTGCTTCATACTGTAGTAAAGGTGACAGCCATGACCATTCCTAATGCTGTACTTATTTTTCTTACTACAGTCACAGTGCTCACAAATTGCATGCTTGTAAGTTACAATTTGTGGTCCAAAAGCAAGCAAGTTTCTCAAATATGCTGTGGAAGGCATTACATCTACAGCAGAACTGTATCTAACTTCTCAAACAGATCACAATACAGTACGTACTGAAAAATGGTTTTGTAGTAGACACAGTTTACCTCCTAGAATGGGAGTATGGGGTTGTGTAGGAATAAGCTCTGTTCCAATTTTAGGCACGTAGGAAGCTATGGTGTATTCTCATTTACAGGCAGGAGTCACCTGAGAATCTGCATGCAAAGCAGATGCTCTACCACTGAGCTATGGCCCTCAACCTATATTTTGTTTAAATACATGAAGGTCAGGAGCCACCATGATCCCAAACCCCACCATTCCACATATTCAGCAGTTCATTGTCTGGTCAAGGCTAGTCTTCAGATATTCATACCTCATTACAGCAAAATGTATATAATTGACTGGTATAGCTATATCCTTTTTATTACTTCTTTCTGTGCTTAAATTCATTTTGTTCCATGTATGCTACTGACACTGCTTTGATATCCTGCACCCACTTGAAACGGTTACACTTGTTATACTTGTCTGGATCATGAGGTTACTTTAGCTCCAGGACAATGCTCATAAGGAGTCACCAAATGTCACCGTTTCCTGTCTAACAAAATGAAGGCTCTCTTTTTTCCCAATCTGATATTTTTCTCAGCTGAAACATTGGATCTTAGATGGTGTAAGCAAATAGTTTTGCGTGAAATTCCATTATTGTGTAGGTATTTCTGCGTTTCCATACAGATTAATTACCGGTAAATCCCAATATATACCACAAGGTGTTTAGGAACTGTTTCCAGCAAAAACTAAAGGCATGAATTAAATTAACATCTCTGGTAATTTTTAGACCACTTCTGAATGACAACATATCATACTAGGGCAACTATTTGTCCAATTAACTGATTATTATTAATTTATTTTTATTATTCAATTTATATACTGCCCTTTATCCGAAGATCCCACAGCAGTGTACAACATTAAAAACCTAATTTATATTGTATAGTAACAAAAGACAATTAAACAATCACGGTGGGGGGGGATCATAATAACAATCCCCCCACATTTAAAAGGCCATAGCTTGTTTAATGGTCAAAGGCCTGGGTAAAGAGGAATGTTTTCACCTGGCATTAGACAAGACTCTCTGGGGAGAGCATTCCACAGATAGGGAGCCACCACAGAAAAGGCTCATTCTCGTCTTGTCAACGCCTTGGGGCAGGAGAATGTGGAGAAGGGCACTGGATGACAATTGCAGGATCTGGCTTGGTTTGGATTGAGAGAGGCGGTCCTTAAGGTATTGAGGTCCTGGGCCATATAAAGCTTTATAGGTAATCAAATGGCTCTATTATGTCACAGGTTAACTTCTCCCATGGACTAGATAACGGACAACATGGCGCCTATGATTTGTCATTTGTGGTATATGATAGTTCAAGGGTGGAGATGTGTTTTTCAACCCAAGGGCTGCATTCCTTCATAGCTAACCTTCCAGGGACCCCATGCACACAGAGGGCTGGCCAAAGGCATATCCACAGCTAGCCAGCCACACCACATTCTTTTCCATACATATTATGCACACCTAATTCAGTCTCAACAGCCTATCCACATACTCTCCTTCATCTAGAAAGAAAGCTAAAGGGAAAAAAACCCATGGCACCAAGACCCTTTACCCACTCAATATTTTTGTCCCTCTCTGGCCAGCAAAATCTTACTGAAGTTAACATTTCATTAGACTAAGACCGCTTCCATACCATACATTTAAAGCACTATAGTACTGTACTACTTTAACAGTCATGGCTTTATCCAAAGCATCCTGGGAACTGTAGCTTGTTAAGGGTACTGAGAGTTGTTAGGAGAGCCCTGTTTTTACAGAAATACAATTCCCAGAGTTCCATCTCTAGCTCTGTAAGGAGATTAGGGATTTCCTAAAAACCCTCAGCATGATGCAATTATATTAACAAAATATCTGTGCCGGCCTCTGCAGCAAAAATGATAAATCTAGCAACTGTTTCTCATACTGTTTTGTTGGCCAAAAGGGGCTTTGCAAGGTTTGCAACCAAGTCCAAAGAACGATGGAAGCTTATCTTTGCTGCCCATTTCTGGAGCTTCACAAACAACGTTTACTAAATCAGATTTTGGTAATGTGTCTCTTGGGGGCTGGGATATGCCCTAGATATGCCACTGAATCTGTCTTAGATTGACATTACTCCTGGCTACTTGTTTGCATGAGTTTTTGAAGTTTTTCTAGGACATTTTTCAGAGTAATATCGTATTCCTACTTGCAACAGCTCTGGTTTCTCCAACGATTGCATGCATTATTCTCTGAAAGCACAAATTCTGCAGATAGCATGCTGAATTGTGTGTGTTTCATTCTGTTCTCTTATTTGCTTGTCATTTTTCACAAAACAAAGGAAAAGTGCAATAAGAAAATATAAAAGTTGAGATACAACAACAACGACAAAGGTTCTCACTTTGGCAGCACATATACAACAAATAAAAATGGAACGATACAGAGAAGATTAGCATGGCCCCTGCGCAAGGATGACAGGCAAATTCATGAAGCCTTCTATATTAAAAAACAACAACAACAAAGAGAAAGTTGTTTAAATTTGCATCATCATCATCTTTATTACAGCCACAGACCTGCATATGTTAAAATAGAAACACACAGTAATTTAGGAAATAAAACAGATAAAATGGGTAAAATGTGTGACTCAAAGAAGGGGAGATGCATTTAAGAGAGACTTAAAATCAGCTAGAGGGTTAGCGCAAGCAATTGCAAAAGTAACTGTAGAAGGGAGGGTGCAAGAGAGGGCACAGGTCTTGCATATGAGCCTTCAGTTTAGGTCTGGCGTGTGACCCAAACCATTATTTGGCGAATGTCCATCATGGCAGCGCAAAATCTGACTGCTGAATATATTATGTCTGGGTTTGCATCTTGAAGTAGCAAGGAGGTAAAGAGTTGCTCTGTCCATCCAGGGAATTTGTGTAGTATTGGCAGGATGGACCTGACTTGTATGCCTGTATAATATTGGCAGTGGAAGAAGACATGTTCAGTAGTTTCTAGTTGCCCTGAGCCACAGGGGCATTTCCTCTCCTCATATGGTACCTTCCTAAAATGGCCTTCCTGGATAGCTGAATAGCTGGATAGCCTTCGCTGTTTTGGTATTTCTAGGTTTGTTATATATGGCGTTTGGGAATTATGGTATCTTTTGCTTTCACTGATTAAAAAATAAATGAATTGGGATCTGGCTAGATCTGCTTGGCATTCTATATGTTCCATACGCTGTTTAATGGGTTTTTTGTTTTTACTTTTTCATTTCCCATGTCAAGTAAAATTTGCGGGGTAAAACCTTGGGTTGTTGTTTTGTTTAGCACTGATCATTTCCAAGTAATTCAGAAGTCGTCCTTTATAATTAGGGGAACAAGGCCATGCAGGAAGAAGGATAGACTCAGCCAGTAATTAAGTGTGGCAATCCACACTCTAGCCTCAGTTCTTACAAGTCCAGTTTCTAGGTGTAGGGTTGCACTGGAAACATTTTTGGGCACTTGTAGGACTGATCTTAGAAATTTAGATTGTACCAGTTCCAGTGTTGCACAGTTGGGGGGGCAGTTCAGCACAATACAGCAGCCTCAAACTTTGCCTTTGCACAATATAGACTTTGCCTCAAACAATTTGAAGGCTGCAGATATCATGTGCCCACTTTTGGTCCTGAGATATTTGAGTATGGCCGTTGCCATTAATTGAAATAAGCCTTCTGGAGCTGTAAAATGCAGTATTCTTATGGTATGTCTTCTACTAAAGGAATCTCAACTCTACCTGGTGATGCCAAACATTGAAACTAGGACTGCGACAATGGAAGAAGCCCGTTTCCTTCCCGCCCTGGTTATACTTCCCAGGGGCATGTGATTGGCCACTGCACTGTGGAAATCAGGAAGCTGGATTAGACAGACTAGTGTCTGGTCCAGCAGGGCTCATAATGTCCCCCCACTCTTTTTCCTATTCTTTTCCTCCTTCCTCCGCTCCTTCTCTCCCCAATGGACCTTTTCTGAAAAATAAGCTGGGAAGGAATGGCAGCTTCAAGGTTACAAAAATGTAGTCCTTCAGTTTACCTATGGAGGTGGCCTGGTTCACATGAGCTGTCTTCATCACACAAAGAGTTTAATTCCTCCAGAAAGCCAACTCTCATTGACCACAGCCAGCATGACTAATGGCCAGGGGTGATGGGAATTGTAGTTCAGCAACAACTGGATGGCCACAGATTCCCCACTCCTGATGTAACTCACTAAGTTAACTTTTCAAGTGCACCTCTCAGGCTACAACCCCCTGCACATTCACTTGGAATATGCCCTATTAAATACAGTTTAAGGGTAAATATTACAGAATGGGGCTGACAATATGTACTTTGGATGTACTTTTGTACGCCTGGTAAAAGTACATCTAAACCCCTGTGATTTATTATTACCGTAACTGCTAACACTACAGCTAACCTTATGTTCCCAAATAAAATATAGTGATCTCTCACATTTTTAGATGCAGATTAAAAGCTGTCTGGGTTTGGACAGCCTATGTCGCCTGATAATTATGGGTGGAGAGGTAGAGGACCCGGTCATGAAATCCACTTACACTACCCATGGGTGTCTGCAGGAATTTTTCCAGGGAGGAGTACAAAGTAAAACACTGAAAGGTGGAACAGGCTGGTTTCTTGCAAAAGATTGTGAAGAATAATGCCTATACATTTTGCCTCCTATATTAGGTTCCATAAATGCTAGAAACATACTCTTTTTTTTAACAGAAAGAAAGAAGGTTAAGAAAGAAAACTATGGATCTGGAAGATATTATTCATAATATTTATTGAATTTATATGCTGCCTTTCATTAGAAGATCACAGCATGGTTTACAGCACAAAAAGACAAAATAAAAATACAAAATATATATCATCATAGTAAGAACAACAACAAACAAGAAATACACCCCCCCAAACACATTTAAAATGCCATAGATTGTTTTATCAGCCTAAAGACATGTTGTGAAGGTGCCAGGCAAGCCTCCCTGGGGAAAGCATTCCACAAACGGAGCCACCACAGAAAAGGCCCGTTCTCATGTTGCCACCTTCTGGACCTTTCATGGAAGGGGGACATGAAAAAGAAAATGGTTCACTGTGGGGGCCAAATGTGGATCCCCATGGCCTCAGTCCAACTCCCCCCCAGTTTTAGCCAAATCATGCCCTCTCACATAGCCTTCTAAAGGCAATCAGTAAGAGGAACAGCTCAAAATGGTTAGGGCGCTATCCCTCTTCTGGTTCTTTGTAATTCAAACATTATCAGAGTTCTCCAAGTCATATTGCTGCTTCTCATATGCTACTCCATTCACCCTCCAAACATTTGTCTCCCTACCCTACTTTGCACTTTCACATTAATGACTGGTTGAGAACACATGCAAAACAACAACCCTAAATGAGCATTATCCATACATCCTTTTTATTATGCATTCTGTGCTCATGAAGGTCAGGGAGGCTATATGTGGTAATGTTTTCAATACTGTTTGCACCTGCAAATGTTTAGGGGTGGACATACTACTTCATATCCAATCAGTGCACATTCCATAACTTCCTGCTAAAAACCCTGTAGCTCTTTATCATCTTGTTTATTTTTTGAAGCACTTTTGTCACATGATAGTGCACTTATCCCTCCAGAGGGCAATAATGCGATAACACTGGGGAATATCACAGGACAAGTAACAAAGCAAAATGATGTGTGGACAATCAGACACCAGTTCCCTGTTATTGCATCAATGACATGTTGCAGAATACACCCAGTCTGGAGGGGCCTTCAGTTGTCTTCCTCCTCCTTTTGCTCCTGTTCTTTGGCCTCTCTGTGTCTTACCCATGTGGCCAAAGGGAGTACTGAAATTATCCAGGCTAACCTTTTACATAGCACAATTAATGCAGAGCATCAAAGCACTCAACCTCTTTCATCAATACCTGTCATGTCCCAATTGCTGGCCTGCAAATTAAAGGATGTAGGGTGATTATCAGATCTGGTGAAGAAAGAAGTCAGTCTTCCATGCCTTACCACACCTCAAGAACTGGAAATAGTAGGCCAAAGTACTGTCTGTAGGTATTAAGATTCCTATCTACCTTCTCTTGCTTGCATCAATCACTCTGCTTCCGTTGAGTCAGTTCCCTTGTTTGTGACTTATTTTTAGAAAGCAAAGAAAGCCAGGTAGCAGACTGAACGCATTTAGCTCCAGAAATGGGGAGTCTGCAAGGAGCAGAGTTTGATTGCTGCATATGCTGCTTTTTGGACAGTTCCTCCCACAGCAGTTTACACTGAGGTTAAAAAAACACCATCTATAAGGATGCAATAAAACAGCAAGAGGCAGAGCAGCAACAATATTAAAAGGTAAATAAAAGGGAAACCAAATTAAACGAGTAACATGTTAAAAGGACTGGGCAAATAAGAAGCACTGTAACTGGTGCTGAAGAGATCAGGCCCTCCCTGACCAGAGCATTCCAGAGAAGGGTGTTGGCTAAGTTCTCCTGAACCGGGCTCAGAAAAGAACTTCCAGGGCCCACCACAAAGGAAACTGGAGCAGGTGAAGAATTGCCAGCTGCTTTGGCTGTCAAATGCTTTGCACAGATTAAGCCACACCTTTGTCAGCCATCTCTTGGATCGCAGGGACTTCAGGTGCCAAACACCTCCACACTGGTCCTGCGAAATGTGATGGAGCAAGGTCATTCCATTCCATTGCATACAGAAGATTTTAGGAAGAAGATTTCAAGCATTGTTTTTGACTGCTATCAAACCAGCCTCAAACAATTAAGAAATAGAGAAACTTCTCAGATGAAGAAATCAGCTAGGTAAACTTCTCAGGGCATAACTAGAAAGGGCATTTAAAAGTACTCAAGGTGGTTAGACATACATAGGCCTACACAACTTGTGAACCACCGAACTGAACTCTGCCCACCAATGAGATATGAGAGTCCACCACAGGATTAGCAAACCTCCCAGGTGTGTGTTTTTTTCTTTCTACCCCAAACTGCAAAATCATAGGGGTTGTCAAGCTATAACTTGCAACCTACCAAGTCAAGTACAGCCACAAGGCAATCACATATTCTGGTTGCTTTTGAGTTATTATTTTTTTGTGATTTTTACTTAATTTTTGTGATTTGATTTTAAGGAATTCTATGGTAGATAGAATGTGCAAACTGCTTTGGTTGTCCTTTGCTGGAATGATAGGTTAGATTTTTTTTACAATAACTTAATATAGGTAGGTAATTAATATGGTAATATTAATCTAGGAAATATAATTGTTGTATTATATAAGTAATTAATATAGGTAACATTAATGAAGGTAGGAAATTTGAGGGGGTTTTGCAGATGCTGTCAATGTGATCCTGTGAATATCTATTGAGAAGTAATGCTCATTGAGTTCAATGGGACCTACTCCTAGGATATATAAAGTATTGCAGCCTAAAAACACTTCTCAGTCACTTCCCATGAGGGTTTAAAGAAAAAAATATAGGAACATGGTTAATGCATCATGTAATAATTGGAATTTGCTTATTCAACAATAAAAATCCTGCTACTTAGTTAATATTAACATTAGAGCATTAAAGCACAGGTTAGTGTGACACCATCAGGCACATGTGGGAATTACAAAACCTGATTTAACTGAGAGCAGCCTTCCATTTGTAACCTCCAAAACTAGCGGGCAAATAAGTACCAAGGCTGTACTACTTTACTGTCATGTCAATGCCAGGGTTATATGGATGTTAGACCAAGCTCCACAGACAGATAAGGCAGAACAGAAGTGTAGGACTCTGTTGATGATATTCTGCACATCACCCCAGTCTCCGAGTGCTGAGAGATTCCAAGGGTTCCAGGCGCTTAGACAGGATTTGCGTTTCATTTGGAATGATGGACCATGGGTGGAGACGGTGGTATCTTACTGTTGTACTGTTTTATTGTTGTTAGCCGCCCTGAGCCCGGCTTCAGCTGGGGAGGGCAGGATATAAATAAAATTTATTATTATTATTATTATCTTTATGATATATGGTTTATTTACACATATATACAACCTCAGCCTGCGATAGAGGGGTTCACAGCATTAACACCCCAAAAGTGTCTTGTTTCTGAAGCCTTGGATACAAACAGAAATCAAACATTGCTTAGACTCTCTCCAGTTGAGGAAGGGGCTCACACAAATCCACTTTCCTTTGTTTCCCTTCATGGCCCATCACCAAGTCTATCACCTCCACACAGGAAGCTAGCCTGACTTATATTTTAACACTTGCTAGATCCCGGGGTTAGGAGGGGCTCTTGCATATAGCCTACTTCCCTCCACCCCAAACTCGTAATAATATTAATCTTTTTTTAAAAAAAAGATATTTATTAAGAGTTTACAAATTACAGAAAAAGAGAACCGGAAAAGAAAACAATAAAGAATTAATCTAACTCATCCAATTCTGATTTCATGCAGATTTTCTAACTGTGCCCTAATACACAAAGGTTTTGGCAGGAAATATTGATAAGCATTCAGAAAGTAATGGGATATAACATTCTTTCTAACCCCCAAAAGATTGTATCAAGTTTATTTAAAAGCAACAGGGAAACAGTAGATTTAGTTTAGAACTATTAAATTTCTGTCAGCTTCACAAATATTTACAGCTGCTAACTTAAGTACCCTTAAATGCCCCCACCAAGTTAACTTATTTTTTTCAATAACAGACTGATAAGTCTAATGAGATGAAAGTGTATTTGCTTATACATTCTTGGAATAATAATTTTGAAGACAAGTTGCAACCATACCATTTTTCTATGGTATGTTTGTGTTGGCTTTTCTTTTTCTTGTTCAGATTTTTTCAGTATTAGATCACCATTATTCTATAATCATTGCTTTGTATATTTTTGCATTCTTACACTTTTGTAAGTTAGACAAACATAGATAAGGGTTATTTTTTAGTACTGAAATGCCATTATTTGCGTAGCAACCTATTGCCAGACTTGGAATTTGTCCAAACAAGTTTTCAAAATGCTGACTATATTCTTTCACTGCATTTTTCCCCCTTAAGGAAGGCACAGAACATGCAGTTTTGGGGAGGGAGGGGTGATTATGAAATAAGTGGGTCATTTATGATGTCGTATAGAGGCAGGGGGGAGGGATCTAGAAATCAAAAACCATGAACATTTCTGAAACACCCCATAAAAGCAAAACTTTGATGTTTTCAAGCCACACCTAAATTGCATATTTCTACAAGATACTCCCAGACAGGTTAAATAGCAAAGATTTGCCCTGTTTTGCAGTTACTTGCAAAATTCATTAAAACAAATTAACCAAATGCAACCGAATTTGTGCACGGCATGCCACTTGGGTTTACTAGGATGTGCAAAACATGTTTACTCTCATACCAGTTAAATGAAAACCGGCTCCACCCACCTGCGTTTCCCGTAGCACCTGTCACTGTCTACCATGTAACAAGGATTAGGTAAAGGTAAAGGGACTCCTGACCATTAAGTCCAGTTGCGGACGACTCTGGGGTTGCGACGCTCATCTCACTTTATTGGCCGAGGGAGCCGGCATACAGCTTCCGGGTCATTAGGCCAACATGACTAAGCCACTTCTGGTGAACCAGAGCAGCGCACGGAAATGACGTTTACCTTCCCGCTGGAGCGGTACCTATTTATCTACTTGCACTTTGGCATGCTTTCAAACTGCTAGGTTGTCAGGAGCAGGGACTGAGCAACGGGAGCTCACTCCGTCGCAGGGATTCGAACCACCGACCTTCTGATCGGCAAGCCCTAGGCTCTGTGGTTTAACCCCCAGCGCCACCCGTGTCCATGTAACAAGGATTAACAAGGATTGTACTTCCCAAATGTTTTCTGTGGATTGTTCTTTATTGCAATGCACAGAAATAGGTTTTAATTGCAAAAAGGATCTGAAACAGATACCATTCAGCATTGTATAATTATGTGATTATAGTGTATTGATTTCCAGTTACTTTATATTAGGTGCTTAACAACTGCATTGGCAGGCAGGTTGCTGTCAGCAGTTTCTGCCTGATACTTCACCACTCAATCACAACATCTGCTGAGGTTGCAACTCTAAGAAGGTGGGGTCCTAGGTACTAGTTATGATGCTTCTTCTCTTTCAATCCTAGTTTAGGATAGAAACTAAGCTAAACTAGGATAGAAACCACAGGCTAAACTCCACAGTTTAGCCTGTGGAGGACACCTCCCCACCTTGCAAACTCACACACAAGCACACTGTTTTGTTCTTTCCCAGAGACCTAGGAAACAGCTCACAGCAGCACCCTGTTCTTTGTTTAGCCCTACCGAAAGGTTATGTAGGCTACTGTTTGGACTGCCAGTGTATTTGAACCCTTGATACTTGACCACAGGTGTGTGTTGCTACTTTCTGCTGTGCTCCCTTTGAGTTCAAAGGATTAGTAGGTTTAGGATGGTGTTCAATTTGCAGCTTGCCCCTGGACACCACGAGGTATATTTTGAATGGCTATGCACAATTATGCAGCAATTGGTGACCAAACCCATGTTGATTCTCCCCTAAATACAAAATGTGCCTTCTCTTCTATCCTCTCCCCCACCAGCCCATAACTACCTATCCAGAAAATAAACACTGCTCAATGCATATGAGGTGCAGCTATTCTGTAAGCACCACAAGAATGAACATAGGAAGTTCCCTTAGAGTGAATCAGGAAGAGCTTTCTGACAGTAAGAGCTGTTCAACAGTGGAATGGACTACCCCGGGAGGCTGTGGACTCTCCTTCCTTGGAGGTTTTTAAGCAGAGGTTGGATGGCCATCTGTCAAGGATGCTTTAGTTGAGATTCCTGCATTGCAGGGGGTTAAATCAGATGACCCTTGGGGTCCCACCTCTATGATTCTTTGAATCAAATCCAATGGTCCAGCTAGTTCAAAATTGTCTACACTGACTGGCAGAAGCTCTCCAAGATTTCAGCAGGGAGTCTCCCAGCCCTGTCTGGAGATGCTGGGGATTGAACTTATTGCATGCAAAGCAGCTCCGCTTCCACTAAGCTACAGCTCTTCCCCTCCATTGTGGAATTCAGTATTCCGTCAGTCATTTAAGGATTTTTTTTCAAGGCAATTTATGGTCAGTTTACTAACACACCTGCGTAAGAAGCAAGTACAGACAAGCTCCAAAAGAATAAATGAACACAGTGTACTGTGTTGAGAAGTAGCTGACGGTTGTAATTCCGTTGCAAAACAAAAACAAAAAAACAACCCAGTGTTGAGTCTTGTCACATTTATTATGGCATACGTTTTGTGGACCAAAGTCTACTTCATCAGATGCATGATAATGTTGTTCTCCATTGGCAGGGGTACTGTTTATGGATGCAAGGGGGGAATCTGTAAACAAGTTAAAATGGCAAAGACATGCATAAAGTACAATATGTGACAATTCAGTTAAATTTCAGCATTAATTTGAATTGTGTCACAAACTATTTTTTTGCATGTCTTGTTTGCCATTTTAACCCCACTGTTTATAGTGTTTCAGTTTTCTCTGCACAGGTTTGTTTTTGAGCTCAGTGGAACTAAGGCTTCGACCCTAAAGGTGGTAGGATTGCTTTTTTCTTTTTCTTTTCCTCTTATTGATTTTCCTGTGCCTGAAACGGTAGCTAGATGATCATAACTTTAGCAGGCTGCACATACTAAATGGGGTCTACAGAATGTATGGGAAAGGGCAGTATCTCTGGTGGGGGGACACGTCATGGTCCTTCTGGGGTTGTTTGGCCACCTTTTGTGTTGAAGAGAGAATTTGGGCAAAGTTCCCACTTTTTAATCTCTGTATGGGCAAACTGAGCCTGCGGAAAGGAGCTCAGTCATCTTTTACATCTGATCACCCGCTAGGTGAAGCTGTGATCCTCAAACCTACTTACCCAGCAGCAACTGTATTAGGAGTGAATAGGATTTACTTCCAGCTAATTGAATTAAGGATCAGAAGGCATGGCTGTGGTTCTAAAAGGACAGACTATCAGGATTCTCTCAGGGCACCTCCATTCTTTCCAGAATAAATTGATCACAGCCAAATATTACATTAGTATGGATAAAGCCTCTACATTTAACGAAACAGAAATAAGAAGTATTGATAGGTCACTTTGCCTCTGACTGTGCTTTAAACAGCTGCATGACAGGTAGAATTTCTACAGGTGTGGAATTTTCCTAGCTCATCAGTGCAGTGATGGGGAGAACTGATGCTTTTGATTTTCTACTGCCATGCATTTCTTAAAGGCATAGAACTTCAATCAGGAACAAAAGACAAGAGGCTACAGTTAGAGGTAGACTGATCAAGATGCCAGTAACTAAGTTAGTTTCATATTAATGTATGTCCTGATAATAGCAGGCTTTGAATTTTGATTCATTTTCTAACTGACACAATGTTTATATAACTGACAAATAAGAGGTCAAGCCTTGGTATCAGCCTAGTAAAGGTGCCTGCAGATTATTAGCTGGAATTAGCTAAGTAAAGCTGTGTTAGTGGGAGAACAATAGAAACACTGTTCAGTGTAATCAGGTCAGACTCTGGGAGGGCTCCTGTACCCTTAGCAATTGCAATAAAGTGAGAATTTCATGTGGTGCAGCTTCTCTCATCAATGCTGCAGCATGATGGGAAAAGTTGCAAAAAGTTTTTTTAAAAACCCTCCCTTCTGTGAAACTCTTATAAGTACAGGAACCCCCTCAGGGTCTCAACCTGGCAGCTAGGGAGGGGAGATGTTTATTGCAATATTACTGCTGTATTTGATTTTGGTTTTGCACTTAGAAATTATATTAACAAAGAGTTGCTTGAAGGACTCTGGGTGCTGGCCCATAACACAAATGCTCCCATGCTAATTTAGATGCATAAACGCCTCTGAGCAAATTAAGATGCTGGGTGGTTGGGGTCTTGCCAGCATGGCACTTTGAAGTGTGTCTAGCTGCCCTCCTAAGCCAAGCAAGAAAAAAAGAAGTTTTTCAAGAAGGGAGAGAGAGGAGCAGAAAATGCAAGCCTGACTCAAAACGGCCTGGGCTCAGCCCCCTCTGGGCACTCTCTGAGCATGCCCCCTGAATGTTAATGAATGGGTCCCTGAAGGTAGTGAGCTCTGAAGGTTTCGGTCTCTGAATCCAAAAAGCTTGTTAAAGAAGTGACAGTGCTTCACGGAAGGATTTTTGCACCTCCATTTCTCTCGGAACCACTCCAAACACATTTCAGTAAGTAACATGCGTCTTTCAAGGGCTACTCCAAGCTGATTCTTTCAAATAATTTATGCTTGAGGTCCTACCCCATGAGACACACCCAGGTGAAACCAGTTTTCTCTAAGGCTCCACACCCTTCAATTTCACCTTAACAATTAAGCAGAGAGAGAGAGAGAAAGTCTCAAGAAGATGTCCCAATATGCTGCAAAGTATAAATAACCCATAAACAGCCTCCCTACTCTGCATCGAATGCACAACTTCAGCTGCAAAACAGATTTAACTAATTTACAAAGGAAACTATTCATATAAAAGCCTCACATCAGCCATTAATGTTGTCAGGAGATCAAACCCTCCCAATTCCCACGGCCTGGTGGGCCATATGCAACACTCGGCTACACAGTGGCATAATGTAACTCCATAAAAGGAGAAGATTAATATTCATATGGCATTTAATTAACTGCTAAGCAGCAATTCATAGGTGTTGGTTCCCTCTGCGCTCGACTGGATAGCTAGATAGCACAGATTACAATTAGTGCTATTTTGGGCTCCATTTCTTTGAGAGGTCAACCAGAGCATAATCTAGTGATCCTCTGTTTAGTCATTGTTACGCTTGCCATTTTATTCTGGCAGTGCTCCTGTGCTGTTAACAACTCTGGAGGCTAGAAATCTGATTTTAAAAAGCAACTGCTAATCTTGTAAGGATGGAGGGGATATTTTAAAACAAATTGACCTAATTCACCGGTTCCACGCTTAGATGCAAATTAGAACGCAGCTATCAGTTCCTCAAATTTTGCAATGCTGTTTTGGTTTAAATGAAAAGAAACAAAAATGCATATTTCACATTAAAAAAAGTGTAAAAAATGGATATTTTTAGGGAAACTCAAAAGTATACACAAATGTGTGTTTTAGGGAGTTGGATTGCATAAAATGTATATGAAATGCATACAGTTTAATCTGAGTCTTCTGCAAAAAGAAAAGAAAAGATCAGGACAAAACAGACATATGATTGAGAAATAATGTAAGGTCTCAAATACAAAACTGACCAAAAAAAACCAAAACAGAAATAAGCTGATCCAGCCCCATATAATTTTGCCAGGATGCAGAACTCTATGTCAGATAACAAATCCATTCTTGGGCAGTACAGTGGTACCTTGGGTTAAGAACTTAATTCGTTCTGGAGGTCCGTTCTTAACCTGAAACTGTTCTTAACCTGAAGTACCACTTTAGCTAATGGGGCCTCCCGCTGCCGCCGCACGATTTCTGTTCTCATCCTGAAGCAAAGTTCTTAACCCGAGGTACTATTTCTGGGTTAGCAGAGTCTGTAACCTGAAGCATCTGTAACCCAAAGTACCACTGTACAGTGGTACCTCGCAAGACGAATGCCTCGCAAGACGAAAAACTCGCAAGACGAAAGAGTTTTTCGTTTTTTGAGTTGCTTCGCAAGACGAATTTCCCTATGGGCTTGCTTCGCAAGACGAAAAATGAAAACGTCTTGCAAGTTTGTTTCCTTTTTCTTAAAACCGTTAATACCCAGGGTGCATTGCATGAAGAGGTGCAGTTGCGACTTGACTTCGAGGAGCAACTCATAGCACGCAGTGTGGTAGCCTTTTTTGAGGTTTTTGAAGACTTTGGTGATTTGAAGACAGTGGTGCTTCGCAAGACGAAAAGTTCGCAAGACGAAAAAACTCGCAGAACGAATTAATTTCGTCTTGCGAGGCACCACTGTATAACACTAGAACTTTTGGGAGATGGAGGCTGATAAAAAGCAAGTCCTTGTTCACATCACATAGTTAAAATATGGAACTTGCGCCCACAGTAGGCAGTCATGTTCACCATCTTGGGTGGCTTTAAAAGAGAATTTGACAAGTTCATTGAGGATAAGGCTCTCAGTGGCTATTAGGCATGATGGGCCCCATTAACTACAGACCCCCAAATTTGGGATCCTCTCCAAACCTGTGCAGTTTCAATGCTCAGTTTGTGTGGCGCTACAAAATGCCGGGCTTTTGCTGCAAAACAACTACAACAATTTGGCACCAATTTGGAGGGAACCCTAAAATTGGGGTTCATAGTTAATATTAAATATGGCCCCCATGTTTGAGATATCAATTGCTCAGCTTGTGGGGCACTGCTAAACACTCCCCCAAAACTGCAAAACTTCGGCACGGGTTTGGAGAGGATCCTAAATTTAGGGGTTCATAGTTAATTTTCCTGGTGTTATGGTTATGTGCTGCCTTCACAGTGAGAGGCAGCAATACTTTAAAAACCAGTTGTTGGAAACCACAGGAAGGGAAAGTGCTCTTGTGCTCAAGTCCTGTTTGCAGGTTTCCCACAGGCATTTGGTTGGTCACTGTGAGAACAGGATACTGGACTAGATGGGCCATTGGCCTAATCCTACAGGCTCTTCTTATTTTCTTTGTTTAACAGCAGATGCATTAAATACACATCGCCTGAATATTTTACACACACCCAATCCCACTGGAAGAGCAGAACCTAGGTCAGTTTATTGGATGTTTGCTTTTGCAACTGGCAGAGTTAAGCATTGATGCATCAGAATAGGTTGTTACAAACAAACCAAGTTCAAACATTAAGAACATCTTGGAGAACCCTTTCAGTCTTCAAAGGTTTCTTGCACTATGAGGCAAAGCTTGCACAGGTCCAAGCATCAACTACATCAACAGAGTATTATTGTTTAGTTGAGATTACAGCTGTTGTAACATGTGATTTCAACAATGATTTCAATTACCCAGGAGGATGAACATCTGGTGCATGCCGTTACTTCAGAGCTGTATGATCCTGTCCAAGCAATATTTACCAGGGCTCAGTAGACTCAGAAGAAGAAAACAAACATGTTAAGTAGAGAAGCTCTTCATAAATTTTGGATTAATTGGAGTACAATAACAATTGCACGCAGCAAAAGGCAGCTCTCCTGGTTGTCCTGTTGCCTGCTGAGGCTGTGCACACACTACATCTTTTTAAAATATCCAGAGCACTGTGGTTTGTTATGGTTGCTGGGAATTGCAACTCTGTAGGAGGTAAACTACAGTACCCATAATTCTTTGAGGGAAGGAATGTGCTTTAAAGGTATAGTGTGTACACAGCCTTCAACACATTGTATTGCAACCCATGAAGGGGAGGAGAGGGCCTTCTCAAACATTGGACCTAGCCTAGGGAATTCCCTCTGAAACAAGTCAAGGGACAGCTGGTTTATCAGCTGCAGCCATTCCTGGGCCAGGACAGCCTGGTATCACTAATCCATGTTCTGATAACCTCTTGATTGGACTATTACATTGTGTTTTATGAGGGGCTATTCTTGAAGATGGTCTAGAAGCTGCAATTGGTGCAGAACGCAGCTACTCAGCAATTAAACAGGGCAACAAGGTAACTCATATGACAGTCATCCTTAAAAGAAGCATTGCATTGGCACCCTGTGAACTACCAGGCTCAGTTCAGGTTGTACAAATTCCTAAACAGTTTGGTACCCGAGTTCTTAAAGGAGCACCTCCCTGAGTGCGACACATGTCTTAGATCACCAAGGGAGGTCACCTAGGACAGGGCCTTCTCAGTGGTGGCACCCTGATTGTGAAATTCTGTCTCAGCAAAAATATATTTGTCCCCTGGATTATCAATCTTTAGATATCAGCTATAGACATATTTTTTCATCTGCACTTTTAGATATAAATGCCCAAAGACCCAGCTGCTTAGTACATTATGTTTTGTGTTAAGTAAGGTTGTTTTAGAGATGTCATTTATAGGTGTTATAATGTTTTGCAGTTATTTGATTGTGTTTTCAGATTTTATACACTACCCTGGGCTCCTGTGCAATGAAGGGCAATCTAGAACTAAAACAAATAAAGAAATGCAATATTTAATAGCTATGTTAATCTTTTGGTCTTTATGCATACTTGTAGCTAATGGGCATTTGTATCCTGTAACAGTGCACCATTTCACATTAGAAGATAATACATTCTTTCCTAGCTAGTCCATGCCTTTACATTCTTTATAGCTCAAGTTTCCACCACTGCTTTCAAGTTGGTGACAAGTTTCCTCATAAAGCTGGTGAAGATGTTTACCCTCTTAGGTCCAAGCACAGAAACCCACAGTTCCTAGGGCTGGAGACACACAGTGAAGACCCACCCCCAGTAACAATACACATCTCTATATCTCCCCACTGATCTCTCAAGTGATAATGCAGCAGCAGGTGGTTGGTTGGTCAGGAATCCAAAGGTAGCATCCAAGGGCCCTAGGCAACAACACTGTTTTGCCATGTCTAGTCCTTGGCCTCTCCAGGTAGGACTGAGAGAAAACCCTGCCTGAAACGCTGCAGAGTTGCTACCAGCGGTTCTCAACCTGTGGGTCCCCAGATGTTGTTGGACTACAACTTCCATCGTCCCTGAGCTCTGGCCTTGCTAGCTGGGGGTGATGGGAGTTGTAGTTCAACAACATCTGGGGACCCACAGGTTGAGAAAGGCTGGTTTAGACCAAAGTGAGCTAGATGAGGCAATGTTCTGACTTGCTGTAAGACAGCATCTGATGTTCTAGCCACATACTGGAAGAGGCCATGCCTTAAAAGGGTCAGAAATCTAATCTAACATCTAATCTAGATGTGTGACTAGTGGGGTGCCACAGGGTTCTGTCTTGGGCCCAGTCTTATTCAACATCTTTATCAACGACTTGGATGATGGACTCAAGGGCATCCTGATCAAATTTGCAGATGACACCAAACTGGGAGGGGTGGCTAACACCCCAGAGGACAGGATCACACTTCAAAACGACCTTGACAGATTAGAGAACTGGGCCAAAACAAACAAGATGAATTTTAACAGGGAGAAATGTAAAGTATTGCACTTGGGCAAAAAAATGAGAGGCACAAATACAAGATGGGTGACACCTGGCTTGAGAGCAGTACATGTGAAAAGGATCTAGGAGTCTTGGTTGACCACAAACTTGACATGAGCCAACAGTGTGACGCGGCAGCTAAAAAAGCCAATGTAATTCTGGGCTGCATCAATAGGAGTATAGCATCTAGATCAAGGGAAGTAATAGTGCCACTGTATTCTGCTCTGGTCAGACCTCACCTGGAGTACTGTGTCCAGTTCTGGGCACCACAGTTCAAGAAGGACACTGACAAACTGGAACGTGTCCAGAGGAGGGCAACCAAAATGGTCAAAGGCCTGGAAACGATGCCTTATGAGGAACGGCTAAGGGAGCTGGGCATGTTTAGCCTGGAGAAGAGGAGGTTAAGGGGTGATATGATAGCCATGTTCAAATATATAAAAGGATGTCACATAGAGGAGGGAGAAAGGTTGTTTTCTGCTGCTCCAGAGAAGCGGACACGGAGCAATGGATCCAAACTACAAGAAAGAAGCTTCCACCTAAACATTAGGAAGACCTTCCTGACAGTAAGAGCTATTCGACAGTGGAATTTGCTGCCAAGGAGTGTGGTGGATTCTCCTTCTTTGGAGGTCTTTAAGCAGAGGCTTGACAACCATATGTCAGGAGTGCTCTGATGGTGTTTCCTGCTTGGCAGGGGGTTGGACTCGATGGCCCTTGTGGTCTCTTCCATCTCTATGATTCTATGATTCTAGCAGGTGATTCGTAAACTATAAAGATACACGCCTGTTCCTCCTCCTGTTTCAGGAAGGAAGTTCTATGTTTTGAAGCTGGCATTTAAAACTTTGCAGGATGTGTTCCCTGGACATGTTGTTGGAGTGCCTGCTTTCCTGTTGCTCACCGCCCCCATGGAAAGACTAGCTTGCTGAATGCAACACTATGAACTGTTAACAGGAACACACACACACAGCTATGTTCATATCTTTGAAGCTGAACAATATATCCAGAACTTGTGTGGGTTGGCTGGTGCTGCAATTCACCCTCTCTTGGAGAAGGGCTGGCAACATGATATTTGAAAGTTAATGCTCCTCATCTAAAGGTACAAAGTTCACCCTTCATAAATCGCTTATTTGGACTCCCACCCAAACTCAAAAGAAGTGTTTGCTGCGCTTGTGGCACCCACTCGCTTGCCGAAGTTCCTTCCAGACAACCCTTCTGAGGTGGGCCTCTTAACAGTGGTCTTAGTATGCTGCCCTATACATTACCCCAGTAATCAAGCTGCAGCCCACTCTGTTCTTGAACTAGGACAATGCTCAGCTATAGAGCAAACTGTGTGGATTATTGCTAATGAGCAAGATTTAGAGACAGATTTAAAGGCAGTTTAAAAGCACGCCTTGTCTAGATTCTGACCACATTCAAACCATACATATAAAGCACTTTAAACAGTCGCGGCTGCCTGTAAAGAGGGATTGACAGTTAACCCGCGCTGGAAATTGTAGCTCTTTGAGGGGAATAGGGGTCTTCTAACAACTCAGCTCTTTTAACAAACAACAGTTCCCAGAGTTCTATAGGAAAAGCTATAACTGTGTAAAGTGATGCTGATCTACATATATGTTGTGAATGTGGCCTCTGTTCCAGCCCACAGGCCAAAGTGGGATGAGAGGACTTCTACATCAGATTCGGTCTGCTGTTCAGCAGAATGTCCATTTGCTACAGAAGACTGCCTGCTACCAAGGCAGACAGGAAATGTGGGTTGGGTTGGCCCATGGTGCTCATGCAGATGCAGGGCAAGTGTGGAGAACCGGAAGACCATAACCATCGGAAGCTGGCAGAAAATACTGAGCTAGATGGACAGGTGGTCAGAATTGGTATAAAGCACCTTCCTATGTTTGTATGGCAGGGATCTATCCACAACATTCTCCAGTGTCCTGATTGCATTTTCCCTTCCTCTCCAGCTCCCTGAACCCAGTCAGTAGGCTGCTCATGAGGCAAGGTAGCAGGCTCCAGGCACCTGAGAGAGGTGGCAAGGCCGGCCTCTGAGGAGCACGCTACCCACTTCCTTCTGCACTTGTAGGCCGCCACCTCCTCTGCTGCACAGAGAAGGAGCATTTTCTGTTTTTCCTCTAGGGGCAGAGCAACCTGGGGCAGCCCTGCCAGTCAATGTTCAGGACGGCTTCAAACTGCTTCTCTGGTCCTCAGGAGTGGTCTGAAGAGGCCTGATCCAACCCACCAGACCTTTGTAAAAGGCCCACCAGCTCCCAAACCAGTGTGTTGCCAGCATAGGTGATGGTGAGCAGTGCTTAGGAGCAGATCAGAGTGCTCAGGTATGAGGAGGGAGCAGTCCCATCTGCTCTGATGCACCTGGAAAAAAATGGAGCAGACCTAAGCACTCCTTTCTGTTTCCGGGCTGCTCTGATCTGCTCCTCAGTACTGCTGATGTTGTTGATGTCTCAGCATACGCCAGGGTAGTAATTAAAAATGGCACTGGCCTAGAGGAGGGAAAGCACTGCAGTATTAGTTGGAGCCTCTGATAGGTTTGGCTACTTCGTGTGTCTCTTGTAAGGAGTTATGCATACCAGACTGGGGGGCAGAGCAGAGAATGTGTGTCCTTATTCCCACCTATTTCATCCCCTTTTGCTATTATTATTTTCCCCGTCTAGATGTCTTTTAAAATCTCCCAGAGTTCACTTATTCACTCAGCATGCCGTTGAAAGCCTTCCTGTGTTACATTAAGAAGTTTTCTTTCTGTACTTGCAGATACTCCAGCCCTGGCATGTTTCAGAATACAGGACATAGGTTTAAATAGGGGTAATCTGCTAATACATATCTCTCCTCTGCCTGTGTGTGCGCCTGCATGGATGGGAGAGAGTGTAAGAGTGTGGCCTGGCCACACTCACTTAGGGCCACATCCATTGCTGGCATGTGGCTTCCAGAGGGGTTGCAGTGGGACCATGCAAAGGCTTTGGACCAAGAAAACGTTATCTGTCTCCGCTCTGGTTGGAGAGTGTCACCTTCCAAGGCTTGACAGACATTCAAGACTATCAGGAAAACATCTCTAGCCATTAAAGAACATTAACTCCTGATTACTCATATCTGTACTCAACATAAACTGGAGAATGGGATTTAAGGACTCCAAAGTTAAAAACCTAGGGTGGGTGGTATTCAACTGACTTTTACTCAGAGTAGACCCATTGAAATAAATAGATTTAACTCAGTCATGTTCATTAATTTCAATAGGTCTATGCTGAGTATGACTTACTTGAAAGCATCTCTGCATTATTAAAAAAAGTTATTCACTGTCCTGCCTTTGACTCCAGTTGGATCTCTAACATTAACAAAATGTTTTACAAGCACCACCCTCCTAATCATGTTTGTTCAGATTTTTATTTTATTTTAATGAGACTTAATTGGAGGTAAATATGCTTAGGACAATCTTTTTCTCCAAATGAGCAAATGGAACTTTATAAAGCATGGAAGTTCTGCTGCCCTTTATAAAAGTAACATGATTTGTTCCATCAGTTTAAAATTTGGTATGGAGGATTTATTTGGTGAGTTGTACAAGCTCTCTGGATTTCAAAGAAATCTGATGGAAGAATTAGAGGAATGGGAGTGTCTGTCTCTGATCATTTCTTATTTTATTTTTTGCCAACTAAGAAAAGAATCTTAAACTTGTCATTTTGGTGACTGAAATTATTTTAAAAATGGAAATATTCATTGTTTTTTCTTTTGTTAGTTTGTTTAAAATGGGCTTGGCAGTTTTAAAGCTAGAGGGCTTTTAAGTTCCCATTTTACCCAATGGAGAGAGAACTATGGGCAAATTATGCAGCAAAAGTAACTTGTATACAATGAAGACAGAACAGAACTGTAGCTTTTATTTTAAACTGATTTAAAACTAGCCAAACCTAATATATCCCCCCTCCCATCGTGGAATGAACCTATTCTGGTTTACATGGGTGTATTGAGCGATATTATTATGGTAACTGGTCCTAACAGATTAGTCGTAGTGACATTTCAAAAGGCTAACTTGAGGGGGGAAAGGCATTTCTTAAAGTCTATTCATATATCTATGCCACCCCTTCCAATAACATACTATCATTTGAAAGCATAAAAATATGTTGCAGGAATAACAAGAAAACATGCATGTCAGTGTTGGAGAGGAGGTGAACTTCAGTCACAGAATGCAGTTACCAGAGATCCCATCCCCACAACAAATATTACAAGAGTACCATTCAATGTTCTTTGAATCTATCAAACCCCCATCAGCTGTCTGGCTTGGAGCTGGGAGAGATGCTGGAATCCCACCTCCCCTTCCCCAATAAACCTTTCTAAATCTCAGTGGGTGGGTTTTGCCGCTCCATTAGCTCTGGCCGATCACGAACTTTGAACTTGGGAAGACAGTTTTCCCAGGTCAGATTGACTAGAGGTGGAATGTCTGTGTACATCCATGTGTAAGAAGTCCCTGGTCTCTCCTAGCTGTGTCCTGTTTCTCTTGCATACAGCTGTTTGCTCCACAGACACTTTTCTACAGTGCACCCACTCCCTGTTTGTGTTATGTTTGGTCTGTACTTTCAGGATCTTGGTGTTTTCAGGCATGTTGTGACCAAGGATAGCATTACCTGACCTATGGGGGCATGTTGGGTGGATGGTCTTGCCATTCAGTATGATAGCTTTACTAAATGCCTGATGGATCTTCCAGTGATAATGATTCTGTGAACTGAATGTCAGAAATGTGGCATCTGCTCCAACACTACCTGCTATGCTATGGCAGCTGCCACTCCAGTGTAGCAATAATAGTAATTATAATTTATTATTTATACCCCACCCATCTGGCTGGGTTTCCCCAGCTACTCTGGGCGGCTTCCAACAGAATATTGAAAACACGCTAAAATATCAAACATTAAAAACTTTCCTAAACTATGAACAGAGGGGGAGGAGTATACTGTTCTCTAAAAGAAAGATCCATGTGAAGAGCACATAGAACAGTTATGCATTGGGAATTAGACTGTGTTGATCTGATTCACCGAATTACACAAATCATGTTTCTTTGCTTATAAAAATAATAATTGTCCAATCTTAGGGGAGAGCCATGAGAAGACATTACTGCTTACAAAATGTTGACTCTGGGAATTATGAGAGTTTTGTTGCTATAAACAAACGAAAGTACTAGTGCAAGGTTTGATTGTTTTTTAAAAGGATGTATTCTTGGTTATTTCTGCTATACATGTGGGAGGAAGTGAATGGACAAAATATTTTTAGGGAAGTCTTTTCCCTCTAACCATAGTGTGGAAATAAGGTTTTCTTGAAATGATAAAACAACTCACCTCTCTTTTGGCTGGGATATCACACTACAAATATAAAATGGGTGATTAACTGGACTGCACTTTGTGCTGGGATATGTACACCACAGGCACAAACTGTTTCCCATTTTGTGAAAGGGAGTGGTGATGCCGCAAGCTCAGGTACACAAGCCACTCAAACTGCCGTACTGGATCTTTTAAGGGGCTCGGTCTCATGGGATTAATAGAGATAATGTAGATACTGCAGGTTATATGATTTGTGGATCAGTTTTCCACTTGTTAGTGGACAAGGAAGCTCATGCCTTTTGCAGAAACATGAATATTAACAGATGCTGCCTTTCCCTTGCATGATCAGAAAAGCTGCCCTTGGTGAACATCTGCCTGTTCTTCTGCTCTCACTGACTCAGAGTCAGCAAGCTTTCAGGGGGGAAAGTGGCAACTCTGTTTGTGGAACCTGCTGAAAAACTGACTAATTTTAACGCACATCCAGTGAAGCAGCCATTGTAGGAAATGCAAACTGCAGACAACCAGGTTCTCCTGGAATTGCATCTGTCCCAACTGTTTTGAACATTTGCACCAAGTATACTTTATAGTATGCACCCCCACCTTTTCATATGAAGGTTTGATTCACGACAAGCTGTCCTAGTTAAAAACTTATTTTTTGTTGTTGCTCTTTCTGAAAAGTACACTTCGCGTGCTTTGACATTTGACATTTCACATGTTATCTTTGTTGGATGTGCACGTAAGATCGTCCTGTGAATGTAAAAACTGTAACATGTAAATACCCCTATCAAAAAGCCAGGGGTGCTTGTGGTTCTCATTCAGAGTAAGAAATCCAAGTGTGCCTTCAATAATGTGTAGAATTGTCCAAATGCAACCATATTATTTGCTATCAGCCCAAGGGCATATCTGTGCACTCCAATCAACACAACAAGCTCTGAACCAGCTTCCCAGAGGGTGCATTTGCCAGTGCTGTGGTTGTGCACTTGCAAAATATCAGTGCTTCACACCCTTGAAGACTTGTCTGAACTATTGTTGTGCCTTTCTGTTCTGTAAATACAAGGGATTGTAAAGAGAGATAGGAGAGCAAAGGTACAATAGCAGAAATTCCTCCACTCTACTGTAACGTTTGTCTGGCTACTTGGATGCTTGGCACCGTGGCTAAATTCCCTGTTTAACCTGGCAGAAATCCATTTTCAGCAAATTTGAACAGTATCCTATATTAGTTACAGTTTCACGCTACAGCTGAAATTGTACACTCTGCACTCTGCGTGGCGCTTTTTTAATTTTTCAAAGCAGGTGAAATACCGTTTGCGGATTTATCTGTAAATGAATGGAATTTGTCACGGAGAACGAAGGCTGCACACTAATTGGAAGGTAAATTCCAGGGAACCTGGAGGGACTTGCACCGTAGGATCAGGCTACAAGGCATGTCAACGATGTCAGCTTGGAGCTTGTGATTAAATATCACTTTCTCCACAAGCCATGGTTCTTGCCATCTACCATAAAAGAGGATCTACTTGACTTGCACCAGTTCACTCTCAGGCATAAAGACAAAATGCTTGATTACCCCCCTGGAGAATCAGAATGCGAAGGAAGAGCAGGAAAAAGGTCACACTCTTGATAAAATTCAGACATGAAGTATCACCCCAATACTGAATTCCTTGTATATCCAAAGCTATTTTATAATAATGCACAACCCTGGGGTCCACACAGACAGACACACTTTTGTTCTGAAGTTTACTTGCACTTGCTTAAAATACAAGGGAGAAGTCTCAAGTAAGCACAAAAGTAATGAATTGCAGTGGAATGAATCACTAGCACAATGAATCACTCAGCCTGATTAAATGTTCTGCCAGCTATTCTCCGTCTTCACTCTCTGGAGGAACAAAGTTTAATTTTAAACAAAATCACATAAAGTTTTATTTGCCATAAAAACCAGATGTGGTATAAATATAAGTATATCTATCTATCGGTTAACTCATGCAGCAGATAACCAGTTTCCAGAATCGTATCTAATAATGAATTGAGCTCACACACACAGTGTGCTTCGTTCCAGTCCCCCTGGAAATCAAGTTTTCTTTTACCTTGAAACACACTTAAAAAGTTTTAAAACTTCTTACCTTGAAGAAGCTCCGGAGAAAATACATTATGCTTAGCATTTTTGGAAAAAGGAATAAGGAGCTGTTCAACCTTTAGAATATCCAAGGCCTGTGTGAATTCCTACACCCCTGCTGTGTCTTTAGTTACATGCTTTCTTGTTGCTATTTTGGACAGACTTAGTACAAGAGAATCATATGAGGCATGCCAGGAGCTTATGCTAAGGAGTTGCATAACAATTAGGGCTTATCTGCGCTGGCTGTACAGTGCAAACAGGTTTGTTCACAGTTTGCTGGCCCCGGAGCATTTCTACTGGGCATGCTCAGAATGATAACCATTGTGTTTGCTAAATGTATAATACGAAGGACCATTTGTGAGCTCATCCAAAGGAGCTGGTAGCCAATGAGACTCAAAGGGAAAGTACATGGTCATTTACATCCTGTCCTTCTCTGCTCTCCCCCCCCCCTTTTGTTTTGTTTGCCAAGAGTTACCTCAATCAATGGGTATTTAACTCTTCATTTCACTCCTCCTCACTTTAGCCCTTAGCTCAGGGCAAAGAACAGCCGCTGTAAAATGCAGACGCTGAAACCTCATTAAAATCTAGGCAGAAATATACCACTTGAACATCTCCGCTACCTGTTTCCAAGTACAAAAAGCCTTCATTTATATCCCACCCTTACTCCAAGCAGCTACATGTGACGTACATGGTCCCCCCCCCCATTTTATCCTCACAATCCCCTTGTGAGGTAGGGTTAGGCTGACTGAGAGAGAGAGACTACATTCCAGGTCACCCAGTGAGCAGGGCTGGCCCTATCATTTGGCAGAGTGAAGCAGCTGCCTCAAGTGGCAGATGCTGGAGGGGAACAGTACAGAGGTGTTGGACAACAGAGTTGTGCGTGCTACACAGTATTACTTCCAGTTGCGAACTTAGCCTGCTGCCCTCAGCGTGGTGGAGGATGTTGACCTATCCGTAGTGCTGAACTAATATTTCCCTGCAATTAGCCTCAACATACAGAATGGGAAGGTGTCCCTGCCACCTCAGCTCCCAAAGCTAGGTTGCATGGAAGTGCTCATGAAGCGGCAGCAGCAGCAGGTTCTGGCTGCTGCCGCCATCACTTCTCTGCCAGGGGCAGGCAGGGTGCCCGCAGGGATGCCATGTCTTGGCATTCCAAGGCAGCTGCCTCAGCCTTCCTCATGGGCCCTTCCCATTCCTGGGATTGTCTGCATCGGTTTTCAATCAGACACACCCCAAGGTAATGTAGAATCAATCTTCAATGAACTTTTCTTTTCAGAATGAAACCAGATTCCGAAGGAGAATTTTTCAGGGGCAAAAATATAAGCATTAGGTCTTGATTGTATATGGACTATGTAGGGGGAAAAAACCCAATCTCCATTTATTATAGAAGAAAATGCAATGTGTTCACAGACCTGGATTTCAAATCCTAGGTCAGTCACTGGGTGGCTTTGGGCAAGTTACTGCTGAATCACTTTCTTAGGAGTCAAACAAGTAAGAATACTTCATTTGAACTAATAAATAAACTACAGAAAATGCAAGAGCTGATTGTTTCCTCCAGATGGGACTTCCTCTCAGCCAGTTCCTCTATGAGTCTGCTTTTCTGCTATGCCAATCTGCAGCCCGTTACCTGGATGCAGACAGGCTGGCAAGGAGAGCAACCCCTGGGATTAATCCTGTAGTACAGCTATTACTCAGCCCCCTTCTCCATATGTGACCTTCCTCACAAAGCTATTATGAGGGTAAATGAATTAAGGATTGTATTTAAATAGGTCATTGAACATGTCTCCCCAGAGTTTGAGGGATTAAGTGTTCTATAAATCAAAGTAAATTAGTAAATAGGGGTTATCTGCTCTGCACCGTAGGGGACTTCTTAACCAATGAATTGCTCAAATCATTCCTTAAAAGTTGGAGCCAAAGGAAAATGAATTAATTATTGTAGTGGCATTTTAAAAAAGCAACATGGTTCCAAGCAATGCGTGCTAGTCCCATCCTGATATCATTACATGCAAGAGGAGACTGTATACATGTGGCTGTCCATAAGGTCCTGCCATCTTTACCTATTGGGGTGATTGTCTGTTAGGAAATTGCCTTCTCCCAAATGGGTCAGTACTGACAAAGCTGGTTGCCATCAGTCATAAGTGTAGGAACACTACAAATGCACTACATCATCTTGGGAGCACAGTTTCAGTTCTTATGGAGATCATGCAGCAAGCAGAAGGTGGAGCAGACTTGTCCCCATTGCTCCACTAAAACCAATGGTGAAAATTACAAGAGAGCATATTTCAGTTTAGGAAAAACTTCCTGATGGTAATAGGTGTTCAAGAGTGGAACAGGATGGCTCAGGAGTGGTGGGCTCTCGTTCGCAGGAGATATTTAAGCAGAGGCTGGATGGTTATCTGTCAAGGATGCATAGTGGTATCTTGCAATGCAGATCCTGTATTAAGCATGACATTTGGAATAGATGGTTTTGTCTTAATTATTGCATTGCATTGCATTGCATTGCATTTGTAGCCCATCGTTCTTCCAGGGAGCCTAATGTGATGTACATGGCTCTCTTCTTCCCCGTTTTATCCTCACAACAACCCTGTAAGGTAGGTTAGGCTGAGGGACTGTTACTGGCCCAAGGTCATGAAGAAGTTTTATGATCTCCAACCGCAAGTCTTGAAGGTGGTCCAGCAACACTTCCTTGCGTGTATGCTAGCTCTCTTGCATAGCAGAGGGACGATTGCAGAGCTTCGCGTTGAAAGGATCAAGTTGTGCACAGCCGATGGCAATTAAACCCTCACGGAAGCAGTAAAGCTCAGCCAAGCATTGTTTACTCGAAAGGCATTGACAGTCTTGTCGGTAGAAGACTATTTACAACTTTACTACCACACAGATAGTAAGGCACACTTCAGGCCTACATGCTGCCTACACACTGCTCAGTAGTCTCTCCCCTGCAGGAATTGCGCAGGTCCGCAGATAAGTGCTCCACAGCTATTTCTAAGTGCTGTAGAGTAAACAAACTTGCACCTCGATGCTTCAAGAATCTTCAAGAATATACTCACAGTTTCTGGAAACGAATGGCTCTTTCTCACTTACTCTTAACAGGTCACCCAGTGAGTTTCATGGCTAGGTGAGGATTTGAACCCTGGTCTCCCTGGTGCTAATCCAATACTCTTAATTACTATGCCACACTGGCAAGATCTCCAAGGTCCCTTCCACCACTGCATTCTAGGTTGAGTGTTTTGGTTTGGTTTTGCACAATTAACAAAAACAGACACTGAATAAAGAAATGGAGATAGATGAAACATAATTGGTTCCTAGTGAGCTACTAAACCATTAAGCCCTGTATCTTTAACCTATTGTGCCATTCATTCAAACAAGATGGCATTTAAGATTTTGCCAAAGTGACTAGAGACTGGCAGAGGTTGTTTAAAGAGTGAAAAATGTCAGCTTCCTTTGCACAGTTACAGGGAGATAGGTTCCAGGGCTCAGCCCTGTCAATCTTCAATCTCTCTACTCCAATAGTTTCAAAACACTTTTGTCTACTCCAATAGTTCCCAAACATGGACCACTTAAAAACTGCTGACTTTTGTGCCCATTGTAGCAACTGTAACGCCCTGTGTTTGATGCTGTGGAATTTTTGAGGACCAATTTTTCGGCTTTTGTAGACCACCTGAATGAAGCTCATAAACCACTGTTGGTACATGAACCACAGTTTGGGAAGCTCTGATCTACATTGACTGGCAGCCAGCAGCAGCTGTGTAGAATCTTTGGCTGAAGTATTTCAATCACCTGGTGTCTAATCCTTTTTTTATAAATAAATAAAAAGTGCGCAAGCTGGAGAATGAACTCAGGGCCTTCTACATGCAAAAGTTCTTATTTTCATTCACATAGTGCCACAGGATTGTTGTGAAATGTGTGGATCCCTATGGCTCACCTTCTCTCTTTCCATGGGTTTCCCTCCATCAGTGTTCACGGATCAGCATTGCAAACCAAATACTGCCACATAATGATCTATGAAAGTGTAGCTTTAAATATTCCACATCTCTCTATCTGCTTCTTTCAGAGGACAGAAATGCTCTAACGAATGCACACACCTTTTCCATAAGAGTCTTGTGGGACCAGTAAGAGGAGGACTTGGGAGCGAGCTTTCTCAAGTGTAAGGAAAAGAAGGGCCAGCTGCCAACTATGACAAAAATCGCTCTCAAAAGGTTCTGAAAGGCTTGAGACTTCATGTTTCCAAGGGAACATCACCAAGCAGAGAATCATTAAGCAGCTATTATCTTATTTCACAGATAAATCAGAGGCCAGCTCTTGTCTAAAACAAAGTGCTTGAAAACAGCAACCCCAAAGGAGTATGAATTAGCTTGTGCAGAGAGATCGTCACAGTTTGAAACATGAATTATAAGGCGGAACAAGGCTGAGGTTGTAAGAAAACAAAAATCATAAAACTGAAATGTAGGGGTAGCCTCATGTGAATTTCAGTGGGTAAAATGCTGAATAAAGAGCTCATGGAAGGAAAACTTCTGGGAACCTTCTCTCTGGCACAGAAAATGATTCTGAAAGGGCATAATGAATGGGAGGGTAGGAACCATTTGCCATTCCAGAGAGGGACACAGAATGACCTTTCGTTTGTGCACAAAGAGATTGTCCCCTTTCACATGTATATATTCCACTTTACAAATATTCATTTTCTATTAAATCAGTACTCGCACTCCAAAAAGAACTTCTCTTTCTAATCAAAACCAGGACATTTTAACTGAAACTCCAACACAAGAATGAAAAACAGTTTCTTGTTTTAGTGGGAGGAGCAGAGACCCAAATGTTTATCCTGTACTAAAGGGTAGTTCCTTAGCTTTGCAGATGCATGCAAGGAAAGGATCTACTGGCTGGAAAAGATAATATGAATATTTCAGTTGTGAATCTGTTTGTTTGCACTGTCTGATCCTGAAAATATATTTTTTTAAAGATTATTTGAAATAGGCAATGAAAAACTAAAAGATAGGAAAGTGGAATAGTGATTTGTCACAAATTCCAGCCCCCAAAGAAATACATTACAGTGGTACCTCAGGCTACATACGCTTCAGGTTACATACACTTCAGGTTACAGACTCCGCTAACCCAGAAATAGTGTTTCAGGTTAAGAACTTTGCTTCAGGATGAGAACAGAAATCGTGCTCCGGCGGCACAGCAGCAGCAGGAGGCTCCATTAGCTAAAGTGGTGCTTCAGGTTAAGAACAGTTTCAGGTTAAGAACAGACCTCCGGAACAAATTAAGTACTTAACCCGAGGTACCACTGTACATTATTAATTCTGAAAGATGGTCAGTCCCAGTTTTTTGAGACATCCCCTCCCCCAGAGCAGGGGTGGGGAACTGGATCTGGTCAGCTAACCAGATCTTTATCTTCCCCACCTCCCATGGGCCATGTTAGGCAGATGGTCGGGGCCAACCACCTGCCAATCATTTGACAGCACAGTGATGTTGTGTGACCTATTTTCACCCTGTGCACTGTGCACCACCCTCTACAGCACCATCAGTCGACTGATCATCAACACTTGTAGAGATCCATGTGCTGCACTTTGAAGTCCTGATTATCAGCTGTTTGCAGGCACTGATCTGCAAACAGCTGATTTGTAAGACTCGCAAAGAGCTACAGAAGCCTTCAAACTTGCTTTTTGGCCCAACTGTGACTTTGCTATTCAGTGTGAACCCTGTTTGAGCCTGAGCTCTGATCTGTTCTTTCTTTCATTCTTGGTCATTCTTTGGTCCTGCTGTCTCCTAGCTTGTCCTCCAGTCCTGCCTTGCTCTTCAGTCCTGACATTTGTCTTGCTCCCCAACCCCATTACCTGGTTTGTCCTTCAGCCCTCACCCACTCCTTTGCCCTGACTACCAGTTTACTTCTTGATACGTCTCCTGTGCCTCTGACCAGGCATTGGGAAGGAATTTGTTCGGTCTGTTTTCTGCTGTGGACCTACACTCCCAAACTAGTTTAACAAATATGTGTATTCTTACAGATGCTTTCCCCAAGTATATGCATTTCTGTACACATTATTTGACTGAACCGCCTAGCAAAATTCAGAGAAGTTCAGATTTCAAAGGATGACTGTGTTTTGGTTCTTGTAGTCTTTCAGAAAGTGTTGATTTCATGGGAACTGAAATGAATTTAAATGTGAACTGAATTAATTTCCCGTCCATCCCCACTCTTGGCTCACCTCAGAATTCTGCCCACAGCCCAGCCTTGGCACTGCCTGTCATAACCCCTTATCTTTCTCCAGTGCCCATCCTCTGTGGAATCTTTGGACTTTGTTGTCAACCTCTCAATAATATCCTTAATAGAACTGCGTAACATGTTTCTGTCCTCTTGAGCAATGGACAGTGGGAGAGAAGCGCTGTACTGAAATCCTAACAACAAGTTAGACACAAGCTAGTCATTCCCAGCAGCTCTTCAATGAGCTTTTCATTAGATGGAACTTCCCGTCAGACTATTATGGGAGACCCAAGTTTACCAAACAGCTAATCCTTGGTAATGAAAGGTTTCCAACAAAAAACCTTCTTTCCAGGGAGGCTGGGCCCTTCAACATTGCCAAGCAGTGCCTAGGGAAAGTGCCAGCTCATATTCTGATCACAAAATGCCAAAATCTTCAGTTGGCTATGGAAAAACATGCATTTGCTATATACACCCACACTAGGGTCTTTGGCATTTTCCTTCGTTTTCTTTAATGGCACTGATGCAGAGGCTGAAGATTATTGTTATACCGTGCCCCTACATTTGCCTATTAACTTTCAGGTCTATTCAGGGATAATCCCAAGCATTGCTTTATATTGTTAGCCAGCCCAAAGTGGTGGAGAAATGTCAGGTTGCGCCCTTTCACTGGATCTGTGCCATCTACTGTCTATTGCCGGGCAACTGTAACTGCACTTTCTGCTCACCATTCATTGCTTTGTTTCAAGTTAGTTTTTAACAGACCAGGCATTGGCTACTGTGAGTTAAAAGGGTCTGTTCTGGCAGTGCTTTATCTGCAAGTACGTATTTGAACCAACTCACTCTCAAATATTTTAGACATGTTTTCTTTCTAAGTCTCACTCATAAAAGATAGCCAATGCCAAAATTCTTTTTTTCATGGGTGGGAGATATTTCACACACACACACACCCCACTCACATTCAGTGATATGCTCTTAAATCAACAAGGCTGGAGGATGAGATGCTCTAGGCATCTGGTGTCACATGGTAACCCTTGAATTTCTTGTTTCGTTCTGAGCAGAAGAGGGGAGGAGGGGAGAAAAACAACCCTCTTCATTTCCTAGTACAGTGGTACCTCGGGTTACAGATGCTTCAGGTTACAGACACTTCAGGTTACAGACTCCTCTAACCCAGAAATAGTACCTCGAGTTAAGAACTTTGCTTCAGGATGAGAACAGAAATTGCGCGGCGGCAGCAGCGGGAGCTGAAAGCCCCATTAGCTAAAGTGGTGCCTCAGGTTAAGAACAGTTTCAGGTTAAGAACGGACCTCCAGAACGAATTAAGTTCTTAACCCGAGGTACCACTGTACATTCAACCAAAGAGTGTGGATTCAGCTAGTGTGAAATAGCATTTGAGGGTGGGGTGGGCTTTTTGCATGATATCACCTGCTCACCTGTAGGGACTTTGTGCAGTTCGGAACCCCTCTGCAGGCCAGTGAGTCATGACACTGGGGGCATTGACTACCATAGAAGGGAGACATGAGTAGAATGTGACTGCAAGCCAATACCTCTAGACCCACCTAGGTCAACATACAACTCCTTATGACTGTTCTCACGTTCTGTTGCTCAAGTGGGGAATTTCCTCTGACGGAAGGGCCATAGCTTCTGTTCTACATGCAGAAAGCCCCAGGTTCTATCCCTGGCATTGCCAGGCGGGACTGAGACTGCCCCCTGCCTGAAACCCACGACAGCCATGGACAAATGGGCCGGCTTGAGCTAAATGCATAGGCCTGAGCCCCCCTTTTAACATATTTGCCCTGTACACGTGGTTACCGCTTGAAGAAGCCTAGGATTCTGGCAATGGTTGATAACTGAAAGCAACAAGACTTTGGTTGTGTACACACACTCCTCTTTATCGTGCACCAAGAGCAGTCCCACCACTAGTTTAGGAAGGGGTTTACACACAACATTGGTCACAATCCATATCTACCCTGTATCTGTCGGCTGTTGTTTTTTAAAAAAATAATGATTTATTCTGTGAACCGCCCTGAGATCTTGTGATGAGGGGCAGTATTTGAATTTAATAAACAAACAAACAAATGCATTTTGATGCATTTCCACTTTGAAAAAGAATGGCTTAGTTGAGTTTTAAATGTGTACACAGCCTTAGCTCATGGTGAAACCCAAGAAGAAAAAGGAAGAGGATGCTCAAAAATAGCAGCAAACTCTCTAGCTTGAGAAGAAAGAGAAATAGCAACATTCTTGGTGGACAAGCAAACAAACCAGAAGGGATGGGGTAAGAAAAGATTAGAGGGTAAATATGACCTTGTGTCTTTGAAATATTTAACATAAGGGAGTGAGCAAACAACCATAAGGAAAGAGCAAGGAGACAAGATGAAAGGTTAACAATTGAGGGTATTAGAAATAAAAAGGCAATGACAATTAAAACCAAAAGACCAAATAAGAGAACCTAAAGGTCAAAGATTTTTTTTTTAGAAATAAAAAGGGCCTAAGAGACACGCTTTTACTGAAAGAGCTATGAATTAACACACAATGGCTTGGATCCATATTTCACTCCTACCAGTGGGAGGAGGGAGGCAACTTTTGCAGAATCCCTCTTTCCCCTCAAGTTCCTTGTGCCCTCCAAAAATCTCATCCGGCGGGTTGAGAGACTCCCCTGAACAGCATGGAAGGTGGCATTGGGGTCTGCAGGGGCAGACAGAAATCAGCAAAAGTCACCTTGTTCTCTACCGCCAATGGAATCTCTCTACTGGATCAAAAATCTTCCACTGATAGAAGCAACTTTCCCATTTTCAGAAGACAAAGTTTGGATCCAGCCCAATAAATACAGCTAGGTCACTGCCAGATGACCTGTATAATGAGCATTCATCCTGATTTGCATGCACAAAGTTTTCTGGGAGGTCAGACGACTTTGGCAATTTATTGAACATTCATTCTGATTCATTTGTAGGAAGGTAAAACGTTGCATCAAGCATTATCCATAACATCTGGTATAGTTCTCCATCCTTTTCCTTTTCCCCACCCACACAGTTTTGGAGGGAAGTGGGTTTGATGTGCAAGAGCGCCAAATAGCACAACTTGAATTTGCCAGTAGTTGATTCAGTCCCACCTAAAAATAATGATAGTCTGGAAGTGCCTCTTGATTCTAGATCTCTTTGGGCCTTCAGCCTGATGACATGAGGGTCTTTCCTCATCCACCTGCTCACCTGTAGGGACTTTGTGCAGTTCGGAACCCCTCTGCAGGCCAGTGAGTCATGACACTGGGGGCATTGACTACCATAGAAGGGAGACATGAGTAGAATGTGACTGCAAGCCAACCTCTAGACCCACCTAGGTCAACATACTACTCCTTATGGCTGTTCTCACGTTCTGTTGCTCAAGTGGGTAATTTCCTCTGACGGAAGGGCCATGGAGTGCACATGGTGCACATGGAGATAGCAGTGGGGATGTGGAACAACAATTGCATGTTGCTGTGACTTTTATCTCACCATAAACAAATCTGACTAAACGTTGAATAAAGAGTTGATGTCATATAGCCTCCCCCTAATTTTTGTGCAAACAAATCAGGATGAATCCTTAGTAAAACACTTGTTTAAAATATCTGGAAAGATCTATGGCTCTCTGTTTTATGCATTCCAATCTCTACTAGTCAAGGGTAAGCAAAAGACAGATTTGACAGTACATGTCACAGGCCACTGAAATCCAACGTTTTAGGCAGTGCTCTTTGTATTTCAGCAAAGAATACAGGAGTTAAGCCTATGTTTGTGTACATACTTGTTCTTATTTATCCAGCTTGCTGATGAAATAGGAAATGTTTACATAATGAAAAAAAATCATTTTAGATGCAATGACAATCTTGACTACTGAAATTAGTAACAATACTGGATGAACCAGTTGTGCTTGAAACATAACATTCTTTGTACTTGGGAGGTAACTTTTCGTTATCTTAAAATATAATCTAAGGGTGGTATTGGTGGTATTCAACTTTGTTTTATGCATCGTAGGTGCACAAAAATTAATAAACATAACTAAGTTGTGTCCATTAATTTCAGTAGGTTAACTCTGAACAAAATTAGTTGAATACCACACTAAGCACTCAAAATAAATTCTATTAAAATTCTCAGAACTGATTGTCATCTACACTTGTATACAATTGGACTTCACTTTGAATCAAGATAGCAAACATTTCAAAATTGCACTGATTTTACCCACTGATTTCAAAACTGCGCTGATCTTTGGTTTCTTAGGATTTCCAAGCAATGCCAAATTTGAGACAGCTAGTATAAAATAAGCAAATCTGCAGAGTATTCAAGAACATTAGGCATTTCACATGGTGTCTCCCCCAAAAACAAGTCAGCCTGCCGCTTCAGAGCCAAGAATGTTTCTTCTGATGAGGTGTGCTTTTATTGGCCACCAGAGGGCAATATGTTCATATTTTTACCAGAGCAATCATGTTGCTAAATATGCAGAACAGAGTTTGTTTTAATAATGAGCGTGAGTGTGTCCACTGGATAACATAACTTATCCTGGATGCTGGAAAAGAAAGTAAACTGCCACAATTGGCACCAGTTAAAACTGGATGCAGAGCATTAAACTTATTTTGTTCTGCGTGGTGAAAACCATGAAAGTAACAAGGCACACAAACGCAAACAAATATTTCCCTTCCTTTTTGGATAGGCATAAATCATTCTGAAAAACTTTGGGGAATTGGAACAGCAGGTTTTAGTAAAGTTCAAGCAAAGAGTGGTCTTTGGCTGTTTTTACCAAGAGAGAACTAAGAAGGTTCCAAAGCAACCTGCTGAGATAGCTCAGTTGGTAGAGCATGAGACTCTTAATCTTAGGGTTGTGGGTTCAAGCCCCACAATGGGCAAGAGATTCCTGCATTGCAGGTGGTTGGTCTAGATGACCCTTGTGGCCCCTTCCGACTCTACGATTCTATTATTCAACCCATCTTAAATAAAGCTCTGTTTCCATGTAATTTGGAATTACAGAATGTGGCCCCTCTGGTGTCTGACTGTGGAGAAAGACAGCATGTACTGTTTGCTATAGAAATAGTATAAAATGAATGGGTTTTTTAAACGTGGATTTTTATTGTTTTTAATTTGTTACACAATAAAAAAGTATCTAGATGGGCAATAAATCTGCTTGCTGCTATTGAATGAGCAGAGCACTTTAAGCAGCTTAGTTCAGAGCATTTTATTTTACAGGTTCTGGTGCCAGGTCACTGTGCAAAATGCTGACCAATCCTTCTTAGAAGCCTGCAGTGCTGCTAAACAATGAAAGCAGGAGCACAGAAGCAGAACACTTGCAAGGAAAGGGCATATTGAATGAGCTGGATTTAACAAACAAAAACCCATCAGCATCCTCTTCCCTTGCCCTTTTGACTTGCAAACAGCACCTTGACAGTGGCATGAAAAGTAACTATGTTATATATGTTCTAACATAGTTGAAGCATATTGTTTGAAAGGCATTTGTTAGTAAAGGACAGTTTCTAATGTTTAGTGGGGATCCAATCTCCAGTAGTTAACAAGAGGTACAGCTATCAGCAATTTATTATCTCAGAATAGGTTTCAGTAAATCTGTTCTGTCAAAGGATGATATTCCATTCTCTCAGTGCAACGTCTGAAACAAAGAACTCATACAATAGTTTGAATGCAACCATAAATTGAAAAATTCTGATTGTATTTTGACTGTCTTCTTCTTCCGTGGTCATCATTAAAAACTTGTCCTCCCAAATCAAAAGTGAAATCTTCTAAGTCGGACATTCAGAGAAAGTCACATCTTTTAATCCATTGAGCTTGACTGCATGGAAGCTCCCACAGCACTAAATTAACATATGAATTGTGATCAAGACACAGTGTGAACTGATTGTGATTTAAATGTATAATTCTGGAAGTTTAAAAAAACAACAGCCCAGAAAGTTACATTTGTGTCATTTGACATTGAGCTGGAAAGAAAGCCAAACGATTGCAACACTTTGTCATCAAAATTCATGGAATGAGATTTCAGGGGACAACAATACACACCATACGTTTAAAGCACAAAAGACTCTTGGGATCTGTAGTTTACCCCTCAACACAAAGCTACAGTTCCCAGAACCCTGAACAAACTACAGATCCAAGGATTCTTTGGTGGAAGCCACATGCCTTATATCTACAGTGTGGCTTTGTCTCCTGGTTTGTCCTTCTACCAACTCATCATTCCAAAGCACGCTTGTTCCCTTCTCTTTAATTTAAGGAGGCACCACAAGGACGAGGAGCCAGTTATTCTGCCTGCCTCCACTACATTTCTTTCAATAGCAACCCAAATGAAACAGGAAGCTGGATGAAGCACAAAACAGGCTGCAAATGGATTGCTTTGATCCAAGCCCAGTGGCATTTCAGTACAGCTGCAATAGATAAGGTGCGCCCCATATTCCATTATCTCTTCATTCCTCATTTTCCAGAACACAGTTCCATCAGCTACACTGACCTTTACTGTTAGAATTAGGGGGGCTAGGGTTTTCCCTGCTTTTTATTTATTTTTTTCTGTGTGGAAGGTGAGGATGAGTATTTTGCATTCAGGATGGGTTTACTCCCCCTCCACCCCTCCTTTTCCATACCATTCCCTGACCTCAATGGGTGGGTATTGAATGGGTTGTTGGGGGGTTTTTTCTGTCAGTTTTGTATTCCTGCTGGATACAAAAGGGAGGCCTTGTGGGGAGGGTCGTCTGTGTGCGTACATGCGCAGTTAGGCGTGTGGTTAGGGAGGAAAAGCGTGAAGAATGAAAAATGCACAGTGAGCAACTTACAGAGATAATCAATGGCTGCATAATGAGCAGCCTACTCCTTTGAATATTGATTAGTCCGTTCTGGCAAGAATCTGCTCTGGGGAGGTCGGCACTCTTGCCAACTGCTTTGTGTGAAGACAAGGGAGGGAAAGGATGTAAAGTCCAAATAGCTTGTTGTTGTTGTTTTAATTGGGGAGGGATGTTTAGAGCCAATGTTATGCAGGAATGGAGGGAAGCTCAGCTGCAACAGTGATAGAGACATTCCATGGTAATATATCTGTTCACATATTTTAAATTGACATTGTTTTTGTTATTGATGTCAAACTTCAGTAGAAACAGAACCCAAGAAGTTGGAATTAAGATATGTGGCTGACATCTTTGTAATTTGGAAATCTTACGGAATGTTCTTCTTGTGAAATATTAGGTTGCACAATAGCTTTGTTTCTACACCAGTGGCTGTGTGTGTGTGTGTGTGTGTGTGTGTGTGTGTGTGTAAGTGTAAACTATATTCAGAATGAACTGGTAATTATAGAATCTTCTTTATGTATTGTCTATACTATAATATATACTTCACTGTTTCAATAAAAAGAAAATCTAACTTTCTTATTTAGTGCATGTACAAACCCAGAATTGTTTTAAATTAAGCTCATTTGCCCTAAGACTTTTCAGATGAAACTTTTTGTTAGTTGTCCACAAGAATGGGTTGGGAGTTTGTTAATGAAGAAGCATCTGGTGGCATTTTATAATTGATATGAAATCCTACCTTTTGAGAGGCTGAGCATCTTTTCTCCAAAGCTCTCTGCAAAGGAAAGACAAATAGCAAAAGTTAGGGTGGCCAGGGAGGGGGCAGGGGAAGGGGGAGGTAGGAAACTAGCAGCAAAGCAAACATCTACAAACACCCACCCAATTCATCCATGGTGCACTTTCCCTTCTGATGACTTCAGTGGAATCACCCCTGGGATAAATTTGGCTCTGTTTCTTTGCCAAAAGAGAACAACAGAAGGCTGCGAAAGGCAGCTGGTTTTGCATTTCTTTTCTTCAATGGCTCTGTTCATTCTAGTCTGATGATGGAGACTGTAAACAAAGGCCCTTCATGCAAGTTCATTGTGTTAGGCATAATTAGACAGTATAGTCTTCGTAGCTATACATGCCTGCAGTCACGTTGCAAGGGTTTGCTTCTCACTTAGGCTTTATCTTATAGGGTAGGAGGAAATTAGGGGGTGGGAGAGAGATAAAATAGAAGTTATGTTGTGTTCAGACTATAGGTTAATAACACTCCCTAATACTAAATTAGGTTAGGGTATGCCCCGCTCCCCTTCCTAAGGAGGCTACAAAATATTTTGCTGATCTTATTGGAAACAGGTCTATAGAATCATAGAACTGTAGAACTGAAGAGTTGACAGGGACCATGAGGGTCAGCTAGTCCAACCCCCCTGCAATGCAGAAATCTTTTGCCCAATGTGGAGCTTGAACCCACCATTCTGAGATGACGAGTCTCATGCTCTACGAAGTGAGCTATCCCAGGCCCAATACACAGCTAAGGCTCAAGATGCTTCCGAAAAAGGGCTTTATAGTGCAAATGGGTCACCCTGTTATCACAAAAGGGTCACTGGCAACAGTTTCTTTTGTTTTGTTAAAAAAACCTTCTTGGGCTTGCATTTTGATACAGATTATTTTGTGTGGATGCTGCAAAAAACCTGCATACATGGGGAGCACCAATCCCACAATAAACCCTCACCTGAAAGCACCCAGTGTACAGGGTGGATCCTTTAAAAGAGGCCCCGTGGATACAGAGTACACATGTTCCACTGGGCCTCTTTTAAAATACTCACCCTGTATATAAAGCTTATCTTATTGGAAATAGGCCTTTACACGGTGAGGGCTATCTCCCTAGGAGTCTGAATTTCTGATAGCTGCAGGAGTACCACTGGTGGACAATGGCGGGGGCGGGGGCACGGTCCACGCTGGGTGCCATCCGGGACATGCAGGTGGTGTGCCACGCCCCCTGGGACACGCGCTAGCCACGCCCCCGGATGTATGCTGCTCCCAGTGCCAGAGCAGGTAATTTCACCACTGTTGAGTACAGCACACTTTTTAAGCTTCCCGCTCCATTTGTCCTGCTTTGCCTTCTAACCTTGGTGCCATCTGTCCTGCTGCTCCTCTCCCCTGCACTCCATGGTCGTGTGGCATACTCTGTGGACAGTGCCTCAGGCTGAAGAAGTGCCACGGAAAGAGAGCAGGACAGAAGAAGCCAGGGAGGGATGGCACCATGGGTCAGGTGCAGGAGCTGGACGTAGGCTGGGAGAAAGTGTGGGTGGAGGTGCAGGAGCCAGGTGGTAATCTTTCCAATGAAATTGTAAGTGATTGGGGATGCAGGAGGACCCTGAAGATTTAGCACACTTAGGAAGACAGTAGCGTTTCATTAAATCTGAGAAATGCTGTCATCTGTCATTTTCTGACACTTGGATGGTCACAGAATGTCATTATCATACCCAGTGGACTTTCTCTTCTCTTATGGGTTTAGCCTGTTCATGGGGCACGGTCAACTTCTGTGCATAAGGATGTGGCCACATTGCAGGATCAGTGGCTGCATTTAAAGCACTTACATTTAAAGCACGTGGCTTCCCCAAGGAATCCTGAGAACATGGTATTTTAAGAGTCCTGGGAATTGTTGCTCTGTGAGGAGCAAACTACAGTTCCCAGCATTCTTTGGGGGAAGTGATGACTGTTAAAGTGGTATGGATGTGTTTTAAATGTATGGTGTTGGTGTTACCACATTTCAAAGGACTAACAAACACTGCAAGTATCCGGAAGAACTAGCTTCCCCCCTTATCTTGAGTTCATCCCCATTCTTTTTTTGCAAGGAAGTTAAAAGGGAAAGGATGGAAGTTCGGAAGTTCAAATATTATGCTATATACAGTTTTATGCAGCTGTGAGTTATTATTTCCATATCTACTGAATTTCAGTGTTTTGAGGTTTTCCCTAAAACACAAATATCAGAATGTCCCAGAGGAGACTTTTAATAACATGTTAAAGTACCTCTTTCTTTCCTTTAACTATTTAAATATTCCTCTGTTGCTACAGATTTTAGAGGTTAGTTTCTTAGAGGTTACATCAGAGCTATTAAGACTTCACATTGTCTAAACTATATACAAGCTGGTTTTAAAAGTCAGGCCTAATATTGTCACATTCCAGGTCAACAGAAATCTCTGCAGTATTCAATATTCATGTGTTCTGTAAGCCCGTCAGCAATTTAGGTGACAATCCTTATAACTGCTTATCTGGGAGTAAGCCCCTTTGAACTCAATGGGACTTACATCTGAGTAGACATATGTAGGACTCCCCAGATAAGTACAAGGATAAAGTTGAAAAATACAAGGAATAGCTATTTTTTTCACTTGTTCTCTCATATCCCTAAAATCATTAATCTGTTTGGTAGAGAATTACATGTTTGTTTGTCTGTTTATAAAGTATTTATATACCTCATTTACAGTGGGTAAAACCACAACACTTTACAATAATACAACAATCTATACAGCAAAAACCATAATAAAAAGTTACAATAGGAAATCAACTATTGTGGAAAGATGTTAGAAGTTTAGGTAGCGGCTATTATTTAGCACTGTGAGAGGGAGATCAAAGGCAGTGTTCCTTGGATGTTTTTCAGTTATTTAGCATGCCACATTTAAAGGCAACCGTTTAAAGGCCTTTTAAGCATAGCAGCACCCTCCCTTCTTTTTAAAAATGCCTTTAAAAACGACCACTCAGCAGAGAGGGAGCAGGAATGACCTGCATTTCTAAAGTTAACTAGTAATGCTCCTCCAGCCTTCTGCAAGCAGCCTCTTACCTTACAGAGTTTCAAGATTAGCCAGCATGCCAGATATGCTGTCAGCGTAAACTTTGCCTCCATGTATCTCTCAGGTAAACAGGTAAGATACATTTGTGCAAAATCCAGGTCATCACTGACACCGGCATCCGTGCCTCCAGCACTGGCACGAGCCTCCTCTTCTCGTCTCTGATTCGGTCCTCCTGATGCACTCAGAAGCTTGTTGAACTCCATCTTATCAAATATTTCTTCGCCTTGGACAAAGCCACAGGCAAGTCAGATCATCCTTTGTTGCAAGTCTGCAGTTAACTCTTCCCGGCCGCCAGGAAACTCAGCCGCTGCAGTCAGCCTGGAGTTGGGAGGATGCTGGAAAGAACTTCCTAGGACCGAACTGCCTTGGCTTGTTGCCTTTCTGTTATTGAACAAGCTCTTGCAAATGTGTGTTCAGCTACAAGATAAATATAGCACTGACTAGAGAGAGCCTTGTCATACTGCACAAGAATACTCCCATGGTTGCCAAGAGTGAGGAGAAAGATTCCATTTAGCCAAAGTGCAAGCCCCCCCCCCCCAATCAGAGCTCTCTTGTTCATGTTAGGAAAAGGGGGGAGTGAGTAAAAGGAAAAGCTATAATCTATGAAAACTTTTTTTGGCCAGTTTTGCTTCCTCAGACGAAGTTCCAGTTGTAGATAGAAACCAAGTTCTTGTGGGGGAGAGATGCCGTGTTGGGGGTCCCCCCCCCTTCCAAACACAATAATTCATTGTTTGTGATTATTTCATATGCCAAACTTGTGAACACTACAGATTTCAAAAGAATAAATGAAGTGTCCTCCGTGGAGTAAAGCCAAACTATTTTGGATTAATGAATGGCTCTTCTGCTTTGCTAACCCTGCTGTCTCCATCAGAGTTTTGTTTTTTGCTTTTTTGCTCAATTGTTTAAAGTGGTTCATGACATATCCAGACAGCATGCATTTGTCTGTTCAAGGCACACATATTTATGCTCGGTTGTTTGTACCAGTTATACATGAGTTTCACACGGTTGGGTCCTTTATTATACCAATCCCTTATTGTGTCCATTGGAATCAGAAATGTACAGTTTCATACACATCTTTAAGATCAACTTCAATTTCACAGACTTTGCATTGTCAATGCATCATCTCGCTTAAATCATATTTATTGTCATTGCATTTCCTGCATCTAAAATTCAGGTGTAAAACTCACATCCAAAACTGAATTCGTTTCAAGTTGGCTCCCACATGAACAACATTCACAAGTGATACATTCAAAGAGTAAAAGCCTTCTTTTATCACCAGCAGAAAATGTGCTTAGTGTCCCATCGTCTTCACCGGAGCGCTGCTGATGCACCAAGAAATAGCAACAGAGTTTACATTAAGCATGTCAATGCATGAGCCAGGTGTGTTGATTCAGAACCATCCTCACAAATCACACAGTACTATGATCCACACTATTCCACAAGACAGTCATGGGCAACTGTGGCAGAATAGTCCCCATGTGGATCATCAGCATCATCTCAATCAACAGGATCCAGCTGTCTGAAATTTCTGGTTAGTGCTAAAGCATTACGTTTGCAAAGCTCTTATGTGGACATTGTCATAGCAATGGGCAAGACAAATAGTCCATTTTCCAGAAAAGTTTTTTTGTGAAAGCTAAAAGGACTAAAGCTCAGCATTAGAGCGCATCATTTGCATGTGAAAGTATCAGGTTCAACCTCTGGCATCTCCAGGTTAGGCTGGGAAGGACTGCTGTGCTTCACCCTGGATTGCTGCTACCTGTCATTATAGATAACACAGGGTTAAGTGGGCAAAATGTCTCACTTGTTATAATGCAGCTTCTTACCATTCACTTTCCACTCTCCTGTATGTCTGAATGGAAAGCAATGATCCCAACACAGAACAGCTGTGGGATCTTCAGAGTGGCACAGGTAATAAGGTGTATGGCTTAGGGGGAGAACACATATTTTGGATACAGAAGGTCCCAGGTTCAATCCCAGCCATCACCTTGTGAGGCTGGAAAAGGCTCCTGACTGAAACATTGGAGAGCTGCTGTTAGTCAGTGCAGACAGTGCTGGGCTGGGTGGACCAACAGTCTGACTCTTCCAAATCCCCATCTTCTGCACAGCTGCGGGAAATACAATGACTCCAGGGCTGAATTGCTGACTTGTTTATTTATGACATTTATATATTACCCATTCAACTAAGTCTCCTGGGCGGTTAGCATCTTATTCCAACACCATGATGCAAAGCAGTAGATTTAATTCTCCCCTCGTTGTTAAGACACACACTCTAGGCAGTTCGTGCCAATAGACTGATTGGATATGACCTCCATGCTAATAAATATCAGCTTGAGAACCTGCATGGAACTCTGGGACAAAGCTGTACAGCAGCCATTAATGTCAGAGCTCCTCGGTGATATATATAGAATACAAAGGAGGAGATCCAATTACAGGTGCCAGCAAATCTTTGATATTTTAATTCCCATTGGAGTGTTGTTTCTTACTCTTTCTTGGGGCTTCCCAACCAACTCTGTGTGGCTTAGTCCTCCCCCTGGCCTGAAGGTACACAGTGGGGCTTGTCAGGATGACTTGGGGGAATGAGACAGTGTGGTGTAGGGGCTAACATGACTTGAGAGTTCACATGCCTATATAGCATGGAGCTTGCTGGATGACCATGGGTCACACAACTCTCAGCCTGACCATCTCACAGGTTGTTGCATGCCTTCCAAGTGTCCCGATTTTGCAGAGATAGTCCTGGAATTGCAAAAGCCATCCTGACTTCTGATTTGATCCCAGAATGTCCCTATTTCCCCCACCATTGACAAGCTCGAGGAGGAGGAGGAGGAACCAGTGATAGTCCCAAGCGATGGTGATGGCCGTGGTGATGGCAGCCTCTCCATGGCCACTGCTACTGGCCTCCTCCCTTGGGCAGCTCGTAGCAGCTGCTGGAGGGCGGGTGAGGAGGAGGAGAGGCTGCCACTGATGAGGTCCAGCCCCATGTGACATGGGACAGGCAAAGCACAGGACCGTCCTGAATGGAAAGAAAGAGGGAACCTTTAGAGCTTTAAAGGTCAGCATGTGTGTGTTGTTTAATTCCCTTTTGTGGCATTCTTAAGGGTACAGGAAGCCTCTCAGCACCTCCTCTGGACTTGGCAAACCTGTCTTAGAGACCTTGGTGGAAACGAGAGAGATGTGTAGCGTCGTATTCCATTTCTGGGGAAGCAGTCTTATGAGAATCAGAGAAAATGATCACAGACACGCCAAGCAAATAAAACATTCATTTACTTCTTAAGAAACAGCATGATAGAAAACCACATTCAGAACATAGTTCAAAACTTTAAAACATCCATTTGTCCATGGAGGGCCTCAGTTCATTGCTACAAGCAAGCCATTTAATTTATTTTATATCTCCCTTTATACCTATATACACTAATAAATGTATACGGAGAGGTTCGCGGCCAGTTTGGAGCCTCCAGAATATTTCTTGAGAGCTACATGGGTCTACCTATATTTGAGTTACCTAAATGCAAGGCAAGTAAAGTAAGATTGTAAGTAAACTGGACAGCACTTATGGCAAGCTTTTTTAAAAATAATAGTAATTAGTGATATTATAGTTCAAAGCAGTCATAAAAAGTTATGGGACTGAAAAGTCTTGTTTACATTGGAAGAAGATAAAGGAGATAATATGCAATAATGTATATCATGCATATAAAAACGTGCTGGCACATGCAGAAAAGCAAGAGAGAGGGAAATAACACCACAATGCCATTCAGTCCCTCTGTATCCAGCTTCATATATTACACTGCTGTCCCTAATGGTTGTCCCATTGTTGGCCTAGACTTTAAAAAAGCAAAATGTTCACCTCTCCTGCCAATTCTCCCATTTTAAGCAAAACTGATTTTAAGGTTCCTCTAGCTTTGGAGTCTCCCCCATTAAGGTTTCTTTGCTGCAGTCAGTTTCACCTCTCTTGCAGTTTTGTAAAGCAAGGAAGTGGAATTTGAAGTATGCTTTCCCAAGAGCTGTGTGCAAAACTGTCCATCTCCTCTTTGAACTTTGAAAGTCGTCAACCCATTTATGAGTAGATGTAGGCTCCATTGCCCACTTACCTGGGAATAAACCTCCCAATGAACTTAAGGGGACTGAATCTGAGCAGATGTGTATAGGATTGTGCTGCAGTTCAGTTAATCTGAGCTACTAGGGAGGATACTAGAATCTAAGGCAGCCTTCATCAACCTGTTGCCCTCTAGATGTTTGGACTACAACCCGCTTCAGCCCCAGCCAGCGTGGAGTTTGTGGTCCAAAATAAAATACCTGGAGGTCACCAGGCTTAGAAAGGCTGATCTAAGGTCTTGCAAACAAAACTTGCAAGATCTTTGATATGAACTATCTATTGGTTTGATATATCAAAGTTTCTTCATTTAGCATCTTACTTGGCTCCTTGCTGGAGATTGCTAGATCAAAATATATACAGCAGAATAATGCTTAAATCTACTGTTTAGCCTTTAAACATGCAAGCAAGATACATATTGATGTTTTTACCTTTGAGATACATTTAAGAATATAATTTGGTGAATGAAAGTTATAATACACATTCCTTGCTTTTTGTGGCTTTATCATGGGAAAGAGCGGGGCCAGGGGGTTGTGACTTCAGAATCTGGGGAAGATAATTTAAGCATTTTATTTTTGACAGGTTTGTATTCATGCAGAAAATAGGAGCACGGAATCATAGTATACAAGCCACACCTTCCAATGCACCATAAAGACTATACATCCATATTCCTTCCCCTTATGTACATGCAGTATTATGTATTCTTATCCCTCATATAGAAGGGACAAGGCTTTATACTTCCATCCCACCTATGACTGTGCACTATCTACTTTTCTTTCAGACATCTGCTATCGCTATTGACTTTAGCAAAGTACTGAGCCCACTGCTACCCAAAATATCCCAATGCAGTGGGTTGACAATTGGCCTTTATTGGATTGGATTTGTTGGTGTGCTATATATATCTATATCAGCTCTGCCAGAGATATATCCACTTGTCTATATCTGTATATATGTGACAGTGTGCCCTGCTTTGAATGATTTCATGTGGAGGAATCTGTCTTCTGCCCAAGTGTTATGAGATTTACATCTACATCTTCTTATCACCAAGGTAGAAGTACAAGCTAATATTAGCTCCACAACATGTTGTTTATATTAAATCCCCCATAAATGGATGAGGGGAGTGCTTGCTATTTTAGCCATTTAAATACACTTAACATGATTACTCTACAGAGTGCAGACCTGAGAGTTGTTAATCCTTCCTCGTTCCCATGGCCTCAATGGAATTTGGGGGGACACACGACTATGCACTTCACAAAAAGAACACCTGTGCTATCAGATACTCACTAGAATTTGACGGGGACATCTCAGTAATTATGATTTTTGTCTGGCTTCACAATGGCTTTGATCCCTAAACCATTTGGAGCTTGGAGTGTATATGATTTCATTCTACTGTGGGTTTTTTCCATTTGTCTACAGACAGGCACAAATGTGCAATGTAGCATATATCACAGAATACAACAACCTGGAAATGCCTACTTTGGTCCACCCCACCCCACCCCCAAGATCCTAGTCCTTGTGTTTGTGAAGAAAAGCTTTAAAATACATGAGAGATACCTGCTGAGATATCAGAAGTCAGACTTTGGCTGCTTAGATTTCACACCCCGTGGATACTGTTTCTTGACTCCCGCCAATCTCAAACTTCTATACCATTTTCTACTTCCGTTTCTCCTGTTTTCTCTTTCTCTTCCCCTCTCATTTGATCGTTAACAATATTCCAGATTCTGGAAAGAAAATAATTATCTAAACTTGAAGCCCAATGCTACAAGTGTGTGTGTGTGTGTGTGTGTGATGGAGGCCTTTCATTGCATTACCATTTTCCCATTTCCGTTCTTCATTTTCAACCTTCCTTGAAATTCATATAGTTCCTAGCCTTCCCCAACATATGGATAAAATGTTTGAGGGCAAGGGGGAAGCTGGGAAGAAGACATTGTCCAGAGCAGACTTTTCCAGTCTGGTACCCAAATACATATTTATTTATTATATTTATACCCTACTTTTCTATCCAAGGAGCCCAAGGTTCTCCCTTTCCCCATTTTATCCTCACAACAACCCTGTGAGGTAGGTTAGGTTGATAAATGGTGGGGGGCTCAGGGTTGCCCAGTGAGCTTCATGGCTGAGTCAGGATTTGAATCCTGGTCTCCCAGCACTTTAACCACTACACTCTCTTTTGTATGTGCTAACTGGGGCTGATGGGAGTTGTCCTAAACTACGTAGATTGGGGAAGGCTGCTGTGGACCATTCTTCTTTACAACTTCCCCCTGCCTATATCCTTCACTTTACCACATCTGTCCCTCTACCTCCTCCATTCCTTCTTTATTTCATCCCTTCTTCCCTTCTCTTGTTGCTCCTTCAGACTCCTGCTTCCCACAGCCTTCTGTCTGCCCTTCCCCTCTGTGGCATCAGGTCAGGTGTACAGATGTTGGAACCAATGTGAGTTGACTGGAAAAATGCATACCAGCAATTGTGCATATTCTTATGAAGGCATGAAGAATATGCACAAATTGGCATGGTCAACAGGGGGGTTTGCACACTGCCCAATCAAAATATGGATAATCACTAACTGATGTTGAGGAATGTGAATTCATCACAGCTGTTTCATTTGTTGCCATACACATTTTATACGGTAACATTTTCTCCTCGGTGCATAATCACCAAGATGATAATATGTACAATGATAATATGTACAATAATATTGTCCTCTTGTGCACATTCCCCAGCTACAGTCCCTAGAGACTATGTATGTTGACTAGGCAATGTGCAAAATCCCTAGTTTGTTTTTCCCCATTTTGTGCACATCCTTCATGTTGTCATATGAACATGCAGAGTCACCACATTCCTTCCTTTAACTCAGGTCACTTCATTCATTTGTACTTTGTATCCTCAGTAGCATATTGTCACAGAAAAGGTAAATAAGTGTCCTGGTATGTAATTTTACACAAGACGATGGGATGAAATAATAAGCAGCAACACCATTGGCAGTTATTTGAGAATGAGCTGTCAGTGCTAGAAAAAGATGTATCATGAATGATATCCAAAATAAAGCAACAAAATAAGAAGCAGGAGAGAAGAAATCTCAACATAGAATTCAAGTAATTTTAATATGCAATGCAAGCAACAAAAATAAATTATGATATAGAAGGCACAGCTATGATATCAGCTATGATACAAGAAGAGATATGTCATATGGATATGAGACTGGGGAATTGTGTGTTGTATTCAACTAAGTCATACTCAGAGTAGACCCATTGGAATAAATGCACTGAAGTTAATCAAGAACATTGATTTCAGTGGGTCTATTATCTGAATATATCTTAGATGCAAGAATATTATTTTTATTATTATTAACAGAGCATCTAAAGTAAGTGCTATCATTCTCTTCTGTATACTGGAGTATCAGAATCAAAACAGCCCCTTTGCCGAGGTATTCTACTGCAAACATTTCCACTGAAGATGTGACCAGTCTGGGAAAGATGCTCCTGTCTTGCAAGAAACAACAAAAGAAAATAAAAGAAGATGGTCCCAGCTAAATGGGACCTTCTTTATATACAATGGAGAGAAAGGATTTGAGCCATGGAGGGAATATTTGCCTGGGTTACATCTTGTTAAACTCATTTTGGTTGACTTCGGTTTGAGTGCATAATGACTGACTAATTCAGCATGGTAGCAAAGGGCCAGCACCATGCGAACTCATTTCTGCTAATGCAAAACATGTCACAACATTAAATGAACATTCAGATTCGTAAGGTCATTGTGTACTTTCTTTTCTATCTAGAGAAATTTTGGCACATATACTCGAACAGGGTCATCATACTAAACCTTTGCTTCAAAAGCAGCATTTGGGTCACATTCTGTCTTGAGATAGATCATGAGCACACTCAGTAACTTTTTTTGTTGCTGTTGTTTTGCATTTGATTCACCTAGTGATGTTAGAGGGAAATGCCTCATCCAGGACTGAAGCAAGATCATCATTAAAAGCATCAGTCATTTATGCAGGGAAATGGATAGGGAAGCAGAAAGCTCAAAAGCTGATGATCACATTACTGAGGCTTGCTTCTCAGTGGGATTTCCAGTCCAGGAAACAAGTGTGCAGCACCCATCTGCATGCAGAGAAATCCACTGTAAGCACAGAAGAAAATGTGCACAGCCTTAGCTGGACTGGGGCACTGTCTTTCAACATTACCCAAACTAGGGGAATCTTTCTTTTGGCATATATCTATAATCTAAAATAAAACAAGTATTTTCATCCAACTCAAAAAGACTGAACTGTGGGCAAGCATGTCGTTATACATTGCACACATCCATTCAAGGGACCAAGTGGCAAGGTGTCAAGAGCTTATAATATTAAGTTCATTAAAATCCACATTCTTCTGGTAAGAGATTAGGAGGTGCATCTGCAGCAGTGTCTTCATGGGGTTTCTGTCTCCGATGACACCAGTCTCTTACCTCATTCTGATACATGTGAGAAATTGGCATTTGCAGAGCGTGGATCTTTAGCATCACTCCTGAAACATAAGAAACACGTGGCACCATGTCACAGTAATTCTATAACAATCCTTTGCCAAACTACTCTACAATATGAAGAGTAAATTGGATTGTTCCAGTGCAGAATCCCAAACTTAACAAAAAACTATGTTACTTTGATGTTATCCTCTTTTTGGGGGGGGGGGTAATCCATTCCCATCATAGGGACGCAGGTGGTGCTGTGGTGTAAACCTGAGCCTTGGGCTTGCCGATCAGAAGGTCGGCGGTTCGAATCCCCATGGCAGGGTGAGTTCCCATTGCTCGGTCCCAGCTCTCGGTCCCAGTTAGACAGCACACAGTGCAAATAGATAAATAGGTACCACTCTGGCAGGAAGGTAAACAGCATTTCCATACGCTGCTCTGGTTTCCTATGGAACATACAGCCTCAGCTACCTGAAACCCACTATGTAATGTAAATTGGGGGGGAATAACTTTCTGCCACTCTCACCACATGGCCTGTTTTAACATGGAGCTGCAACACTCTATATCCTCCACTCTACAATCCCTGCTTCCTTTGTAGATTTGGAAAATGGAGCAAGAACTGGACACCAAGTAATGCAGTATATCTCCAGAACTCTTGCCAGGACATTTCTTCTCTTTCATCAAAATCAAAGGAAAGAGATGATTCTGATGACAAGGCCTCCAAACTGATTTTTAAAATTGTTATTACTATATTTATTAACCAGCCTTCACCAGCAGGTCCTGGGGCAGGATACAGCAATTTAAAAATTCAGAATTAAAAACAATTAAAATGCATTACATGGGTTGAAAGCATATCTGCAGATTTTCACATGTGAAGCCATGAGACGACTTCAGCAATGCACCCAACTTGAAATTCAGCAACCACCAAGCAGTGGTTTGAATTGTGGCATAATTATAAAAGTGCAGTAATCTAAATTGGTCTGAAGCAATTACATGATCTAAGACACATTTTCTACACATTCCTTTGCAGCACATTTTATCTTGTGTGAAGCTGCCCATAACCTGCCAAACCTTGTGTGAATACTGTGTGCATACTCAGTTCATTTCATTGAGGGATTGGGCCTTTCATATTCCTACTAACCTCTCATAAATTGGTAACACTATTTCTTATAGCAGAGTGACATTGTCACCCCCCCACAAAAAAATCTATGTATGCCAGCTTTGTATAAACAGAGAAAGTGTTATATTAACAAAATGTACATTATTAAATACTTTGTTGCAGATGTATATTTTATCATAGCACTGCCAGAAAACTAACTCCTGCAGCTATCATATAAATTGCTGCAAAATGTAGGTATATTGCTGGTTCTCACAATACTTTACCAAAGGTATGTGCTGTGCCTGGCAACCCAAAGGATTGTGTGAATGGGGCCTTTATTGTGGCTGAAATTCCTTGCTCCTCATAAATCATTCTGTGACTTTGCAATCTTCTTGTGACTTTTGTCTACTCCTTAGACTAATTTATTCCTTAGGCTTCCTCATTCATGCATTTTTCCCCTTTCACATTTAAAGAAAAGCTACTTATGCAGTAAAGTTTATTTCTGAACAACTTTCCCTTATTTGCATCGCAAGATAACTTATTGTGCCTCCTTTGCACTATATATATATATATGTGTGTGTGTGTGTGTGTGTGTGTGTGTGTGTGTCCTTTTTTGCTATAATTTATTTAATTTAGGGATCACCAGCAGTCCTAAACTCCCTTATCCTTTATTCACCCATGTGAATACTTTATTATTTTATTTGCCTTTTACAATACCTATTGTGAACATTTTTGAAAATTTAGATTTTAATAAATAAGCAGTGATTTAATAAATACATTCCTATTTTATATAACAGTACTTTGCACTTAATGTTCATTAAAAAAATAATAATGTAACAATAATAATATAGTGTTCATCCACACAATCTATATTACAGTCACTCACACCCACATATGCATGCATACATGCATACAGACATGGGGCAAGTGCAGGTGGCGCTGTGGTCTAAAGCACTGAGCCTCTTGGGCTTGCGGATCGGAAGCTTGGCAGTTCGAATCCATGGAATGGGGTGAGCTCCCATTGCTGTGTTCCAGCTTCTGCCAACCTAGCAGTCCGAAAGCACACCAGTGCAAGTAGATAAATAGGTACCACTGCAGTGGGAAGTTAAACGACGTTTCCATGCGCTCTAGCTTCCATCATGGTGTTCCATCATGCCAGAAACGGTTTAATCATGCTGGCCACATGACCCGGAAAGCTAGCTGTGGACAAACACTGGCTCCCTCGGCCTGAAAAGCAAAATGTGTGCCACACCTCATAGTCACCTTTAACTGGACTTAACCATCCAGGGGTCCTTTACCTTTACCATACATACATATATACATACAGGTGTATAAAATCCATGAATATGGATTCATTATTATGGATTTATATTAAATTAAATTTAATATAAAATTAAATTTAAATTCTTCTCCTTCTGTACAGCATACGTAATTTATGGCGGAATACAGTTTATCCTTACGTCTGTTCTACCCAGTTCTCTTTTAATATAGATTACTATTGGAACCCACTTAGCTATTTCTTCTCTAATAATTTTGAGGGTGCATCATTGCAATTAATCTTGTTTGTAATTGTTTCCAGACTTTCTTAGTTAAGGGAGCAATCATTTGAGTCTATTTTATCCCTTCATTACCACTACATTTTTGCGTAGTGTGTGTGTGTGTGTGTGTGTGTGTTTAACTGGGTTTCCTTTCTGCATTACCATTTGTGAACTCATGAGGGTTGCTTATCATGGAGAAACACCTTTCTACACAGTTTTGGGCCATTTTTGTCTTCATGGGATCATAAGCTATTCACCTCCTCAGCCTGACTTGATCTTGGAAGGCCAGTCCAAATATTTGTGCTGCTTTCTCTTTTCTCCTACACCAGTGTTGTTTTGGTTAGAAAACAAGAGTCATACAAGAAATTGAAGTTCAAAAAAAAAAAAAAATGTTAGTGACACTCTGCCCTCTGCTGGCTGAAATGTTTTTTCCTTCCACCTGCTGCTTCTGATCATGGTTACCCTCCAATCTACAACCACAAAATGTGGCATTATATCATGGGAGACGTAGTGAGCCCTTGCCAAGCTGAAGCCAAACAGAATGAATCTGTCAAATTATTTATTGTATAAGACTCCAACTTCATCAAGGTTTTGCTTATCCTGTTACTCACTTTGTGGTTTATAGGTGCTCTGCAGTGGAGGACATATAGCCTGGAGAATTTACAAATATCTATCAAAAAGGCCTCTTAGAGATTATGCATATTGTCTAAAGAATGTGCAAGATGCAGTTAAGATATACAAAGACCCCAGGGCCTATTGGAGATTATGCATATTGACTGGAGAATGTACAAAACGTTCTTGAGGTATGCACATTTCCCAAGGCCTGCCGGAGAATATGTATATTGACTGGGAATAGTGCACAATTCCCTCTTTCATTGATAGATTATGAACACATATTCCATGAGGTGCGGTGAATGTGCACAATGCCCAGCTATTATGCACATCAGCCACTAAGCACACATTACCTCTAATAATGGTTGTGTTCTATTTTAATATTTCTTTCATAGGAGCATGCTATAAAACCACAGAAGAGGCTTTCTCACATCATTTGGTCCTGGTCAGTCCAAATAAGCACTATCAACATTTAGTGATAACTGATTTCAGCTATGAGTTACATTGTATCTCTATCCTGAGTCTTTGGGGACAAACTGGATGGAAAAGAAATCTAAACTAACTAAGTACATTACTGGAGGAGAGCAGGTGTCTGATGTTATCTTCATCCCCTGTCTTCCTCTCTCCCTCCTGGACCATATTATGTGAAATGAAGGAGGGGAAGAAGACATCAGAACCTGCTCTCTCATTGCAGGCCCAATGCCCTGTGGGAAGGATCTTGGCGGGTAGATTTTGAAATGGACTTATAGCCATTTTTATTGTTGTATTTTGACTTTACTCATAAGCCTCCTTAAAGGCAGGATATAAATGACTGGAATAAATACAATAAATAAATGGTTCACTTGGTGTTAGACCGTGGCCCCTCTTGCCATCTGCCGTGATGTATGCAGTGGGGCATCTAAACATTAACTATGTATGCGGAGATAGCCAGGAGTGAAGTGGCAAAACTAGTGCTATGGCTGCGGAGGGATTGAATTATTGATATGAAAGCTTGGCTTGCTTGCTTTTTCCTTTTTTTAAAAAAAAAACCTTCCCTCTTTGCTTTTGAATAATACATTAAATTCTGTGCCAGTAATGATCATTTTCTTAATATGCTGTGAGAAAGAATGAGGACAACCACCACCAAAGCTTTCTCTACAGAAAGACGTTGGATTGGCAGCTCGATCTTGCGAGTTGCTGCACCAGCAAAGATGCAGATAAAATGAGGACCCAACAACTGCTGTACCAGCCTATAAGAAAGGCAGTGCTTTGCAGTAGTTACTGTGCTAGGCTAGCACTAGGGTTCAAATCCCCACAGAGCCACAGCGAAGTTTGCTAGGTGACCTGGGGCCAGTCACTGCCTCTAAGCTGCACCTACCCCACAGGTGAAGAGAAAACAGGAAGGAGGAAAACTATATGTGCAACCTTCAGCTCCTTGGAAGAAAGGTGGGGTATAAATGCCATTAATAAATGTGACCCATTGGGATGCACTTGCCCTGCAAGCCACAAGAATGTTTCCTTTCCTAGGTGGGTCTTGAACCCTCATTCCAAGGGGGCTTTTGTGCTCTCTCTAGACATCCTACCCAACAAGCTGTGTTATGTGGGCTCTCCTTCCTTACCTTCATGCAGTGTGCTCCAGACTGGTGGCTGCTAGCAGCATAAGGAAATCAAAACAGCTGCATGCCTGGGACTGACAGTAGCAGAGTGGTCATGGACTGGGCCAAGTGGGGCTGATGGCACAGGCAGTGCTGTGGCATGATATTTCTGTGGATGGGTGTTGGTGCAGGGGTGTGTGCTAATGGCATGCCCCAACATTATTAGTTTATGTTTGTTCCTTCCAAGCACAATTTTTCATTGGTTGACTTTGGTGGCATAGTCACCGCCACTGATTTTGTCTTTTATGACTGTGTGTTTTCCCCCTCCCTGAATAGGTACTGATGTCTATTACATCAGCATTGTGATGCCACCCCTGCTGCAGTTGGGGTATACAGGATTGCTCTGCTAATGTACTGATGGCATTATTTCAACTCAGCTAAGCCTCAGGTTACTTCTTAACTTTTACATCTCCATCCTTTCTCTCTTGCGGCCTCGTTTTTGTTCTGGAACCCATCGTGTCCCAACATTTTCCCTCATTCTTCTTTGCAATTATTTAAATACTGGTCAACCCTGTACCTTCTCTTCTGATCCTTTGGCCTCTGATCTCTTGCTCTCCTTCTGCCCCCCACCCAGGGTGTTGTTGTTTAGATTGTATGCCTGTGGGCACGGTCCTTTAAAAAATAAAAATAATTACTCTACATATACTTTACCTCCTGTGTATTTTGGAAAGTTGTTTTCTCTTTGTCTGTTCTCTGCACTTTTGGACACCTCTTAAGATATTGTAACCAAATTTTTCATGAAGGGTCCAGAGATCAAGAATCCGGTTTTTGTCTCTGTGTTTCCCTCAGCCCTTCCCACCCCAAACCCCATCTCTCCTTGCTTTGTATCCAGCCCAGCATTCAGTCTGAACCCTGCCTTGCCTTGTGTCTAGCCGGACTGCCTCCAGGTCACCTAAGGAGCTTCATGAGTGAGGATTTCAATCTGGCTCTCCAAATTCCCAGCCCAACACTCTAACCACCACAGATTTCTGACTGAAACTACATAGTCAGAAAATATAACACTGAATCTGATTTGGCCACGCTGGCTGTCAGTACACTTCTAGACCCAGTGCATTGTGGAACAGCTTCCACCTTGGGAACCTTGCCAGACCTTTAAATCGTAACCAGAAGCCCTCTTCTGAGCACCTCCTCCTGTAGAAGTTCAGAGAGTTGTGCCAAGTCAAAGGGCCTTTTCCGCACTGGCTCCCCATCTAAGGGATGTTCTCCCTAAAGAGGCCTGTCTGGGAGCAACTTGGACATCATTTCCCTGCTGGGTTTAAACTTTTCTTTACTCCCAGGCATTTGAGTGTTGGTGTTTTATTGTTGCTTCTTGGGGATCAGCTTTGTTTGAAACTTTAGTTTTTGGCAATTGTACCATCAATTCTCAGAGTGGTTTAATTATCCATTCTTCTTCTCAGGGAACCTTACAAAATGTAGTTCTGTGTAGGGAACAGGGGTCTCCTAATAACACTCGGCACCTTTAACAAACTACAGTTCCCAGAATTCTCTGGAGGAAGGTATGACTGTTAAATGGTATGATGTTGCTTTAATTGTATAGTGCATATGGGGTGTTGGTCATGTTTATTAACTTCAGGGAGTCTGCTCTGTGGAGGACTAGCACTGAATACCACCCATACATACATACTGAGCCTAGATGGTCTACTGGTCTGACTCAGAATAAGGCAGCTTCCTAAGTTCTACAGAGTACCAAAAATAAATAAACAGCAACGAGAGAAGGCAGAGATCACGGCGTACAGTAGATTTGCTTGCCAAAGAGCAGCTGCTAAGAAAGCCACAAAAGGGGAAAGCAGACCAGGGATTCAGTACCAAATTACTACAAAAAGGAATGTTGGGGAGAGAAGCAAATGCCCTCCCAAATTAAAGGAGGGGTGTCAGGAGCACAAAAGGAGCATTAACGGAAGAGTCTCAGAAAGCACAGAGGGCAAAATGAAGAAAACAGACAAGGAGGCATAGAGAAGGGGGAAAATAAATGGAGCCAATTCAAGCAGCAAAGTCAAATAACAGGAAGCCAAGAAAAAAGGGGAGATCCCCAAACAGAACACCTGCCTGGCCTGTAGCAGATCCAGTTTGAGCCTTAACACCACTAACATTTTATCATGAATGTAGCATTTAGTTGGGCTTTTAAATTTGGGTGTGGGAGAAAGATTCTGAATGGCATCCATTTATTTACTGCTGCAATTCATTGCAATATTTGGGACTTCTGGATTGATGTCCAGGGGGGGGGGGGAATTATTTCTGAAAGGTGGCACTTTGTCCTGGATCTTAGGCAAGTCAATAAAAAAATCACAGGTTTTTTGGCATTTTTATAAAAAAAGAAAAGAAAAGAAAGCTCAACAGCTTTAGGGATTGTCTTAAAAAAGCATCAAACACTAAAAGCTTCCTGATACAGGGCCGCCTTCAAATGTCTTCTAAAAGTTGTGTCGTTCTTAATCTCCTTGACATCTGAAGGGAGGGTGTTCCACAGGGAGGGAGCCACTACCGAAAAGGCCCTCTGCCTGGTTCCCTGTAACTTCACTTCTCGTAGTGAGGGAACCACCAGAAGACCCTCAGAGGAAGACTGCAGTGTCCAGGCTGGATGATGGGGATGGAGACGCTCCTTCAGGTATTCTGATATTATCTATAATTTCTCTGGTAGCCTTCTTCTCAAATTAAGAATGCCCCAACCACCCAAAGAGTGGGCACGATCCAGCCAAAGTAATGCACTTCTACATCCCATTTAGTCCAATGGGATAGACTTTAATGTGCACTTACCTGTCCCACCAGAATCTATTGTGGCTTATAATCATTCTTTATTATGCCTGCGGTGGGCACAGAAAAAAAAGCAGTGTGGGGATCGGGCCAGATAAAGATCTGATCTGTCAGGCTAAAAAGGTTCCCCACCCCGACCTAGTACGTAAGGAAGTCATTATCTGTGTTGCCATTTTGCCCATCATAATCAGAATCACAGAGCAGGAAGGGACTCTGAGGGTCATCTAATCCACCCCCCTGCAATGCAGGAATCTTTTTGCCCAATGTGGGGTTCAAACCCACAACCCTGAGCTTAAGAGTCTCCTGCTCTACCAACTGAGCTATCCCAGGGAAAATTGTATGAAGTACTCAGATAGCCATTTGAAGCTCTGATCCCTGATGAGCCTCTGCTGACCTGGCTAGTGTCAAAAAGTCACTTTGCTTGCCATGCGTCTTTCATGGTCCAACACTGAGATGACAGCACCATAAGTTCTGTGAGGTCAATGAGACTTCCTAATTAGCACACCTAGGATTAGGGATGGGGGAAGAATGTCATTTCCGTTTGCAAACAAACTGGACTCATCTTCACCTCCAAGACTAATAGACAGCTTGGAACAGTATTACCCTTTCAATTTTGCAGTTCTCTGAATTTTGCATTATAGGAATGCACGTAAATACATTTTAAAATATGCCTTTCGGGGGGGGGGGGGGAATACATTTAGAAATATAGGTTAAAATAAATATTCAACTATGTATTTTTAAGTAAGTATTTAAATCTGTATTTAAATCTTAACTTTTGCCCAGATTTTTATTTTAATTACGGATTAATGAGATAACAGAACACATGAAATATTGACACGGAGTGAAACAGACACACTCTGCCATCCCTACACTCCTTAGGCTCTCTCACTTCACACATAGTTCACTGGGCCTGTAAAACTAGTGTCTGCAGACAGCAAATGAGTATGTCATACCAGTGCTTTGGCCAGGGAGCTGAGTGTGGTCATGGCAGCCTACCATGCATACAGATGGAGGAGAAATCAAGCATTTGCCATGTAACGTATGACGAGACTCTGAAAAGGTTCAGAAAGAAAAGGAGAATGCACACCAGCTGATTTGCCTTCTGCACTCTGGAATCTACATTAATAGTCTTCACAAGATAATTCAACTAACGTACAACCAGCTACCCAGATTCCTTCCCTGCCTCCTTTTTGTCCCCACTTCATTTCTTAATCATACTGCATCCTATTCGATATGGTTTCTAAATGTAAACCCAGTTATGGAAGTATTTGTCACGGGGAAATATTTAATTGACGGGCTTTGAAGAGGCAAACCGCCTGTACATTTTATCTTAGGGTATTCTCTATTTTGCCTATTTTAATATAACAGGACTAGTATTGTGATCTCTGCATCCTCATCACTTGGACAATACAACTGCACACAGTTTACAATTTACTATTTCTTTCTTTTTTAAAAAAAATCCATTCATGAAGCTATAAAAAGAAAGAAAATAAAAAGAGTGTATAAAGCAGATCCTGACTTCAGATTTGCAATAATCATTCACACCCTTGATCTACAGCAGGCTAGCTAGGAATATGCTTTAGTGCTCTCCAGCATTGCCAGAGCATTGCAAGCCAACCCTGTAAGCCTGTATCCATGGAAACGTCCTACTGAAATAAGAGGCATGATAGCAAATCAATCGTTTTATTTTGAGAAAGGACTATAACAATGTCTCCGAATGTCTTATACAGCCCATGTCCAAAAAGCCTACATGTATTTAATTAAAGCAGGGGGCAGGGGAGATTGCTCTGTAAGACCAGTTGAGGCTAAATATTATTTGCTGTGACAATCAGCGAACAAGTCAGATGCTGACAGTACAGTGAAACAAAGCCAAAGCTGGAAGGAGCAATGCTTAATGAAGTATAAAATTGTTTAATTTAGCATCTATTTTTTCCTTTCTGGGCACATGCTAGATGACGCTCAAAGCATGCCTGTGGAGTCTGGGGCACATCACCAATCGGATACTGGTTATCTAGTTAGGAAGCAGTATCTGGTCTTTCTGGTAACAAATTAGTATCCAGTACAGTGGTACCTCGGGTTAAGAACTTAATTCGTTCTGGAGGTCCATTCTTAACCTGAAACTGTTCTTAACCTGAGGTATACCACTTTAGCTAATGGGGCCTCCCGCTGCCACCCTGCAGCTGTGGCAAGATTTCTGTTCTCATCCTGAAGCAAAGTTCTTAACCCGAGTTATTATTGCTGGGTTAGCAGAGTCTGTAAACTGAAGCATCTGTAACCCAAGGTTACATGGGTATCATGTATCATGACTCTTGCCCATGCCTCCATCAGATGCCATTTCAGTTTTTGACTGACCCCTGCTCCTGTCTCTTCAGCAGCAGCTTGATGTCCAGGAATGCAAAGCAGCTGTGATTCCTGCATTGCAGGGGGTTGGACTAGATGATCCTTTAGGCGCCTTCCAATGCTACAGTTCTAGGATTCTGTTATTCTTATTTCTGCTGACCGAGCTGCTTTTAAAATCGCAAGAGCATGACAGGCCAGTTCCCCCCCCCCCCCCGATTACTTGATAACCCTACTCGGAACATGCTGCTTAGCTGCAAGTCTTAAGATTTGGTGATGCTTTTAAAAGCTGAAATATGCATAATTTCTCTTAGTAGTAACACACAGGGGGAAAAAGTGGATCTGTGAAGAGATGCTATTTTTTTTTTAATGCCAGTTATCTAGCCACCAATATGAATACCCCTTATTAGGACAAAGGTTTATGCATATAATCTCATGAAGACGCCTGAGTACTTTTGCTGTGAATAAAGTTGATTTTAGATTATGGATTCTGTAAATGCCTTTTCTGAGAGCTTCATTAAAAATCAGTGATATCATCTTTGCCTTGAGGTATTTCCGGTGCTGTTGGCTCATGTAAGTTCCGAGATATGGTCTACCTTCCTCCCACTTCCAATATGAAAGAAATCTCAAGCTTTTCTAAAAAGAGAACAGAAGTGCCAGACACTCCTCACAACAATCTTATAGATCTGCTCTTGAGAAATATTGTCAGCTACAGCCCATCAGCCTGTGGTACACAGGTAACTGCTGCCACCATCTAAATAGGACCTTCTTCTCCCACCGGAAGAAACATAAATAATAATTTATGATTGCATAGGTCTGATGAGATCATAAGGACAATGATCTCATCTGTTGTTTCCAAAAGGTTTCATGAAATGATGCATTTCAGCCAAATGACCATGCAATCATACACATTAATAGCTCCTCCTAACTGCTGAGTCAACTCAAATAAGCCATCTCACATGCTACTTTTCCCTAGCAAAAATGATCTTTTCTAACATATAAATGGCATCTGGGGCAGCTACACAGAACTAGGAATCACCGCATATACAGATTCCTTGATCTGTGTACTTGGAGTACCAAAAATACACCGATATTAATATTTATAAAAAACAACAACAAGCATATAGTTTAATCTTCATAGTGAAAAATGTAACATAGGAAGCAATCCCAAAGGCATGTTAAAATGTGGGTTGATTCTATGTGTGGTGGGCCAATAATAGAATCATAATTTGGAAGGGACCCAAGGATCATCTAGTCCAACCCCCTGCAATGCAGGAATCTCATCTAAAGTGTCCACATCAGATGGTCATTCAACCTCTGCTTAAAAACCTCCAAGGAAGTGGAGTTATGTTACAGCAAAGCAGCCTGTATGTCCAGGTTCCGAGTTTCTCTCTCAGATGTGTTTGCAGAGAAGTAATAAAATAAGAACATCAAGACTTTTGTATGTAGTCAAGCAATAAATCAGGTGCATGCCAAAATCCAGCCCACACACCAAGACCTCCAATTTTGATACATATCTAAAATTATGCAAATGAACCTTAGCAGTACACCATTAAATTAATATCTAGAGTAACCTGTTCATTCTTTTTCCAGAGAGCAAAAGTCATGCCTTCCTTGGGAAGTTAACTATAGCATACAAACTGTAATGACACGTCTCTGGTCTGGCAGGTGTCTACACTGACAACTCATGGCATGCTACAGCTGCTAGTGAAACAACGTATTTGAAAATGCCTCAAGTCAGTTTGCGGTACAGTCTCATAAAGCACTAGTATAGGGTCCATTATCGCTTCTGACAGCTGTGTCTGCTTTGCTTCTGCTTTCTGCAACTACCAGAAAGTAACTCATGCCTAGAAAAGATTTGTTTCCTGCTAGGTCCACATAATTCAGCACTTGGTTTGCCTCAGCTTTAGTCCCTCTGGGTTTTCTCATGGTCGTCTGCAACGTTATATCTAATCCTTTAATCCACCACCATACCTGTTTACCACATTATTACTGTCTTGAGGGGCTATAGCAACAAAACCAGGACAAAAATAAAAGAGAACAGCCACTATTTTTATTGAATCTTCAGGACGATTGGTGCTCATTACGCTATTGGGGCGGTCACCAACAATCCCACTGTTTGCATCTGCAAAACCTTTGGGGTGGTCACACTGCTTCATTTCCAATCAGTGTGTTTCCTGTAACCTTCTGCTGAAATCCTGTAATTTTATATAGCACAGATGTTCTGGTTTATTTTTGTCCCACTTTCATTGGGCTATATAGCAATAATGTGGTAGCATTTGGGAAGCATCACAGAACAAACCAGAACGGGGGGTGGGGGGTGGAATCACCATTAAAGCACTACTGTTGGGTCAGGGGCATGTTGCAGAGTACACCTGCAATAAAACACTGGTCTGGAGGGTATATGGAGTAATGGGCTTTCAGGAGAAAGTTACAGGATATGCCCTGGTTGGGAATGAAGCAGTGTGACCACCTTAAAGGGAAAGGTAAAGGGACCCCTGACCATTAGGTCCAGTCGTGACCGACTCTGGGGTTGCGGCACTCACCTCGCATTATTGGCCGAGGGAGCCGGCGTACAGCTTCCGGGTCATGTGGCCAGCATGACTAAGCTGCTTCTGGTGAACCAGAGCAGCACACGGAAACGCCGCTTACCTTCCCGCCGCAGCGGTACCTATTTATCTACTTGCACTTTGACGTGCTTTCGAACTGCTAGGTTGGCAGGAGCAGGGACCGAGCAACGGGAGCTCACCCCGTCGCGGGGATTCGAACCACCGACCTTCTGATCAGCAAGTCCTAGGCTCTGTGGTTTAACCCACAGCGCCACCCGCGTGACCACCTTACGCAGGCATAAATAGTATCGAAAGTGGGATTACATATGACTGCCCCAATAGCATCATGAGCATACATTATCATGGATATGCAAATAAAGGGATATCTGGACAGCCCTAACTCACCTCTGCTGGGTACACTTCTATTTTTAACACTGTATCTGACTTCCTGAGGACAAGCGCCCATGGCCTTTTCAGCCATGGATTCTACCAAACCATGCAGATGTCCTAGCTGCAGAGCTATATTATTATTATTATTATTAATAATAATACCGCTCTATACCCGGAGGTCTCAAGGTGGCTCGCAGAAGAAAACCAGAAGAGAAAATCACAAAACATATTATCAAGATAAAAACAACAACCCCATAACCCCCCCCCAAAAAATTTTTTTTTAAAGGGCATAGGATACATCCTATATACATCCTAAATAGTTATCCGTAACGTCTTTCTGCTTTTACTCCTATTCCAAATCCGACACATGTTTTCATGTTTTGAATGCAGATATCCCATTTGTTTACTGTGTCAGTGTGTAAAATAAGAATAAATTTATGTTGTTCCATAAGTAGCAATATAAAAAATGAACAATTTATTTATGCCATGAGGTTTCTTGAACCTAACATCATATAGGACAGCAGGTGTGGAAAAGGTGGGTGTGGTTTTCTCAAAGTCACCTGGGGGGCCAGCCACCCCCCCGGTTGTCTGCAGCAAACACAAGTCTCTCCCAGCCAGGTGACGAAGTAAGAAAAGGTTACAAAAGAGTGGCGTCTTTTTATGCAGCCAACAAATACCTTATGTCTGAGCATGCAGACTAGCAAAAATGTTTGTTGGATACCAGTTTTTCTGGGTTTACTTCACAAACTATATTTCCACATCTCTCAGTAATCAAAGGTAAATTAATCTAATCCTTGCTAGAAAGTTGCTAAAACTGGGGGTAGGATATGGGGGGACATGTTGGAGGGTAAAAATTATATGGACATTGTAAATAATAACCCTTCAGAGGCTTTGTCTATGGCAAAATGAGTGGGCAGGAAGTAAGTGCCTTCCTAATGGGTCTCAATGTACTTAGGGTCTTCCTTCAAGGACTCACCTTATGACAGCAAGTCATCACGGGTCTTCTCCATAACTGCTCTCTCTTTGGTAGCATCCTCTAAAAGTGGAAGAGTGGACACCTTTGGCAGTACTTTACACTGGAACGTTGAATAACCACGTAACGGTGTGCGGCTTGGTGGAACTTCTTGGTCTTGTGAATGTTTCTCCAGCAAACCGCTCCTCCTGCAGAAAGGCTGTGAAAAGCCACTAGTTGTGTCTGAGCAGATGGAACCAAAGAGTGGCAAAAATGTAGGCCTGCAAATGTGTGCCATGGTGGTAGAATTTTGAGCACTGAGTTCAAATCTGAAATCTTTGATATAGGACAGGGCTTGATTATTCAGCTGGGCATATTCAAAGGGTAGTTTGTTTTTTGCAACTGGACCCATACAGTTTAGGATACTTGTGTTTTTCTGATCTTCAAAACAAATGAGACCTTCCTTTTGATCCGTGAGAGATGTAACACTAGCACCAATATTTGACTCAATGTTACAGTGGCTTGAAGGGTGCCTGGAAGAACCTTTTGGGCTTGGGGTTATACAGCTACATTCATTTTGTATTTGGTTTGTGAATTGAATTATAGCGTCTGTATCACTGCTCACTTCATTTCCAACGCAATCATCTTCCAAGTGATTATTTGCAGAATCATGATTGATCTTTAGGGAAGCAACCTGCGTGACACAGTGTTCCAAAAACCTCATTACATTCGTGTCACTCTCCTTGGATGTCTGGCTGATCTGGCTTTGGGGATGACTGAGATTCAATGGCTCAGTTGGCTTGTCACATTCAGCAGACCAGGTTTGATCCTTCATCTCATTTTCCTCTCCAGTCTCTAGAGAATCTGGAGAAGTTGCAGCAGTCATATAAGAAGAACATGATTCTGCATCATGGTTATCCATTACCAGTGGGTTATCATCAGTTGGGCAAATTGTCTCCAGATTCAAAACTTCTATTGAAAGAGTTTCATTGCTAGGTTCTGTGCATTCTTCTATGAGAGATATCTTCTCCATTAAAGAAGAGCTCATTAGGAGATCATCCCAACTCTCTGATCTCTGTGTGTCGCACGATATGCTGTTGTCTGTTGTGAGCCCAGATATTGCACTCCAATTTCTTTCCCTATCTTGAGAACTTTCTTGAGTTGAGCTCCACGAAGGAACATCACTTTGGCTTTGTTCAGTTCTGTCCACTGAATATACCTCAGTTCCATTTTTGCAGTCAGCTGGAGATGTCTCTGCGTTGTTTTTATTTTCCTCAAAAGCTGATTTACACATGTTTGGGCATGTGCTGAGACTGGTGGGCACTGGCTCACCATCTCTCTCCATCTGTGGGGGAGGGTTCTTGGGAAAGTCTTGGGGGGAAATCAAGCCTGGGTTTTTCCTCAACCAGTTGATGATCCCCATGGTCAGAGAGAGCTCCGTATCACAGAGCTTAAGCAAGCATTCCTTCCCTTTCCACGTGCTGTGAAGGAATCCTTGGCTGATTATGTCAATGGCTGGTTGAGAAGCCATATTTTCTTCTGACCCTACGTGAAAGCTGTAAATTGATAAAGGGATTTCAATGGCCTTTTCTGAAGTGCTTTCAGACATACATAGGTCATCATCTAGAACTGGGCTGATCTGAGCCTCATTGGGATCATAAAATAGTTCATAAAGAGCATCGCCACTATAACTGTCTCTTGGAAACCTACCTGGTACCCCAGGGGACTGATCCTCCCTTATTTCATCATCTTGCCCAGGAGAAAATGAATCATAGTATCCTTCATCACTGGTTGACATAGATTCCTGGTTGTCACTCTTTGGGGTCCCTGTATCTATGGAACTCTCTTTGGAAGAGTCAGGGGAAGAAAGCAGATCAGTCACTGAGGCACTGGTCTCATTTCTAGACTTTCCCAGTTCACTACTGGGTATTTTCAGAAGCCTCCTATCAAACAGGGTCTTCTGATGCAGCTGCACTGATTTGTTGATGTTGTCCCAAAGTTTTGCAAAATCTCCTGCTTCATTCTGGGCTGGGGATGCAAGCTGTTCCACTCCACCTTGAAAGGTTCCCATAGCAGGACTATCTTTCTGTTGCAATTGCCTGAGCGAGATTTCTTTGCTAACCTCGAGTTCCATATTAGCTGAACTCTCGTCTGCGAAGATCTCTCCGCACCCAGTGAGAGAATCAAAGCTCTTCAAGGAAGCAACATCTTCGCACAGAGCACTGGAGTACTCATAGGAGGACTCTGACAGCAGCTCGCCATCAGAAAATTCTTGTGCCAAACAGTCAGCAGAAAACGTTTCTCCCGCTTTGAAGAAATACTTGCCGAACCTGCCTGCCAACTCTGACTTGCAGCCTGGAAATGGCAGCCTTTTTTGTTTCTCTGACAGCAAGGAAAGACTCTCTGGCTTGTTTTTTTTCATGTGAAATATATCCCGGAGGCCTTTTTTGGATCGCTTCAGGGAAATCCTCTTCCTTGGGATACTTTTTGCAACCGCTGGCACAAAGGGCACCTGTGGCACAAAGTTTCGGTAATCAATCATCTGCTGCGGGCTGTTCAAGAAGTGGCTCGAGTTGCCCACCGATTCTTTCTTGCTGCTAGAATTCTGTGTGTTCCCAATTCCAGAAAAGCTGGCACTATTGATCATCCGCCCTTTACTTCTCCCAGAAGCTGCAACACCTTCCTCCGAGATCTTGTTATTGTAGCTGCAGTGTTCAGTTTTGTCCACACCTCCCAGAACACAGTCGTGGGTTTTACTTTTCCGTACAGGTTTGTAGAAGGATTCTGGGAGCAACAGGATGCTCTCACTAGATCCAGTCTTGATTGAGCTGTTGGAAATGCTGTCGCTTCTATCGGCAGAAAAACTTGCTTTTTGGATTTCAACTGCAGGGTGGCTCCTTTCTCTTATGTCTGTTCCTACATTGCCCTTTTCCCCAGGACTCAAGCTCACTAAAGGTAATTTCTCATGGGTCAGCTGCATGCTGGATTTTATAAAGGTTTTTCCTCTTTTGAACTCCATGTTGTCTCATCACATCTGGATCTACAATCAAAACAAAGAGTAAACTTAAGGAGTACCTCCAGGATTCACTTGGTTGCAAGCAACCACCAAAAAAATAAAAAAATGCTTCTGGGAGACTTTGTCTAAAATCAGGGTTTTAAAAGTTAATAATAATAATAACAACAAAACAACAACAACAACAACAATAATAATTTTATTATTTATACCCACCCAAGTCAAGAAGCAAAGGCTTAAAATGTCCTAAGCAAAACTAACACATCTAGATTTATTCAAGTTCTTGCTCCCATGTTCCCTCTAAAATGACAATAAGTGGTGAGACACTTAGTAGTGTCTGTTCAAATAATGTTTCCTGATCCAATCAGGATGTTCAAAGTGGGTTGTGGCAAGGTCAGGAAGTAGCTACTCTTGCCTTCTTAGGAACGTGCTGTACACTTTGAATATCCTGGTTCTAGATTTAGTACTGTGCTGCTGAACTGGTTTAGTCCTTGGTGCAGGACATTTCCACCTGCTGTGTTGTGCTTGAAGAATGGTTGTTTGGTCAATAGCCACTTGGATGTATTTTGTTTTACAAAATTTAGATTAACTTGATGACCTGGCCCTTAATCTCCCTGTTCCATCATGACTCTTTCAAGATTAGACTGTTACTATGATCTGAAAATAGCAGATTGCTCCACTGAAGTCAATAAAGCATCATCGTTTTTAGAAAATTTGTTTACACTAATTTTTTTATACTAAATCTATAATTTTCCAGCTACAAATAACAATCATAGCTTGCTTTCCATTGCCCACACATTCTGCTTTCATCTTTCATCAAGCCACAGCTTTATTTCTAACTGTTATATAAATAATTGCAGCCACAGTATATGGATATTCACCATTTGCAAACTGAGCCATATGACCATTTTTGACATAGTGAAGTTACTCCAGATTTTCACTGACCTTTTGAATATTCCAGCATCTGGTGAGATTGTATGCTGTATATCATATGACGGAAAACATTGGGATCTTTCTAAGTTATGCTCAAAGTAGACCCATTGAAATCAATGGACATGTTAGTCCTAACTCAATGGATTTACTCTGAGTATGACCCCATTGTGGGGAAATTAGCTAGGCTGTGTAAGTTTCTATCCTGGAGTTTGTCAGACCACTATTCATCATACCAAAATAATGAGGAAATTTGTAACCATGCCAAAAATAATTGTATGAATCAATCCAAGTCTCCTTAAAGTAAAGGGCAATATATTAGCTAAAATACAGCACTTTGACTTAACCGGAGTGCAGATGAACCTACTTTATTGTCAGGATACAGAGAAGCACAATACGTTGTCATTTTTATTTTTTTTAAAAAAGATTTAACTTATCAAAGAATCAAACAAATAAGTCAAAGCAATGTTTGCTTGTTTTATGCTTTACAATGTATCCTAGATTCATTGAATTAAAGCTGCAGTCTTTAAGCCCCATTTAACTTAATTTGGACTTACTTTTAAGTAGACAGGTATAGTGTTGCATTAAAAATGGCCCATCTGAGAGCTGCCATTGGATTTTTATATGTATTGGTATTCAGGAGCTGGACTTATATCTAGAATCTCAGATTACTTTTCTGCTTTTTGATGCTTGGTTATAAGGATTAGGGGGGGAACAGCTTTAATCATCATTGAAAAAAGGACTGTAGTTTTCATTCCTTTTTTCTAAAGCTTCTTTTCAAATTGTGCATTTGTCACTGTCACAATTTAATTAAAAGATTTAATCATTGTCTCTCACATAGTGTGCTTTAATGGCAATTTATTAAAGACATTATTCATTGAGATTGTTGCCTATTCTATTTGTTGTTATGTTTTTTTTTAAAAAAAACAGCTAAGATGAAAATGGCTTGAGAGTATTTACATATTTTTATTCTCTATTTTATTCTCACATTCTAAATGCAATGCATATAGATATCACAATTTTTGTATTTTACAGTTTAATAACTGTATTTATTGATATTAAGGCTTATAGCCAATTTGACAAATTACTCTTCTATTTATTTAGAGTGTGATGCAGAGAGATACATTTAAATAACTATTGATCATCTCACTGCTCAAACTGATTGCTCTAATAATAGCCTCTCCATTTCCCTTTGAAAGAAAAATTGAAAAAAGGTGACACAATGGATTTTTGTCAGACAATAATGTTATTTATGTGTTATTATCATCATTCTAAATAGAATAATGCAACATAGGCTCCCATCCTTAAAGCATCCTACATGCTTGCAGCACTGTTTTCTTTTTGTTTCATCAGCCCTCTTTATCATCTGCCTCTCTAGGGTAAAATAGCTTTCTAATTTGAATATCATTTTAGGTCCGTCTCTGATTTCCTCATGAATTGGCCAAAACATGTAAATCTCCATTGGGGGTTTTTTCAGGCTTAATATGCTCAGGAAATAAAAATTGCAAATCCTCTGAACATTTAAACTGTTTATATTTTTACAGTATTAAACCTATCTGTGTAGACCTTGGTTTTTTTCAGTAAAGTATGAATGAGAAATCTGTATCTTAAATTAAGCAAAGCCAACTGTTCATTTAAATGAAGTATGCTATGTAGCTGGAAAAGGCCTTAGTTATCACACATCTTCAGTTTTGTGAGAATGAATTTCCCAGCGGTATTGGGGGTATTACTATTTCCCCTTCTTTATTGTGCAGGGTACATACAGTAATATTTCCAGACAATCAGCACAATGGATAGCTCCCTGTGTCAATCCTCTGATCGAAGAAGAATTGCAATAATTGCTCTTTCACAGCTAATGCAGAAATGGATGGCTGGGGAAGAATAACAGCGCACAGGAATGCGGGCAAGAAATTAATTTGCTTCGCAAGATTTCCTTCATGCCAACAGTGTGCTACAATAGTTTATGCAGGTCTTCCTCGCCCCTCCTTGAAGCTGAGAGATCTCCCCCCCTTCTTCTTCACACCTTATGGAATAACTGCATGGCAGCCAGCACAGTAAGCTAACCAATCACTAGCCTACCTCCAGAGGGGAGAGAGAGGAGAGAGCTCAACAACAACAACAAAAATCTTTGCAGTATACCTGAGAGGAAATCAGCATTTCATTTCTGGCTGTATTTGGCAGCCCGCTGTATTAGCCCGCAAAGCTTCCACCCTGCCAGATCTCATCACCTTTGCTGTTCAGTGCCTACACAAAGAATGAATAAGCACATTAAGGTCCGGCATCAGAAAGAAGAGCAACGAAGAAGCAACTAGCCCAAAATAATCACACACACACACTGCCACTGGGACAAAGAAAACAAACACACCACACCCTTGCACCAAAAAACCTAATAAAAAGACAAGGCAACAAAAGATCCTACTCACCATGTTTTACCATCCCAAAAGCAGAAATCTTTGCAATTATATTCTTGTTGCTGAGGCTGCTAAGTGTTTTATGCAAAAGCTCCTGTAATGCATGTGAGACTCTAAGGGGCTGGTTGCTTCTCTTTGCTTCTTTGCTCCTCCTCCTCCTCTCTCTCTCTCTCTCTCTCTCTCCCTCCCTCCCTCTCCTCCTCTTCCCCAGCTTTGAAATATTCCCAGGTATTTGATATCACACCCTGCATGGACTTCAGGTTTTCACATGTAGCCAATTTTAGAACAGAGAGGATTCTTTCAGCCATCTGTAAACACCAACTGTTAGCACCCACACCAAAGCATTTGTGCTTCTTGTTATTCTCTGCAAATAAAAGGTTTTGAAATGCCCATATTCCCCCAGTGTTTATAATGCTGGTTTTCAAAGATGATTAGTGTGTGGATTGATATCTAACAGTTTGTAAGCAGATGTCATTATCCATTGTGTAGTAAGGTCGCTGTACTGTGTCCATTTTTGAAGATGTTTAAATGGAGCATAGTGGGGAAGAAGATAGCTCTCTGTGTCTTCTGCTTATTTGGAAGGCATTTTGCATCAGAAGGGAGATGGGAGGTGAGAAAGGCAGCAGCAAAAGGCTTCCCACATAAAAAAAAGACCCAGGGCACTTCTAATCTGTTGCTTTTTTGTGGGTGGGGCTCAGTCACATACTGGCAAATTCGTGTTGTACAACTGAAGTGGATTTGGTGCTCTTTTGGAAGGCGCTTCCAAAAACAACCTGACTTTCTGCAGTAAGGAAAGTGGTGTGAAAATAACAACTGCTTGATATCAATTAGGCTGCACTATACACATATAACCTCCCAACAAATAAATCAGAATTAATGCTCGAAGAACAGTGGACATCTTATAACCTCCCATAAACTTTGTGCAGATAAATCAGCGCGAATGTTCAATGAACAGGCCTTCTGGAAGTAATTTTAGCCATTTCTTCTTCCGGGCCATTGCTGTCTGTAAACATTTTCTGTTTTATTTAAATGCTCGAAAAGAACATGAGAAGAGCCCATGTGGTCCAGGATACAGCTCTCACAGTGGTCAGCCAGATGCCTGTGGGAAGCCTGAAAGCAGTACCTGAGCAGAGCAGCACTCTTCACATTTGTGATTTCCAGTAACGGGTATTCAGAGGCTAGTAGCCATTGATAGCCTTATCCTCTTATTGACATGTCTTACCCTCTTTGAAAGCCATCCAAGTTCATCAATACCTCTTGTGGAAACAAATGCCATAACACTAGTAGTAGCAGTAGCAGTAGCAGTAGCAGTAGCAGTAGCAGTAGCAGTAGCAGTATTTTATTTATTACCTGCCATTCACCCTAAGGTCACAAGGCACATTACAAGTTTAAAATGCAACATTAAAAACAGCTAAAAGCTAATTATGATCACAAGAATGATGTGGGTGGAGGGGTGTGTGTTTTGTGTTGTGTCAAAGTCCAGGGTAAAGAGGTACATCTCCAGCATATGTGAAAACAGTACAGTGGTACCTCAGTTTACAGACGCTTCAGGTTACAGACACTTCAGGTTACACAGTCCGCTAACCCAGAAATAGTACCTCAGGTTAAGAACTTTGTTTCAGGATGAGAACAGAAATTGTGTGGCGGCGGCGCGACAGCAGCAGGAGGCCCCATTAGCTAAAGTGGTACCTCAGGTTAAGAACAGTTTCAGGTTAAGGACGGACCTCCAGAACAAATTATGTTCTTAACCCGAGGTACCACTGTATAATGAAGGTACCAGACACACCTCTGAGAAGGAGGGAATTCTACAACATAGGAGCTGCCACAGAGAATGTTTTCTCCTGGACCACCTGAACTTCTGAAGCTGTGTGAAGAAATACTTTATTTTCTGTATCCTGAATCTTCCAACATTCAGCTTCATTGAATGCCCACCCCAGAGCTCTAGTATTATGACTGGAAACCAAAAGAGCGCCATCTAACCCTGTCCCTGGGCCACACCCCTCACAGTCATTCCTTTAATAATAATAATTTATTATTATTCATTATTAGTCATTCCTTTGCATCCTCCTTCAATTTTTGCCTACCTGGAATGTGTTTTTGAACCAATGCTTCTTGCTTGCCTGGATGGAGGTAAAGGTAAAAAAAAGGTAAAGGACCAGGGGGGTATAAATGTGTGTAGAAATTAACCTACTGCACATATTAAGTGTTCTGCCCACTTTTGCCTCTGGCCTCGCACACCACTAGCATGTGGCCCTCAAAAGCTTGTCTAGAAGGGAATATGGCCCTTGCACTAAAAAAAAAAAATACTCCTTATATTAACGTTTGTAGGCTAGAAACATCCATTGCAGGGGTTGGATGGCAACAGGCTGAAGAGAATATGGCTCTACAATATGAGCCCGCCTCCATGCTCCATTTCACATTTCGCTGATAACTGTCTGACAGTGTAGATCAGAGCAACACACACAGGGCCAACATTCAGGGCTGTCCCACCCAGGAGGCAAGGTGAGGTGACTGCCTCAGGCAACAGGATCCACAGGGGCAGCAGATCCTGATGTAGATCCTTTATTTCCCCCTTTGTTCCTGATGTCAATCTTCACTCCCCCCCCTTTCTTCCCTGGCATGGGGGGGGGGATGCCATTTTGCCTAAGGTTCCAAATGTCTTGGACCAGCCCTGTTAGCACTGAGCAGCCACATAGCAAGAAAGTGGGCAGAAGGCCTGGCAGCCATTTTGTAGACAGAAGGCAATCAGGGAGCCAGCAATACAAGCCAGTAGCATGGAAGCTGCTCTTTCAGTACATGTCTCTTTGTGTGGAGCAGAGAACTAAAACCATGCTTGTCAGAACGGAATCCAAAAGTGAATTACTTCACAACAGCCAATCTGAAGGCAAGCAGCACAATCTGTTGCGTTTGTTAGTGTCCCTGGTTTGCTTTATGCAAGCTCTGGACTTCATCTACTCTTGTGTCTAGAGAGGACATGGTGTGTCATGTTATGCCAGGTGTAGAGACAGTGCGGGGGGTTCCCCCCCCCCCATTTCACAATGCTAGAACATTCCAGCTGAACGTTGGGAGATTCAGGACAAACAAAAATAACTTCTTCAGCACATAGTTAAACTATGGAATTTGCTTCCACAAGACTGTCAACTTGGACAGCTATAAAAGGGTAATACAGTGGTACCTCGGGGTACAGACGCTTCAGGTTACAGACGCTTCAGGTTACAGACTCCGCTAACCCAGAAATACCTCGGGTTAAGAACCTTGCTTCAGGATGAGAACAGAAATCGCATGGCAGCAGTGGGAGGCCCCATTAGCTAAAGTGGTACCTCAGGTTAAGAACAGTTTCAGGTTAAGAACAGACCTCCAGATCAAATTAAGTTCTTAACCCAAGGTACCACTATAGACAAATGTATGGAGTATCAGGCTCTTAATGATTCCTAGTCATAATTGCTACATTTCCTCCAGTATCAGAGGCAGCATGCCTCTTAATACCAGTCACTGTGGATCAGGAGAGTGATATGACATACCCTGATTGTGAGCTTTCCGAGACATCTAGTTGACCACTCTATGAACAGAATGCTGAATGAGATAAGTCTTTCATCTGATCTAGAAGTGCTCGTGTTCATTCTAGATTTATTTAATCCTTTGTTTTTATTATTCTTTCCTCCTGATTTAGGGAACAGCTGTAAAGGATGTAGAATTGTATTGTATTGTTATATGTTAATAATCTTTCCATTAATCGTAAGAAAATAGTTTATTTTGCATTGCATCTACTCCTCATCCCAAAGCATATGATGAAAACAAAAAGCACTTTAGATTGGGCAAGGGGTGTCAAGCCACTTTTTATTCTCCATTTGCAGCTCAATATTTCATAGTAGGTGGCAATAATATATATGGGATTTTGGTGTATGTGTACTGTTTCAGATAGCTGAAAATATATGGCAGCAGTCTGCTAAGAACAACGTATTAAAAGGGATTATGATGCACTTGTATTTCAGGAGCTAAGGGCACCATTCCTATTGATTACATTGACTCAATACGTTTCTGATTGCATTTAAACACTCTAGTATATCCTCTGGTTCCATTTATGACTTGATTGCATTGGCAAATTTGGAATGTCCCCTTTTATCTCATCACATCTGTTTAATCAAGCTAATATTCCATCTGCTACTTTGCTATGCTAATGCTTGCAGTGTGGACAAACTTAAGTTCTTAGTGATGAACAGCCCATTTACTTCCCTCCCAGAGTGCCTGCTCTGCAGTTTGAATTTTGAGCCCTATGAATGTGTTTCCTTCTTCTGAACAATCAGTGTTAAATTTTCTTGAGGAAAAGATTCCACTTGTGCGGATTTCAAGATCTACTTTGCGGAGCTCCCTTACAAATCCCTATGCTTTGCCATCAGCTATCATTACAGAGCTGACGACAGATGGTGATCTGGTTGCTATAAAATGCATCTTTGCTTGTTGCAAAACCTCAGCGTTGAAGAACTTCTTTTGTATACATCAGCTACCACTCCTTATCTCTGGGGGAAATGAACTTCTCACTATGTGTGCCAGCCAGGATTTTGAATGCAACCTTCTCCCGCTATAGAGAAGTGGCCTCAAATGCCTCCTTCACTTTGGATAAAACTTCATTCCAAAACCTGCAAGAATTGATCATCTATCCTCCATACTCCAAGACAATGATGTTCCTGATCCCGCCGATATTGTGCCTTACAGCAGCCGTCCTGATCAACCCTTTCATTCTGTTTGTGATTCTTTCCCGTGTCAACATCCGTCAGGAGACAAGATACCTGCTGTTGGGAAATGCTTTGCTCTGTGATTTGTTATATCTGATACTCTATGCTATGTCTGCAGTTTTCAATGTAATGAAACTCCACCTTCCCAAGAACCCTTGTGTGCTCCTGTTGTTTCTGCTGGCCATGACTTACTGTGGAGGGTTGCTAACAGCTGCCGCCATGGTGCTGGATACATACGTGGCCATTTTGTGGCCTTTGCATTACATCTCCATTTTGCCATCTTCACGAGCAAAGAAGCTGATACTGTTCCTATGGATCTTGTCTGGGATTTTCCCTGGAATTGTCTTCTTAATACTCAAGTTTACCCAGAAACCCAGTGTATGCCCAGTGGAAAACTGCTCTGTCCCCATAATACTGGTAATGACTCTACATGGAGATGGGGCCGTGAAATCCTGCTATGTAGTCTCCGTTTCTGCCCTTTTTCTCTGTCTGTCCCTCATACTCTGCTGTTATATGATCCTGTATTTCAAAACAAAGCAGTCAGGCATATGGAAAAGCATGTTCTCTAGAGCCAGTGTGACGTTCCTGATGCATCACATCCTCTTGTTCTTTCATTTCTCTCCCCTCTTGGCTATTGTGGTGGACTCCTTGCTTTATGTCAATGCCGTCATTGGGACACAGACAGGGATATTGGTCTCTCTGATAATATGCAATGTGCTGATAATCTTGCCCAAAGCTCTGTTGCCTTATCTGTTTGGGCTTCGATACAGGGAGATCGCCTCATCCCTCAAGTTCTTCTTCAGACGGAAGCGCATGACTGCCGTGTCTCCAGTCTCAACCACTTGAGCAGAAACATACAAAAGACTTGCCGTGGTGTAGAGCTGTATTTGACCTCTTCTATCAAATTGGAAGGATTCCCCCCCCCCAAAAAAATCATTTGTTGTCTGCTGGCTGAGTTATTAGCCAGTTATTTTTCCAAGGTCATCATACTGTGAATGGAAAAGTAGTAGTATCATTCTGATATTTTGATATATAATGATAACAATGTTGTGTTGGATTAGATGTCATGGTGCAGCCGTAAATTAGAAGGAAGAATTTAACCAAAAAAGAATTTTCACCTGTAGAGAAATCTGGAAAACCAAAGAACATGGGGAACAACACATTAAGGGCAAGTGTAACCATTGTTACTTTTCTGATTTCAAAGTCATCAGATGTGCCTGGTTTTCAAATGAGGCCCCCTATGGATGGTTTTTTTTAATTGTGCATTTATGATGATTTATGCTTATGGTGGTTTGGGGGCAGTCATACAATATTCTACTTTCAATACCTGTTCATGCCTGCAAAAGTTTTGAGGTAGCCATATGGCTTGATTTCCTATCATTGCATATCCTCTAGTTTCTTGCTGAAATCCTTTAACTTTTCATACCACAAACAATCTGGGGTGGGTCCTATTTTATTTTATTTTAGCTACAGTGCAAGAATGTCCCTCCAGACAGCAATAGAGTAGTAGCAATGGGAAGGCAAGTAGAACAGAACAAGTAATGAAGTCCAGTTTTGTGTGGACAGTTCAGTAGAAATCCACCATTATAGCACTATTGCTGAGACGAGAACATGTCACAGAATACACCCATCAGCCTGGAAGTGCCCTAGATTCAGCATTCATATTCCTGTGATCAGATTGGTGATTGTCTACATTCCCAATTACATCTCTGAAACAACAAATATCTCCCTACCTTTTAATAGCATATTAACTTTGTATATACAGTTCAATCCTACGCACTGTCCCCTTGATTACTGTTGTATCTATTTGTCTTTTTGTGTTGCTGGACGTATGAAATGTAGCTATGAAGGCAGAGGAAACGTATGGAATTTCTGAGTTACTGAAAATGTATGGAAATTGTGAGTTACTATAGGGGATGTGTCAACAGAGAATCTGTTTACAATTTCCCATAGTTACATGTCTCTGTGTTGTTGTTTTTAGCACTCTCATCAAATATAAGCATAAAGATGTTAGAAATTGTGTGACTTAATTTTAGGGGGAAATTACTTTTACAGCATTATCTAGACCTGAATTGGGGGACGTTATTTCTTTCGGAGGCTGCCTTTCCCTTGGGAGTAATCTGTCAGGGCTGCACATCAGCAGTGGGGCTGAAGCCAGCCGTGGGTAGGTTCAAAGCCAGTCCTCCCTCCCTCTCCCCTGCTCTCTCTTCATAGCCCCTTTTTCTCCCTCTCTTTCTGACACCCTTTCCCCTCCCTCCCAGATCCTTGCATGAAATTAGGCTGAGGGAGAATGCAGCCCTGGGGCCACAGATTGCCCACCCCTGATTCAGACTAAGGACTCAGTTTGTCACTCTGAGATGCATTTACACTTTAGCCAGGGGGATGTAGAATGTAACTAAGCAAGAACAGAATTTCATCATTTGTTGCTGTGCTCTTATCTATAGACTGGAAATCAGGACCTATGTATGCTTAGGGAACTGATCAAACTAGTCTAGTTTCTGGGACTGGGCTGATGGCTCCAGACATACACCAAAGGTAAACAAAGTGGACTGTGAACAAGTTTCAGTAAATAATAACTCACAGCAAATGTTTTCATCTACCAGTGTCCCGATCCGCAGGCTCCAGGAGGGCCTATGTGAGTGGTTTCATGCAGGGATGCCAAAAAAGGAATGGCCAGATTTAGTGCTTTATTAAAGAAAGGCATAAACTTACAACATAGTCTGCAGAAGCCTGCTGCCTTTGCAGACTCGCAGATGGATGGACTTTTACAAATGCAAGCTATGTAAGCTGGCATCAATAGCCCAATTAACACACCCCTGGCATGGAGGCCTCTTCCCAGCTCATATCCATCTCTCAGAGAAGGGAGTAGGTGACAGGCAGCCAGTATGAGAAGCCTCCCCTCTCCCAACTAGGTGGTAATGGTGCAGGCATTATCCATGGCCACATCCACCAGAATTTTGGTTGAAATGGCCTTGGAGAGTAGTGGGCCCAGAACATCTGGGTTGGAGCACTGTTGAATGCTTTTTTCTTTTTTTCCTTGGGTGATGGCAATGGTGTCCCATGGCCCAGTGGGTGGGCAGTGGCAGTAGCAACATCACCAGTAGCAGCAGGTGGATGGCAGACTGCTTGCTGGGTGGAGTGGAGCTGGCTGTGGCATTTGTGGCAGGCAAGCAGGTCAATCTGCTGTAGATGAATGGAAATGCAACCCCCTTTTGATCTACTACTTGAGGCATTTGCTCAGTTGGCTAGAATAGTGCTGATAACACCAAGGTCATGGGTTCGATTCCCGTATGGGGCAGCTGCGTATTCCTGCATTGCAGGGGGTTGGACCAGATGATCCTCAGGGTCCGTTCAATTCCGTTCAGCTCTTCAATTCTATGACTCATTACAGGGCCACCCTTGCATGCTGTGCTATTGTTTATTACTCCAGTTTGCTGTTTGTCATACAGACGTATCAGTACCACTTATTCTTGATGTTATTTATGGTTTTCAGAGCTTTGATAGGAAGAGCTTAGCTCAAAGAGGAGCGTGATGGTCCATGCTTCCCCAAAGCTCTATACATGATTCAGAAGAAAAGAGGTTATCATTCTGCAGTCGTTGCAAAGGACATTCAGGCTCTGAAGCTTGAGAAGAAATCCATCGTTTAACACAAGGAGGGAACGAACTCTAGGCTAAAGGGTGGGGGAGCCACATCACTTTTCAGAATGCCCGTTTGACCCGTCCATCAATGGCTCGAGTCAATAACACAACTATGTTGGAAAGAAAGTAAACATTCAACAGTACATCCTTTAATCCTTTGTGAGGCTACTTTGTTCCCCCAGCAACATTTAAAAATGCAGAGAAACATATACAGGGGCCCTTTCTACTGAGGAGTGGGTAAATAATGTTCTGTTGACACAGAAAGTTGGGCTACCAGCCAAATTTTTCAAGCTTAGTATGGACATAAACCAGATCCAGGCAGGTGCTGCATTAAGAGAAATCTCTTTCCCTATCAACATTTATTTATCCTCATGCCAAGAAGATGTTTTTGAGGCATTAGGGAAATGTATTCAACGTGACTAAGATGTATGATTCTATCTAAATATATTAGGTAATTTCATACAATACATGGTTTAAAACACTTTTCCACTCCCCAGATCTATAATGTGCATATCAAATCTACATTGGCTAGAGAGCATAGTCAATATGCAATGGCTCTCCTCCCCACCCCATCCCCCACACCTTCTGCTTTGACAACATTCACAAAAAGTGTGACAGAGGTTCAGTGGGACATTTACTATCATAGCAAAATGCTCTGTTGATTTACAGACTGATCTTGCGTATGTTTGCTTAGGAAGCAAATATTGGGATTTAAGCGGGACTTAACTCCTAGTAATGGTTAGCATCGCAGCCATAGAAACAGAATTCCTCCAAGACGATCTAATCCAATCTTCCACAATAACCGGATTGCCTTCACGGGATGCTGCTTTGTGTTGAGCCAGACCATTACTCTACCTTGCTCAGCGCTGTTGTCTACACCAAGTGACTGTGCCTCTCCAAGTTTCAGACAGGGGTCTTCCCCAGCCCAGCCCCAGGGATTGGTCCTGGGGTCCTCAACATGTGCAGCATGTGCTCTACTGCACTATGGCCTAGATTTCAGTCTCAGGCAGATGTTCATCCTGTAGGCTCTTCAAAACCCTTGAGCAATAAGAAGTCCTTGGCTAATTCCATCTGCTACTTAAGCATTCCAGTAGTATGATGGTAAGAGCTGTTTGACAGTGGAATGGACTCTCTCAGAAGGTGGTGACCTCTCCAATGGAGGTTTTAAAACAGAGGTTGGATGGCCATCTGTCGGAGATTCCTGCATTGCAGGAGGTTGAACTAGATGGCACTAGTCCAACCCTACAATTCTATGAGTCCTTTATTCTGACCTAAGAGTGTTCTGTTGCATCTGGGACACAGTGCTTGTTATCCTAGCCTTGGCAATCTTAACAAACAGCTGTTCTTAGGGTAGATCTTTGGGTTATGGATGGTGGTCCTTCTGTTCCTTTACACAGAACTCAGTGGTAGCTCCAGGGCTGAATGTTTCTGTTTTGAGTGCTCCAAAGATCCTGTCTTACAACCTGCTCAGGTCCTGATTGTGTGCTATTGGATACCAGTGGCCACAGTCAAAGGTATGTCTTGATACTATCGCTTCATCACTGCAGAGCTGGTGCTTGTGAAAGGAGAAGGTGACAGTGGGCTTCCTTAAGAGCAGTTCTAAAAACTAGTTCACACAGGCAGGTCTGGTCATGTGATCACAGCACATGTGATTGAGAAGCGAAGGTGTGTTCATAGATGCAATCCATCTGATCCTTCTTTCTCAGTAAACTGAGGGGGAATCATACACACACAGCACCTGTGTTGCACATTACCATGCCACACACATGGCATGCTTATCTACTCCTGAATCCACATGTACTGAACTCCACATGTACATCTACCCTACTCCACATGTACTGAATCAGGTTCAAAGGATGTATGTGTGTGCATGTACAGTGGTACCTCAGGTTATATACGCTTCAGGTTACAGATGCTTCAGGTTACAGACTCTGCTAACCCAGAAATAGTGCTTCAGGTTAAGAACTTTGCTTCAGGATGAGAACAGAAATCGTGCTCCGGCGGTGCAGTAGCAGCAGGAGGCCCCATTAGCTAAAGTGGTGCTTCAGGTTAAGAACAGTTTCAGGTTAAGTATGGACCTCCAGAACGAATTAAGTTCTTAACCCGAGGTACCACTGTATGTACACAAACACACACACATTATACATAGCTAGTCTCTTTACACATGTCCTTTTTCTATATCTGCTTATCATGTAGTTCTTAGAAAATGTAACATCATTATATCACGATCATGACAATGCTGATTTAGAAAGAGCCAGAAAAAGCATTTCTTGGAAAAACTTGCAAGCTACTTGCCAAGAAAAGTGGAACATTCTTTTCCAGAATTTGTTGCCTTTCCTCTCTGTAAAGAAATGTCAAAACAAAGCAATGAGATCCACAAAACAAAACAGAAGTGTTACTGGGGTGTTTTCCCGCTGCCCATTGCGAATGCTGGAATTGTGTGAACTGGAGCATATGCTAGAGCTTGGTTAATTGTCAAATATTGGGAGTACTGAGGACCCTTCCAACTAGCTAGCTTGGGGGCTCTGGTTTAGGAGCCAGCACACATCATGGGTGAGCTGGGGAAGGGATTAATGAAGAATCTTTTGCAAATTAAGCAAGAGACCTTGGGTGAGTCACTGCCTCTCAGCTCAACCTACCTCACAGAGTAGTCATGAGGATTAAATGAGGATGTGGAGAACCATGTGCACCTTGAGCTCCTTAGAGGAAAAATGTAGAGTGTAAATGCAGTAAGCAAATAAATAAGAGATGGGGAGACCACACTTTAAAAAAATAAATGCCCCCAATTACTTGTGTATTTGATTAGGTGTAAGGTTATGAAACACAGTCTTGCACTGCTTGCTGTAGTGCCATAAGTGATTAACAGTAATTTCCTTAATTGTCAGTTCTCTCTGTCTCCTGCTCAAAGCACCTGACATGATGCTTAAAAGTTCTTCATGTTCATTAGAACAGAGTGGAGACTCTGAAGGAGGACGAGATCAGGGAGAAAATAATGACAAAAATATTAAGAGAGAAAGAAAAGGCTGCAGTAATCAAAGGGTGGTTTTACAGAAGAAATTAGTGGGTGTCAAAGAGAAAATAATTACCAGGGTGCATTCCAGGAGAAAATTACTGTGATCTGTGCTGTATTGACCACCCCCTCCCCTATTCCCACAATTTCATTTGTCAATCCCTCCATGTCTTCTTTGTCTCTGTCTAATGAGGACTGCATATATTCTGGGCAAGGGGACAACTCACTCCAATATTCTATTCCAGACGTAGCACATGACTGCCCGGTAGGAAACAAAAGTGAGATGGTACTAGATGCAATTCACAGAAGACTGTAATGAATACTAATGGAGGTGGGAGGGATGTCATTTTGACTGTAGCAATTTCCTCCAACCGTAATAGACTTAAAAGGCAAACCATGTTAGCCATTTAAGTACGAGTTAGGATGCAACCAGGTACTGTTTAGTATTGCTTCAAACAAGGCACTTTAATATGGTTCCTGAGTACCAAATACATGTGCTGCATGACTCAATCTGAACTTCACACCTCTGTATTTTTAGCTGCTTGAGAAAGAACCGAGTTCTCCTCCGCTTGCATATATTTTTAAAGCTGTCACAGGGACAAATGTGCTGCTCCCACACCCAGCACAAAAAGCCTTCAGAGAGATCAGTCTGTCTGTCTCCTGCTTAAATGGGCAATGTTTTTGTGGTGTTGGAGATAAATTCTGTGGTCCTGAGCAGTAGCCATCTTAGAACATCTTTGCACATCTGCCCTTTACTAAATTTGAAGTCTACTGTAAAGGCCACCCAAAAGCCTGCACGACATGTTGTTAAGCATCACATGCTGCCGGAAACAGAAGCTTCACAAATGCACTTGGTATGAGGATCATGGGACATATATATTGTTATGAGTTTCTGGGTGCCACTGAACCCCTGGATTCAGGAAATGTTAAAATATAAGCCAGGCCCATTTCCTGATGAGGAAATCGCCTGGAAGATGAGCCACTGGGAGAATAAACGGAAGGTGCTGAACCATTAGCAAAGACAAAGAGATGGAGCTCTGTGTCATACAACAAATGAAAGGGCCCCTTCTGTCAACTCAGAGTTAGTTAAAAGACAAAGCAAGGGTTTGAATTCAAGTCTTTTAGGGTTGGCTGTGGTGTAACCTAGAGGGGAAAAGGTTGTAAAAGTGGCAAGCTGGAGAGAGAGTCAGTGGACGATGGTTGATTTCTGTTTGAATCTCTGGTTGTGCCTATAGGAGAAATGACCCTTTTGGGGTGATAAAGATGTGAACCCCTCCATTGTAGATTCAGGTTGTATATATATAAACCATGTATCATAAAGACACCACAGTCTCCACTGTGCCTCATTCCCAAAAGGAAACAGAAACCCTGGAATCTCGCACCGCTCAGAGATTGGACGTGGTGTGCAACAATATAAAAAAGAGCCCCCATGGTGTGTAGGTGCACACACCTCATAGCTCAGTGGTAGTATTTGAATCATAGAATCATAGAGTTGGAAGAGACCACAAGGGCCATCGAGTCCAACCCCCTGCCAAGCAGGAAACACCATCAGAGCACTCCTGACATATGGTTGTCAAGCCTCTGCTTAAAGACCTCCAAAGAAGGAGACTCCACCACACTCCTTGGCAGCAAATTCCACTGTCGAACAGCTCTTACTGTCAGGAAGTTCTTCCTAATGTTTAGGTGGAATCTTCTTTCTTGTAGTTTGGATCCATTGCTCTGTGTCCGCTTCTCTGGAGCAGCAGAAAACAACCTTTCTCCCTCCTCTATGTGACATCCTTTTATATATTTGAACATGGCTATCATATCACCCCTTAACCTCCTCTTCTCCAGGCTAAACATGCCCAGCTCCCTTAGCCGTTCCTCATAAGGCATCGTTTCCAGGCCTTTGACCATTTTGGTTGCCCTCCTCTGGACACGTTCCAGTTTGTCAGTGTCCTTCTTGAACTGTGGTGCCCAGAACTGGACACAGTACTCCAGGTGAGGTCTGACCAGAGCAGAATACAGTGGCACTATTACTTCCCTTGATCTAGATGCTATACTCCTATTGATGCAGCCCAGAATTGCATTGGCTTTTTAGCTGCCGCGTCACACTGTTGGCTCATGTCAAGTTTGTGGTCAACCAAGACTCCTAGATCCTTTTCACATGTACTGCTCTCAAGCCAGGTGTCACCCATCTTGTATTTGTGCCTCACATATGTATTGCCCACGAGCAACACTTTACATTTCTCCCTGTTAAAATTCATCTTGTTTGTTTTGGCCCAGTTCTCTAATCTGTCAAGGTCGTTTTGAAGTGTGATCCTGTCCTCTGGGGTGTTAGCCACCCCCCCAGTTTGGTGTCATCTGCAAGTTTGATCAGGATGCCCTTGAGTCCATCATCCAAGTCGTTGATAAAGATGTTGAATAAGACCGGGCCCAAGACAGAACCCTGTGGCACCCCACTAGTCACTCTTCTCCAGGATGAAGAGGAACCATTGATGAGCACCCTTGGGTTCGGTCAGTCAGCCAGTTACAAATCCAGTGAGTGGTAGCATAGTCAAGACCGCATTTTACCAGCTTCTTTACAAGAATATCATGGGGCACCTCGTCAAATGCCTTGCTGAAATCAAGGTAGGCATTGAGGAGTTCAGCCCTTTCTGTGTCACCTGTTTGCATTTCACCATCTTCTCCTCTGAGTGACCCCACTGTTTCTTTGTTCTTCCTTTTGCTACGAACATACCCATAAAAGCCTTTTATGTTGCTTTTAACCTCTCTAGCAAGCCTGAGTTCATTCTGTGCTTTAGCTTTTCTGACTTTGTGTCTACACGTGCTGGCTATTTGTTTGAATTCCTCTTTGGTGGTTTCCCCCTTTTCCATTTTTGTACACATCCTTTTTTAATCTTAACTCAGTTAAAAGTTCTTTAGATAGCCACCCTGGCTTCTTTAGGCACCTTCCATGTTTCCGTCTCATTGGTATTGCCTGAAGTTGTGCTTTTACACAACCCTCTTAACAAACTCCCAGCCATCATGAACTCCCTTTCCTTTTAGTATTACTGTCCATGGGATCTCACCCAGCACTTCCCTAAGTTTTATGAAGTTGGCTTTCTTAAGGTCAAGAAATTGAGTCCTAGTATGCTTGGCTGCTCCTTTCTGCTGTATAGTAAGCTTCAGAAGAGCATGATCACTCGCGCCTAATGATCCTTCCACTTCTACCCCACTAACCAGGTCATCAACATTGGTTAGGACCAGATCTAAAATGGCTGTTCCTCTTGTTGCTTCTCCCACTTTCTGGACAATGAAGTTGTCTGCAAGGCCAGTGAGGAATCTGTTTGACCTTATGCTCTTGGCTGAGTTTGACATCCAACAAATATCCGGGTAATTGAAGTCCCCATTACTACTATCTCCCTTCCTTTTGCATGCTTGACCATCTGTTCCGGGAAGGCATCATCTATGTCCTCCGTTTGGCTTAGGGATCTATAGTAAACTCCCACAATGAGGTCACTGTTATTCTTCTCTCCCTTAATTTTGACCCAAATGCTCTCACTTTGGCTTTGAGGTTCTAAATCTTGGATCTCTTCACAGGTATACACATCCCTGACATATAACGCCACTCCTCCTCCTTTCTTGTCTGGTCTGTTTCTCTGAAATAGATTGTATCCCTCCATTATTACATTCCAATCGTGGGACTTATCCCACCAGGTTTCAGTGATGCCTATTATGTCATATTTAGTTTGCTGTACCATTTGCTTTGCATGCAGAAGATCCCAGGTTCAAGCCCCAGCATCTCCAGGTAGGGCTGGGAAGGACTCTTGGCTGAAACCCTGGAGAGCCACTGCCAGTCACTGCAGATAATCCTACGTCTGACTCAGTTTAAGGCAGAGATGTATAATTAGATTATGAGAAATTAATAGCCATGCTTAGCTTATTCTTTAAAATCATAACATACAATTTTCCTGGAAATCATGTTGCAACATCTAGCATTTTTTCCTTATTCAAGGGATTGTTTTGTACCTTTGTTCCTGGAAATTAAAGATTTGTTTAAAAATAGTGTAGCAGCGCCACCTTCTGGGCCACAGATGGAACTTTGGGAAAAGAAATTCTGATTGTACCTGAATGCAAGGAAAGAGTAATAGAAAAGCAATGGATTAAATGAAGTACTTTGTTTTGTTTATAGAAAGAGAAAGGTGAGGAGGAAGAGTTTGGCAAATAAATGGAAGCTTTACATTGCTTATGGCTTATGCCAACAATGACTGCAAATATTCAGGCTGCCTGCAACGTAGCAAAAATGACTTCAGATCAGAGTATTTACTTTATTTATTTAAAACATTTCTATCCCATCTTTCGATACAAGTAATCAGATTTTTTTTAAAAAAATAAAATAGTAATATCCAAAGTGGCACCTTACAAAAATATTAATAATAATAATAATTGCAACTCACAGAGCTCAGCATTGCTAATTATAGGGGGATCTCATATCGTTGAATGTCTCATTGGCTTACAAGTCCACAAATAGCCCGGTCCTTCTGGATATGATGTTAATTTAAGGCACATGCTATACAGCAGGAAACTGAGCAAAAATACATGTTTCTTGAAAAGACTGTGACAGCCTAGTGGTTTCATCCTGATCATCCTATATAAAAACCTGGGGGAATGAGGTATTTCATGACAACTTCTTCTTTCCTTCTCCCGAGTATCCCTGCAATGTCAGACTGAGACTGCTCCAGGCACTACCTTGCGGATGTATGTATAGGACTTCCGGAGAGTGACACTTCCGTGATGGGAGACTCCGCGGGGGAGGACACATTCTTCCGTCAGTTTCTGGGTCTCAGCATCCCAACACAGCACAGTGGCAATGACGTCGTTCTTCTCGTCTCGTCCTCCAGTGATGAACAGCTTGTTGTTGCAAGGAGCAATCCCACAACTTGCTCGTTCGTGGCTTAACTGGGTCGCCAGGCACCAGGTGTCTGTGAGTGGGCTGTAAGAATAGACTGCCCTCATAGCTCCACCTGAAGTGGGAAGAGAGCAAAGGATTCCTTCTGGGGAAATTTGTTTCTTTTTAAATACATTCTAGGCTTCAGCCCAAAATGTTAAGTGTCAGGTTTCCTCAACCCACAAGACAATGAGAGGACAGGACACTTACAGTGGTACCCTGGGTTAAGAACTTAATTCGTTCCAGAGGTCCGTTCTTAACCTGAAACTGTTCTTAATCTGAGGTACCACTTTAGCTAATGGGGGCACCCGCTGCCACCGCGCAATTTCTGTCCTCATCCTGAAGCAAAGTTCTTAACCTGAGGTAATATTTCTGGGTTAGCAGAGTCTGTAACCTGAAGTGTCTGTAACCTGAAGCGTCTGTAACCTGAGTACCACTATATTTCGAAAAGACAGCCAGCCAAAGACTTTACTTCATCAACTAGCCTTCATCAACCGGGTGCCTTCCAGTTGTTTTGGACTACATTTTCCAGAAGCCTATGCTCACTGAGGCTGGTGGGAATTGTAGCCCAAGACATCTGAAAGCCACCAGGCTGGTTGTTCTCATCAATGGGAACTGTGACCACCACCACGCCATAGCACAGCATATCAGTATGAAACTTCAAAAGGGCACTGGGGATCTTGCATTGCATTTCAGCATTCCGTTGAACTGGAAGCTGTCTCCTCGCACTGGGGAGACTCTGCAAAGGAGACATGAAATGGAATCATATGAATAGAAGTATTTTGCCTGCATAGGTTTTTTACTGCTACTGTAGCTGTGAAACAATGCACAATTATAAAGAAAGTAAATCTTATTTTTAAACTGACTTCCCCATTTGTTGCCTGATTCTTTGTCAAGTGGGTAGAAAGGGGAAGCCAGTTTACTTTTGGACTTGGTCAAACAAGATTTTATAGCCTAATTCCTATGCTTTCAACCCACACATGTGGGCACCCAGAGGGATAAATCACAGTTAATATACCCTCTCCTACCAGTGCTGTAACTCTCCAACCGTTTGACTTCGCCACCAAAGGTGCATTCTTCCATTGTCTCCCGAGACAGATGGATGCCAACCAATCAGCCAAAACTATTAAAACCCATCCCACAATTTACACTTCTCTGTGTGCATGCACAACCCATTAAAAAATATTTCAACATGGAATTCAAAACTATCCCCATTCCGCCAAGTGGTGATTCACAATGCAGAGGGACCAGAGTTTGACTGCATTGCCTTCTTGTCCTTCAACTGGAATTCTAGAAAAAGTGTTCCAGCTGTACCTACCCACAACATAGATGTGGTCGTGGAAACTGGTGGCATTGACACATTTTGCCTCAACAGGCATAGGTGATTTTAAGCTCCAGTTGTTTGTTGCTGGGTCATAACATTGTGTTTTGTCCGTGGCCAGCTTCCCATTGGGTCCTCCTCCAATCACATAGAGCTTCTTCTTGTAACTGGCGGCCCCAAATGAACTGACATTGACCATGAGAGGAGCTGCCTATAATAATGCAAAACAACAGAACTGAGGAATGTGCTGAAGATTCATCAGGACTTCATGCTTATGTATATTAATTCTCTTTTTTTAAAAAAATAAAGAGGAGAGAAATGAGTTGGGGGCAAGTGACGACGAGTGTACGACTGACACAATTAAGATGCCCATGGCATTCAAAGGAACTTACTTCCAGGTAAATGTCTAGAATTGCCACCTTTGTTTTGCATAATGTACATCCATGTATGGTGGTTGATTGGGTAAAAAGAAAACGCCATTCTAAATTTATCTTCTAGATAATCTTACATTTGCATTATAGATGCAGGAAATGCAAAAAACAAAAACAAAAAAACCCACACATTTTTGGTGTGAAAACACCATTTGTCTATTAACCAACATCTGAGAGTAGAAAGTCGTTATTTTAGTCTGTTTCCTGTTTCATCAATACCAAAAGCACATCTGTACTTTACCTCTGACCAACAGTTGTGAAAAGAATCATATGTCTCCACACTGTTGATTCTTTGTATACCGTCGTAACCACCAATGACATACACCTTGCCACCCAATACGGCCATTTTGTGTCTCCATCTTCCAACGTTCAAATATTCAATTTGGATCCATTTGTTGATGGATGAATTATATTTCCAAACTTCATGTTGCGTTTCTTTCCCTCCTGTGATGAATGTAAGATACCAAATTAGAACCAAACTTCCAGAATTGGTTCCTAGATTTTTGATTTCTAAATACATATAGCAATATTCTCCAAGAGCCAGCTCAATTCTTTTTTTAAAAAATGAGGGTAAAACTTCCACAACAAAAGCATTGTAGGATAACTGCAATTTGACCACAAATTTATAGTTTGGCAACAGTCCGACTCCTGAAAGAACTATGAACATTGTTACTTAAACCTAATGTTTAATAGTCTCAGGTCATAGAATCATAGAATTGTAAAGTTGGAAGGGATCACAAGGATTATCTAGTCCAACCTCCTGCAATGCAGGAATCTTTTGTCCCATGTGGAGCTAAAACCCAGGACCCTAAGATTAAGAGTCTCGTGCTGTAACTATTTTTCCTCCCTCATTTATTTCCATGGGCATTATGATCTTCCTTACCCGATATGTAGACTTCATTTTTTAATGTGGCACAAGCAAACTCCACCCATTTTTTATTCTCACACTCGGCTTCTTGTTCCGTGTTGGGCAGTTTTGCCACTTCCAAACGACTGCGCCTCAAAGGATCAAGGCAGGTGACTTCAGCTACAAACTTTTCATCCTTTGTGCAGCCACCTATGATCATGAAGACCTCTGACTGGAATTCGTGCATTCTCGGCTTTGTTCTTTCAGAAATGATCTAAATGAAAGCAAGGAGCTAGAGAGATCTTTATCTTTTAACATTTTAACAAAAGCCCCCCTTCACTCCCAGTAAATAATTCCCCTAGGAACATGCCAAGCTCCAGACACCTTCAAGAGTGTCTACCCACCTTCTGAATGCAAGCTGTGCTCATTTTTTTTAAAAAAATTTGGATTAGAAAAACAGCATACAATAAAACGCATATAACTGCAAGTTACAAAACTCATTCCGATCAGTGTACTAGTGTATACAATATATTGTAATAAACGTTTCACAGATTATTCCAAAAGATCTAGAAGGCATGATTTTAAGAGTTGTTTGCATGCATTTAATGCATGGTTGTTACCTATTTAAAAATATTCTTCATAAGACACACATGCCTAACTCTATGAAATTCATGAAATAAATAGTCTAACATAAAAAAAACCCTCCACCTTTTCCCCTAACGATTGAGCAAATTGTGCCCATATAGCTTCAATATTCTTGGATAACACTGACTATTTATACCAGGGATGGAGAAAATGTGACTCTCCAGCACTCACCAACCCTGACAATTGGCCATGTAGGCTGGAGCTGAAGTCCATCAAAGTCTAGAGGGCTGCTCCTGAATTAGACCCATTTCATTCTGGAATCAGGTCTGAATTGCCACTGAAATGGCCTTGATTGCTCCACCTTGTGCTGAGGGAATAACAGGGGAAGTAAAACCCTGTTAATTCTCCTGGACCTCTCGATGGCATTCATACTGACAGATGGAAGTTGGATAACCACCATTTTGATGGCTCTAGTGGAAGATCTTTTTCTGAAAGTTATGCTGGGAAACTATTGCTCTGCATCTCGCCTTGCTCTACCTATGCAATTTGTATCCCAACCTTCCTCCCAAAGGAGCCCAGGGTGGCAATGGTGTTCCATAGGTCTCCTCATCCTGTCCTCCCTGCTTTATAACTTCTATGTGATACCACTGGAGGGAAGTTATTCAAATATGTGCTGTGAAATACCATTGATATGCTGATGCCACCCAATTCTATTTCTTCTTTGCTTATGAGGCCGTAGAAGACCTGAACTGGTGACTGAGGTCAGAAACCTGTGGCCCTCCAGAAGTTGTTGGACTTCAGCTCCCATCAACAAATGTGGCCAATGGTCAAGGATGATGGAGATTGTAGTCAGAACAACATCTGAAAGGCCACAGGTTCACCACTCCTAGTATAAGTTGTTACTAATACTAGATCAATAAAATTATCAGTACTGTATCAGCGTAATATAAAATTAGTAATTTTTTATTTACTTATTTACTTATAGAGTACTATATAAGTACAAAGGGGTGTGAATTTCTCTTTCTTTTTATGCAGACTTCTTTCTTTCTTTAAAGAATATTCAATATATACAGTCCAACTCCCACCATAAAGCATCCTGAACTTAACTTTCCACAACAATAGCTTGTGAATCTGCATTACAAACTTTAGGCTTCTTCCTCTTTCCAAATATATACTGATAAGGTGTTCAAAGGGAAAGTATGGCAGCTGTCCAACTCCCATACATTGACACTCATACCTGAAAAATAGTCACAGGTGGGGGAATCTTGTAGCACCACCTCAAAGTATTATTTATTAGGGCAAAAGCTTTCGTGGACTTCACCAGAGGCAGAAAGAAGAAGAAGAAGAAGAGTTTGGATTTGATATCCCGCTTTATCACTACCCTAAGGAGTCTCAAAGCGGCTGACAATCTCCTTTCCCCTTCCTCCCCCACAACAAACACTCTGTGAGGTGAGTGAGGCGGACAGACTTCAGAGAAGTGTGACTAGCCCAAGGTCACCCAGCAGCTGCATGTGGAGGAGCGGAAACGCGAACCTGGTTCACCAGATTACGAGTCCACTGCTCTTAACCACTACACCACACTGGCTCTGTGTGTAAGAACAGTGTATGTATGTTCATGATTACGGGGGCAAAAGATGTAAGTAACTGAATCACTGTACTGTATATCTGTTAGTCTTTATGGTGCCACAAAACTATATGTTGTCTTTTCTGGAAGAGATTAACATGGCTATCTTCTTGAAAATGTTACCATAGAGATGGATGTTAGGAAGTTAGCATTTCCAAAAGGCAGGATGACACTGCCACAAGCAGGAACACCACAGAAAGCTCACTGCAGAGTACCTATAGATAGTTCAAGCAGCTCATTGAATCACTAGTCTGAACTTTTTCTTAATACAATCAACATTTAACTCACCTCGTTCCCTGATAGATGGTACATTCTGGCTTCTTGAAGCAGAGGAAAGACATCAGGGCACTGTCGGATCAGTGGCTCAGCTTCTACAGTCTCTACAAAATACCAAGGGTCCAGAAGGGGTAGTCTGACACCCTCAAGGATGTAAGGAAGGAGAGGAAGTCTTTCTGCTATTTTGTAATGCACCCAGTTTATAACCATTTCAAACACCTGAGCTTCGTCAGTGACACAGAGTTCATCACTCTTGAGCATACTATATAGGACATCCACAGGCAGTTCTAAGAACTCGTCGTAATTCAGTACTTGGGAAAAATTCTGGATAATATACCCCTTGACCTGCTGCTTCAGTTTATCAAGTGAATGAGCATCAGCCAGTCTCAGAATCCCAACACAGTTTTCTGGATGAAGAGCTTCATTGAGAAAATTGGAGCAAGCTTCTACCATTCGCAAAAACTACAAGCAGAAAAGGAAGCACATTAAGTTACTATGCAGACATGCCCTCCTGTGCTTGTTCGTTTATATTACTGCTCTTAACAAATCTTAAGAATGTGAGGAAGCAATGTCCCTGATGTAAAATGTGCAAATGCCATGTTTAGTATGCATTGCTGGTGAAGGCAATTTGCCTCTGAATGCCAGTTTCTGGGAACCAAAAGCGGGGAGAGTGCTGTTGCACTCAGCTTGCAGTCTCCCCACAGGCATCTGATTGGTCACTGTGGGAACAGGAAGCTGGACTAGATGGGCCTTTGGTCTAACCCAGCAAGGGGCTTCTTATGCTTCATTGAGCTTGATGCTGCTCATCTGTATAATAAACCTTCAAAATGCTGGGATGTGGTAAGTGGGGATTCCAGGGGAGAAAGGAATTCTGTGATGAGTGAGAAGATAAACAGTGTCAGGTAGGCAAAACTGATTTCACAGGGCCTATTTGCACAAACATTTGGAGAGTGTAAGAGCCTGTACAAAAGGTGAGCTCCTGAAGTGTCCAGACACCATCTTGACTGTGAGTCCTGGAAGACTTGCTCCCTGCATTGCTGGCCTTTTTCTACCTGGCCATATTGTTTAGGGAGTTTTGTTACTGTTATTGGTGTTATTTTTTGTATCTTTATTTTTAGATCTTATGATTTATATGCAGATTGTTCCGTTTGGTTGTGTACTTTTTGATGTGCTTATAAATTGTTGGCTGTGGTCTAAACCACTGAGCCTAGGGCTTGCCGATTGGAAGGTTGGCGGTTCGAATCCCCGCAACGGGGGGAGCTCCCGTTGCTTGGTCCCAGCTCCTGCCAACCTAGCCGTTCAAAAGCACATCAAAGTGCAAGTAGATAAATAGGTACCGCTCCAGCGGGAAGGTAAATGGCATTTCTGTGTGCTGCTCTGTTTCGTCAGAAGTGGCTTAGTCATGCTAGCCACATGACCTGGAAGCTGTACGCCGGCTCCCTTGGCCAGTAAAGCAAGATGAGCACCGCAATCCCAGGGTTGTCCGCAACTGGACCTAACGGTCGGGGTCCCTTTACCTTTATGTTTGTAATTTAAGTAAATATTTTTATGTTGTAATCTGCCTTGAGCATGGTTTTAACTATGGAAAGGCAGCATACACATAAAATGGTGGTGGTGGTGTAAGAGGTTTACGCATCAACATACCATGCACATGGTCTGGATCAAATGTTGAAAGAGGGTGAAGGGCAGATCAGATTGACTGGGTGGGAATGAGTTTGAGAGATTACTAGTTCTAATTGCACCCATCTCAGACTTCAGTTTACTGTGAATTTGTTTTCATTGTTACTCAGGAAAGAATGCTGCCTTTGGTTAACCCTGGATAACAAAGGAAACATGGGCCCTGGATAGTACACCTGGAACTCCCTCGAATCTTGCACTGCCCAGAGATTGGGAGTGGCATGTAACACTATACATACCAAAATCCCAGCTAAAATCTCAAGGAAAGGCTGAGCACTCAGGGTGCTTCCAGATATCAATAGTTCAGCAGTTTTCTCCATAATTTTTTAAATAATATGCACCTAACCTTAGAGTTGATGGAGTACAAAGTAGTGCATGACTTTAAAAAAAAAAAAAAGTAGTTAAAAGGAAAAGAGGGAAGTGAAAAATCTGAAACACCATTTTTAATGGTGATGGTGTATTTTAAAGAAGTGTTTACAGCAGTTTTGTGCTGAGAGCCATGTCCTGTTGACACATTTAGGCTACTTATCATAACAGACCTGGCCTATAAACCACTTGTTCCTGTTTTTTAAAGATACATGTGGGCAAACATTTAAAGAAACGAAGCTCTCAAATCAAAATTAGATGTACTTATTCCATTTGATAAACTTCCCCTTTGTATCATATTTACAGCCAGCTTTATCTGCCGCACATGGAGTGGAGCCAGGCAGGGCTGGAATTACAAGTTAATGGTACAAAAACTGGAAGGAATGCTGGTCCATTTAAAAATAATTCACATGCTTCAGCACTTTTTATTATTGTTGTGATCAAGCTGAAAAATTAAAAAGCTTGCTTGCTACTTTGAGATATTTTAGGTAGTCCTCATTATGCCAGTCTCATTAAAGTGGGGTAGGTGTAGGGATGAGCAAATTGGTCCATTATGGTTTCTGCTGCCTCTCACTGTGGACTCAGAACACAGCCATCATGGTCAGTTAAGGGTAGGAGCAGCATTATCAAAGTAGCAGAACCAGGGATGGACACAAGGACAGCACTCCAGTCTGTCCTGTCATAGGCAAGCAGGCAGCCTTCCTGACAACTTTGGGGGTGGGGGGTGGAGCTGGGTACGCTTTCCATTATTAAGTTCTGAATAGAGTAGTTGCTTTGGAAGACGATAATCCAACTGGAGAACAGCTTTTACCAAAGGTGTCATGGGCTCTGAAGATGCTCAAACTCAGGACGAAAGGGAGAAACGTGCTAAGGGAAAGGCACGCTTGGCAAACCCTCACCATGATCAACTCCTGCCCGGAAACCAATGTCCCCATTGTGGAAGGACCTGTGGATCCAGAATTGGCCTCCACGGTCACTTACAGACTCACTGTTAAAACCGTGTTTATGGAAGACAATCTTACTCGGCTACGAGTGATCGCCAAAGAAGAAGAAGAAGGAGCTGGGTAAGGCAGGCAGGCAGAGCCAGCCCTTAAACAGCAAAAACCAGTTTAAGGGTGCAGTACTTTGCACACTTAATTCGGAATTGATCTTGAACTTACTTCTGAGTAAGCACGTTTTGATTCACACAGCATGCCTTGCTTGTGAACTTAGGCTGAACATTAGATCTAGTCATGAAATAGAGCAGCCAATGAAATCCCAAAGCAAAATATTTTTCATAGTAAAATTCAAGTTGCCCGAAGACTAATCCAACAGCTGTCAATTAGCCATTTTCACACTAAACAATGAGCTAAAACTAGTACTCACGTGAATTTGGTATGGTTTCTATGTGCTGTAAATATTTTACTTCACTAACCTGAAAAAGACTAGCGGCTTCCAGGACTTTCTGGACATTTTCCTTAGTGATCAGCACTTTGCTTGTGTAAGTGTAATCCAAAAGAATCTGCATTGTTTCAGCATCAACTCCCTTAATTACTATTTTTTCTTCATACTTTTCTTTCAAGTCGTTGCAAAACATTGCCCTGAAGGGGAAAATACGTAATTTCTTGGAAGACCAGTCATTCTGAAATACACTCTGGAAACAAACATACTAATACTCCCCCAAACACTTCATATGTAATTTATTTTAAAGTATGTTTATGCTATTTTTCTATTTTAAAATATTGAAAGTTGCTAACAATATATATCAGATCAGAGCAATAATAAAAAATTTAACTACAAAACCATAAGAGCAATCCTTTAAAACCACCAAACTGATCTATAAAACATATGGCAAGCTCAGTACACACTAAAATACATCTTATATGGTAAGTCTGAACGTTATTATTAAAAGATTGTTTTTAACACATGCTATTAATTAGTTTTTTATATTGTTTGTATACATACTGTATTGGGCTATAGTGCCTTATTATAATTCAGATTTGAAAAATTAAAATAAATAAATAAAATGCAGTGTCTAATCAGCTAATGAGTATGGAATAAATGTGTTTTTATTCCAAAAGCCAAGCAGAGGTGGAACTGTGTGGATCTCATGCTGGTGCCAGGACAAAGAAGAACCTCTTCTCAGTGCTCATCTGTCATACTTCATATGGCAAGAAGACATAAATCAGAGTCTCACATATTGACCAGAGGAAAATTCACATGGGATGGCACAGTTCTCCTTCTAAGCCATTGGGGTTGTAAACATCAATACTTTGAATTGACACCAGGAACAAATTTGTAATCAATAAATATGGCATGATGCTGGAATAGATTATCTTTCCTTTGAGCCTCCATTAACACCTTGGCAGCTGTTTTTTGTTTCTGATGAAGTTTCAGAGACAGCCCCATATAGAGCATGTTATAGGAGGGACAGGTAGCCTGTGGGCCTCCAGATGTTGCTGAGCCATCTCTGAGAGATGAGTGGCTAATAAATGTTTTAAAATAAATAAGTACAAGCACCACAGCCTCCCTAGGATCAAAAGATGGAAATGAAAGACAGAGCAGCTGGGTATCTTCAGCATATTGATGACACCTCAACTGAAATATATGGAGGGCATCATCCAGTGGTTTCATGGGGATGTTAAACAGCACAAGGGACCAGATGAACCCATTCAGTACCCAATAAGCCAGGCTTCCTCAAACTTGGCCCTCCAGATGTTTTTGGCCTACAACTCCCGTGATCCCAAGCTAGCAGGACCAGTGGTCAGGGATGTGGGAACTGTCGTCTCAAAACATCTGGAGGGCCAAGTTTGAGGAAGCCTGCCATAAGCCATTGTTCAGGGTTGAGCAGCTGTTTCTCAGAATGTCCTCCTAGGAAGTCTTTCAGAAAGATGAGAATTTGAACCACAATATAGTCAGATAGTTCAGAAGGGTACCAGAGTAAATGGTATTGAAAACCACTGAGAGGACAAATCAATGGGAATACACTCCCTTGTCTATCTCACAGTGAACAAGGGAATGTCTGTCCCAAATCTGAGATGGAAGCCAATTTGAAAAGGAGCTAAATGATCAGCCTCATCAAGAAATAATTGAGCCACCACATCTTGCCCTGATATAGCCTTACAATAACTTTGTATGATATTATTATTATTATTATTATTATTATTATTATTATTATTCCTCCTCCTAATACAGATAAGAGCTAAGGGTGAGGAACAGTGGCTTGTCTGGGGCTACCCAGTGAAGTTCAAGGCTGAGCTGAGATTTCAACTGGAAACCTCCCAGTTTCTAATGTATGTTCTTAATCGCTCTGCTACACTAGGTATACATATCTGTGTTTTAGCATTTCATAATCCTAGAGTTATTGTCACTCTCTTGACATTTGTTTTCTCACATCTAACACTCAAATATTGCTGTATCGAATAATTGTGTGTTTCAAGGACCTCTTGGTCAATTGTCTGATTGGAATTGTTTTTTTCAGTGTAACTTGTTGGTTTAAAGCAGGGTATTATTAATCTTGCTTCCCTTCTTTGAAGATAGAAACATTTGGGCTTTTTCAAGGCTAAGCAGTCAGAAAGGAGCCCAGGTAAACTTCACACAGGCAACCCCTTTTCTGCATAAAGCTGAACCAAAGCTATTGTACCTAGTTCTCAAGAAGAGGGATCGCTCTAAGCATGGTGGAGACATATTAATGTCACGTTCCATCAAAACAACATGTACATGTTTTTGGCTTAATAAATCATCAGAAGTCCTCTCTCCCCAAAGATAAAATGTTGTGCCAATCACATGGGATGGTCCATGGAATTATCTGGTGGAGAACGTTATGTGGTTTTCGAAATATCTGATGTAAATATGTATTCTTATGGAATCATTAACTATGAGTAGCTGAATGGCAAATATTCACCTGTCAGAAGACCAGTATAGATAGCTACACCATTGTAAGATTAATTTACAGACTGAGCCTATCCACATTCACTTGGAACTCTTGCTGAATTAAATGATACTCCTCCCGAGCATGCACAGGATTGCAAGCTTAGTCATTTAATATTTCTGAGTATCGCTTCACCCCTTCCCCACAAACAGTAACCAAAAATGAGACATTAAAATGAGACTAGTAGATTTGAATTATGGTTGTAAGACACCTCATATCCAAGATACCAGAAGCATTCTCTTATGCCAAAAGGCAAGATCTTGTGTCAAAATTATTTTGTTAGTTTTCTGTGACTGTGCAAGGGATAGTTTTCTGTGAATTGATAAAGTGGATAAAAGTGGATAAAGTCCTACGTTAGCTACTTTAAAAAATGCATTATGATGAGTAGAAATACGGAGGCCAGCAATAAGTGCCTAAAATGGCCCCAATTACATTTGGAATTAAATACGCCAAACATTCACCCCCCTTCTGTTCTACCAGCTAGTATAAATGTCACACCTTGACCTGACTGAGTAACTTTTGGCATCAGAAGTTAATAATGTTTCTTTTACCATTAAAAAATATATAATAAAATCTATCCCCATGTCACAATAATTCTCACTGACAGGGATTGATTAAAAAATTTATTTTATTTTCCAGCGTAATTAGTAACATGATAGTGGAGTATTTTGTTTCTCACTATTCATTTGGCATATTTTGTCACAGTTTCCAGAAGGAACACCATTTCCTAGCATACGCTACAGAAGGTGGCCCTGCTGGATTTCAGTGTCTTCCTTCCATGTGTTTTTCCCATTTCTCAAATTACTTTCTTAATTTTAGAACTCCAAGAAAAATAGGAAGCACACTCCTTTCCCCTCATTGATTGCTTTTGCCATATGTTGCCCTCCTCATGGAAACAGATTTTTTGGGGAAAGGATCATGCAGCTTCCACACATTCAACTGCATTAATGATAACATACCTACTACCTAAAACACCCAGGAGCCTGTGGAACAACCCTTTTTAATGGGCCGCTGTTGAATTAATATTTCATTTTATTATTACCAATACAATTATATGAACATAGTTGGGATTGTTAAGGAGAGGGAAAACGGGGGGAACTGTAATCGATTGCATGTCTGTTCCTACATTCAAAATTTTTCTATCCCACATACCTAGCATTCTCAGTTAATATTCTGGATGCTGTAATTATCACCCTTCTTCTGACATGCCACCAAATATAGACATTTTGGAAGCTCATAGACTGTTGGGGTAGGTTTCAAATCAAGTGCTCGCGAAATGTCCCTTTCCCATCTTACCTGCTTAACTATTTCTGGTTGCAATTGAACATCCAAATGAGAGGAGAGGGGGGAAAATACTTAATTTTAAATATCTCCCTTACCTAAAATAATTGCTTGCCGCTGCTAGAACCACTCGGTGGCATGAGAATTTCATGTTGCCCACACACAGGGTAACGTCTGTGAGAGAGTTTTCCAGTCGGAGGTTCTCCAAGCCGTTCTGCAGCACCATGGATAGGCCTGTGTCATCAAACTTAACCCTTTCACTGATGGAGACCTCCACAAGCTCTCCCATGTTCCTGGAGCACTCATTTTCCAAAGGCAACGGAGATTCCTCCTCCAAGTTCTTCTTCACTATGTCTCCCATGTTTCGATCAGCAGCAGCACATCATGCCATTGATACTTCAATCTAAGATGGTTCCTGAGCTTCAGACAAGTCATGCTGCAGAAGCAAGACGGATTTCCTGTTTGGGCCTCCCCACTTATCTACAGCTGTCACACATGCATAACAGGAAGCCTTGCACTTTCTCATCCTGTTAACACAAACAAAGTCAGTGGGGTTGTGTTGTTATTTTTTAATTCCACACATTTCCAAGCAGTTTTACTATACCTAAAGAAGATTTTAAGGTGCCTTTGAATATGGGATTATAACGCATGCCAAAGACCTCTAAAACTGTTCTGAAATCAGCATTCTGCTGCATAACATGTATGTATATATCCATCCAGATATACTTGATGAGCATGATGGGAGACTTATGGGGTTATAATTTTAACAACCAGCATTTTGAAAGAATGCCTAGAGTAAAAATAAGCTTTGCATGCATGCATTTATGTATTGTGTGGTGACAACTGGCAATTGTCTTGGCTTTGAGAGGTATTACTCGCCAGTTTGGAAGTATCAACAATATTGTTTTCTAGCTGCCTGCACTGACTATCTCTGTATCTTCACTTTATATATTTTTTACACTCTATACACAGCTCAATGAGGAATTCAGTACAGGGATGGCCTGAATGAACCAAAGCTACGTTTGCCATTTTGGATAGCACTTAAAAAATAAATTTTAAAAGCTCCCAAATAACAACCTCCCTCTCATAAGTTAATGCTGAGATACATGGTATTATTAGTTAATTAAAATGCAATTTCTATGGATGCAGAGTTTCCCAAATATGACGCAACCGTGTTCTTAATGCAAAATGTGAGCAGTTATTACAACAAGCATACAATTTCACCTGACCACTTTCCATTAATAATAATAATAATAATAATAATAATAATAATATACCCCATCCATCTGGGCTAGGTCTTTAGAAGCATGACATGGATCAGATGCCAGCCATATCACAGACAGCATAATGGCAAGCATTATATGCATTATATTGATTAGCAGCAGCAGGAAAAAACAGATCTGCTAAGCTCTGTGCTGGAGTGACTCCAATGGCTGAGTCACCTTTATGATGTCTTGGGAATGGAGGCTTCTGTGAGATAACACTTACTCTCTTCACTCTGGCCTTACAGTCTAATGCAGTTTATCACATAGATTCTCAAAATTGCATAGAAAGTTTCCATGCTTCAGTCTGACATCCAGGAATAGTTGGCACAGGTGTAGAAACTTTCCACATGACTGGAAGGATCAACATGATAAACAATGTTAACTTGCAGCCACCATGAATACAGTACAGTCACCATGCAGTAGTCTCTTGTCATAGGGATAAAGCTGCCCTTGATTATATTTCAAGAGACTTAATCCATATGCTTCTTTTGTTTCCATTTTTAAAATTATATTTACCCTAGAGCCCACCAACGCTTTGTCCCTTGTATTTCACTTGCTGTTTTAGGAGTAACTTTAGATGGCATTTTGTCACAGGACTATCAAGCCACACCTTTGGTAAACAGGACTGACAAAGGTCCCCTCCAAACTGTCAATATTTTGTGGGAAGGACTGAAGCGCATACCAAAAAATTAGGTTTGTGCAATTAAAATGTGCAACAAAGCCACTTTGTGGTTAGGAAAGTGACAGGGAAGTACATGCATGGAATGAATGAATGAATGTTTAACAGGAAGACACATAGACAACCCACAAGCAAATCAGGATGAATGTTCATTGCCGTATAACCACCCCACCAACAAATCAGAACAAAGCATTAATAAAGATTGAGCACAGTCTAACCTCCGCATAAGCTTTTATGCAGGCAAATAAGAATAAATGCTCTCTAAACAAGTCATCTGGAGGAGCCACTCTTATTAGTAGCACTGGCTATAAAATTCTCCATAATTCAAATGGACCACACACACACACAAAGGTTAATTTGTGATATAAACTAACACCTTGACTAGTAACAACTGCCACAATTTGGTATTGCCTATATGAATCAATTGGGCAAGTTTTTCTGGAAATGTTGAATAATGAATCCTGGAAACTGTCATTTACCCCTCACAGAGCTATAATTCCCAGCACCCTTAGCAGACTACAGTCCCTGGGATTCTTTGGAGTAAGTCATGTGCTTTAAATGTATGGTGCATACACAGGCTTTGTCTCCTGGACCATTTGTTCATATTCTTCTCTTTCACATTTTTTCTTTTGAAAGACTAAGTGTTACAGCCTGGTTCCATCCTAGCTAACTGCTTCAGGGTGCAGGGTTATTCATACATTTGTTTACCCCCTTTCTGCCATGGCATCTCAGGCAGTTTACCATTTTATTTGCATGTCTTGCCTACCTTTCCTTCAAGTCTCTCAATGTGGTGTACATGGTTCTCCTTCTTTTATCCTCACAACAACCTTGCGAGACAGATTAGGCTGAGACAGTGACTAAGGCCACCCAAGTGAGCTTCATGGATGACTGGGAATTTGAACCCTGGTCTCCCAGCTAAGCAGTCTAAAACAAATTCACAAGACCAAATGCAGACCTAGCACTGAAGGCAAGAGGCAGAAAGTGCTCAGCTCTGCCCCTCTGGTGCAACGCGGCATTGCATCGCAAACCGTGAACTACATCTCCCAAGAACGTTTGCAGCCGGCCCGCCTCTCATTGGCCTGCACGTCCGTGACATCATGTGTTTTGGCTCTGGGAGGTCACATGTTTCGGGGTCTCCTTTGTTTTGAGTTGAGCTCGAACTTGAAGCAGACAAAAAGAGAGAGCGGAGGAGACCCGGAGCCGTTGCGCGGCTCCTTCTGATCGGCAGAAAACTGTGATTGACAGGTAAATGGCTTGGCTAAACTCAGCGGCTAAGTTGCGGGAGGCCAAAAGTATAATTGGGGTCCGGTGGCCGGCGCAGGAGTTATTTCCATTCGAAAAGAAGCTTCAGGAGGTGCACAACCATAATAATACCTACAATCGTAATGGGTTCGAATGCAGGGCTCGTGGTAACTCCCCTTACAGTAATTATTACTCTACAGAAAATATGTCCTCCCTTAACATTTATCTTTTCACCCCACCCCAGTCCGGCTTTTCTAGGAAACTTCGTATGAAATGAATTTCAGCGAAGATGAAATTGTGTCTGGATTCTGCTATGGCGTTCTGTTTTGGGATCAGTTGTGTCAGATTTGCAAGGGAGAGAAAATGCCGTTAATATTGCAATGTCTAGCCGTTGTTATGTAGGCAGGGCAGAGATAATTTGCCCTGGCGCAATTTCCTTCTTAATCCTCCTGGCTAGCATTGAACACGCAGCGAAGCACAACGCCGTTAATACTGTCGAGCGCCTTGTTCGTGCGCAGAGAAAGGAAGTAGAGTTCAGCTGGAGGTGGAAAACAATGTGCGTGGCGCCTGGCGGGGTGGGGGGGAGAGCTCGCCTCTTTCCTAGGTCGGTACTTAAGGACACGTAAATTCCGGATTTGCACTGCCGTTGGGCAAGGGGGAGCAATACTGCAAGTTCTTGATTTCGAATTGTAAAGTTGCCAGGCCTCTTGTTATATTAAGGAAGGCTTCGTGCTTCGGCACCCAAGGATTTCGAGTGGAATTTTTCCTCTCCCTACTTTTTTCCTCTCTCCTCTAAACAGTCCACCCAGTTGGACATCTACTCCGTAGATTGGCCAGGCATTTGTGTTTCAGGCCGGCACTATAAAGCTGGATTGGTCAGAGAATGTTGACAGATCTGGATCAATCTCGCGAGCATCTGGAAAGTCTTCCATTCCTCCTCCTCCCTCCCCCCCCCCATCTTTTCAATGTTCCTGCGTTTTGATATGGACGGTCACCCTGGTCTAAATTTGGTGGCTGTTTTATGCTTATGGGAATAGGCTGCTTCGTGCACTCCCGTCTTCGCTGGCGCATCATATTCCCATTGGGGTGAATCCTAGTAGCTGGAGCTCCCCCCGCCCTTGAGTACTTGGCGAAGAGGCTGCGTTGGCTGCCCGTTCCTCTGGACCAGACCACTTTTTCAGGAGGGGGGGAGGGAGGCCTCGCAAGGAGCTGTTGGAACACGCAGGCCTTTGTGAGGAAGTGGAAATGCTGCTCCAACGCTTTGGCTTAGGACCCGAACCGCGAAGAAGCGTCGGGAGGCGGAGTCGCCTGAGGCCCAAAATATAATAGGGACCGGGTGACCATCCCCTAGCGCGTTATGGTTGGTTCTCCGCTCCCTTCTTCGGGACAGCTGGAGGAGAGAAAGGCGGGGGGGAGCGCTGGGAGAGTCGCGCTCTCTAATTGGACATAAAAGGTGGGGGCGGGGCTTGCCTCCAGGGCTGTTCAGGGTGAAGGTGAACTGGAGGATGTGCTCGCGCGCGCGCGCGGGGCCGAGGCGTTGCTCGGGTTCGAGCCGAGGCCGCTTGTATAACGGCTGGAACCGGACGCTCACTTCAGGTTGACGCGAGAAGGCCGTTATTTTGCCTCAAGTGCTTTGAAGTGACGCCTGCCTTTCAGTCACGCGCATGCTTTTACCCGAAGAGTTTGATTTCTCACATAACACAGTTCGAATGTGACTTAAGTCAAATGAACACCTTTCCTCCCGCTCAGTTAATACTGGGCTGTTTACATGTTCTTCATAGGGCCCGTTGATGCAGGAATCCCAAAGCGGGTCTCGCAGCAAAGCATACCTCTCCTCAGTAGAATGGGAAATAACGAAATCCCAGAAGAATGACGAGTGTTAGCCATAGTGACATTTCTTTTTACAGAGCAAACAAAACACACACACACACACACACACACACACACACAGAGTAAAGGGTGGAAGGAGACTTGTGTAATTTCGAGATGATCTGGAAAGGAAAGAGGAAAATGTTGTCAGGTACTTTGGCTCTGCTGTTTTTTTTTTTTTTTAATGTTTTAAGGGAATTATCTGGAATGGAAAGAGGTGAACCTTTGCAACTGGCTAATAAGTAGCATCATAATGTTGACACTGACTTGCATTTCACTGGTGAGTTAAGCAGAATTATTAGTTGATCGTATCTGTCCAAAGAGAACATTTTATGGAACGTTACGATTTCCTGGTAGTATTGACTTGCATTTCACTGGCGAGTTAAGCAGAATTATTAGTTGATCGTATCTGTCCAAAGAGAACATTTTATGGAACGTTACGATTTTCTGGTAGTATTTACATTCTCAGATTTCAGCCCTGGGGTGGTGGGGCACATAGGGAGTAGAATATGGTGAAGTGAGGGAGGTACATAGGTAACATTAGGTGAACACAAGGAAATACAGTTAGGCATATTGGGTCTTAAGGAAGTCAATATCAGTGTCCTGTTTCTGCTATTTTACTTGATCTCAGGTTAATTATAAGAAATTTGTTATAGCTGTGCATAAGTTACAATTCAGCCTCACCTACTCAGAACTGTTGTCAGGAAAGGTCAAGCTATATTTACACTGTATTTACAAAGAGCTAAGGAGATAGTAAAAAGACTGAACTGCGAACCATGACCTAAAACCTTACTTTAGCCATGGAATCATTTTGATGGCCTTAGGTGAACCATTCTTTTCTCTTAAAGGCATAAGAACAGCCCTGCTAGGTCATGCCGAAGTCCCATCTAGTTCACTTTTCTGCTTTCACAGTGGTCTGCCAGATGCTTATGGGAAACCTGCAAGCAAGACCTGAATGCTCTCTCCAGAGCCCTCCATCTGTAATATGAGAATAATCATACTTACCTATATTACTGATCTTATTTTATTATTTACTCTCTATCTCACCCTTTCTCCAGGGCAGCAAATACATCACAACAAAACAACTTTAAAAAATACCTTTAAAACACGTCAGATCATTCAACAGTGATCTCAGGGTTGTCAGGAACAGTGCTTTCAGCCATTAAATGACTGGGTAAACAGGAATATTTTTAACCTCCTCCTAAAAGTCAGTAATGAGGAAGGGAGACACACCTACCCAGAGGGGGCATTCCACAAACAAGGAACCACTTCTGAATTGACCCCCATCATGAGTCACTGCCAATCAGACAGCCTCCAGTGTTGGCACCTATATGCAAAGTGGTCCCCAGCAGCAACACCAGTATCAAAGTGTAGTATACAAAAGGCAGATACAGTCACGGTAAAAAAACCAACTTATTAATAACCTAAAATACTGTAAAACAGCCAGGAATATTTAAAAGCAGGAGTAGAATAAAAGTACATTTAAAGGTGGCCCTATACTAAGGCGGTCTGGAACTAGATGGTTTTCAAAGTCTGCCAAAAAAATAGATGAAGAGGACATGTACATGTACATGTGCCTCTCTTGGGAGGTCATCCTAAATTTGGGTGCCTTAGCAAAAGAGGCCATATTTCTCATCGCCACCTGCTTCATGTCTGTTGATGGGAGGACAGAAGGAACAGTCACAGAGACAGAATAAAGTTCCTGGAGAGATTCACATGGGAGGAGATGATTCCCAAAAATACCCTAGGCCCCAGACATTTGGGATTTAATGAGAAAAACAAGTACCTTAAATTGAGGCTGTGGAGGCAAACTGACAACCAGCAAAACTGGTAGGTGAACTGTATATACTCCAGTCTACTGACTCCAGGGGAATCTGGCAACCACATTTTGCACCAATTGGAGTTTCCAAACTGTCTTCAAGGTTATTTCCAAAGAAAATGCATTACAGAAATCCAACTTGGAACTAACTAGCTCGGAAACAAACTTAGCTAGGGCCAGACTCCGCTTATCCAGAAGAAAGTACGACTGAAGAACTAAATAAAAATATACTACAGCTACCTGTATATCTAAGAATACTCTAAACTGTGAACCTACTGCTTCAGGGGGAGTATGACACCACCCAAAACCATCTATACACTTCCTCCAGGTTGTTGTAAAGATTATTGATATAGTAGATGTGAATCACTTTGTTCTAAAATGCTGTACAAATATATTTATTGCTATAATGGCTTAACTATTGAGTCTCTGAATCACATATTAAACATTTAATGTCTAGAATAACAATCAAATGGTTTTAAGATGACTTTTTATGTCTAGTATTAAATATGGGTGTGATTGAGCAAAAGCAATGAAACTGTAAGTGCTATTTAAATTAAAGAGACAGCTTGAATGCTAGCAACTTATGTATATTTATCTAAAGTGGACAAGACCGAAGTGAGTTGGTTCTCTCTGCAGGAGTCATATGCCTCTAGAGATTGGAAACACACCTGGTAAATTCAGTCCGTTGATTTGTGTGAGATAATGCATGCATGCATAACTAATATATTCAGGGGGGAATTTGGTTGTACAAGTGTAAATTGTTGCACTGATAGAACCAGTTAATTGAATACCATCCTTTATTTTTTAAGCAAAGTTTTGACTGTAGACAAAAGCTAAGACAAGGAAGGTAGGAGCTAAAAATAAGGCTGCCCAAGAGAGATGCAGATGTTTTCAGGGACCGAAAGGGTTTATACAAATACAGCCAAATCCTCCCTTTGCTGTACACTAGCTGAACTACAAGATACACCTGTTGCCTCATCCTCCCAACTAGATCCATGTTCCCAACTAGAGTTACGGTCAAGTCTACTTGTAGCCAAGCAAGCACTCCTCCACTTACTCTGTTTCTTACACTGGGTCTGTGTTCATATTAGTTCCTGGTGGGTGAAGGGGAAGAGACTGGATCCATGGTATGATGTAGGAGGTTATCCAAAGCCCCAGGTGAGGTATTCAAGTAACTTGGCCGGTCAAGCTGCTTAACGTGTTTTTCAGGTGTGCTAGGGTTTTCTCTGGGGCCCCAAGCATCTTTGTTGCATTATGTTCTCCCAGGATATTGATTATTCAGCCAATAGGGGCCCCAGATTCTAAACTTACATTTTAAAAACAGTCTCTGACCCTCCTAGAAAGAAAGCTCTGAAACAAAATGTGCTGATGCTCTTCAAAGTGATTCCTAACCTCCCTTGGTGGGTTATGAGTGCTCTTTCCCTTGACTTTATGCTTTGATGGTTGTGGGAATGAGGTTGCAGTCAGCAAGCGTAGTGGTTGGTGACGCTTTAGCCTCTTTCTCTTTCAAGGTCCTTCATGGTACAGTGGTGCCCCGCAAGACGAATGCCTCGCAAGACGAAAAACTCGCTAGACGGAAGGGTTTTGCGGTTTTTGAGCTGCTTCGCAAGACGAATTTCCCTATGGGCTTGCTTCGCAAGACGAAAACGTCTTGCAAGTTTGTTTCCTTTTTCTTAACACCGTTAATACAGTTGCGACTTGACTTCAAGGAGCAACTCATAGCACGCGGTGTGGTAGCCTTTTTTTAGGTTTTTGGTGATTTTTGAAGCTTTTCCAAAACTTTTCCGACACCGTGCTTCGCAAGACGGAAAAACCGCAAGACGAAAAAACTCGCGGAACGAATTAATTTCGTCTTGCGAGGCACCACTGTATAGGACTGAAAAGTTCAGTATGAAACATGAGCATAGCTGGTATATGGGTGGCACTTCACTCATAAGGACATTCAGATGTCCTTGCATTGTGACTCAGTGATGTTATATGCATGACATCTTGGAGCCGGATGTTTAGAGAACCAAACCTGGTTACTATCATAATGTAATTGATGGCATTTGCGATTTGAACTAATACTTTGAAATTATTTTTTATCTTTAGCACCCAAAAGACGACACTCATCAATATTTTCTCCATGATATTATAAAGAGTTGATATAACAATGGTACTAATAATGTTGGGACGCAGATTGAACAGAGGGGAGAGCCGAGCTCAGGAATCCCCGGTCACAAAGCGTAAAGTTTTTGAAATGGACCCAAAGTCTTTATCAGGCCACGAGTTCTTTGATTTCTCTTCTGGCTCATCCCATGCTGAAAGCATACTGCAAATCTTCAATGAATTTCGCGACAGCCGCTTGTTCACAGATGTAATAATCTGTGTTGAAGGCAGGGAATTTCCTTGTCATCGAGCTGTTCTTTCAGCATGCAGCAGCTACTTCCGAGCTATGTTTTGCAATGATCACCGAGAAAGCAGGGAGATGTTGGTAGAAATCAATGGAATTTTTGCGGAAGCTATGGATTGTTTTTTACAATATGTGTATACAGGCAAGGTTAAAATCACAACAGATAATGTGCAGTACCTCTTTGAAACATCAAGTCTCTTCCAGATAAGTGTTCTGCGTGATGCTTGCGCTAAGTTCCTGGAAGAGCAACTGGATCCTTGCAACTGCCTAGGAATCCAGCGTTTTGCCGATACACATTCACTGAAAACACTATTTACCAAATGCAGAAATTTTGCACTGCAGAATTTTGAGGATGTGGCCCAGCATGAAGAATTTCTTGAACTTGGAAAAGATGAACTCATTGATTATATTTGCAGCGATGAACTGGTAATTGGTAAAGAAGAAATGGTTTTTGAAGCCGTTATGCGCTGGGTTTATCGGGCTGTTGAACTCAGACGCTCAGTGCTACAGGAAATTCTCACACATGTGAGATTGCCCTTGTTACACCCCAACTACTTTGTTCAGACAGTGGAAGTGGACCAGTTGATCCAAAACTCTCCTGACTGCTATCAGCTGCTGCATGAAGCAAGACGGTACCACGTACTTGGAAACGAAATGATGTCCCCAAGAACTCGGCCACGAAGGTGAGAGGGCTGGGTTGATTTTTGTTGTTGTTACATTCCTGAATAAATTATTCATTATAGTGATAGCTTTTGTTTGAAACATTCAGTCTATTAAAAAACATTTAACCAATTGACCAGTTAACATACTGTATTTTGTATCACCTCAATAAATATGTGATTTGCTTTTTATCTTTAGGCTTTGTGTTGAAAAATTAAGGAACAATATGAGACAGAGTGTGCGGGAGGGAGTACATCACTACCATGCAAGAAATGTTAAACACATTTGAGTGCTTTATATTTCAGTTACTTCAGTTGTTATGTCTTGAAAGTTTCTGAAGGCTAGTTGTTTTTTTACTGAAACAGAGAAACATGATACCCCCTGAAAATGTGACTTACAGTGCAATCCTAACCATGTTGGGATTTGGGGGAGGGCTCAATGGTAGAACATCTGCTTTGTATTTAGAAGGTCCTGGGTCCAATTGCCAGGTAGGGCTGGAAGAGACCCCTGCCTGAAACCCTGGAGTGCTGCTGCCATTCAGTGCAGATAGTACAGTGGAACCTTGGTTCTTGAACTTAATCAGTTCCGGAAGTTCATTCAACTCCTGAAAACCAAGGTGCGGTTTCCGATTGGCTGCAGGAGCTTCCTGCACTCAAGCAGAAGCCACGTTGGACTTTCAGCTTCCGAAAAACGTTTGAACACCGGAACACTTACTTCCGGGTTTTCGGCATTTGGGAGCCAATTTGTTCGTCAACTAAGCCATATGAGAACCAAAGTTCCACTGTACTAAATTAGATAGACTGGTCTGAGTCAGTGCAAGGCAGTTTCTTATGCCTACTCAGAATTAAGTCCAGTGGGGCTTTTCTCCAAATAATTGGCTTTGAATTGCAGCTTTTTAAGCATGTCTGGATTTCTATAGTATGTGCCTATAGACTAGGGATAACTTTTCCTGCTTCATGTGAACTCTGGTCCATTAAAGCTAGTATCTAGTGAATTTGTTACTCTTTAAGGTGCCACAAGACTTTGTTTTAGTAAACTTGTGGATTTATTTATTTATTTTGGAAATAAATAAAAAAATGTTCTAAGAATACGAAAAAAGTATTTACTACTTTCAATAAATTAAGGACAGATGAATTGACTTTTGTTTTTCATGTTTTCTTCAAACCCCACCCCCAGTTAACTTCCAGATATTGTAACTTTCAGATTCTGGTTTATTTATTAGGTTTTTCAATAAACTACTTTGGTTTTTCTGTTTCTAGGTCAACTGGCTATTCTGAAGTGATAGTTGTTGTTGGAGGCTGCGAAAGAGTTGGGGGATTTAATTTGCCCTATACAGAATGTTACGACCCCATGACAGGAGAGTGGAAATCACTGGCTAAATTACCAGAATTTACAAAGTCTGAGTATGCAGTTTGTGCTTTGAGGAATGATATCCTCGTTTCAGGTAAACAATTTATATTACACACAAAAGTACTGTGGTGAGAATACTATTATCATCAGTTTATGGAAGTCTTGTGGGAAATGGAGAAGTGGACTTAGTGCTACTTTTGCACATTGTCAGAAGCACTGAAAAGTGAATGCACAAATTACTTAGGCACCCACTTTTGGATAGCATTGGAAGATGTGATTTACATTACCACAGCTAAGTGATATGTGAAATGCACTTTACCACTGAGCACAAGTTTTCCCCAGCTAGGTAAACAGACACAGCACCCGAAGTGTAAACTACTCCAGAAAAAACTACATTGGTGAAAAGAGGTATTGCTTTAATTGCCCAGTGGAAAAGAATTCTAGGAAGTGTTTTCATACATTGGATTGTTGTGAACTTTATTTTCAGAAATGTACTTTTATCATGATATGGCTTTTGGGGGGGGGGGGGGGTCAACAACTGGGCACAATGGAGCAAACCCTTTGTTTAATAACAGCCAAATTCCTGTCTTGTCTTTTCTTTCAAATGAGGTGGAAGAATCAACAGCCGTGATGTGTGGATTTATAATTCTCAGCTTAACATTTGGATCAGAGTTGCCTCTCTAAATAAAGGGAGATGGCGTCATAAGATGGCTGTTCTTCTTGGTAAAGTAAGAGATATTTGTTATTATCTAATAACATGGTTGAAATGCACAACAAATAACTAGAAATCAGACTGCATTATCTCAATTCACTGCACCACTTTTAAAATTGAAATGGATGTCACCTCAATTCTGATTTTTAGTCTGTACTATACAGAACTACACATTTTGCCAGTAAAACACCATAATTAAAGAAAATGGCTAAATAAAATAGTTTGTTTAGGAAGCCTCAGTTGTAAGCATGCACAATATGTGAGACTGTATATTATCTTTACAGTTCACACAGTGTGGAAATTCAGGAAGGAGCCTTAATTTCCAATATCCATGCTTTTTGGTGTATGTGAATTTGTAACTGTGTTAACTCCCTTTTCTTAAACTGCAGGAGGGGAGGGGTCGTTCCTAAAATACATAAATACATTTTCACAACTCATCGGGTCAAAGATGAAAACATTGAGGCTTTGTGTAATGCCACACCTAGGTAGCCAAGCAGTAAGCATATTCTGGCAAGATTCTCTCTTTACTTTTAAAGGTATATGTGGTTGGAGGATACGACGGACAAAGCCGACTGAGCAGCGTAGAATGTTATGACTCATTTTCCAATCGATGGACAGAGGTAGCATCTCTTAAAGAAGCAGTGAGTTCTCCAGCAGTTACCAGCTGCGTGGGCAAACTGTTTGTGATAGGTGGAGGTCCTGATGACAACACATGCTCTGATAAGGTTGGGTAATTGTATTCACTTTCTTTTCTCTATTTTAGTAACATTCAAAATGAATAATATATAAAAATTACTAGTAATTGAAAACCAGCGAGAACCTACAATAACATGTTGCAAGATATTCCCAACTCCTGTTCTAGGCTCCAGCAAACCTGAAACAGGAGCCTCATAGTTCTGTTCTGTGTTTTGGGTGGGGAGCCTTCAGGAGACATAAAAGAAAAATAGATACTTGTGGGGGCAGGGGGTTAATATTTATCCACCCTCCTAAAGCCTTTCCATGCTGTGCTATATAGAGCTCAGGCATTCAGTTTGCAGAGTGGGCTTCCCTTTCCTGAGCATTTTATTGCTTTGTAATGGGAAGGAATGAGGTTTTTCATTCCCCATCTCCTAAAACCTTGCTTTATAATATGCATTCCAACACCCCTAATCCCTGCGTCCAGGCTTGTGTAAGCTAGGGGTTTGAACCACCACCCACAGCCAGTATTTCCATTGTTCCTGGAGACAAGGCAGCTCATAGTATGCAGTCCTTATCAGGCTGTTTGGCGTGGAGGTTATCTTCTCTTTTTTGTAATGTGTTAAATAATAATACCTAACAAGTCTCCTAGGTTTGCAGAAATTGCTACATTGTTTGTGGGTGGCCTGATTTTACTGCCAAACCGATAGGCACAGGACCACCAAAGTTATTTTAGAGCCTCGCCTTGCTTGGCATCTCTGGAGGGGGTTCCATTGCCTTTCATCCAAGCTTAGAGGAGAGTATCTGAACTGGCACAGGATAGGCTGACAAAAAACAAATGGTCAATAGGTGGCATGAGGTATGCATGAGTGCTGAGTCCTCTGCCTTTCTTATTGTGTTAGGGAAATTTTTGATGCTTTGCAATGGGGTGGGATGGGGTAATTTTAATATTTCATATTCCCCCAGGAATGGTGAAACCTCACTTTTGTTTGTGGGTTGCCCTGGCTTGTCTTCAAAGTGATTGGCATGGAGCAACAGAATTTTACTATTGGAAGGAATTATTATATAAAACAGTTGCATTACTAATGTTTTGTCCCATGACATGAAGTTCTTATAGAGTCTCACTTGCTAATTGGGTTGGCATGAAAAGTTCTTTGATAATTTGCAATTACACAGTTGACTTGCTCAGCCATTTAAAGATATCATTCAATCAGTATTAACAACTTGGGGAAGCTGAAACCATATCAAGTTAGACTAGAGGAGCTTTGAAAGTAAAATGTGTTTGTTACTTTTCAGGTTCAGTCTTACGATCCTGATACTAATTCTTGGCTACTCCGTGCAACAATCCCCATTGCAAAGAGATGTATAACAGCTGTATCACTAAACAATCTCATCTATGTTGCGGGAGGGCTCACAAAGGCAATTTATTGTTATGACCCAGTTGAAGATTATTGGATGCATGTGCAGAATACATTCAGTCGACAGGTAACAACAAAGAACTAGCAATGTTGCTCCTTTGTACATTGTATTTATCAAAATTCTAAACACATTGTGTTAGATCCAGATAAAAGCACATCTAATGAGGCTGACAAAAGCTAACTTTCTCCCCCGGTCCACAGCCTCATGAAAAGGTTTCTTCAAAGCATCTAACAATACAATGTTTGAAAACGGTTCAAGCAATCCCCAAACGAAATTAAACTGGGGATGCTTTCATACTGTTGCTATTTTGGAGTGGATTCACTCCTATACCATCTAATTGCACAATTAGATGGTTTTTTTGCAACAAACCTTTTCCCCCCTCCCCCCAAATGTGGTGAAAGTGATGGGGAAACATATCAAGATGAAAGCTGAATAAACAGGTCTTCTGGAAGTGAACTAGTTTAAGCCATATTGAACTAGTGAGAAATGAACATGTAAATGTACAGAATTTTAGAACTGAATAATGGGCGGAATTCACTGACAGACCACACCAGTACAGCTATGGGTCAGGATACTCTTTTACACAATACCATGATTTCACTTTAGACAATGATGCACATGCTATTTTAGGTGCTACTTTATACTTGTCAGTCAAAAATTCACCTTGGACTCCTATACCCTAAGAAGCAATGAAACAGGCTGATGCTAATGTTTCTTGGTCTGAATCTGATGAATGGCTCATTGCATACAGTAGAGCTTTCCAAACTTTTCATGTTGGTGAAACACTTTTTAGACATGCATCATATAGTAATTCAGTTTTACTAGCAAACCAGAGGTTAAACTAACCCCTTTCCGGTCCTAGGAGCAGTGCGGGGAGCACTTGCGCCACACACACACACTGCAGCCAGCACACTAACGTTGCAACAGCTTGGAAAGCTCTGGCCTACAACAGAATGCCTAACACTTAGTAGAATCACACAAAACCTACTGCTAGAAAACGGTTTATCATTTTGCTACAATACTTTGGCCACCACATTTATAAAACCCATAAATAAGCTTACTCTGGGGGGTACCTTCCTCTGCTTATCCTATATTTTTACTCCTGATTTTCCTCTCATCTGTTTTGTGTAGTATCTAATATCATTGTTGTCTGTTGTTTTGTAGTTTTCCATTCTTTCCAAAGTGTTCTTCTACCTAGTACTTAAGACAACTCACAGCTCTTCTGCTTGTACTCCTTTTCAAATGTTTCAGCATATTTCCTCATTTGCTGCCAGTTGTCTATCTTAATTTTGTTTTCCTCTTCCCATCATTCCATAATTCCTCTTTTCTTATATAATACTGTGCATCCATTTTCTTAAGCTTATCACTTACTTGAAACTTATCTAGCCTTTTCCCAGCACAGTTGGCCAAGGATAGAATCCACCACAGATGTTCAACTATTGGGCCAAGATTAACAAAATGCTACAAAATTATTGTGCTGCACAAATACAAGCCCAAACTGAGGAAATAGTTTATTGTAGCCTAGCACATCTATTTCAGGGTGCATCAGGATGAGCATAACATACTAATAATCACAGCTATAAATGTTTTAATTATCAATTTTCTTCATGTATTTGATGAACAGGAAAACTGTGGCATGTCTGTGTGTAATGGCAAAATCTACATCCTTGGTGGGAGGCGAGAAAATGGAGAAGCTACAGATACCATTCTTTGTTATGATCCTGCTACCAGCATCATCACAGGAGTAGCAGCAATGCCCAGGCCAGTCTCATACCATGGCTGTGTGACTATTCACAGATACAATGAAAAGCACTTTAAACTCTAAAAAAGAGGAGAGTCTGTAAATACAAATAAGTGGCATATTACAATCAGGATTTGAAAGCTGCCTTTTCCAAAGTATCATCTGGAAAGATACAAGATTGTACTTTTAGCTTTTAAAATTTTGAAAGTGATTCTGAATGTAATTGTTAAATGTTTTCAATAACCACAGTTCAGTAATTTTCCCCAGAGCAATCTTAACCCTTGATCTGTACTGCTGGTGGGGTAAAAGATGGGCTCCCTCTATTGGGATCAGCTGGCACCGGGCTCTGCTGCCACAATGTCCCCCATTGTGCCCGCTGAAAGTGCAACAGAGCAACACTAACACAGGCAGTGACTGCCATAAGAACCCAAAATGGGCAGGGCGGAACAGGGCCAGCAATGGATCTGCTAAATCCAAAGCAGATCCATTTCATGGCAAGGAGCCTGATTTGGGCTTCTCAGCTACATGAACATGGAGCTAGTGGAGCAAGAATGTTGGAAACTACTATCCCTGCTTTCTCCCCCTTGCCAGCCCAAGTGCAGATGTCACAGTGACTCTTCTGCTCTGTTCCACCCTGCTGTACCCTGGCCACAGTTAGGATTGCTCTGTCCTAACATGTTCTGGTTTGAAAACTCTATCAATTTATATTAGTAATTAGATCATGTTCACTTCTATGTTATCTGTAAAACAAAACACCTTGGATTTTAAGTGTATAGCAGTGCCTTTGGAAGTATTCATCCCTATTTTATATGAAGCATTATCTGCATATTTTCATACCTTATTTGTGGTTAAGAACTTTACTGTTGCAAGTATGTGGGCGTTAGAATTGGAATTCTGTCTGAAGATCTAAATAACTTCAAAATATTGCATTGGCCTTTGGTAACACGATAGACCCCCTCATCAGTAAGCACTATATGCACAGGGACATTCAGTGAGGAAAGCACACACAAATCACACATGGTTATTTGAATATAATCATGGGATTGCTTTAAAACTTGCTTCTACACCAAGTCTGAGAAGCTAATGATTCTCCCATGAGTGTTCAGACTTCCCACTTGAAGGCTATCTGAGCTCAAATCACAAGTACCCACTAGAAATGTTCTGTAGAACCTACGAAGATTTTCTCTGATTAAGATTAAATTTGTGCTCAGGTTCAGTATTGTTTACTGTTCTCAGATAGCAAGTCAATAGATCTTAGGGGTAGGGAGTTCTTGATTGATTATGATAATACCTTTAGAACTAATAAGTAAAAAAAAACCTGTTGATTAATACCAGGTTGTCTTAGTTTTATTTTTTTAATGGAATAGGGCAGGCAATGCAGCTATTCTTGAAAATTTGGCAGAGATCCACACCTTGTGCTATGAATCATCATCTGAGTTACTATATTTTACTGTAGCACTCCTTATACAGCATAAGTAAACCTGTTATACTTATCCATGTCTCCATGGAAGAACTCTGTTATACCTGGTCACTGAATTAGTAAGTGAACATGTAATTGTCACTGCACTTAATTTATGCTGTATTTTGTTAATGATCAGTGGCCTATGATAGACACAGCACAATATTTAATTTGCTGCAAATGATAAATAACTGACGCAGCTGCACAGAGCTGACAAAATTAATTATGCAAACATGTCTAATACAAGAAAAGTCCATTATGCCATATCAAACTGTAATTTTAATTTGTACTTTTATGTCAGTTTCCTGAGCCTTACTTTGACAAGTTTCCTAACTCTAATATATGACAAAGTTTGTACTTACAGTGTTTACGTTGCTCTGAATACTATTCTTTTTAGGACACTGCATATGATGCTTATGTAAGCCAATCCATATCCTCTCTTTTTTATGCATTTCCATTTTACATTGTCCATCCAACGTATACTAGCTTTATGGGACTGCAAGGTTTATTCTTTCTTAAATTGACATTTTAGTTTTATGTAAAAATAGATTGTGAAGCAGTGAATGAAACAATGGTCCTTACAACTACTTAATCTGGTACATTCCAATGAATGCAATTATTGAGCAGTAAGTCTGAGTTGTGTGGCCTTAGTATCTCTTATTTAATAGATCTGTTTTGTTAGGTGGTTGTTGAACCAATTTTTGTTTTCAAAAAAAATATGGCTCAAATGATCCACTGAGTGCTTTCTCATATGATATGACTCTGTTGAGTCTTTCATGTTCTGACTATGGATGCAACTACATAGTAGTATCATTGCTTGTGCTTCTATCATTGAGTAGATTGTGCTACTACTATTTTCTAGATGAAGCATCTTATATAGTGAGTATTCAATATTAGCTGTATGAATGAGCAATACTGCATCTGTAATACCAAAGATTGCATTTCTCTGATCAATATTTCTTCTTCAAAAAATGACATAAAAATTAATGCATGAAGTGTATATCACTTTGTATGCTTCTATAAAGAAAAAAAGGATGAAGTGGATCCTCATGCCATTATTCTTTTGAATGGGTATACATTTTAAAGAAGTAGTTCACAAGTGGCAGATATTAGACAATTTCCTGGATGATACCCAATACCATTTTTTTCATGGCTACTCTTTTGAAGCCAACATTAAGCTTGGCTCCCATTGATATTGGGCCATGCACAGACTATGATGTCTGCATTTTTCCTTTGCTGATTTCTTTTGACTTTGGGTAACACCACAATCACTGCAACCTTAGAACTTCAAGTTTAAACACACTTATCTGGGAAAAGGCCCCATTTCTTTTGAATATACAGTACATGTATAGGATTGCACTGCAAATCATCTGTGTAACATCAATTATTTGAGACACTTAAATGATGCTAGTTTAAAAAATCTATTTGTAGTTGCAAATAAATCAAACTGCTTTTGGCTATTTGAAAATGGTACTTATGCATCTACTTGTAATTTGGCATATGTCAGGATAATCTTTGCTTTATGAAGGAAATTACCGGTAACCTTCTTTACAAACTTTATATATAGTTTATTCTATCCTAATTTACTTGCATGCTCACTCTCCCTCCTTAGAGTCTACGTAAGTGGAATTCACATGAAAAAATTGATTAAGGGGGAAACAGCTGCATGTTTTACAGTGATTCGCATCCTTCAGTATGAATCCTTAAGAAATATATTATTTCACTTTAACTCACCTAAGTTCACCTTTGCTGTACAGTGGTACCTCGGGTTACATACACTTCAGGTTACATACGCTTCAGGTTAAAGACTCCACTAACCCAGAAATAGTGCTTCAGGTTAAGAACTTTACTTCAGGATGAGAACAGAAATCGGGCTCTAGCGGCGCGGCGGCAGCAGCAGGAGGCTAAAGTGGTGCTTCAGGTTAAGAACAGTTTCGGGTTAAGTACGGACCTCCAGAATGAATTAAGTATTTAACCCGAGGTACCACTGTACTGTGCTGGGTCCCTCTTTTTTTTTTTACCAGCCTCTGGTCTTTGCTTTGATGCTGCCACATAGCTTAGCCTCCTGGGAACCTGATACTCTGCATCAGTGCCTTTTTTCTGAGGATACACAAGGGTATGCAGTACTGGCACCTTTTTTTTCCTAGAAGAAAAGCACTATTTAAAAATGTGGCACTTACTGTAATAACTTAATGGTGAGTACTGGCACCTTTTTTCTAGAAGAAAAGCACTGTTCTGCATGTTTGTTCAGTCCCAAGAAGCAAAAGGAGGTGACTTCTCATTTAAGGGATTACAGCCTTACTATACTAGCTGCAGCCTTGATCTTCAATCTGTGTTTACTGTGCCTTAAACCTGATCCTGGTTGTGATCCAGCTGTGGACACAATAAGGCCAACCACTGCCTAATTCTGATTAAACCACATTCATTTGTGGAATGGGCACACAAGTCATCTGTAAACCTCAGTAGTTTAATTGTATTTCTGTAGCCTCATCAAGCCTGCAGATTCTACCTCCTCAGTCATGCAATCTGGGTGCATATCCCATTCCTGGGAGAAAATACATTTGCTTTGACTTTTTCTTTCTCAACACTGCTTGCACTAGTATTTTTACTTTTGATATGCAGAAGTAAAATACTAAGTGGGGTATTCAACTCCAAGTAGACACATTGTAATTAATGAACATGACTAAGTTAGGTACGTTAATTTCAATAGGTCTATTCTGAGTTTGCTTATTTGAGTACCTTCCTAAAACTGGTGAAAATATGATAAAACAATGAAAGCAGAATATTTTACATGATGAAGTGATCTCAGGAATCACATTTCATTTTCTAATTGAAATCAAATATACATCTAATCCAGTGATAACAAGTAGAAAGTTACTGATTTATATCCAAGTGTCCTAAGAAAGAAAATATTTGTGGAAAAGAATGAGATTTGGCAAACCAAAAGTTCTCATTCCTATGAATAAGAACCATTGCCAGACAACACTTGGAATATACTACACTTTGCTTTTGTACTCATGTGGTGAATAACTGTACAGTCATTGTCAGGAAAGATGGCAATTAACTATGACCTAATGAAGCTCTGGGTGTTTTTTTTAATGCTGTACATATATAATGTTTGTGTTTACAGTTCCTTCTGAATTGCATGTATAAAGTTATGCCTGCTTTGTAAATACACTTAGCTTTTTATGGTTGTGAAGCACCATCCCAGATATATATTGGATTTCATCTTGAAGTTGTTGGTTTTGGGTTGTTGGGTTTTTTTAAACCATTTTAGAAGTCTTTTTCAGTTGATTAAAGTTGATACAGACAATTATCAGTAAGCAGTTAACACATATAGTTAAAATTGCAATATATATTTAGGCAATAATGCTTTTTTAAAAGTGAGCAATTTATTTACTTGACAAAATAGATTTACAGTGTAAGCCTATATGTGTCTATGCAGAAGTAGGTCACTGAGTTCAATGGGGCTTACTCCTAGCTAAGTAGGTATAGGATTGCAGCCTTAGTTTTCTCACCCTTGTGAGAAAACAGTTGCTGAACATATAACATAGAATCATATATCTTGCAAAAGATACCTGTTCAGCAACATTTCTTGGACTCTTGTAAACAAACTTACTTCAAGAGCAATTCAAAAACTGACTTGTTGAAACATAGGAAAATGTTATATGCATGCAAAATGAAGATATCTATTTGCATTTGGTGAGCTCAATAAATATTCACAGTGGTTTCAAAAAGTGAAATGTATTCATATTTGGTCACTGAGTTGTGCTTGCTGCAATTTTTTAAACTTGCCCAAGATTGTATATTAACACTACCAGTTGCATGAAAGAAGTAGTGAAGGAATGGGTGTTAACAACTTTGATATTGAAATGAAACATTTGTTAAGGATTTTGTTTTGAAAGAAGTGAGTTTTCTACCTGTGCTTCCATTTCTCTAAAACTAGCAGACTGGGAAATGACTTTGATTTTATTATTGCAATCTAATCCTTAGAAAAACGGCATTGTTTCAATTTGCCTCTTTAAAAATATTGCACCCCAAATTTGAGATGAGTGCCTTCTAGACTTGCCTCCTTGGCAAGTCTAGTACATTCTGTTTTACATAATATCATGTACACCACAGGAAAGCAGAATCCAGACTTGTGAGATGTACTGTACTTTGTTTTTACTAGAATATCAAGATCCTTAAACCACAGCCAGATACAAGATACAGTGATAGTTTGGAATGGGGCTAGTTTGAGAAATGTACACCTAGAATTAAGGAACAGGGCACCTTGAACACATGCTCAGCCCCATAATTCGTTCTCAGTACCAGAACCGAACTCACTGTTTTTTTCACAGAAAATTCTATGCCCAGTTTCCTCTAAAGCTTTCTTATTCTTTACAGTCCAATTTTGAAAGAGTGAAAAGCCTTTTATGTTGGCGTTATTACTATTGAAAAGCAGAAATCCTTGCTGATATACTGCAAATAGTCAAGAGATCTACTTGCAGATCCTGATCTATTTCCATATCCATCCAGAAACTCTCTCACTTTTAAGTATCCTGAAAAGGTTGCTTTTGCAAGATTTTCAGAGTTAGCAGTTTGACTTGGGTATACAGTGAGTTAACTTGGTACGTTTCAAATCAGATTCTTACATGAGATTTGTCCTCCTAATATAATTGAGAAGTATGTTGCTTAATATTTTTCTTACCAATGAAAAACTCAAATAGGCCAACATTCCTTTTCAGTTCAGTTACAGCACTTTCTGAATACAGTAATTATGTCAGTACTGCAGGATAAATGGCAGCTAAACATATAAAACTCATCATGTGAAATCTTACAGTTGTAACTCAAGGATTTCATCTAGTGACAGCAGTTTTAACAATTATCACTCATTTATGTGCTTTATGAATGCATTGCCCTACCTAAGTCTGTTCTCAGAACTATGTTAACACTTAGTTTGTATTCTTGTAATACTCAAATGATTCAGACAATATTTTAACGTTTTGTGTATGTATTTATAGGTATGTGTGATTTGTTCTTGTAATCATTTTATAATATTAAAGATGATTATTTAGAAATTATACATTTAAAGCTACTGTGTAATGATATGTAGCAGTATTTAAGTGTGTGTGAAAAGCATGTGATTTTAGCTTCTTTTGTATAATTAATCCAAAGAATAGAGAATCTGTATGTTTGTAAACAAATCTATTCTTGGTGTAATCTTTGCCAAAAAAAATCAAATTCTGAATAAATATTGCTAATTTGCATAATTTTTGTTTGTCTTTTTTTCTTGCTTTTTTCTCATTGAGAATTTTATCCAGCCAGAGTTTGGAAAACACAGATTCATAAAGATTGGCCATATGATTCCCATGCTTATATACTCTGACTAAACCTCCTTTGTTTTTCACTGCCACATGTATGTTGGTTTTTCACTTCTTGTAGATGGAAATATTTATTTTCCCTGTGCTCAGAAATACAGTTTACTATTGCTGGGAAGATGCCATTTTACACAGCAAGCACTGCTGTTTTCTGAGTTTTATGTCATGCTGGCTCAGACCAAGTCTTGGTCTGTTCACAAGCCAGGATATACTTAAAGATGAAAATTCAGATTCTGCAATAGATTTGGTACAAGGCTATATGCTAATGAGCTTATATAATCATGCTTATAACTGCATCTGTCAGCATGAAAATCTCCATTACTCAAAGTATGTGCCCTTAGTCTGGTGTCCAGTTGGCAAGTTCCTTGCATACTTGTAACTCAGTAAAAGATCACAACCTTGGCACTGTAGGTCCTTTTATACACACAGTTTTAAAGTATCAAAGCTGAGACTAGTTTATAATACTTTGGTGTGCTGCTCCTTATTCAGTTTAGAGTTGCAGATAGGAACTAGGATATGAAAAATACTGTGTGCTGAAATACCATAAGTTCAGAGCCACCTCAAAGCATGTCACTGGTGCCTACTTCACTATATCTACCACCTTATCACATTCAACATTGCAGATAACTTGGTTGTTATACAGTAATTCCTCCTCTAAACACTACCAATATAATTTTTGAACTCGCAAGATCCAAAATGGTGGTCAACCAAAATCTTCTCCCAAGTAGCAATTTCCACAACAAGCTTTCCATCAACCTACACTGTCTGAATTTTTACCGGGGGTGGGGGGATAGACCCTGTTCCCTAGACTATTAACAGCTAAGCATCAGAAATGCCACCCATTTTCACTACTGCTTGTGCACTTAGAGCCACTGGTTCACATGGTGAACAGGACTGACAGCGAAATTACTTATAACCATGGGCAAAGCCAAGGGGGGCAGGAAGGGGCAGCTGCCCCCCTAGATCAAGTAAAACAATAGAAATACTTAACTTACTGACCAATCACGACAGTTCTGGCCCCCTAACAAAACTTCTGGCCCCCCAACAAAGTCCTGCCCCCCAATAACAAAAATCCTGCCTACACCCATGCTTATAACTGTAAAGTTATCAACAACAAAAAAACCCATTACATATCACCATGTTCACAGAGAACACTGCCCTATTTATATCCAACCTGAATAATCAGATCCCCATGTTAATGTTGTTGATGAAGAGTTATGGGAACTTGGCCAAAGAGTTTGGGAGCATCATTTATCTCAGGAGAGGATTCGTCAAGCCTGGAAAAAAGGTGGGCAGCAGATACGTGAAGACGAGGAATTCCCCCCTCTTCTTTCTTTTGGACTCCCTGTTCGTGAGAGATCAGCTGAGAGATCTCGTCCTTTCCGGTTGCCTGTGATCTACCGTATATACTAAAGGGCAACCCATTGCCCAAAATCACAGCTTAAGGAGCCGTTCAAAAATCTACCACTACATTGGTTCTAGGTTCATTTTAAATTTAGCCCGATTTGGGGGGGGGGTGCGCTGCTCTATAACGGACCAGCTTCCCAAATTCTCACCCCTAATATTGCAAACTAGCAGTCCCTTTTTTATTATTATTGTGGGGCCCGAATTGCTACGGGACAAAAACAATATTGCAAAAAGCAATTAAAAATCGCCGACCAAGGCAGCAGGAGATAAAACATTAGTCAAAAGAAGAAAGGAAAAGCACTTAAAAAAAACTTTCTCAAGGGAATAAAGAAAGAAAGAAACCAGTGCCTCGGGCTCCTCGGCTCCTGCAGCCTCTGCGCTTTAGGACGCAGCAGATGCTTCGCGGCTGCAAAGAGAGCGCCCTGCCGGCGGCGCCCCCTCGCGAAACCGGCTTCTCCCAATGCCCGCCCCTTCTCCGCTCTCCGCCTGCGCAGCCGCGCCCCGCCGTCGCCGTGACGGGCAGGCGAGAGGGGACGGAGTTGATGGCGGCTGCGCGGTAGAGACGCTGGCCTCGCTGGAGCGCAGGGCTGGGCGGAGGCGAAAGGGACTGGCGGCGGCGGCGGCCCGTCGGGACGTCTTCGGCGAAGGCGGGTGAGTTGCGCGGCCCCGAGTCGGGGCTCCGCTTCCCGCCCGCGGGGCTGAGGAGGAGCGGGGCGTTTGCGCGCGGGGAGGAGAGCGCCCCCCTCTGGCGCGGGGCCTCGACTCTGGCGGCAGGCGCGGGGGTCCCCTTCGCAAGAAGAGGGTGTCGAGGCGCTCGCCTCCGCGGGAGTCCCCGAAGTTTGCTCGCTTGTGCAACTCGGTCTGCGCGGCAGCCGAAAAGTCCCATCTCGCACCCCGATCCTGGCCGTGCTTACTTGCTGCTGGAAGGAAGACCCGCGGTAGCTTATGGTTAACTTTACTCCAAGTTAGCCCTCTGGGAGCTGCAGTCTTGCAGACGGATCCTAAGCGCGTTTACTTGCGGGCACGTGCAGCCCCAGTCCCGCGCCGGGTTTGCTACCTGTCCCGCGGATTGCAGCTGGTTCGCCTAACGCTGCAAAGGATCGGGCTGTTAAAGAGGGCAGTCCGATTTTATGGCCACCTGGAAACAAGTTGCCAGGCACACGTAGGACCAGAGCATTGTTGTTTCTCAAAGGGGTCTTCCCAAAGGCCACCCTACTGAGTTTTGCTGGGGGTTATTATCATGATGGGTGAACATCTTGCTGGAAGCCATCCTTGGTGTGCTTTTCCTTGATGCTCCGGCAGTCATTCAGGCTTGTTCTGAAGACCCTCGCAAAGTTGGCTCCTAATAGCACAAACGGCTCCTTTGCAAACTAGCATGCCACAGTGACTCACTGTTCCTGTGGCAGCTTCCTTGTAGCCCCATCATAACTTGCTATCCAGTGCAATCTTATATGTTTACATCTATTCTGAAGTAAGCCCCATTGTGTTTAGTAGGACTTACTCCCGCTCAAATGAGCTTTTAAGTCCCACAGTGTTTGGTAGTAATGCACCGAAGCGGCATTTTGTAATGCCTAAGAATAGCTTGAGCTATCAACTTGTTTTGCTTTGGTCACTCATAGTTGTGATTTGGTAAAGATCTTCAGTTGGAAATTGAATACTATTCTGCTCATAATAGAACATGCTGGGAAACTTGAGCTTCAAGAAAACGATTGCTTTCACTTGTCTAAAATGAGTTTTTATTCAATAGGGGTCACTGAAAAGGAAACTGAACAGCCTTCAACAGAGATAAGGGGACATTTGAAGGAAAACAGATTCTGCCTTTTTGACACATCTGAGGTAAAATATTGCAGAAAGGTTTTTTTCCTATTCATAATGGCCTTTCATTGTCTTTCTGAGCGAGTCATTCACCGAAGACATCCATGTATTCACTCACATGTCTTTGCACATAACTTTCCTAAGGAGAATGAACAGCAAAAGGAAGGTTTCGACAATGTATGAAGAAGTAATTGTGCAGGATTAGGGGCTTTGTTGGTGGCTGCTCACACATTCTCCCTCTCTAGGCATTCTGATGCCAGGTAGAAGAATAATCCAAGGGGGGCACAGGTGGTAGCTCTGTACCCCCTTGTTGCCATTCTCTTCACCCCCTATGAGTAGTAATGTGAAGAATATCTGTCTGGAGTTGCAAACAACAAAATGAAAATAGTCCATCATAATAGCAGATTATGCAGTAATAGTAGCCCTCAGGTGTTCTGATGCTGTGTAGATAAATTATTGCAATAGATGCACACACACACAGGGATGGATATGCTGCTTTGTCCTTTGTCATTCTCTTCACCCTCCAAGTTAGAGGACAATTGGGAGCCTTCTGAACTCACGACACATTTTAGAGCCCCGGAAAACACACTTCTGGAGCGTGAACATAATGATAAGTCTGAATACCTTGCTCATCCCTATGGGGTGCCCTCATTGTAGTTGCTCTCCATAGCTTCAGAATGCCTGACTAACACTATTCTTACTGCAAAATCTGTTGGACTGGACTCTTTTCACTTTGTTATTTGAGGCTCCATTAGAATGATAACTTTTCAGAGATTTGGAGGTTTGCCTGTGGTCCAGCGGTTTATTTCTAATTTTTTAATATTGTGTTTATCCTGTCATGGTCTTTGGTCACCTCGATTTAGCAGGCATTTCAGATGGTACCTCCCAAAAAACCAAGATAAACTCGTTGAAATGTAGCCAGCAATAGATGCGCGAATGTGTTTTTGTGTGACTATTGCTTTTGATAGTTCAAAGAAAAACAAGGTATTTACGGTACTCTGATTCATAGACCAAAAGAGCTTTTTTTTAAAAGAGGAAAATAAGAAAAAAGAAAAATAGGACAGGTTTTTACCGCAAAGTAGCTCAATTCATAATCCAGTTTGAATGAGCTGAATTACTTTATAGATCTTTGTGGAGTTTTGGGAAGCTGTTGAGACAGAAGCTCAGTTCAGATATTACTTGTGTGTAGGTACTCAAGATTTCAAGCTGATGCAGGGCTGCGTTTCTCCTGATATTGTGGTGTTCTGCTAGCTCTGCTATCTGATGTCTGCAGGTTGAACTGCTTGTGTTTAAGTGCACAGGGTTCCTAATCCTGCAGAGCCCCTAATTGTTAGCAGTTGTTCATGTGTAGGGGTTCCTTCAGAGGCAACCATGTTTCAATGTGCCATCATCAGAGAGTAGATATAGCAAGACATTCTGAGATGAAAAGTGTGGTGCTGTTCTGGGTTGAAACTACGAGTGCCCTACACACAAGTAGCATATAAATAGATCTGTATTCTTCCTCCCAGTTGGAAGGTTTCCTTCTTCTGCAATGTGACATAAATGAAAAGATGTTCTCAGATGTTTGAATTCACTGTCTGTCCCCCCCTTTCCCTCTAGAGAAGTCGCCAAACATGTCAGGAATCAAAAGAACTATAGAAGAGATGGACCCAGACTACGAGGAGATCTCACATGTACCTACAAATAAACGTCATAAAGCAGTTGAGCAGTCAGGTAAAAAATAAAAAATAAATTCGAATATTGAAGTGGGACAGAGATAAGAGGAGAAGAATATAGTCTGTCTATAGGTATTGGCTTGTGTTAGATTTCTAAAATATGCAGAACGCTGCTGTTTTTCTTTCACACTAATAGAATTGGTTTCAATATTTCTTTGTGTGAAATTCAAGAGCTGATGGATCAAGTGCCACCGTTTCCCATTTAATTTTATTAAAAACTTAAATTACTATAGCCAGACTGAACGTGAACTCCAATAATACTTGGTTTTACAACATTCTTCTCACATGTTCTGTGGCAGTGGATTTTTTTTTTTTTAACCACCACCTGCACCACAGCTATGATCTAAATTATTCTCTCTCTCTCTCTCTCTCTCTCTCTCTCTCTCACACACACACACACACACACACACACACAAATATAAAACATTTGGTCCCAGCTATGCATCTAACCAATTGTGTAGTTTGGTCCACGTATGGATTGCTGAATTTATGTGTCCAACTGGACTTTTGATGAAGATCTCCTGAAATGGATTGAGTGATTGACTGTTTAACTTCATCAAGCCCTTGTAAGAGCTTTCTTTCACCAATCTTCAGATTTTGGAGCTGTCATTCATGTGTTCATATATCAGTTATTGTATTGTGGTTCTTTAAAATATTGCATATTATTCTTGTATTATTTTAAAATGGGTGGGTGTCACACATGGGTGCACGCACACATACAAACAAATAAAAATGGCGTATTTTTTTCATTTCTTCATACCTTGGCCTGGTCATTTTGATACTAAAAAGTAAGCCAGAAATCCACATCGTCTTCCAGGCATAGAGGACTGTGTTGTTGCAAATGGCCTTAACTTTCTTGCCCATAAGAATATTCTTCTTCTTTGTGGACTCTTCCTGAACAGCACGAGATGCTGCAGTACAGAAGATCGAGGCAATTATTAAAGAGCAGTTTTCTGTAGAAATGAAGAATAAAGAACATGAGATTGAAGTCATAGATCAGGTATACAGATTTCAAGCTCAGTATTCTGTGGGAAGGGTTACAGTCACTATACTTCATAACGGGACTTTCATCTTCTCCCCACCCCCACCCCTTTTCATAGCGCTTGGTTGAAGCAAGAAGAATGATGGATAAACTGCGAGCCTGCATTGTTGCAAACTACTATGCTTCTGCTGGTCTTCTTAAAGTCGGAGAGGTAAAACTGATAGCAATGGAGCATGTGACTTTTTGAAAGAAAAAAAATTGCATTTACTACAAAGGAAAACCGCCAGATGTTTGGTGGTCTGCAACCTCCAAGGAAGCCATGGTCAGATAGGTGCTTCTGCTACACTCTGCAAGTGTTTATCAGCACAGTATATACTTTGATCAGGTGGACATGTTACTTTCTGTCATAACTTTAATTCTGAGCAAAATTGAAATGTGCTGCCTCCTTTGTTGTTTCAGGGAACCAAGACCTGTGATCCTATGGTTTTTAACCATCCATCTATCAAGAGATTTTTGGAATCTCCCTCCAGATCATCATCTCCTGCTAATCAGGGGTCAGAAACTCTGTCAGTTAACCATTCAGAGAGTGAATCATCCCAGCACATGGACTATTTGATGGGAAAGGACAATGGCAACCTGGATGTAGAAGAGCGATTATCAAACAAGCTCGACCAGAGGCTGAGGAAGAATTCTGGGCAGGTAAAATGAACCCGAGGTGTTAAAACAAGGCAGGAGGAAGGGGGAAAAATAGTGTTCTTTTGTATTCAAAGGCAGACATGGCAAATATATTCCTGACTTCTGCTGTGCCTTCTGAAACCCACAGAGATGGTTTCATCTTCAACACCCCTCATTAGCACTGTTGTAGAAAGGGGTCAATTACAGGTCTCATTATATTGCTTTTTGCTGCCTGTTTTCTGCTGATGTAGCACTATGTGCAGCGATAATTTCAAAATCGTTGTGCTCCATCATCCACAACACCCCCCCCACCCGTTCTTAACTTTATTTTCCAGCTTCTAAAAATATATAGAACAAATAATCCCTGTTATACACCTCTCCAAGAAATGTTCCATGCATATACAATTCAAATAATACAGTCAAACATTGTTTGTAGATAATTTAGAAGTGATTACGTCAGTTAGGTGCTTTCTGGTCCATGTCTAGGCAGATTGTCCCAGAGTGAGTCATTAATAACATTAAATGGTGTAAAGTTAGTTCAGTTTCTACAACACCTTTGGAGAGGGCAGAGAAATGGGTTATTTTCATCTTAGTTTTTTTAATGTGAGAGAATTACGGTCCCTGTCCCTCAGAGGAGTGAAAAGAAATTTAATCCCCAGTAGTGGCAGACCTTACGTGATGAAGCAGAAAAATCCTTTCATGGAATGTACCTAAATTGACCTTTTTTTTTGTTCTGCAGCGGCTCTGCGTCTCCCTACTCTTGCTTAGATTTGCAAATGTGCTAAATATCTTTAAAATGGGTATTTTAAAATTTGCTGGTCGTTTTATCATTTTCAGGGTTGTTCTCTATTAGCCTTTTACTGCATACAGGAGTATGTCCTTTTTGCAACTTAAAACAGTAGCTGCATCTTCCTTGCAGGGGGGTAAAATTAGAGTAAATGTGTGCGTAAGCAGATTTCTAAACAGATTTCTGTTTTGTCCTCAGGGCACTTCTGGTGTTGCTAGAGGTCACAAAGGGGCCCTGAGAAATGCTGGTCACTCAAATGATGAACATTCGCGGCTGTTTGTGAAGAAAACCATAGTGGTTGGCAATGTCTCCAAGTTAGTACCTGAAGTCTTGTTCTTGTGTGTTCTTTGACTGTTCGTCTGGAATGTGGATCGCATCTAGAGAAATGGCTAAACAATGTGTGCTTTAATATTTCAAAATGTTTGTAGTGGAATTGATTTAAGTGATTATTTCCCCCCTCTGCCAGGTACATTCCTCCTGACAAGAGAGAAGAGAATGACCAGTCCACTCATAAATGGATGGTATATGTACGAGGGTCCCGAAGAGAACCCAGCATTGATCACTTTGTTAAGAAAGTCTGGTTCTTCCTTCATCCCAGCTACAAACCTAATGATCTTGTCGAAGTCAGGTAACAGCACTTTCGGTGAAATTTCCAACTTGCCCCAACTGACTGACAGATTTTCAGAACCTCAGTGATTTTTACTTAGGGGTGGGGTTCCAGTACTCTGGGAAGGGGGTTCAAATCCTCTCTGGCTGATATGTGGCATCATATGCCCAAGAAGGTAAACGCAGAAGAGAGCATAACCCTTCCCCTACCTACTGTTTTTCAGTCAAGATCTTATGCATGAGTAAGCCTGTATCTGGAGCCCAGCAGAAACAAAAGGCATACTGAGCAGAAAACAGATGGCAGAGATTGTGTGGAGCAGCTGAGCTCCTCACCCCATCTGTGTGTCTTCCCAGAATTTCAGCTTTCTGTCTGTTTTTCTAAGCATGGTGCTGAGATGTGTATTTAGCTATATCGCAGCTGGGGAACCCACGGTTCTTCAGATGTTGTTGGCCTCTAGCCAGCTCCCACTAGCCCCAACCAACATGGCCAATGGACAACAATGATTATTATTACAATTTATTACTCTCCCTTCACCCTAAGGTTCCAGGGCAGGTTACTAGGTAAAAAGGTAAAGGTAAATGACCCCTGGTTGGTTAAGTCCAGTCAGAGGCAACTATGGGGTGCGGCATTCAACTCACTTCAGGCTGAGGGTGCTGGCATTTGTCCACAGACAGCTTTCCAGGTCATGTGGCCAGCATGACTAAACCGCTTCTGGTGCAACGGGACATCGTGCCAGAGTGCATGGAAATGTTGTTTGCCTTCCTGCCACAGCAGTATCTATTTATCTACTTGCACTCGTGTACTTTTGAACTGCCAGGTTGGCAAAAGCTGGGACAGAGCAATGGGAGTGGGTTACTAAATGAGGAACACAACGTTAAAATTAAAACACAATTTTAAACAGCCCAGCAAACAATTTAAAACAACTCAACATTACAAAAATAAGATCGGTCCTAAAAATATACATCTCAAGCGTCAAAAGCCAGGGTAAAGAGTCTTTAGCATTTGCCCAAAGCTGTATATGAAGGTGCCAGACACCTCTGAGGGGAACTGTCGTACAACGTAGGGAGGACCACAGATTATAAAACCTTTCTAAAGTCAAATAGCCAAGACTGCAAATATTAGGGAGGCTTGAAAAATTTGAGTAGTATGTTCAGTACTTAAGATCCTTAAAATTCTTTGGCACTGTCTCGAATACTTGAATATCACTATGGTAACTCTTTGCTGGTCTTCCACCTTATGTCGGCCTTGTTGCTTGTTCTGCACCTCCAAATCCCAAGCTCAGAAGTATCTTGTATGTAGTGGAAGACTTTTGTTTTGAAAAATGATCCTTATTTCTAGAGAGCCTCCTTTCCACCTGACTAGACGGGGCTGGGGAGAGTTTCCTGTCAGGGTTCAGATTCATTTCAAAGACAGCCGGAACAAAAGAATTGATATCATACACCATCTGAAGGTAACTTCGCTGCAGTGATAATGCATAGATGAAAATACTCTCTTTTTGTATTTTTATTGTTTTGCTCTCACAAGAAGTAACACAGTAAACCCTGTTTTCTATGCTAGTCCTTTTATGGTTCAGAATAGTTGTGTCTTCTGTGATGCAATGCTCTTCTCAGGGAAATAAGTATGGCTCCCTCTTGCTTGGCTTTTAGAAGAGTCCTAACTTTTTTCTTATTATAGTTTGCTTTGGGGTGATTTTAGGGCACTGTGTTTTATTTACTGGTTTTATTTTATTTAACAAAGTTTATATACTACTTGATTGTAATGAAATCTCTAAACCTAAAACAGAACAACAAATAGCCCTCCATGCTCACACAAGTCAAAGTGCATAGTATCCAATGCCAGTCATTCTGGCATCTGAGACAGAAAACCCTACATGTATATCTTTCCCAACCCTACTCCCTGCAGTTAAAATACAAAATAAGAAATTAAAAAGTCAACAACTTTCTGGCATTTTGTGGTACCCCAAACCAACTGCATGGGGCAAAACCTCACTCTGCCTATTGGCAGGGCCAGTTCTGTTTATTGCTATGTGTCTTTTTAAAGTTTTGTGTATGTGTGTGTATTTGCTAATATTTGTGACAAAGACACCTAAACTTTTCCTTTCCTAATTGTTTCGTACAGTTGGATAGGACATACACAGGTCTACAGACGCTAGGTGCTGAAACGGTATGATTTTTAAAAAGTTTTTCTCAGGCTTTTCTTGTAAAACTGTAGAATGGAAACAGTGATCACTTTCTTTGGCCATCTCCGCCCCGCCCCGCAAAGTATGAGCAGTACAAATAGTTATCAAGCAGTTTACATGTTGAAAGTGCACTCTGTAAATTGTGCGCTGCTCACTGGGTGGGCCATCAGTGTCTGCTTAGAATTGACATGAGATGCACATGCTTTCTGCTCTTGGTCTTAGGCAGGATTTTCTGTGACCTCTTAAGAGGCCTGGCATGGGAAGCCTCTGGCCTGCAGGCCAAATTAGGCCTGACAGACGACCCCATCTGGTCAAGGCGATTTTGTTCCAGTTGCACCCACCAGTCACTCATCTGAAGTCATATGTCAGGTGTGTGTCACGTAAAATGGCATCTGCAAAGGGAGCATTACAATTGGAAGCCTTGGAGAGCACTCATGATTGTTCCTTTGCAAGTAAAGCATTTAAATTCAGTGCTGAATACAAGTTGCACGGCTGGGGTCAAGTTCACTCAGGAGATCCCAACTGGATTTGAGGTTTGCTGAAAGCAGACCTGGGAACAGTTTCCCTAGCAGATCTGCAGCGTGGCTTGATTTGATGGCAGATTTTAAACAATGCTGAATGTAAGCCCTGCTGGTTCAGATGGGGATCAGATCCACCTGATGTCATATAACTAGCTGATGTTCTCTGAGCAATACCTGCTTCTGTGGTTGGTTGCTTAACTGTTGGGTTACTTGAACTTGAGTTCAGGTGGATTTTAAGCAAACCAACACAATTCCCCCAAACCAGGAGCTTCTGTTGATGGGTGCAAAAGGTTTAGAAACTGGTATCCTTTGTATCTAAGTATGCAGTGAAGTCCCTCTCTGCACACTTAAAAAAATGTGTCGTCATCAGTTGCCTTACCATAGTTGTTTTTCTCTTGAAAGGTGGTGGATGTTGAATTGCACCGGCATTCTTTTAGAGAAGAGTATGTCTTCTCCCAGTCTTCAGATTCTGATCTTTCTGATGCCCCCACCTCGTTGCATTTGCCATTAAATATGCCAGCACCTGTAAAAGCATCCTCACCAATAAAGCAGATACATGAATCCATTACGCATACTTCTGCTGAGAAAGGTAAAATAAAAACGCTGGGGTTACTTTAGTTGGCCCTTCTGTTGCTAACAGTTGTGTTTGTGTTTATTAACTAAAAATAAAATTCAATAAAAAATTTAATAAGGCGGGGTTGGTCAACGTAATATGTGTGTGTCTTAGAGTTGGAGGAGAATTTGACCCAGACTGGAAACTGGCTGATCTGTCGATCCATAGTATGTATCCACCCAAACATATATTGGGAAGGGCCATAGCTCTTGCATGCCAAAGGTCCCAGGTTTAGTCCTTGACCATCTCAAGGTAGGGCTGGGAAAACCCTGGAGAGCTATTGGCAATCAGTGTAAACTCTGTGGACCAATAGTCCAACTAGGTATAAGGCCGTTTCCTTTGTTCTAAACAGTGTTATGTTGTAGAGTACATTATGATGAAAAAATTCTGATACTGAAACTTACAGGAGACACATCCTAGTTGACGTGCAGTTTCAGTGGGTGTGCAAGGAGAGAAACTTTTTATGGAATAAATAGTCTGAATAGGAAAACACTACGCTGTTTTGGAGATGGCGGCCTTTCAGATATTGAGAGCTCATTCTGAGGGACAGAAATAAGTTGTTTTAAACATTTTGATTTGTCTGCCTAGAAACACTTCATAACACTTAAAAAAACACTTTTATTCATCAGGGTTCAGATCTGAAGCCGAAAGACATACGACCTTCTATTCCTTGCCATCGTCTTTAGAACGGACTCCCACAAAGCTGGCTTCACAGAAAGTTACTTTTGGTTCTCACGGCAACTCAGCTTTTCAGCCAATTGCTGCTAGTTGCAAAATAGTGCCTCAGGGTCGAATCCCAAGCCCTGCTGAGTCTCCGGGCAAGTCTTTTCAGCCCATCACCATGAGTTGCAAGATTGTGTCAGGTATGGCTTGGTTTGTGCATCAAATTGTGTTGTACAGCGAGATAAGAATAAACTGCCTGCTCTTTCACTGAGTACAGTTACAATCTTGTATGTTGTGAGGAGGGGTGGGGGGGTGCCACACAAGTCAAGCCAGAAGCATGAGATAGTGACACTCAAGTAGACGCTATGTCACATATGCAGCCTCCATACTTAGGAGTAGTTTTGCTCCTAGTCTACTGAGCCCCTGTCTTCCAGGTTGTAAACTCCCTAGTTCTTAGGTCATAAGGGGCAAAATGCTAAGAAGCATTACAAAATGTTTAATGCTACTGGGAATGAACAAGAAGCCCACAGCCTTAAGGCACATAGGGCCAGATTCTGTTAATGAGCCCTGCTCTTGTGTCCCACAAATTGGCTTGGAGGTTGTTGGGGGAAGGGGAAGCAGAGGGGAGATTTTTCCATTTGATGGAGCAATTTCCTTAGCACTACCTTGATAATTCCTTCCATAGTCCTCTATAGTTTGCTGTAGAAGTTGTGATGGAAAAAAGTATCATCTTTCAGTGTTCTAACTTCCTGTACAGAAGTCTGTTTCTGAAGAAAACACAGCAGGTGCCTGATTTTCATTGAGCTGCTTCTACGCTTGCAGTAGAATTGATTCTGCAAATTGCTGCTATTGTTGTTGTCATCGCTACGCAACCGTCACTTTGGATATCTGTCTGACATGTACAATGAAGAATCCCTTTCTGTTTCCTTAGGATCTCCGATATCGACCCCAAGTCCTTCTCCACTACCTCGAACTCCAACTTCCACTCCAGTGCATATGAAGCAAGGGGCTGCCACCCCTGCAGTCAATAACCCTTACGTTATTGTGGACAAGCCTGGTCAACCAGTTGGGGCAGCAGCCACGAGCACAGGTGTGGACTGTATGCGGGTGGGGAAGAATGTGCTCTCCTTTCCAGAGCCTTTGCAGTGTGTGTTTTGATTTGCCTTTGAGGCAGAATGTTCAGAATAACCCCTAACCCCTTGTGTGCTTCGCTCATGTCTTAATTGTCATTGCTGGATACCGGTGGAACAGCCATCTCCCTCACTAACTTTTGTTTTGTTTGTAAAAGGTATTTTCCTTTCCTAAGACTCCTTACTCCACAAACCTCACAACAGCCTTCAGCGACCCTGTGCCCTCTGGATATTTTGGTCTACAACAAAACATTCCTCCAAAACATCTTGCAGATGCTGGGTTGATGAAGGCTGCCTTATAGCATTCACTTCCATTCTCTTTGATCAGTTTGCCAGGGACAAGCAGTTGTTGTAAAGTAAATTGCTTGTCCATCCTTAGTTGCATCGAGCAGCTTTTTGCAGGTTTAGACATACCATCATAGATTAGTCAACTGCAAACATACTTCACTGAAGGCAGTTCCTGTAAAAGTGATTGTGTTCTGTGCATGCTAAGAACATAGGAAGGTATCTTACACTGAGTCAGACCAGTGGTCCATCTAGTTGTCTAAACTGACTGGCAGCAGCTCTCCAGGGTTTCAGGCAGGGAGTCACTCACAGCTCTACCTAGAGATGCTGGGACTTGAACCTGGGGTCTTCTCCATGCAAGGCAGATGCCCTGCCATTGAGCTACTGCTCTTCACGTTTCCTACCTGCGCTTCTCTGTTCTACAGTGTAACACAGGCTTTCTCAACCTTGGCCCTCCAGATGTTTTTAGCCTACAACTCCCATGATCCCTAGCTAGCAGGACCAGTGGTCAGGGATGCTGGGAATTGTAGTCTCAAAACATCTGGAGGGCCGAGGTTGAGGAAGCCTGGTGTAGCATGTAGAAGGTGGGGGAGGGGAACTTTTGCACCCAGAACTTTTCAGCTCAGAGACACTGCTGAGAGACGGGGAAAGTGTGTAGGAAATGGTGGCAACCATCTCTCACGTGATTTGTGCCTAGTCCTGGCAGAGCTGTAGATTCTCTGGGGCTGCATTCAGCATGTGGGCATAGAAGAGATGTATTGCTTTCTAGCAAAATGGGAAGCAGACTGGCGAATGAGCACCCGTCCTCTCTGTGGCTTTGTGGGTGTCCCCCTCTGTCTGTGAACCACCTGCCATGTTGCCTTCCTTGCAAGCAGGCAGCGGTTGTTCCATTCCGCCAGTTGTCCAGCAAGGAAAAGGTGATTCTGTTCAGAGCTGTAATGTGACAGTTGTTAGAACACACTGAAGCTACACCAGGATGGCCAAATGTGTGCTGTTGTATTTCTCAATATATAGGGAGCCCTGGAAGTAAGGCTTCAAGTGTTTCTCAAGCCTCTCAAGGGACAGCATCTCCGGTATCAAAGATCCCTGGGAGCAGTTTGGTAACCTCTGCTGTCAAGGTAACATTCCTTTGTTTGGCTTTTCTGTTTCTGTTTTGTTTTTAGAAACTTGTTCAGGTGGAGTATTTTGTCTTTTATTCCTTGATATTCCATGGCAGTGTAGTGCCTTTTTCTGGAAACTGTACGTAGAGTTCTGGTTCATTTTATTTATTCATTAAATTTATATCCTCCCAGGGTGATAAGCAGTAAGCGATAAAACATCTTAAAAACATGGTTAAGTGTTTTATTTCTGCATCCCAAACATCTCTTATGTTGGAACTGCTTTCAAATGTCTCTCAAGTGCTCTATCCTTAGTGTTCTCCCACCAAAACCACAATTTTCTCTGTATTTCACGGTCCTGTTTTTCAGTGGTGTTTGGAGAAGCCAAAATGCCTATTTGCAATGCTGTCGTGTGTCTCTCTATTTCTAAGTAAGTCCTACTGAATTCAATAGAGCTGACATCCTAGGTAACCATGCATAGGATTAGGGACTTGGGCAGTTTTTCCCTCCAGGGTAAGTCTGGGCATGGCCTATTTATAAATTACATTGGTGGAAGACACACAATCTCCGTAGTTGCAACATGTTTCACATTTCCAAAAATCAACAAGTAAGCTGAGGTTATTGAGTGCATTTCTTGTTAAGTGTGGTGTTGTCTTCTGTGTAGGCACAAATTTTGTATTTAGGGAAAACACAGGTAGCACTTGACAACTTTATAGCTACCATTGTCAAAATAATATTTATGTAAACATTTGGGGTGAGGGAAAGAGATTCCAAATAGCCAGTGGTGATTGGGAACCTCACCAGTAGAGAAGCACTGGGAGCAATTCATTTGGCTTTTTAAGCTGACGCAGACGAATAATGTTAGTATACTTCTGGGCTGGGGAAGAAATCTCAAAGGTACAGAACTAGATTGTTGCAGATAAATGGTACTTCAGAAGGTGATGGATTTGTAGCAGAATTTGGAACTTTTGAATACTTGCTTTTATTACTTCTTACAAAAGAGAACATTCACCATAAGCTAAATCATCTTAAGAAGCGATAGATAAGCTTGTTGTGTGTTTCAATAGACTGCTTCTAGTATTTAAAACAAGATAATTTTTGTCTAGAATTGTTTCCTATGCAACTTGGGTGTTGATGCAAAAGTAGTAGAGAAAGCCATTCCTTTGTCACTTATGAAAGCATCTCTACGTAGCAAGTTCTGTGCCGTTTTAACCAAACCTGGCACAGGTTAATGATGGTGATTTGTAATGAACTTATGCGTTCAGTAACAAGCTCATTGTATTTGGGAAGATTTTAATGAATTGAAGCCCTCCTAAAAGTGAGGATCTCTATTTCTGTACCTAACCAGGGCTGCTAACCAGTTAAATGCACTAAACATTATTTTTGCATCTGTCATTTTAACTGTTCAGTTGAGTACATTTATTACCAAAAGTTTAGTATTTAAAGGAGGACGGCATAACGTATGCTATAATAAACAAAGGTACGATTGTTAGAAGTTTAGATTCTCTTTCATTTTAGAATCACAACAGAACCAACGGCTTTAAGGTAATAAAACTTTGTGTCATTAACTCCCCATGAAACCCATAACTTTTTGCAGGCCCAGGTTGGCTTATGTTCCTTGTATTGAATAAGCTCATTTCTTGTATCATAGTGCTTAAAAAATAATAATTGCATAGTTAACTTAATTGTCTGCTTTGTATAATTCTAGCAGGAAGACTCTCTCTTTGCAACCATGCCACCTCTGTGTCCAATTGGGAGTCACTCCAAGGTACAAAGTCCTAAATCTGTGACCGGAGGATTTGGAACATTTACAAAGGTATTGGAAGTCTTATTATTCTCTTTGCAATGTGTAGCAGCAGTGCAAGCAGCATTTAACAGTGCAATTCATCATAAAGCATTCTAAATATGTGCTTCTAACTTTTGAGATTTTTGTTATTGATTGCTCAAGTAGATAGAAAGAAACTTTATTTGCAAATAAATACTACCAAAGCAAACTTGCCCAAGTATTGAAAGAACCCATTCTGATTTTTGTTTCGCTCTTTCCATAGTGTCTAGGGAACATAATGACCTGACAAATTTACCTTACCACCTTTTTCTTCTTTTTTATTGTTACACAAGCAACTGACTTTCTTTGGGGGAAGATAATGTTAATATACAAGTAATATGTGTGGTGCTTGGTCTTTATATATCAGTAAATATTTTGCAACTGGTCTGCCCAGAGCTGAGATTGAGCTCTGATACTATACAGTCATACCTTGGATCCCAAATGCCTTGCGAGTCGAACGTTTTGGCTCCTGAACACCACAAACCTGGAAGTGAGTGTTCCGGTTTGTGAACGTTCTTAGGAACCAGAATATCCGACGGGGCTTCCGGGGCTTCTGATTGGCTGCAGGACCTTCCTGCAGCCAATCAGAAGCCACACCTTGGTTTCCGAACATTTTGGAATAATAATAATAATAATAATAATAATAATAATAATTTATTATTTATACCCCGCCCATCTGGCTGGGCTTCCCCGGCCACTCTGGGCGGCTTCCAAAAGAATATTAAAATACTATAATACATCAAACATTAAAAGCTTCCCGAAACAGGGCTGCCTTCAGATGTCTTCTAAAAGCCTGGTAGTTGTTGACATCTGGTGGGAGGGTGTTCCACAGGGAAGGCGCCACTACCGAGAAGGCCCTCTGCCTGGTTCCCTGTAACTTGGCTTCTCGCAGTGAGGGAACCGCCAGAAGGCCCTCGGTGCTGGACCTCAGTGTCCGGGTAGAACGATGGGGGTGGAGACGCTCCTTCAGATATACTGGACCAAGGCCGTTTAGGGCTTTAAAGGTCAGCACCAACACTTTGAATTGTGCTCGGAAACGTACTGGGAGCCAATGTAGGACTTCCAGAATGGATTCTGTTCGACTTCTGAGGTACCACTGTACTGTTTCAGGGCAAACCAGACATGTTTCAGATATTTTTTGCAAATATACTCCTCTTCTGGTAACTTCTCTCAGAAGCTGTTCTTACCGTGTCCCCTGGTTTTAGGATACAGATGCAACTATGAACTTTTGAGGGACAGTCGTATATGAATTACTTAGTGCTCAATCAAGCAACCTATTTGTTTCTTGTAAAAAAAATAGACAGCCATGGTGTAAGAGCTTTTATGGGGTTTTTTAGTAGAGATTAAATTCTTCCCTTCCACTTGATTTATTTGAAGGTAATAATCAAGCAAGAGCCTGGAGAACCGCCTCAACAGTCTCCAGCACCAGTGACTGGGACAACCTCTCAGACCTCAGTACAGCAATACGTTACGGTGAAAGGAAGTCACATGATTGCTTTGTCACCCCAGAAGCAGATTGTGAGCACTGGAGAGGGATCCACATCATCTAAGGTAAAATAGTTTCCATTTCTTTTTATTTCCTTTGGCTGTTTTCACCTGGCTGTAGGTCATCCCAACCTATTTTCAAGCTGTGGTGTGCAGATGTAGATTCGAACCTGGATTTAGTTGCCTGCCGTGCTCAACTGCTGAAATGTTTTTAATTGATTTCATTTATAGGTTTGTTTAAAACTTTTTTGGTAGATGAATGAAAGTATAGAAGTGCCTAAATTAAATAAATGCATTTGTCTCTACTAAAGACACAGTCAGTGCTTTGGGAATGTGGAAAAACACCAGTTCAGAAACCATATAGTTTCTTTGTAAACCTGCATTTTGCATCTGGGTAGCATGTCCTGCATTTGTTCTCACACAGCTGCCACTTCAGGCCCAGTTTGTGCAGCTGACTTTTTTGCATTATTAAAATCCCATTGCAGTAATATTGTATCTGTTGCCTTAGAAAGGTTATTATATTTGTTATCCATAGATACGTTTTGGTTTGTGATGGGCTTTTAAGTGGTGTAACATTCATATAATCAAACTGAGTTAATTGATGATTGCCAGGTTTTGAGTCACCTGTGTTTGTTTGGTTGTTGTAATGCCATATTGTTTTTCGTGTTTTCCTGCTCTCTAATGGGCCAGTTTAATTAATAGATGGTCACAATCTGTTTTACTGTAGGTCATTGGTGTTCCAGTCGGGTCTGCTTTACCCAAGCAAGCTGTGGCTATCGGTGGCGGGCAGATATTAGTAGCAAAATCCAGCCCTTCTGTCACAAAGGCCGTTGGTGGAAAGCAAGTTGTAACGCAAGGAGTTGCAAAAGCAATTGTGAGTGGCGGTGGAGGGACCATCGTGGCTCAGCCTGTGCAGACTTTAACGAAAGCTCAGGTGCCCTCAGGAGCTCCCAAAAGTGGAACTCAAGGACCAGGTAAAGCTATCTTATTTGCAGACACCTTCAGAAACAATTACATGGAACCAGTTAATATGCAGTTCTGGAATATTGTGGTAATCTTCTAAATCCAGTTGAGGTGTGGCATGCATAAATTTACCAAGCAGGACTGTAGAAAAAGCATTTTTAGTGCTAGTTTGTGCTGTTGTAACCCATGTCTAGGCACTGAAGGAAGCTGTCTTCATGTTACACCTGTGTAACATCGCACTTCTGTACCTATTCCTATTGAAAATGCAGTGAGAAACAGATTGTCCAAGAGCTGTTTACCACAATAGCTGCTCGCAAGAAGTGGTCTTTTGCCTTCACCAGTGCAGATTTCTTCATTCTTAATAAAGAATATATTTTGTTAGTTTTTAGAAAGACAGGAGGAGCATGGGTGCAGGGTCAGAAAGACAGTTTGCCCCCTTCCAGTGGAAATTTCTTGTTCTGCCTTGTGAGCTTTCGTTTGTTTTTCTTGCTTGTGACTCCTCTGCCTTCAATAACTTCTGCTCCTTCGATCAGTTTTGCTTATGCCCACGCACTCCTCTTTGCACAAGGAATTTCCCAAGCATGCGCCCTTTGCAGTTCTGTTCAGATTCTTCCTCACAGCCCTCTCCTTCCGCAAGATCTTGTTCTGCTAAAGCTTCCAAGTATTCACGTGCATTTTGCTCACAATCCTATAATGCAACAGCTTGCCTCCATCTTCCACAAGTCTAACTGGAGGTTGAGAGCTTCTGTAAATAGAGGGTTTGCCTCTTCCTTGCTGTGTGAAGTGACTTGAACTTGAATCCCAGTATGAAGAAAAAAACTATTGTTGAAGTCATAGTGGGAAGTCATTAGCTCACCATCTTAAAAAAAAGTACTCAAATAAATAAAAATGATACAGAAAAGATTATTGCTGGTTTTATCTGTTCCTATTTGAAATAGTGTTTGGCAAAAGACGGTCTCTGTAAGTCTGGGTGATCTTCATTTTTGTTTCTGTTTTTCCTTTCAGTGATGGCAACATTGCAACTTCCAGCCACGAATCTGGCCAACTTGGCAAATCTGCCCCCCGGGACTAAGCTGTACCTTACCACAAACAGCAAGAACCCTTCTGGGAAAGGAAAGCTGCTGCTTATACCTCAAGGAGCCATTCTGCGAGCCACAAATAATGCCAGTTAGTGTTAAACGGGTTGAATCTAATGTGCTTGGTGTAGTGATTCCATAACACACATGAATGGAGTAGACGCTGCTACCCTAGTCTGGCCACGCAGCGTTCCCCTAAAGGCAACAACTGTTAAACGGTGCCTCCTTGAAGCTTGTTAAAATGAATCATGGGACTAGGCTGCCCTGCATATGTGATTGTTTTGTTTGTTCCAGATCTGCAGTCAGGCTCTTCAGCAAGCGGAGGTGGGGCAGCCCAAAGCACAAGTACTGGCTTATCACAGCATCTTACCTACACGTCCTACATCCTCAAGCAAACACCACAGGTCAGTCATAATACAGTTTTCTGGGATGAAGGCCCATCACATGGGCCCATGGTTCCAGCTGTCATCTAAAAAAAAAAGGAAATGCACTCAGAGTTGTGGGAAGTAGGCATGACCAGTTCTCTTCATCCGCATTCCATTTCTTGCAGTCACTGTGGTCTTTGTTTTGGAGTTGGGGGTGGGGGTTTCTCCATGAGTTTTGCCACTCCCTTCTGTTGATCTCTGCTGTTGCTGGATGCTAGATAAAACATGAGTGGCTTTGGGTTAGGTCACTAATACAATTGGTTAGAGCAGGGAAAGCCCATGTGTTTGCTGGACTCCAGTTTCCACCCTTCCTAACCACTGGCCATGCAAGTTCTGGCTGATGGTTGTTGGAAACCCCAACAATATGCGGAGGTCACTACATTGGTGATATACTCCTGGGTTAGAGTATGCCTTATATTTGAGCCTAAAGGCTTAAGAAGCGGGAATTGGCCTACAAGGGGCCCTTATCTTGAGAAAGCACAGTCTCTGTGAATCTGCGTTGACATTCTTTAAAAAAAAATATTATTTTTTATTATAAAATACACACATATTGCGAATATACAAGCATACAAACATACATTTGTGGGACTGAATGTAGGTATGTTTGTATATATTTAAGGATTGTATGAAATGTGTGTTTGTGTTGACATTCTTTCTTGTCTCCATAGCAAAAATGTAATAGTGATAGTTGTGCAGGAGGCAATTGTGTTATGTAGCACGCCAGTAGCCAGGCTGAATTCATTGAAACAAACAGTGAGGAAGGAGTGTTTTATGAACATCTGAAACCATTTGACAGGATAATGTATAAATAAAAATAAAATTAGCCTTCCCCAGCCTGTCGCCTTCCAGATATTGTTGGACTCCCAGCTCTCTCCCATAAGTCCCATAAGGTCATGGCCAGGCATGAGGAGAGTTGGGAGGCCAGCAACATCAGGTTGGGGAAAGTTGTTGAGTTTCTTAACTGAGATGAGGTGGTATCCCCCAGATAAGTGGTATTGGAAGAGCAAAACAGTTTGCCTGTCAAAAAATCAAACCTGAGAGGGCCAGAATTTGCAGTAGGACTTCTTCTTTAGAGAGGTTTCTCTTTGGTGGTGGTGGGAGCAGAGTCCTTGGGGCACTCACTGTAGCAGTTTCCTTCTTTGGTCCAGGGCACCTTTTTAGTTGGCCAGCCATCTCACCAGAGTTCTGCGAAACAAGCAACATCTGGAACAGTTGTGCAAGGTAATGCAAGTGCTGGGACACCATCTGCACAAGGACACCAGGCGTTGAAAGTGATAACTGGACACAAAACAGCAGCTCTGTTTGCACAGGTAACTTCCATGTTTAGGGCTTTGATTGGGATTGAAAGAGCAAACACACAACTGGTCCAAGGGGGCTTTGGGCTTGTGTGTACTGTGAAACAGCAGCCCTTTCAGTATGCCTACATATCATGTAACTTCTGAAATGGGAGGGGGCTTTCAAAAGGTTCTTGTGATACGACATGGGGCGGGCGAGGTCAGTTATCCAAATGAAATAGTTGGAAATGCAACTGGGCAGGCCCAAGTCCTTGGGGATGTCTAAAGTAGCTCCCTGGATCTCAGCCTTTATTGCAGACTTTTGTTATCAAAGGAAAAATTCAACACTATAAAAAGGTTCTCGACTTCCTCATCACAATAGTGGGATTAGGAGTGGGAAAGTAGAAACAAGGAATTACTTTCACTTGCTTTCCAAAACAGTAACTGTATTGATCTGTTGTACAGAAAAAGAAAAGTACCGGTAATCCCATCAAACCCAGTGGGACTTTCTTCTTGGTATTCTGTGTTTCCAGGCCCATCCCAAAGCATTTAAAAACAGATTGGGAGGAATGCCCACTTATTTTCATCACATTTTTTTGCAAACCTTTGATTCACAGGAAGTTGCGGTTTCCATTTAAATTTTTACAGTGGTACCTCAGGTTAAGTACTTAATTCGTTCCGGAGGTCCATTCTTAACCTGAAACTGTTTTTAACCTGAAGCACCACTTTAGCTAGTAGGGCCTCCAGCTGCTGCCGTGCCGCCGGAGCCCGATTTCTGTTCTTATCCTGAAGCAAAGTTCTTCACCTAAAGCACTATTTCTGGGTTAGCGGAGTGTGTAACCTGAAGCGTATGTAACCTGAAGCGTATGTAACCCGAGGTACCACTGTATTTTAATTTCAAAGGCAGCTTCCAGTGGACAAGCATCACTGATGAAAATATCCGATAATACACTGAAAACCTTGCCAGCATCGTCACAGCTCTCAAAACCTGGCACCACTGTGCTAAGAGTATCTGGTGGAGTGATCACTGCAGCAACAACGTCGTCCGTGACTCTCCCAACAAATGGAGTTGCACAGGTGAGATGAAGTGGTATGTCAGGTTTCTAGTGCAAGTGCAACCGCTCAGGAAAGTAGCCTATGAAATTAAAATCTTCTACTTCATCAGTTTTGATTCCCTTGAAGTAAAAGGTAGTTTAAATTTTCAGAAACCGTCCTGCTTGCTACTAGCTTTACTTAAAAAGAAAAGAAATTACTTGGTGCAATTTGATATTTTGCCTTGGCTTATTCACCCAAAACTACTGAGATGAATTTTAGTTCAATATTTGTGGTTGCCACTGACCCCTGACTCCTCTAGTTCTGCGGCATTTGTAAAGAAACTTGCAGAATTTTTATTCCTTTTGTTACATGTACACCTCTCCTGCCTCCCACAGTAGAGCTCCAGGCAGCGTACAGATCCCAGGCTGGATCAGCAGGCAGAGGAGGGCTTAAGCAGCTCTCCTGTTCACTCTGTGATTCTCTCCTACAGATTGTTATTACTATTCATTAAATTTGTATACTGCCCTTCATCCGAAGATCTTGGGGCAGCTCACAGAGGCCCCCACATAATCTTGGTTACGTGCATGTCTAAAAGCACAAGTTTGCGAAGGTAATGTGTACTTCCACATTAAGTTCGTAAGGGATGAATGAATTCCTAATTCGTGCTGGCTGGTGTTCTTCAACCCAGTATTCAATTATTTTAACACAGCAAGCGGACAGTGCAAGTTCTAGCTCATCTCCAGCTGCAGGCCCTGTAGTGAAGGCGTCTGGACAGCAGCCACAAGTTTCTGCCAACCAGGGGCAAGCAGCATCGGCTGTGCCTAATAAAACAAATGCATCTGCGGTTGTAAGCATTGCTTCTTGGGTGGCTGCCCCAGCCCCAACCTCTGGGAAAACTGCAGTATCAGGTAAGGAAAATTCCCTTTCCTTTGCTCCTGCTACCTTTTAAATCTAGACCTATAATGCATTGATATTTTGGGTGCTGAAATGGCAGAATTGGGAGCACCTAACTAGGACACTGTTGGGACGTGGGTGGTGCTGTGGGTTAAACCACAGAGCCTAGGACTTGCCGATCAGAAGGTTGGCAGTTCGAATCCCCGCGACGGGGTGAGCTCCCGTTGCTCGGTCCCTGCTCCTGCCAACCTTGCAGTTCGAAAGCACGTCAAAGTGCAAGTAGATAAATAGGTACTGCTCCGGCGGGAAGGTAAACGGCGTTTCCATGCGCTGCTCTGTTTCGCCAGAAGCGGCGTAGGCATGCTGGCCACATGACCCGGAAGATGTATGCCGGCTCCCTCGGCCAATAAAGCGAGATGAGCTCCGCAACCCCAGAGTCGGTCACAACTGGACCTAATGGTCAGGGGTCCCTTTACCTTTTAACTAGGCCACTGTATTTGTGGCCTGACCTCTTTCAAAAGAAAATAAAAAGTGCTGGTGTTTGGTCTGCCTCTAGGCCATTTAGGAGTTTAAAGGTATCTTGAGGTCAGCCTTCATACATATGCATGAGCTTTGAGTAGCATCTGCTCTTTGACCCAGAATTAATAAAGTGCCAATTGGCGAGTTCCAAGGATGCAGCCTTTTTAGTAGTGGCAACACTATTGCCAAATCTTCTCCCTGGAAAGTCCACCAACTTTCCACTCTTCTGGGGGGGGGGGGGACTTTATTCCTGTCAGACAGTTTTAAAATCTGCTGCTGCTGTGCTTTTCTGCTTGTTTCCCTTGGTTTATTTAATCTGTGTTTTTATTGTTTTTATTTATGGGGGAGGGGGTTTGTAAGCCACTTTGTGGGGAATTTTATTTAGATACGGGATATAAGCAGTTATAGTAAATATTTTGAGGTGGCAGCAAGTGGTTTAATTTTTTTTTTTATGTAAGTAACTATTTGGAAAAGTTAAGGTGCAGCTAAACTCTGCATCTGTGACTGCTAAAAGGGTGCAGAGTTCTTAAACTCTTGCACTGCTTCCAGAAGATGCACAGATAGTCAAAAACCTATGTTCTCAAGGGAAAGGAGTTCCACAGCTGAGGGTCTGTTGCTGAGAACCCCTCTCTGTGTGCCCTTGCAATCCTAGAGAAGGTACGTGGATGTTTGACTGAGAGGGCTCTCACAACTAGACAATGTGGACAATATGTGATCAGGAGCTCCTGATGGTTATTTCAATTGCCAATCTGATTTGGCTCCCCTGCGGCTGCTACTATTCTTCTTCTTCTCTCTTTTGATATCTTTAATTTATAAATCCTCAATCACAAGAATGAAATGTGTTTTCTTCAACATAACTTACCTGTTCAACTCCATTTCTAAATAACAGAACTTTGTTCTGGATAGGCAGTATTTATCAGTGGTACATCGCTCCATCACTACTTTAGAAATGCTATCTTTGCAGAAACAACTATATTTTTTTTGGTAATTATGACTTTTCAATTGTAGCTACAAATTGACTGTTTAATTGTCAGACTTCCTTAGTGATGGTTTTCAGTTGATGCTTGATTCTGTTTTTATCAGCATCTCTCCCCTTTTTGTTGTTGCTGTTGACAGAAGAGCTGATTTCATAGTGTCTTACCTTGTGCAGAAAGGAGCAAGAACTCTCTTTAAGCATGACTTCTCTTCTAGGATTGTTAAAGATCCACTCCAGTCAAAATAGTCCCCAGCAAGCTATTTTGACGGTTCCCAGCCAACTCAAGCAACTTGGTGTGAGTGCTGCCTCTGGAGGAGTCCAAACAATATTGATGCCTGTGAACAAAGGTAAAATGCAGTTTGGCAAGACTACAAGTGTGTACAGATGCTTTTGATGAGAGTATTTGGACAGTTTAGGTAACCATATATTAGCTTAAGAAACAAGATATGGATTTTGCAAAAAACTAACTGACCAATTATGAAGTCTATTTACTATAGTTTCCCATTACGTCTTAACCAGGAAACTATAGTTATGAGCTTTGCAGCAATTCAGGTTATTAAGCCAACTTCAAACTAGAATAGCCTGAATTCTTCCAAAGCTGATAACCATATTTCCTGGTTTAGATGAAATGGGAAACTATGGTCAGGTGGATACTTCCTGGTTTGTTTGCCAGCTTGTACAAAACAGATCTGTGCACAGACTCAAAAGGCTTGTTCATATCTTAACATATTAAGCCAAGGCATGATCATCCAAGTGCAGTTGCTATTATGTGATACATAACGCACACTACTGACATTAACGCTAGACTTAAGCTGCTATAGACAAATTTCAGTTTCTGTACCAAAATACTATAAACAATTGATCAGGCATCTCCACTAAGGATTAGTAAAATAATTGATCGATACAATTGTCTAGCAGTTTGTTTGTTTGTTTGTTTGTTTGTTTGATTGATTGTTTGATGAAAATACCTACATATCAATGTGAAACCAGTATTTTTCTTTTCTCTCAGTGATACAATCACTTTCATCCAGCAAAGTATCTGCTGTTACACCCGTAACCTCAACAAATGCAGTTGTTCCAAGCCCTTCTGCAGTGTCTGTTGCAAAAGGTAAAATTATTTCTTATTGTGATCAGACCTTGCCCTTGCTCACCTGTGGAAAATCACTGACATCATTATTGGTGGTGGTAATCTAATTTATTTTATCTTTGATTTTTCTTCTGTGTACATTTTTACCAGGATCTGACTTGGATACAAAGACTTGCCAGCCTGATAACTTTTATGGCAAATGTACATGCAGAAATGTGGCTCTGAGCTTAGTAAAACTGAGTGGTAATGGGGGGCAGGGGGAGTGAAGTGGGCACATTGGTTTTCTTCTTTTTTTGTCCCACAGATCTCCCATTTTGTAACACTCCTCATTGAAACCAGTGGGGAAGAGAATTAACTACACTAGCTCCAGGCATAACTGATAAGCCTGAACCCAGGAATGGCAGGTCAGGTCTCTGGATCCAGCCCCATCCCTCAAGTGCCCTGGTTTGAGCCCAACTACGCTGTGGTCTAAACCACAGAGCCTAGGGCTTGCCGATCAGAAGGTCAGTGGTTCGAATCCCCACGACGGGGTGAGCTCCCGTTGCTCAGTCCCTGCTCCTGCCAACCTAGCAGTTCGAAAGCACGTCAAAGTGCAAGTAGATAAATAGGTACCACTCCAGCAGGAAGGTAAATGGCATTTCCGTGCGCTGCTCTGGTTCGCCAGAAGCGGCTTAGTCATGCTGGCCACATGACCCGGAAGCTATACGCCGGCTCCCTCGGCCAATAAAGCAAGATGAGCGCTGCAACCCCAGAGTCGGTCACGACTGGACCTAATCATCAGGGGTCCCTTTACCTTTGGCACTAATACTTACAACATGCCTCCAGAGAATTCTGTGGCAGGCAAGCCTCACTTCCCCACCAGCAAAGCTCTTTCCCACCATTGTAGAGGTACCTCTGCCCCATCAAGACAGTAGGACTGAGAGCATGGATCACTCTGTTAGAAGAAAAAGAAGAAGAAGAAGAGTTTGGATTTGATATCCCGCCTTTCACTCCCCTTCAGGAGTCTCAAAGCGGCTAACATTCTCCTTTCCCTTCCTCCCCCACAACAAACACTCCGTGAGGTGAGTGGGACTGAGAGACTTCAAAGAAGTGTGACTGGCCCAAGGTCACCCAGCAGCTGCATGTGGAGGAGCGGAGACGCGAACCCAGTTCCCCAGATTAGGAGACTACCGCTCTTAACCACTACACCACACTTAGCTTAATAAATAAGTCTGCAGTAGAGTAGAACAATGCTACAAGATACTCAGAAGGCGCTGATATGTCCATGGTCAGATTCCTTTATGCACGAGAACTAAAAGTGCATGCAATGACACATACTGCTGAGGCATAACAATATGGGTGCATTTTTCTCTGTAAGCAGTATCCTAAAATGTGGTTAATTAAAAAATGCTTTTCAGCAGCTCCAGAAGTACAGCAGTGGTTTCACTTGGGAGTCTTAGGGATAGTGCTAATGAGCTTTTAATATATTCCTCCCATAAGAAGCTGCTGGTCTCAGCTGAAATATTTTCCAAAATAACAGAACAGAAATATTCTTGTGTGGGAAATGAAACTTCAGGTCATTATCTTCCAAAAGAAAATTCTTCCAATATTCTAGACGGTGCTGTTGACTTCAATTCCACCACCAACATTGCTACCATCTCCTTTTCCTCATTATTCTTTTTTTCTATGAATTGGATGGTGACTTTTCAGGAGAGCATGGATATTTTAAAACTGTTTGGATGAATTGCAGGATTTTACACATATTTTAGAGGACAAGCAGGGACCTGGTTGCTCCAGCAACAAATTCCCTGGAGCCAGCACCATCTCAAGGTCTTTTTCTTGTCCTATAAATATATAAAAATTGCAGTTATTCAGTTATAAATAACAGCTTTGACTCCTTTATTAGCTAATTGGCAGGTTCAAGGCTAGGCAAACATATATTTTTCTACAGATGTCTTTAAAATTTTTAACAGGTGTATTTATTTTAATTATTCTTTTATCTTCTGAAGTTAAGCTGGAGCCTGATTCAGCAGGACAGAGCTGCAGTTCGCTTGTCTCCCAAGATGGTCAGGTGACAGTGAAAGCAGAGGAAAGTTCTGAACTTGGAAACTATGTCATTGGGTAATTATTCTTGCCAAGTTAAAACTTCATGAGTTGCAATAGGGATATTGCTCACTGGGGGCCATATTTGGGGGGTAGGTACCTAAAAGCGATAATATAAAACATGCTCTCTTGATTTTTTACAGGACAGAGTATTTGGACAACCTCCAGCAACTTTTGACAGCAATAGTAAAGAAAGTGCCATTGATTGCTGAGAGAAGTAAGAACCTGCAGAAAAACACACACACACAATTTTATTTACATGTCACCTTTCCATATTCAAACCATGCTCTAGGCATTACAAACGTTACAAACGTTACAAAAGTAGTAATTACAAACGTTACAAAAGTAGTCATAATCAGTAGATAAAAGATTTAAAAGTACACAACCAAATTGAACAATTTCTTTGCCAGTGAACTATGACCTTTGTGGCCATTTAACTTTGAGATTTCATCATGGAAAAGAGCAAAAGAACTCAAGAAGCCACAAAAGATGTTCTTTGCAAAATACATAGAAATCTGAATAATCTGAGTACTCTGTATAGTTCCAGTCTCACTACCCAGCCAGATAGGTGGGGTAGAAGTGATAAATTATTATCTTAACCTTAACTTAACTTTCTCTGCACAAGTTGTAAGTGTTGCAGGCTGCAATCCATTATTCATGTTGTTTAAAATATTTCTTAACAACTCCTTATTGGAAGATACCAGTGGTAGTGTGCTGAACTGTGAATAGAATTCATACAACATAAAAGTTCAGCTTAAAATCAAAGTTGGGGTGCCACCACAAAAAAGGCCTTCTCCTTTGTGGTAGGATAACATGCCTCTCTTAAGTAAGTAACGCCTCTCCAGATTACTAGAGATCTTCTGCAGATGCCCCTCTTGCATACTGACACCTTCAGGTGCTTGGGGTCTCAAGCCATTTAGGGCATGAAAAATATGCACCGACACCTTAAATTGGGCTTGGAAGCAAATAGACAGCCAGAGTAGATCTTTCAGAACAGGCGTCTGAATAGCTCTGGTTGTACTTGAGCAGCTGTGTAACACATTGCAGTAATCCTGCCAGGAGGTTATCAAAGCACGGTTCACCATGACTAGGCTATCCCTGTCAGGGAATGGTTGCAAGATGACAATGGCATCTGTAATACTCAGAAGGAACTATGAAGTTTCCAAAGCATTTCACATGCCTTATCTCAGTAATCCTTAGCCTTACTGACAGACCGGAGATATGTATCTTACCACTGCCGGTAGCTGTTTGCAGCCATTTGTCAATTCAATCCATCTGTTGCTAATTAAAGTAGGCATTGATTGCCTACCTGCAAGCTGCCCATACTGTTAGCACTATTAATGTTTCCCTGGTAACTAACCTTACATGGCTTGAGGGAAGCTTGAAAACAGCAGGAGCAAATGTGCAAAACTAGGTGGCGTAAAGAAAATGTAATGACAGGAGATGCCATAAATATGTGTAATGCCTCTTTTTAAAAAATGCTGTGTAATTGTGTGGGCCTCCTATTTGGGAAACAATGTTCTCCACCTCTGCTTTGTATTATTTACCCCCCAAAAAGCCTCTTTCCTGCTCTTATATTTTCTTTTCTGACATTTATGGATTCTTTTTACCAGCAGAGTTTCTATACCTTTCTGCAGTGTTGATGTTTTTTAATACAATTGGCCTTAAGTGATTTTCTTAGCCTAGTTTAACGGACAAAGGTAATTCCTTACTATGGATGCTGCTGACCAGTTTTCGTTTTTGAGAAATCAGAACTCTTGTTTCCATTTTCCTCTTTTGTTTCACTTTGTCCTTTGGGTCACTATAAGATAATATGAACTTAGAAAATGCTTGTGTTCTATATGCCTTGTAACTAAGGAAGTTTGAGCCTTTTTCTCTGAGGAAAGGCAACAGGAGAATCAGTATTCACTGAGTGGGTTGTCTATTAAGAACAGGAACCCTGAAAGGGATTTGCTGCTATTAGAATGTCCTGCTGTGGCTTACTCTCTGAATCGTTCATTTTGCTATTAGAATGTCCTGCTGTCGCTTATTCTCTGAATCGTTCATTTTGGCAGAACACAGGAGTAAGTGTTTAGATGAGATTGCCACTTATTTTTTAATTCTGAGGCTCAGGAGGTGTACACAACACACTTGTACTTTCTCCCTCATGCAAAATGATGCGCATAACAAAATGTTCAGGAATAGCCAGTCACACAATAAATTTAGTTTCATAGCTGTTAAAATTTATATTTTTTGTGCTTTCCCCCTGCTTTTTAGCTGAAGATGCCAACTCTTATTGTGCCAGTTCTGTGGAACAATATTATAGCTGGAATATTGGAAAACGGAGAGCTGCAGAGGTAAATCTTCTTAATGTGCTCTATAAAAATGAGCTTAAACCCTCAGAGAAATGTCTGGCTGGAAATCTGTGCCTTTGTGGAGCTGATTTTTATTTTTAAAATCTCTTCCAGAAGCCTAGGTTATATTTAATATATATGTGTATACCCATTTTCTTTTTTCTAATATAGTGATATTGGCTTAATAAAATGTAAATAAATTTGAGGTTTCCAGATATTTTTAGCACTAAGTGTGAATCATTGTGTAAATTCCTATGACTAATTTCCATTAACTGTTCTTTATTCTGAATTTTAAGTTGTTGTAACCTGCCTGCTGAAGGGTGGATGATGGCGATGGTAATATAAGAAATGGAAACGTGGTTCTTTGAGACTTCTACCATATCCTTATTCTGTGATTTCCAAGTTTTGTCTGAATAACCTAGATCATATGGAGTTAGTCAGGAGGCAGCATGGTTTAGTGGTTAAGAGTTTTGGACCAAGAATTGGGAAGACAAGGTTCAGTTTCTTCACGCAGCCATGAAGCTTGCTGGGTTACCTCGACCAGTCATACAGTCTCAGTCTAACCTACTTTGCAGGAATGCTTTGCTAATAAAAGATGGAGAAACTGTATGTTGCCTTGAACTGATTAGAAGAGGGTGTGTAATAGAAATCGGACCCCCCTGCTATGTATCCAAGGAAAGTGGCAAAGACTTGCAAAACACTTCAGTGGGGGGGGGGGGGAATCATAAGAGCTGTAATGAAATGAAAGGCAGGTTTACATTAGTAAAAACAATGAAATTAAGGACACCTTCACTTTAATTTCCCATTGGAGATTTATTACCATTGTTAAACATACTATGACTAACTGCTTGGCCAGTCTTTGGACAGAGGATTTGCTATTCATTTCTTCTTCTTTTCTTTTTTCCTTATTTGTTCTTCTGTTTCTCTTTCCTGTTTCACAAAATGACCCCTCTGTTGTGCACAGAATACAGGAAAGTAGGGAGGGCACCCAAACAAGGCACACATTGTCCCTCCAGATGTAGCAGGCTGCAACAATAGACCCATTTGCCTCTCTACAAGTAACAAAATAGTTAGCAAGCTTTGTCAGACTCTGTTTCAGGCTGCAAACAGGGAGCGAGGCTGGGAGCATGATTCGTGAAATTGTACAGGAAGGGACTGTACTGTGTGTGTGGCATGGGGCTGGTGGTGCGGGTTTGTAATGCCCCCGCCCCCCCAAAAAAATTCCGATGCTTGGGCCCGGCACAATTTAAGTATCCCTTGTTCTTTGAATGATCTAGAGCAGGAATAGGCAAACTCCAGTGCTCCAGATGTTTGGGACTACAATTCCCATCATCCCTGACCACTGGTACTGTTAACTAGGGATGATGGGAATTGTAGTCCCAAGTATCTGGAGGACCGGAGTTTGCCTATGCCTAATCTAGAAATACACTAAGAAATCACCATCAACCTTAGTTTACGGATTTAAAATCTAAGGCCATACACTGATCAAGGTACTGAACCCATAACTGTTTCTTAAGCTCACTTGGGTATAATATGTAAAAGCAGCTATTTTCATAATGTCCTATTTTTCATCATGGATCTGATGAAATGCATTCCTGTTTCAAAAGCTTTTTGCTACAATAACTATATCTGCAGTGCTCTTGGTTGTTGTTTTTCTGCAATGAACTACTATGGTGTTTTGTTTTGTTTTGTTTTTACTAATTTACCATAATTGATCCAATTCTAAAGTTGTAAAAGATGGATAAAAACAGGGGGGTTTTGTTCTAAATCTTAGCTCTTGTCCTTTCTGGATTTCCCCCCATTATAGTGGCAACGAGCACTGACAATACGGAAAATCCTCCAAGAAATCATAGAGAAACACCCAAAATTTCACAGCATTACCCCCTTGAAAACAAAGCAGGTTGTAAATTGGTGTCGCTCCCGTGGCTACACACCACCTGACCCGGAAACTCTGAGGAATGAAGATTCCATAGAAGATGTGCTGACACAAATAGACAACGAGCCAGGTAAGGAGTCTTATTTTAGAATCTCAAAACATCTGTACCTTGGTGATGATTTAACAACGCACCACCTCCAGAGTTCCATTTATAAGCCCCTGGCGCCAGTTTAGTTCTGTTCTGTCCATTTCAGTTTTTGCTTTTGGGATCCCAAAGAAGCCACTAAATTTAAGAAAATTTGCTCTGATTCGATGCTCCTTTGGGTTTGGTGAGATTCAAAAGAAACTACAAGGTTTTTCAGGCCACCACCACCATTAGAGGCACAGGAGCGCCAGTGGGTGAAAACGTGGCAGTCCGGAACCTAACTTGTACCTGATTTTTACAAAAGCGAATCTAGATTCCGTGTTGCATGGCATGGTATATTTATGGTGCACTATTTAACGGTGCCGGATTGCCTTTCTGTTATAAGGTGTGGGGAATCTTTTCTATCCCAAGGGCCACATTTCCTCCAGGTCAGTCTTCAAGGGGCCACCTTGCCAACAATGGCAATGGCAAAGACAGGCAGAACGATTGATGTGGTTCTTACCTCTGTGCAGTAATTCAAGATATGCAGTGGTAGTTTCTAAACACCCACGTCTCTCCATCCTGCAGGCATTAGTGCAGTGCACAGACACATTCCAGACAGGCAAAAGCATGCACGGAGGGTGTAGATCAGGACTTGGGGAGACGGGATGGCCTGAGAGGAAATCCTGAGAGCTGGATAGAGAAGCTTGGAGTGCCACATTTGACCACCAGGCCTGAGGTTCCCTAGCCCAACTGTATAGACAGAGCATGCTGCTAACTTGCTCATTTGGAAACTCTTTCAAATTGAGATAGGTTAAGAGCTAGCAAGCGTTGTTTTGCAAAATCCATAATTGATTTTGGAAACAGAATTGCTGCCCTCCCTTACTTTTCCAATCTGTCTCTCCTGAAAGTTTCAGTTTCATTTGGCAGACATAATTCAGAAGCTTTCTATTCCTAAATGACTTCTACTGAAAGTTGATATTTTTTTACACTCTTGCCAGAATGGCGGGTGCTTGTTGGGAAAGAGTGGGTTGGGTTTTAAGTGGCAGCAAGGAATAGGCAGAAGGAATGATTCAGCATCTGTTTATTCATTCTGCAATGCAGAAGATGTATCCGGGTTTTTCTATCCAAAACTTGAAAACTGCAGAAATAGAAGCAAAAAATCAGATTTTGCTGGAAAGCACCTGACGTAATATTAAAAAGGAGGACATGGAAAGGGAGGGGAGGGGTGAGTTTAGGTTTCTGCTGACCATCCCTGGCTTCCTGATATACGTGGATCTAGAACATGTCCTGTAGGGAATGTCACATCTAGAAAGACTGAAGTCCAGCCTGGAGTGGACTAACACAAAAGGAGGCAGCATGCCTCAGTGGCCCAGTTCTTGCTATATGCACGACTCACTCTGATGTGGAATCCATGGAGTGTGTTTCTGTTGGTCTATAGAACTTCACAACTGTACCCTTTTAACCATTTTAAAGAGCTTGAAAAGGAAGTGCTTTCTCTTGATGAGAGTGGGTCAGTTTCTCTCCGTTGTCTACGCTGGTTTCTCCTTGTGCTCTACCAGGGGAGGTGGTGAGAGAATGAAAGCAGGACATTCTATATGCTTGCCCACTCTGCACATCTGCCATGTGTTTGTTTTATGGGTAACTTTCCTAGAGAAAAGCTCTAGACTTGCACATCTGACCCCATAGGCATCCATATTGTTTCCTTCTGTCCATAACATTTGATCAAATTTGTAAAGTTAGTGCCCGGTTCTAAATTAATGTGTTGCAAATGGAAGCATTTTCTTTTCCCCTTTGTTGCTATCCTTGGATCAAGATGCTGGGGGGGGGGGGCACCTCCTTTTCACTTTGAAAATATTTCTTTCATGTTTGGAACATTGGTTCTACAAATGATTTGCCTTAGGGCTAAAAACAGGTGTGAATCTGTAACCTCTTAATTTGGGCCTGGAAAGCAATGGGCAACCAAGGCAAGTGCTGTCTTTGGCCCTTTAATGTCCTATGGAGTTTGAGGCCAGGATGCCTAAAGGACTGCCTGCCTTGTATTAGCATGCTAAGGTTTACAGCAGGGGTAGGCAACCTAAGGCCTGGGCGCCAGATCCGGCCCAATCGCCTTCTCAATCCGGCCCATGGACGGTCCGGGAATCAGTGTGTTTTTACATGAGTAGAATATTTAAAATGCATCTCTGGGTTATTTGTGGGGCCTGCCTGGTGGTTTTACATGAGTAGAATGTGTGCTTTTATTTAAAATGCATCTCTGGGGCATAGGAATTCATTCATTTTTTATTACTCTTTTCAAAATATACTCCAGCCCACCACATGGTCTGAGGGACGGTGGACTGGCTCATGGCTGAAAAAGGTTGCTGACCCCTGATTTACAGTCAGCTACTAAAAGGCCACAGGCTCCCCATCCCTAGACAAAGACCTGTGATATGACTGGAGCCAAGTACCCCACTCCTCCAGAGCAGTTTTACACTTGTTAGTAAAAGGCTCTTGAAATGTTGATGCCCACTGTGTATAAGTTGCTTTTTAAAGCTCCCTCCTTCGTCACGGTAATATCTATAAACGAAAATTCTTATGTTTACTGAACAGTGTGTTTCCTCGTACCCAGTACCAGAGTGAATAGCTCTGACTTGCATTTTTTTTACAAGGAGGGCAGTGAAACAGGCATTTTTATCCATAGCCACGCTCCCTCACTTTAGGATGAATCTGGACTTAAATTAGTTCTGTCAATCAATGGAACAAGTTAATCAAAAATCCCATTTATTTCAATAAGACTAAAGCTTGACTTAGTGTGGATGCGAACCTGCAATGTTTATCTGGCTACCCAGCTGCTGTGGGACTGGAGTCATTGTAGCAGAATGAGGCAGGTCACTTTGAGAAATGTCAGTCCATCCACAGCACAAGTGTCTCTATTTTTATGGGCTTCTTTTCAGGCATAACGATGATGGCAACTTGAGATGGCAGGATGTTGTCACTGGAAACCATGTTCTGGTGTTGGGCGGTAGCAATTAGGGCTTTTTCCTCCTTGCGGTTCAGCACAAACTCCAAATGCCTTTTAGTTGCACCCATCTGTCACTAGATACAGATCTGTTTGTAAATCCTCTTTCTGTCTTCCCGATTCTTCTTGGGAAAGAATGCTCATCTTCTTACACCACTGGGGAAGAACTATGTCGAAAGCTGGAAGAACTGGAGCGGTTCCTCAAGCAAGAGCCAGACAATGACGAGGAAATAGACATTATCAACGTTGCTGAGCCTCTGAAAATAAACATTAAAAAGGAACCAGAGGAGAAGCAAGAGGAAGCAAAGTTCTACTTGGCACCCCAACCTACATCAGAGTTTGTGCGCGAGACAGTGGAGCAGGTACAGAGAGAAATGCTCTTCATAGCTAGATGAAGAATTATTCACTGCCTCAAGCTCTTGACAGTATAATAAATTTGTCCTGTGATACTTGCAAGCGGTGTTGACTTTTTCTGGTTGGAGCTTGCTGGTACTCCTAGACTGCCTGTAGTGTCTCTTTCGGGGTTTAATCCCCACCCTCAATTTGCCTACACCAGCTTTCCTCAATCTGGTGTCCTCCCCATGCTTGTCTGTTTTGCTGGCTGGAGATGTTGGGAGCTGTAGCCTGAAACATCAGGAAGAGGCACTAGGCTGAGGAAGACTAACTTAAACTGATAACAAGAACCCCAGGACCTGATGTGGAGATGGTGACGTTTAGCCCATAACAGAAAGATAACGGGGCTCAACACAGAGTGGGCAGGCCCAACTGGGGGAGCCAGAAGTTTTCCTGTGATGTGCCTTCCACACATCTCCCCCTCCCCACCATTCCCACAAGTAGTTCTGTCAGGTTGTCCGAATCCCATTTTAACAGAATGTTTGGGTCCTATTTGTCTGCTCCTTTGTTTAGTAGTCAAGAGCGGTAACCTTTTTTTCACCCTCTCGTTTTATAGATAGGAATTTCCTTTCAGCCTGTGGAGCTGCACAAGAACGTCTATGCGTCCGTAATAGAAGATATGATTTTAAAGGTAAACTGTTAGAAAACTTCCTGTCATTCAACAGTGTAAAATCTAAGTCATAGCTTGTTGAGTGAAATGCAGAAAAATTAAGTTGTGGCTTATATGAGACTGCATGTTCAAAGTCCTGTTTTTATATATATTTATATAGGTATGGTGGTGACAAGTTAAACAAACGTATCGTTCTTTGTAATTTGTGCATGGGGATGTGTTGATTTTATAAGACATGGTTTGTGATTATTAAAAGCATTTCTTAACTGTTTATGTTCTCTGTCCTTGAAACCCTCTTTATAACAGGCCACAGAGCAACTGGCAAGTGATATACTAAGAGAAGCTTTGGCAGTTGGTTACCAAGCAGCACCTCACAGCAGGTATACTTGCTTAGGTTTTCCTTATACAGTGGTACCTCTGGTTATGTGCTTAATTCGTTCCAGAGGTCCTTTCTTAACCTGAAACTGTTCTTAACCTGAAGCACCACTTTATATAATGGGGCCTCCTGCTGCTGCCGCGCGATTTCTGTTCTCATCCTGAAGCAAAGTTCTTAACCTGAGGTATTATTTCTGGGTTAGCGGAGTCTGTAGCCTGAAGCATATGTAACCTGAAGCGTATGTAATCCGAGGTACCACTGTACTGTGTAATTTGTGTGGAATTTGTGCATTAGACAGAATCTATGTTTATTTTGAGGACTATAAATTGAAAATGGTTCAGAACTACGAGGCACCAGAGGTCTCCAAATCGCTCACAGACTGTGATAAGACGTGGTTCCGTGTCTTCTGGTCTCCAAATCGCTCACAGACTGTGATAAGACGTGGTTCCGTGTCTTCTGGTTGCTATTCTGTGTGCCCCCAAAATCCACTACAATCCTAGATTTCTCGAGTTATTTTCTCTAGCCAACAGTCACTTCTCTACCAGGGAAGAGAGAAAAATAGCTTCAAAATGGGCCAGGCAATCCTGATTCTAGAGAGAGAAATGTGCACTGAGGAATATGCAAAAATGGCTTCTCTTTTCCACTGTCTTTAGGAGGAACTTCCTGAGTCATTTTCAAGCCATTTTTGAATCTTCCCTTGAGCTTGTGTGACTCTCTCTAGCACTCATCAGCCACAGCTCTGATTTGTTAAAAACCACTGAAAGGCGGGATTGTTCTCACAAAGCAATTGCTTCAAATGGAGCCTTACATTTTGCTTTGTAACTTTTGTTCTTAAAGGGCTACAGGATACTGCTATTTTTAAAATGAAAGTTCAGAGTCTGGGCAGGCCCTGATAATAGTAAGAAATTAAAATTTGTTCATGGTCCAAATCAATACCAGTTTATAGCTGCATTTTTATTTGCACAGTTCATCCCTTGTGGATTTTGCTGTTGTTTGCTTAACCAGGTGCTTAGATGGAGGCTTGAGGACTAACATTCCATTGATATATTCTCCCTTTTCCCCCCAGGACTCCAAGAGAGATCACCGTGATGAATATTCACCAAGCCATCTGTAACATTCCCTTTCTGGACTTCCTCACAAACAAGCATATGGGAATATTGAGTGACGAACAGTGATCTGGACTGGAAAGCGACATGAACAGCAGAATAAAGTTCTTGGCACAATCCCATTGTGTTCAAATAAATATATATTTTAGTGTTTGGTTTAGGCTACCTTGAAGACTACAAATTAGTGTTTCAAATTTTTTAAAAAAGAGAAAGCATAATTTTTTTTTATAAAAAAAAGACCTGTTCCAAATTCAGCTGCCTAATTTCATTAGCAGTTGCTCCTAGGTGAGCTACCTGCGAAAATTATGATAGCACATTAGATCATGGCCTAGACTGCTGGACTCCTGCTTTATCAAGGAAATGATTCATTGCATAGGGCTCAGTTAGTGTAATTCAGAAATAAGTGCAAGCTTCCTTAATTCTCTTTGGAGCATAGCTTCCTCTGACATTGGTAGTTAATTGTAATGATGGTTACTGGAAACAAGCCAAATTCAACCTATAGTTCATGAAGCTGGCTTGTTTTCACTTGCCATCAGTTGGGCAATATGTTAGTCTAGGACAGAAGCAAAAGCTTCTGATATCCATGCTGTTGCACCAAAGGAAAGGAAGCATACAAGCCCCACGAGAGGCTTGTTCTTGTAATATTAGACCAGGCTTCCTCAACCTTGGCCCTCCAGATGTTTTTGGCCTACAACTCCCATGATCCCTAGCTAGCAGGACCCAGTGGTCAGGGATGATGGGAATTGTAGTCTCAAAACATCTGGAGGGCCGAGGTTGAGGAAGCCTGCGTTAGACCATGACTGAGCATTACATACCAATACAACCAACGAGTGGCTTAGGTGCAGCAAATTCTGTTATGGTGTAAGATGACATAATGAACATGGTAAGAAGAAGTCTAGACTAGGTTGAAAGCTTGTCCAAGTTGACAAATACCGGTAATCCAAAATTGGCTCTCAAAAGGAAGTCGTTGCCAACCCTCAAATCACATGCCTAATTTTTCATTTATGCTGCAAAAATAATATTCTGTCTCTCCATGCCCCCCCTTCCATGGATCACAATTGGATCCTTTACTTGACCAGTAAAAAAAAAAAAAGTTATAGCATACTGAGCTTTCCTCTAATTTTTTGCTGAGTCAGTTCATATTTTATTTTATTTACTGATTTTAAAATCTTCAATTGTGAGGAGCCATTTGTTTGAATTCCAGATAATAGGAATTGTTTAGCCCACATTAAAGTATATAATTGGAATATAATAGCTTCGCTAGGAGAATACTTTCTCCAAAATTTGTTGGTTTTCATGTGTGTGGCTCTTAGGCTATTAGGGCACTAGGAAGTACAGTTTTTAAAAGATATTTTTTAAAAAAATCAGTCCATTTGTGACCTAGATACTGTCCACGTGCGATCTTTACTGAAAACATGCAGTGCCTTGCCGAACATTTCTCCAACATTTTACTGACCACACTGAACAACCAAATTATCAAAGGGGAGATAAATTTCAATGAAATTAACCTAGGTAGAGTGCAGAGTTTTTATTGTGCTCAGCATACTTTCAAGGTGGCTGTAGGGTGTTTGTAGGGGACGTGGGTGGTGCTGTGGTCTGAACCACTGAGCCTCTTGGGCTTGCTGATCGGAAAGTCAGTGGTTCAAATCTGCACAACAGGGTGAGCTGTTTCTCTGCCCCAGCTTCTGCCAACCCAGCAGTTTGAAAGCATACCAATGCAAATAGGTACCTCTGCGGCAGGAAGGTAAATTTCGTTTGCATGTGCTTTGGTTTCCGTCATGGTATCCCATTGCGCCAGAAGCGGTTTAGTCATGCTGGCCACATGACCCAGAAAGCTGTCTGTGGACAAACGCTGGCTCCCTCGGCCTGAAGTGAGATGAGCGCCGCAACCCCATAGTCACCTTTGACTGGACTTAACTGTCCAGGGGTCCTTTACCGTTTTCTTTTTAGCATTGTTCTCTTTCATTCTGTAAGTCATTCTGCAGCCTTCCTGGATGCCCACGCATTCTGAAAACCCCATAACGTTCCTCAGCTGTGCAGAAGATAGCGATGCTGAACACCAGATGCCTGGCCTGCTGTTCAGTTTTTTGGGGGGTGGGTGTAACCTGGGTTTCTCTACATCAATGCAACAAGGTTTTTGGGTGGTTAGAAAAAAGCTTTCATTAACAAAATAAAATCAGCATGTGCACCAATCTTAGAAGCTTGGTAGCACACATCCTGGCTTCTCACACTTCAATTGAAACTCGGGGGAAGATATCACAAAGCTATCCCACTGGACATTTTGAGATTTGGAATTGCAGGCAGTTAGGGAGGCTGTAGAGTATTGCAAAAAAAATTTAACGGGAAGGGGAAAATACCAACATACACCCGATGCTCAGCTGCCTCAAACAATAAGGTAAGCTAAAAATAAACCCACACAGGATAAAGAAATTCTAAGTGGCAGAAAAACAGACACCTGTTTGCCAGGTGGAGAGAACCTGGAGGGCATGTTTCGGCATGAAAATCCTTAACCTCGCTGTCAGGCTTGTTGACATTTAACTAGTCCACTAACAGGTCAGCAGCAAAAAGTACTAACATCTTATCAGTAGATGACTTGTAGGTGAACAATCTGAAAATAAAACAAGAACACTGAAACCAATATTAATCAACCTAACAAAGGCTGTTGTCTTGAGATAGCAAAAGGGCTGTTTCTCGATGGAAAGGAGGAGGGGAATCTGTCCCATCAAAGTTTAGCATGCTTCAAGTGATTTTTAAATGTATTTTGGGCAAACTTTTCCTTCATTGGGAAATGAAAATGGTGCCCAGCAGTTACTCTGTAATGATAGTTGGTTGGTAATGATGAAGTAATAATGCTGCTTCCACACACCCAGATTGCTTTTGCTAAACCAAAGTGAACGCTTTCAAATGTGTTGAAGGCTACCATTGTCCAAAATGGTCCTTGGCTTAAATTCTTTGCTTTGCCTGTATTATAATGTATAATTGTGTAATATACATTTACAATAAATTTTCTTTATTAAACATCATGGGGATGGGCTCTTCTTTTTTCATGCTCTAAGCCTATGTTGCTTTCCTGTACATCAGCAATTCAGACAAGTCAGGAGGTGATTGGCAGCTGCCATGTCAATGCCCATCAGTCCTGCTAAATTGACTACTTCGTGTACTTTAGAAATGCGGAACTGTGGCCTCCATATGCAGAGACTCCCAGATTCCATCAGCCCCAGGCAACCCCTGCTAATGGTCAGGAAGGATGAGAGTTGTAGTCAAGCCACATCTTGAGGACCATAGGTTACCATTCCTGTTGTGCTCCCTCTTAGGTGAAATGATTTTTTTCCCTTGGAGAACGCTGTTCAGCAACAGTTGCACAGCATAGTCTAAACTTCCATAAGGAGTACAGAATACACTTGGAGAACCAGCTACCATAAAGATGGAACCACATAAATATAGGTGTTTACTTTTGTTGCCTGAAAAGCACAGTATCATTGCCTAAAGCTACTTCTCCCCCCAAAAAACTACTGGAATGGACCAAGATGAAGAGTTAATTTTTACTTACCTGCTGCATACCTTCCAAAACTTCAGAGATTAAAATGAGAGGCATCTGTAATATCCCATTTATCCAATTCCTGCCTTACATACCCATATGTTGAGGGGTGTGGAGCTACTTGCCCTTCACTCTTACTAACAGAAAAATTTAGAAAAACCTTGGTGAGTGCTTCTCTGCTGTATGTCCCACCGAGACTCCAAAAGAAGCATTATTGTGGTAGTTCTGACAAAATTTCAATGTCCAGGTTGTGTTCCTTTAACAATATTCAATCTTAATTACCAGGCTCTGTGGATGATTTTCCCAAGATCCCTGTGTCCCTTGACTATGAGAATATAATAATACAGCCTCTGTTTCTTTCTTTCTAGCTTTAAATAAATATCTAGGCCTTGAATAAAAGGATGCTCCTCTTCCCCTTAAATTGTAGTCTTTCTCAAACAAGCCCACCTTTTGAATAAAGTCAATAAGACAAAGAATTCCATTGTCATACTGATGAATAACAGCAAGGCTTGCAGAATGCATGTTGCCACAGAAACCAATTGCCAGTAAAACAGAGAGCTAAGGAAAGTTATATTGACAGAAGAATTCTAGGACTGCTTTGCACATTGAAAATAGTATGAAACACTCAAGTGCAGCAGCATGTCACCTTATATGCAAGTGTGCTGCTGTGATACATATATATATATATTGCTATATGTGGGCCAGCATATGTACTTCTATACTGCAAAATACACAACTGTTCAGCCGGTACCTATGCACAGAACTACTAACTAGATGGAAATAGCATCACTTGTGAAGAGCCCCCACCCCAATCCTTAAACAGAGGTGGATTCCCCCTCCTTAATCCTTGCCAGAATACCTGCCATTTACTCAAGCAAAAAGTACCTGCTGCTGCTTAATCCTTCTACTTTTCTTTCAAATAAAGGGGCATATTTTTTTATCAGAATACAGGAAACACTTGTGTATCTGCAAAGGCAGCTTCCTACAATAGTTTATAACATCCTGCATATGGCTGGGAAACAATACTGTAATGTGTTCATAGCGTAGGAAGTGACTTTATGGAAAATAATCCCTCTCTTTCCCGCTCCACTACCACACACAATAGTTCCACTCAGTGGAGCCCAAGTATATATAAACTCTAAAGCATCACACAGAGTAAAGAGTGCTGCCCTGATCTAACGTGAGAGAGCTGTGACCAGCAAGGGGTTTATTTCATGAATCTGTTCTACCAGGACCACAGATGTTGTTCTAGGTGTAGGGCACCAAGCATGTACATGCAATGCTCTTACACACCTGTAGACCAACAGGATCAGAAATGTCAGCTCTCCCCATGCACAGACTACCTGCCATGTGGGGAGATGAGGAACAGGTTCAGGCACTCAATCCAGGCACTCCCTAGGGCTGGCCACATTTTAGGTTGTGGGGGGGAAGAACAGTGGAATTCAACCAGTGCAGATTTCAGCTACATTCTTGGTTCCCTAAAGCAGATAATAGATTACAAATGTTATTGCTCCTTGGTATACATGCAAACCATCGAAATGTTTTAGTACTCCAAACAGTTTCCATTAAACTGAAGACTGATAAAGAACCTGTAGCCAAAATACATTTTTATTAAATTTATCTTTTGACTCCATAAAATACAAACTTCATGTATAGCTGCTTTGTTGTCATCTTTTTTTTTCCTTTTAAGAAATCTTATTAAATTAAAAACAGAAACCAAATAGGCAGTGTGGTTTTCTTTTGTCTGTTTAGTAAAAGTCTGGATTGCAAATAACTGAACCAGTTAAAACTCAACTGCTTAAATATATCAGAAATCGTCAAGCAGAATAAACAGGTTTTTACTCAGAAACATTCAACATGCAACAAAGAATATTTTAACTATGTTCCTGAAAAACCATGATTCTTATCCCCATTCCCTTCCCCAAATTCTTTCTGCATGTGCTTACATTAGATGCAGAGCCATCTGTCAAATGGTCCCTGTATGAAATCTGAATGATTAGACAAGCACCCACTTATGAAGTAGATGAAGAATGAGTTCCAAAAGCAGTTTGTCATATGGCATGATGTACGAAGAAAAATGAAATGAAATTAAAACTCCTATTGGGCACACCCAAGCCTTTGAGGGTGAGGAAATCCTGTTAGGCACCTCAACATCCCACTGACAACAGCAGAGGGTGAGCTGACAGTTATGTCTTTTTCTTGTAATAATAACTGGGAGTTTGGGACACCCAGTTTTCTCAGGATTATACCCAATATGGTTCTTGCTTAGCCACTTATGAACAAATTGAATATTTATGTTATCAAGAACTTCTTAATTCTAATGGGCAAATGTCAAATTTGAGTGCACCAGTGCAAAGCTCCCACGACTCCAATACAAACACACACATGTATAATTGGAGTAAGGGCCTTGGGGCCTCCCAAAGATCAAGTATTGCTTTTGGGTTTTTCCAGAGCCCACCAATACCCAGTCAGCATTTGTGTGGAGCACCATGAAGACCCTGCTTGAATATAGCCCACCAGAATTTGTCCACCAGCAGTGGGGAACCTGTGACCCTCCACATGTTGGTGAGACTACAACTCCCATCAGCCTTAACTGCTGCCCATGTTGGCTGAAGCTGATGGGACTTGGAGGCCAACATCATCTGGTGGACCCCAGCCTACCACCAAAGGAGTGACGTACACTGAAGACCCTAGGATCAGGGCAATAGATCATTCTGACATTTACAAATGTCAGTTGGCAATCAGTTATTTTGATAAAATATATACAATATATGAGGACTAACACTAAAAGAACCTAGGCAAAAGCTGCTTTTGTCTCAATACGATTCAAAAATGTAGAATAATGAAATTTTAAAATGATCCCTGTTTGCAAATTATGTTCTTATAATAGCCACTATGCAACATTTCTTTAGTACTAGCATTACCAATATGCAGGCAATAATTTAGGATTTTGAAGGCAATAAATTTTCTACTTTGCATTCTCAAAACAATTAATGAAACTTAAAGGATTCTAAGCATACTCTATTATTTTGAGGGAGGAAATCATCTGTTCTCTCTATGTACAATATTTACATACATATTAAATAGCACTATTACAACTTGAATTGGTCATTGCTTTAACATCTGGTCCATTGCAATGTTGTGAGCTAAACAAGTTAGTGCTTCCAGTTTCCAATAAAAGCTGGTACTTTTTTGGGAATGTTTCAATTTCCCTTGCAATTTCCCTCCGATGGTTTTTTCTCTCCACAGGATGTAATAGTTTCCCCAGCCCTAAAAATGTAACAGGTACTTCAGGGTGGCTATACCAAAGTTGTGGAATGCACTTCCTGGAGAAATACATAAATATACCTCAGTGACCATAAATGTGAGGTCTACTATTTTTGACAGGTGTATCCTAGCTATTGTATGTAGGCCCAGCAGGAGTAGTTGGTGCTGGGTATTAAAATTAGGAAATGTTTTGCTGTTATAAAGATGAATGTATTGCCAAGAACGTTATTTTTGTTTCAATCATTGCAAATCTTGGACAAAATGGACTGTTTCAAGAAGTGGCAGAGAGACATTTCTAGATTTGTCTGGCAGGGCAAGAAGCCCAGAATAAAATTTAAAATATTAACCGATGCAAAGGATAGAGGTGGATTTGCCCTGCCAGACCTTAAACTTTATTATGAATCAGCAGCGTTCTGCTGGTTGAAAGAATGGCTGCTTCTTGAGAACACAGACATTTTGGATTTAGAAGGTTTTAATAATGTTTTTGGGTGGCATGCATATTTGTGGTATGACAAGGTTAAAGCACATAAAGCATTTAAAAACCATATTGTCAGGAAAGCATTGTTAAATGTCTGGATAAGATATAAGGACTTACTTGACAAAACCCCAAGGTGGTTGTCACCGATGGAAGCAAAGGCTCAGAAAAGGCTCAATATGGAGGCCAAATGGCCGAAATATTGGGAAATTTTGGAACAAGAAGGAGACAAATTGAAATTGCAGAGTTTTGAGAAATTAAAAGACAAAGTGCGAGACTGGCTTCATTATTATCAGATAATGGAGGCATACAATTTGGATAAGAAAATTGGCTTCCAGGTGGAAAAATCAAAATTGGAAACAGAACTGTTAGAACCCAAAACTAAGATTTTGTCAAAAATGTATAACTTGCTGTTGAAATGGAATACTCAGGATGAAACGGTGAAATCTGCTATGATTAAATGGGCACAAGATCTTGGACATAATATTATGTTTGCTGACTGGGAACAGTTGTGGACCACAGGTATGAAATTTACGGCATGTAATGCCCTAAGAGAGAATATTATGAAAATGATATACAGGTGGTACATGACACCAGTCAAGCTTGCAAAAATCTACCATTCGCCTGATAATAAATGTTGGAAATGTAAAGAAAATGAAGGTACATTCTTTCACCTTTGGCGGACGTGCCCAAGGATCAAGGCTTTCTGGGAGATGATATATAATGAATTGAAAAAGGTATTTAAATATACCTTCTTGAAGAAACCAGAAGCCTTTCTCCTAGGCATAGTCGGCCAATTGGTGCCAAAGAAGGACAGAACTTTTTTTATGTATGCCACAACAGGAGCAAGAATTCTCATTGCAAAGTATTGGAAGACACAAGATCTACCCACCTTGGAAGAATGGCAGATGAAGGTGATGGACTATATGGAATTGGCGGAAATGACTGGCAGAATCCGAGACCAGGGAGAAGAGTCGATGGAAGAAGATTGGAAAAAGTTTAAAGACTATTTACAGAAATATTGTAAAATTAATGAATGTTAGAATGATGTTGGATAGAAACTAAGTGGTCTTTAGCCGAAATGTTATAAGGGAATATGAAAAAATGGTTTATTAATAGGTAAAAATCTAAAATTACAATATTTTATGATTAATGATTAGGATACATAAAGAGGGGAGGGATTTGTTGAACTAATAACTGAACTGGAATACAAAAAAGGGAGGTGTGAGGAGGTCCTGGAAATAAGCAAATGAAGGCTAAGCAATGGAAGGAATGAATTGTTTTTAACTATTTTTACTTTGTATTTTCTCTTTTTTCTTTTTCTTTTTGTTTTGTAATACTCTGAAAATCTTAATAAATATCTTTTTTAAAAAAATAAAAAAATTAGGAAATGTTTATGGTGCTGTGATCCTTTGGCTGTTATCTTGTGTTTTTAGTTATATTTCTATGGTTTTTGTTTTATTTAGATGCTTTAATGTACGCTATCTCAAGGTCCTATTAAGTAGGCAGTGTACAAATAAATAAAGTCACCAAGCTTTTAAAAATCCCTGTTTCATTCAATAGTATTGCTCTGGGGATTCTTTTGGCCTACTAAAGATGTGGGATAGAAATAAATCTCGATCAAGTCTTGATTTTCAGTTCCAGAATAAAGTCTCTAGACCTTGGGGGGTATTCTAAAATGGATGTGAATACTGAGTCTGTATGCACACCAACTTAAGAGAAGCTTGTGCCTTGCCTCAGAATGACCAAGCACTGGGCTCTTAAGGAAATAAAAGGTTTTGGCCTATCCAGGAGGAAATGAAGCAGAGATGTGAGACTGTGAGTCCTAGGAAAACCTCTCTCCAAAAAAGAAACAATCTTGAAACCAACCACAGCTCCTATCAAAAGAGCTCCACAGAAATGGAAGGAATCTGGTGAAGTATTTAACTGAAGTAAGGACCTCTGAAAGATAAAATATTGCTTCTGTTTGTTCAGAACCCTCTAAAATCCAGTCAGCATTTGTGTGGAGCACAATCTAGGGCAAACGGCTCAAGGGCCACCCTGTTCACCTTGAAAGACCCTCAGCAAGGAGACATCAAAAGTCTTTGCAACAATATGATATATGCTTTGAGGATGATCCCCAGATCTAAAAAGAAACAGCAACGTTCAAAAGCTACCGAGTCTCACTTTCATTTTCTTATCAGTGCGGCTATACAACATTGAGAGGGGAGTGTTTTACTATACACCTTACTCAGCCCTGCCCCATTGTGTTCTTCAGCATAAGCTTATAGCTTAAAATGCTGCTTTTTTGCTGACCAACGTCAATATCCGGAATACTGAAGCCAGTCAGCCCACTGTTAATGAGCCTATTTCTATGAAAGTAGGTCATTCTCCCCTAGTATTTTCCGCCATCTCCAACTCAAGTGCTTTTTGATTTACATGTTCATAATAGATGCATAAATTCTGATATTCGCTGTAGCTGCTTTTAATAATCCTTGTTCTTATCTCAACACCACTCGTGAAAGTTGCATAGCTGTACATTTTCACAACCTTAACATTCAAGCTGCCTGGATGGGAAATGTGCGTGATCCAGATTCATACATTGAGGATGCGAGATGGCGCCTGGAAAACGGCAGAAGGATTCGGAGAAAACTTAGTCTTCATTTCTGGAATCTGGAGAAAAGAAAAGACGAATGATTAGGTCCATTGCTACATACAAGAACATCATCGTGGGCTCCAGTTACAGGCTGTAGACCTGTAGCTCAGTGGCAGAATATCAGTTTTGCATGCAGAAAATCGCAGGTTCGATCCCCGGCATCACCCTGTTTGAAACCTTGAATAATCACTGTCAGTCAGGCTAGACAGTACTGAACTAGCTGGGCAAACTGTCTGACCCAGTATAAGGCCTTTGTACCCATGTTCCTACCCTTCAAGAACACCAAGAAGGGACCCGCTGTATCAGAGACTTGCTCCTTCCGATATTGATGGACTCCAGCTCCCTTCAGCCCCAGCCAGAATAGCCAGTGGAAATTACAGTCTAGCAATATCTGGAAGGCCACAATTTGCTCACCCCTGCTCTACATGCTGGGAAATATTAAAGGGTCTTCTCACTATTCAAAAGATACTCTTATTGTCAGAGCAGCAGACAGTTCATATACTGATCTACAGACAGAATCCAGCCCTGTTATTAATACAAGGCCTGTGCACTGCAGAAATATGGTATGTGACATAATTCAATGAGGTTTGGAGTCAAGAAGCTGAATTTTATTCTTCTTTGTGCTTATATTAGTCTGAGGGGAAAGAAGTCTTTTCCATGGCCACAAATTGTGCTTTGTGGACAAGACGGGAGGCTATATTCAAGTGAGGTGCTTGAGGGCTGGTTCAAAGAAATTCGCCCACTCGCAGCTGCCGCTGAAAAGCCTTTTAGATTGGCATCCTCAGTGTCTTTCACATGCATGCAAGCTAAACCCCACACTTGGTTGGACCAGCTCACTGAGGAGAGCTCAGATGTTACTCCCTGCACATGAATGGCCAGGATGGGGCAGATCTTTTCAACTGCAATGATGGGCAAATGAGCTACGGAAAGGGCTGTACAGCAGATGATTTGCATGCACAAAAGCCCCAGGGGCTCCAGGTGGGGCTGGAGAAGGTAACAGTTGGAAGAGAGAGCCAATCAGTCAGTGTCAACAATATGAAGTTTGATGAACTAAAGGTAGCTTCCTGTAAGTACATTTCAACTGGTGGCAACCTTTCTGCCTGTGTAAGGCCAACATGCAAGCAGTAATAAGGTGGAAAGGGGAAGAGAACCCCTGAAAAACCCTTACCATGTTTAGAATTGCAGACTTTATTCTTCCTCAGATGCCTCCCTGAAGGAAAAGTGGTTTTTTTATTGATAGCTGGGGATAGGGTAGAATTGGAAGTAAAGCAACTCAACCCCGCTACGGGAGCCTTCTCCCAAATATCTCCCATCCCAACACCTTATGACATTTACATAGCTGATCACGTCCATAACATCAAGTTCATAATATGGCCAAGAGTTTAAATGCATAGTCAACTCAAAATATCCTCCTCACAAGTGGAATTTCACTTGATGTGTGGAAATTGATTGAAGGAATAGCACAGATGCAAAAGCTTGGAGCCTTAGGAAACAAACCCTCCAAGCTATACCTGATCTGTTTAAAATAATGGGTTAAATACTGCAAGTATATATTTCTGAAGATCTCTTGAATCAATGGGTCTTAATAGTGCTGAGTTGTGGCCACAGAGATCCCTCTTTTTTCTGCATTCCTGTTTTAACTTGTTTCATGTTTTTATAATGCTGTTAATTTTATATACCACATTGGGGTATTTTAAACTTAAAATGGCCTAGAAAAGTTTTCAAATAAGTAAGTCACATCCTGAGACTTTTAAAGATGTACTGGTTAATAGCGTCTTGGTCTGATTTTTCTATATAATACCTATAGATCCAAACATCTTATTTATTTATTTTTTTATTTGTGAATTTATAAGAGTACAAAATACAGAACTGAAGAATAAAAGAAAAAAGTGAAAGAAAAGGAAGTGGGAATGGGAGGGGGGAATAGATACATTACATCATCCATAATTCTATTCCATCGACTTCCTGTCCATCCTTTCATGGCTTCCTAAAGTTTCCCATTGCTGCTGAATATTCTATTTTTTCTAGCTATTTAAACATTCACATTCTTCTAATTATAAACTAAAACTGCTGAGCTTACTCCAAACTGACTACAGTTCTAACATTTTTACAATGGTTTTTTAGGTAGCCTACAAATGGCTTCCATTCCTCTTTTAGACTTTCTCTTCTTGCTCTCTAATTTTGCCAGTTAATTTTGCTAATTCTGCGTATACCAATAATTTCATCTGCCACTCCTCCTTTGTAGGTACTATCGCCTCTCTCCATCTTTGTGCATATAGGATTCTCGCTGCTGTAGTGGCATACATACTTGGTACCTGGGGCCTCATTATTCCTAACAGGGAGGGCCTCTTTGGAAAAGTCTCCCAAATTTTTTTTCCCAATTCATTATATATCATTTCCCAATATTCTTTAACTAATCTACAGGTCCACCACATATGATAAAAGGTTCCATCCATAGCTTTTCCCCTAAGAGCATAGTAGGCTATGAATTTTAATTCTGTTTTCCATTGTTTCAACGGGTGAAAGCCATAAAGGTATTTTCCTTTCTATCAGGTTCTTATGTTTTTCCCAAACTCGATAAATATTTTTCCTAATTACATGATTCATAAAATTCTTATGTATTCTAGCTTTACTTTACCATGGACATGCATGCCAACCAAATTTAACACCGTACCACTCCAAGTCTAGCAGTTCAGTATTCTCCAACTTTATCCAATCTTTTAACCAGCAGAAACATGATGCTTCATAATATAAACACAAATCTGGCAGTGAGAAGGCTCCTATTTCCCTAGTGTCAATCAATATCTTATATTTAATTCTTGGTTTCTTACCCTGCCAGATAAATCTAGAAATACTAGATCTAAACAACTAGGGCTCAAGTTCAGACCGTCTCATTCCTTGGCTAATGCTTAATTTATTCAGGACTAATAAAATAAGTCTTGTGGACAACGTCCCGTGTGTCTGCTGCTAAATTAATATCTCTGCCCAGGAGGGTACCAGGTTGGAAAAGGCTGGTTTGTGGAATCAAGGGGTCATTGCTTTCTTGAGCAAGCTAGAAAAGTAAAAACTTATCCATAATCTGTGGGCTTCCACAGTTAGAAACTTAATCTTGCCTTCTGCATAGTTCATTTAGCTACCAGAATTTTGTCAGCTGCAAAATCCTTGGTTAAAAACAAACTGGGGAACCTTAAATGGAAACAGGACCTGGCTGCTATATAATTTTATCAGGAGCTCTCCTTCTTCAAGGATGATTTTAAAATGGAGAGCTACCTACCTAAATTAATACATTGCCCTCCAGGGATGGCTTTTCTGCATTAAGATATCAATCACAGCCTACAAAGGTGCTTGAAGGTCGTCACCAGATTAGTCTTGAATGGCGCCAGTGTATTTGTGATTCTGGAGATAGCGAGGATTTCCCAGATATTAGAAAGAGATGGCTTTCTGCAGGGAGAATTAGTTCTGTGCCCATTATAGCCAAAATTACATTTAAATGGCATGGGGATTATGAGGTGTATAGCCTTGTTTGCCCTCACAGCAAGCAGAATTAGAGCCAAACGGATTAGCCTTTAGGGCAGCAATTGAGTGAAATTACTGCTGTCTTACTGTTGCGATTTTTCAAATAACAGTTTGTTTATGAACTATATTGTTATAATAGATGGTTATGATAAGTCTGTTTGAATTGAGTATAATTCATTTTTGTATTTGTTTTCTTTTCAATATACCCTTTCTGGCTCCTTTCAGTAACCAACCTGACTGACTGACTCTGCAGAAAAGCTATTGCGTTGCAATAGACCACTTTAAGCTGTCAGATCCTGGCCCTAATTCAGCTCTAGTTGTGGGTACCAACTCCTAGCTTCAAATTAGGTTATGAATCCCTACCTGCATAAAAAACACACATCTAGCCAGCTCAATGGGGCCCAGATGAGCACCATAATAAATATGGGGTGCACATCTGCAGAGGAGCTCCTTTGCTGCATTGGTCTTTTTGATAGGTTAGCTACTCTTTTGAAAGCTGAAGCATTACTCGTGATGTGTTACTGTTTTCCTGGGCTGAGTCCTACTCACATTAGCAAACACCTGCATTTCAAAGATTTTGCAAAGTTCATTTACCTTAAAGTCTGCTTTGTAGCTGGATTCTTGCGCAAAGTGATCCTCTGGAATAATGAAACCCTGTGTCGTCTTTGTAGGCCTTGATCGTTTTGCTCCAGTCCATGGACGATATTCATGCCTAAAATGAATTTGTAAAGTGAAATAAAGGTGTCTAAAGGTACAAAAAGTAGGCACCGCTACTTGGAAGTAGACAAAATTACCATGCTTATAATGTTGGAAAAGGTAAACTGGAAATATATATCCACATGTATTTTTTAAATTTACCTTGCTCTTTCATCCACCTCAAAATAATATAAAATTAACAGAAAACAATTTGAAAGCAATGGAAAATGAGGCATAGAAAACCGGTGCTGAAATCTCTGCCCCTCACCTTGTATTGGAATACCTACAGACATTACCTGCTCCCAGGCAAATGCCTTAACCTTCCGTACCCTTGATAACAGTTGAACACCTTTGCTATTTAGAGAGAGACACTTGATTCAGATTCAACAGCTAGCATTATCAATACACCACTGACATCCTATTAATTGCTTGGCCAGCATACAAAACCATGCTATGCACAGGACAGCTGTCCTTTGCCAGAACAAGCTGAGTCAAGATTAAAAACAAATTAAAAGGCATTTGGGGGTTTTTAAGAGCCAGATTTCCAGAGAGTTAAATAATCTGGGGAGCAGGAAAGCAACCAGTGAGCCAGTCTGAAGGAAGTCTGTCTGCACTCAGAAGGGAAAAAAGAAAAGAAAAAGAAAGGGCTGGGTCAAGCCAGGGCTTTTTGAAAGCCTGATCTGATAATCTCACTGATTGCATGATGCCCTGTCTGTAGCATCAAGGTCTTGCTGGTGAGCCCTGCAAGATAAGGCAGGGACAGGACCCCAGCACCTGGAAAAGAGGCAGAAAGTGCTCGCCTGAGAAAGAACAGGAAAGACAAAAACATGCTCCGCTATCTGTTTTCTATATATTCATTCAATACTCCATGGAATAGTGATTTGTATTCTTTACAGTGGATCATAGTGGAAGAGGGAGAACAATGCATTTGGGAATTAAGTCTTTCAGACTGACAGCTGTATCCAACTATTATACTCAAGAGAGTAGACCCATAAAAAGAACTTTCTGGCAGTAAGAGCTCCACTGGCCACCTCAGAAGGTGGCAGACTCCTTCCTTGGAGGTTTTTGAGAAGAGGTTGGATGGCCATTTGTGAGGATTTTTTTTAACTGGGATTCCTGCATTGCAGGGGGCTGGACTAGATCACCTTTCCAGCTGTATGATTCAATCAAAAGACTTGACTAATTTGTCAATTGATTTCGGTGGGTCTACTCTTGAGTATGACTTACGGTAGTTGGATACAATCCTACGTAATTCTATCTCCCTTTTAAATACAGTGGTATCTCGGGTCAAGAACTTAACTCGTTTTGGAGGTCCATTCTTAACCTGAAACTGTTCTTAAGCTGAGGTACCACTTTAGCTAATGGGGCCTCCCGCTGCTGCCACACAATTTCTGTTCTCATCCTGAAGCAAAGTTCTTAACCCAAGGTACTATTTCTGGGTTAGCAGAGTCTGTAACCTGAAGCGTCTGTAACCCAAGGTACCACTGTAAATACTGGGGAGGGGAGGTTAGCAGCTGCAATATTTATTCATAGGCAATATATTTAAGTTGTTTGGGTGCTTTTTTAAAAAAGAAAAGCATTGGGATGATTAGGGATGTATATGGGGGGGGGGAACTGGGAAAGTATTTCAATGTGATTTGGAAAGTGCTATGGAGTTATCAGTATAAGAGGTGCCATCTACCCAATGTAGATTGTCGGGTTCTGGAAATCCTTACTTCCTGAACCAAGATTTGGTTGTGGTGACCTGGACTACTGCATATATTGTGCTTTGCCTAACAGAAAACACTTCTGTATAGCGGAAAAACAAATATGTGGTCGGTGAGAGGGAGAGGGACCTGCATATATATTGTCACGTGTCAACAACCGCACACAGAAGCATGTTGCTTCACTGAGATGCCACAAGGACCCTACCCTTTCAAGTGAATGTACCAGGACTGGAGAGACCCAGGTTAACATTTCCCCCAGTCATGAAGCTCACTGGGCAACCTTGGGCCAGACATTCAGTTGCTCATCCTAACCTACTTCACAGGGCTCTTCTAAAGATGTAACTGGAGAAATGGAAGCATGTACTTAGTTCCTTGGAGGAAATGCGGAAAAACGAGCATGTTAATGGCATAAATGCAATGTTTAAAAAAAAAGCAATATGGTCAAGCAGGCAATGAATGCAATACCGAAACCCACCAAATGCAAGTTCCCTGCTCCTATTCCCCCGCACAGAAATGCTTTATCTGCAAAAAACGGTTAACCCTTGGCGAGGAAGATGAAGCGAATGTGCTCCATTCATGCTCAGGGACACCCTTTTTCTTTGCGTCTTTATTCCTTCCAGAGCTGAGCTGTGGCCCGTGTGTGTGTAAGATATGGGGCAGGGGACAAGTGGAAATGTTCTGCAGGAGCTAAGCCCTGCTAAGAAAGAGTTCCCCTCCCTCGCCAAAAAGAATCCCCGGCAGCGGTTCCAATTCAGCGCGTTACCTACCTGTAGGAGGAGGTTTCGGGGCCGCCTGGCGGCGAGGAGGAGGACCACACCTGCTTAAAGCCGCTGTACTTGCTGCCCACCACCTCCTGCCCGGCCGCCGGCAGCACGTACACGTGGGAGCCCCCCGGGATCGTGGCGTGGGAAGGGGCGGCCGGGGCGGCGGCGGCAGCGGCGGCGGGGGGCGCCCCGGGGGCTTCCACCCGCCTGTACTCCCCGATCCAGGGCAGGGCGTCCCGCTTCTGCACCGGCCACGCTTGGAAATCCTGCTGGTACTGAGTCTCGGCGGCGAAGGGCTCTTTCCGGTAGCCGCCGCGCGTCTTCTTCGACGGCTTCCTGGCGCCCCCCAGGCCGTCCTGCAGCGACGGGGCGGACGCCGAGACGGGCAGCGAGGCAGCGGCGGGCGCCCGCGGGTGGGTCTGATGGGGGCGGCTGCTGGTGCTGCCACCTGTTGGGATCCGAGGCGGCGGCGGGGCGCCGGCCGCGTCCGTCCCCTCGTCGGCCGGCTCGTCGATGTCGGAGTAATTGTGGATGGTGAGCGGCACGGCCAGGTCCGACTTGTCCAGCTGGTTCCAGAAGCGCGCCAGGCAGCACACTCGGCTGATGCAGGGCCAAGCCATGGCGGCGCCACCATGCACGGATGCGGGGACGGGAGGAGATGGAGAGAGAGGAGGGGGAGTTCTGCAGCAAGAGTGGCGGCTTCTCCCCCTGCGCGCAGCAACGCTCCCAGCTCGCCCCGTCGCTTGCCAATAGCAGCACCTCCTCCTGCCCACTTGCTCGCTGGCTTCCCCCCCTCCCCACTCTTCTCTTTCTCCACCCCCCCTCCCCACTTGGGTCAATATCAGTCCCTCTTTAGAAGGCTGCCAAACACGTGATGCCCCTGTGCACCATCACCACCGCCGCCCCCCCGCGACAGAAGGAGCTTAATGCAGCAGCATCTGCCAGGGATACAAAAAGAACTTGGGGGGGGGGGGAGAAGAGGGATGTGGGGGTGACACACACATAGCCCCGGTCCCAGAGCTTTGTGCCATCCCCTCCAAGGGCTTGGCGCTCTCTCTAGGAAATGCCCTGCACCGCTTGCCTCTTGAATCGAAGGCAGCCCGGCTCCATCGGTATGCAGATCGACGCGCCTTTAAAGAGATGCTAATAAAGCTTCGATTATGCTGGAAGTGCATGTGCACTGCAATCCGTGATTGGCAGTTGGTGGGGGGGTGATTAGATCAGGCGCGGGTGGGGGGGCAGTTGGATTAGTCGCTAGGGTGACCCATCATGAATCAAAGCAAAAGGGGAAAGAAGCAAGAGGCAAGGTCTTTAGGATATTTTCCAGATGTTCACAAGAGAACTTGGGGCCATATGCACAAATTGAAGGAATATGCACTGCTCAGGCACTGAGATGAGCATTCCTTTTCGTCCAGGCTCTCCTTAGCTTGCTCCTCTAGTGGTGTATTTAGTACACAAGTGTTGTTTTTTAGAAGCAAGGAAGAAGGCACCTTCTGTCCAATAAGAATGCATGCCAAATACACACAAAAAGTAAAGGTGGCTGATGCCGAACACTGCATGTAACAACAGTTCACATGGCTTAGTATATGCTAGAAGCAAACTTTTTTTTGCATGTATGAAGGAGATAATATCGTCCCCAGTGCACAGCAAAGCAACTAATCAAGGTGGAAGTTGTTCTTTGGAAAACAGGCTGAAATTACCTACTTTCCTGAGAGCCAGCTCCACTCAGACACAGTGGGACTTACTTCCATATAAACATGCAAGGGATAAAGCTGTCAGCATCTTTACAGACAGCTAAAGGCTGCAATATAACTGACACTATCAGTTGCATAATTAAAATTCACTGTTGTAAAAATGCTCCCAGCTGCAAGATATTGATTCTTATAAGATTAGTTCCAGTCAAGTAATGAAAAATGCACAGAATACAGGATTAATTAAAAGATGTCTGTTTTAAAAGTGGATATCCCTGGTCAATGAGCTGTGCGATACTGTTAAAAAAAAAAACATACATCAAGATAAACAGAATAATAATGCTGGGTTGGAACCAGAGATGCGTGAGCAAAAAAAGTTCTGGCATAGTGCTGTTTTGTGAACTATTGTGCAAGAACTAGTGGAATGCCACGTGCAAATACAAGCACGCCTTTGCTGGATCTTGCCTCATGTCAGAACAACAAAAATCCCCTTTCTCTGTCAAAAAACACTTTTGAATCCAACCCATTTAGAATGCAGGACTCCTTTTCAATATGTTGCACTGGTTTCATTTTATACCACAGTAGGATCACAAATAAAACTGGGATCAGACTACCAATATGGGGAAAGAAGAATTATAGAAACAGGTGCATGCTCAACACTATTTTTACTTCATGTTGTTGCTATCATCTACAATTATACCCTGCCCTTCTAACAAGTATTCAAGGCAGTTTACAATCAAAATTGCTCTTTCAATAAACACATCTTCTTAAATCCTTTACGCTCAAAGAATGAGGACATCTTCAAGAGAGTAATGATGTCTTTGTAGCCAATTTAATAGCTTGAGTGGACCATGTCAATGGTTGAATCCAGAATTCCCATGAGTAGACTCAGTCCTGATTTTCCTTCCTTGGAAGGTGGTGCTTGAGACTGCAAGGAAAATTGGTGATAATCACCCTTCCCCACAGCAAAAGTCTCTGGATCTCAGCCCTTTGTACAAGTGGAAGGGGTAACTTCATTTACAGACAGGCAACTGGATCCAATCCTATGCTAATCCTCACTAAGCACAGCCTTAGCAGCTTTTTGTCCATTCATACTTATTTAAAACTGGTTTGACTTTTTTAAAAAAGCTATAGATCAACCATTGGCAGCAGAAGGCATTCTGTTGCTTTATTTCAAACAGTAGGGTTCAGAAGGAAATTGTGTTTATTGGCAGCAGCAAAACTTTTACATAGCCTAGCTTTAGAAAGAAAGAAATTTAGGTAATTGCTAAATATTTAGATTATTGCTAACACAATAAAATGAATCAAATACAAAAGCCTCATTATTTCAAAGTTATGGGGAAAAGGTGTTTAAACTCCCCGCTATACTATCTCTAGAATGTTAATAGGTCAGTAAATCTGAATTCCCCACTCTATAGGATCTGACATTTATTTATATATTGAAAAATGCTCTGAGGATATCTACTGAAGAGCAGAGCATAAATATATAAATAAAATGTAATGCACTTGAAAAATTCTAAAAATAGTGTTATAAATATGTGTTGCAGGTCGCCTTTGGGATATCCTTCACCACCATAAAAAATGATCTATGATATTTAACATGACAGCTTTTCCTCACTATGCTTGCAGGAGTTAGTTTAATGATCTGACCAGAGGGTGGAAGGGTTGGCATTTGGCTAGCTAGCTATTGTCAGAAGATGGCCAATCATCAAGTATTTAAAGCCTAAGCCTAATAGAATCATTAGCAGAGACTGCTATTACAAAAAGTAACATATCCTAAGAGTCTCCTTCTCCCAAAAAACTTTTCATTGCACTATGCTAAATCACAAGGAGGCCCAACCCCTTTGTCACAAAAGGTATAGGATCTGTGATACTTTTGTTTCTTGGGCTCTTGTAACAAGTAGGGTTGCCAACTTTTGTTTCCAAAATCCTGACATATAGGGCTGAATGCCTCTGAGCATTTTCTAGTCCTTTCCTCCCTTAGAGAAAATCTTCCTAAAAAGAACCTACGGACAGCATACCGTCCACCATTTCTCTAATGAAAATAGGGACATCCCATTCCATGATGATAATTTTACTAGTTATGCCCAACACATCTTACTGGGTTGCCCCAGCCACTCTGGGCAGCTTCCAGCACATATAAAAGCATAATAAAACATTAATAAAAACTTCCCTATATGGGATTGCCTTCAGACAGCTCAGGGGTTGGATAACTCCATAACCTCCAACATTTTTCAAATGAAAATAAGGGCATCCTGTGGAAAAGTGGGACATTCCGGTATCAAATCAGAAACTGGGATGGCTTCTCTAAATCAGGGACGTCCTTGGAAAATTTGGACACTTGGAGGGTCTGGAACAGGCTGCCTTTCCTTTTAACAAGCAGGGGAAGGAGAGAGAAAGAGGTTGGTTTCTATTCTGGTCTAGCTAAGTCATCTCTGTAGTCTTAATGAATACTACTGGCAAATGGTGCCAGCCCCCATATTGTGGGGTTTCTTTTTTTTTAGTAAGGGACTTGCCTGGAGCAGTCCACTGTGCATGCCCTTCCATTCACAGTCCAGACGTCCTGCAGCAAATGCATTTGTACTACTCCTCCCTATCCTACATGCCGAAGAATTGATGCTTTTGAATTATGGTGCTGGAGGAGACTCTTGAGAGTCCCATGGACTGCAAGAAGATCAAACCTCTCCATTCTTAAGGAAATCAGCCCTGAGTGCTCACTGGAAGGACAGATCCTGAAGCTGAGACTCCAATACTTTGGCCACCTCATGAGAAGACTCCCTGGAAAAGACCCTGATGTTGGGAAAGATGGAGGGCACAAGGAGAAGGGGACGGCAGAGAATGAGATGGTTGGATAGTGTTCTTGAAGCTACCAGCATGAGTTTGATCAAACTGCGGGAGGCAGTGGAGGACAGAAGTGCCTGGCGTGCTCTGGTCCATGGGGTCACGAAGAGTCGGACACGACTAAACGACTAAACAACAATAGCTTAGTTGTAGAGCACAGCTCTGTGTGTGCATAAATACATATATATATGCCTAATAATATCAAACATCATTGCAGATTAAGACAAGGAGAATGATGAAGCAGTTTCTTAACCAGAGCTCTGTAGTATCAGGCTCTTACTAGAACTGTTGGCATCTTAATATAATTTATTTCTAAATGAGAAGCTATCAGGCAACTGATCAAATGTTATTTTTGCGCCAAAGTAGCCAGAGGAAATAATACAGACTCCCTTAATAAAGCAATGAGATACAAATCTTTATTGTTTTCTATTTGGTTATGTGTTTATCAATAAATGCATTTATTTTTGAGTGTGGGTTACCACATTTAGAACTGAAGATCCCATTACTGTGTAAGTAATGTAACAACCGATCCACTTTCCAGTCTTCAAAGCAGCACGGCATTTCTGTACAAGTTTCTTCTACAAAGCGCCAATTGCGAGCCCCACCTCATTTATTTGGTCTCCAAGTCCTTATTGTGTGCCATGCCTTCACCACCGGTTCTCTATTCTTCCATATTAGATTATGCCCGTACGTTACATACCACCTAAAAAGCAACAAACACATAACTTCAACTGAAATTCTTTCACAGAACACATTATAGGTATATGTCATAAAGCCATTTGAGCCAAAAACACTTCTCAGTAGAAATTTTACAGGGCTATTTTAAATAAATAAAAGACAAACAAACTACAACACACTGAAGCATCACTCTCATAGTACTAGCACAGTACAAAAACTTACATGCCAAAGAGAGCCCCTCCAACGTGTGCAGCATGGTCAAAAAACTTCCAACCCAAAATAAGTCCAGCCGTGTCCAGTGCAATAATGGCTTTTAAAGCCTAGAAATCAGTAAACAAGTACAGCATTGGCAAAAAACACACACAACAGCAACATTGCCTTCATGTTTCAGCAGCTCCAACAATGATAAAATGAATCTAGTCCACATTCATAAATCCCATTTAGTCATGCCTAGTCAATGAGAACAAGGGTGAAGGTTGTAGCTGGATTTGCGTTAAAGCCCTATCTCTACCGTGGATATATTGAGCAACTTTGAGAATGTACCATATTGGCCTGAATATAAGCCGCACTTTAACTTGGAAAAAAAGTGTGGCTTATATTTGTGAGCTTACCGCGTGGCTCCCCTCTCCCCAAGGAAGCAGCCCAGGAATGAAGGGGCAGCAGCGGGCAGCCTCCCCCGGCGCCGGTTTGGGGATGGAGTGCCAGGAGGCGGGCCGCACCTGCAAATAAGCCTTGAATTTTAAAGGTGCAGCTTATTTGTGGATGCGTATTCAGGCCAATATGGTAATTCTCTCCCAAGCCTCAGTTCTGTATTGGTAAATTAGAAGACCCACTCCACCAGCTCTGCTGAGAGAACAGCTCCTTTGGGGACCCTCCTTACCCATCACCTGACAGCAGCCATTCCATCTAGTTGCAGAAGAGGAAAACTGGATGCAGAGTTGTTCTGTTTCCTGGAAATCACGGTTTTCACTTTTTGAAATATGGCATCCCTAGTTCCTCCCCTCCCTGAAGTAGATGGTCATTATAAAAATCACTATGTAATGTTTAGCAATAAGTGTCTGAGTTCTATTGTTTTCATTTTCCCTTCTTACCCCTTTTTCCTTTTCTGTTGTGTCTTTTTAAAAGTTAAGCCCATGAGACAAAAACAGGTAGCAACAGAGGAGAGAAGTTGCTTCAGTTCTTTCAAGTCACTTACATTTCCAGCTGTAAATGTGAACATTGGAAGGAATATTATGGCTAGCCTGGCTTCTGGCATCTTCGTACATACTGCTGCAAGGACCATCATTATAGCACCCGACTAGAATACAAGCAAAAATTAAAAAAAATAAAATTGGCTAACTGGCAATAAAAAAGCAAAATACAAAAGCAAAAAAAAATTCAATTTAGAATTGAATTTCTGTTGAAGTCAGAAAAGATTACTGCTTATCTTGACCAGAGGTTCAACAGAAGTGAATTACTGTTAATTTTTTTGCCAAAAACAGTTAGGTTCACAATGGCCATTAACTGTTACCAATAAGATGTGGAAATGGAGGCAGCAGGTTCTCAGCTATGCCAGCTGCAAAGATCCTAAAAGTTAAGAGAAATACTAAAGACGAAGGATGATAGCCAACAAAGTTCTATTCAGAATAGACAAATTGATATTGATGGGCTTAATGTGTCTGCTCTGCATATAACCTAGTTGAATGTCACCCAAACACTACAGCTATTTTAAAAGAATTATTTCAATGAAGGGGCCTGTGGCAAATCCCTTCTCCTTAAGAAAGCATAGACTATTTCCTGTCTGTGAATAAATCTTTCTGATATTCAAGATAGAAAGTATCAACGTGAAAACAATACAATCTGATATAACATACCCAATTTATTCCTGATATTGACAAGTTCATTCATGTTTTACTCAGAAGACAGTGCCAATGAGTTCTATGAAACTTACTCCCCAAGTAAAAATGTACTTGGGGATAAAAACTGCAGTGGAAATTAGTTGTTTTGCTGTGAATTAAGTCCTATTGATATTGGGACTTAATTCAGAATAAGGCTACAGAAATATAGTAAGTAAAACTATAATCCTAAAAAGCTAGTTAGGAATCTAATTGAAATCCATGGGACTTGTTTCCAAATAAGTGTTTAAATGGAAGATAAGCTGGAAATAGTTCTTATTGCTGCAAAAATGAAAATGGACAAAACGAGCACTATAAAAATTTGAGTTGGCACCATCACTGATTTTACTTATAGCTTAACGGATACTGAGGCATCTCTCTTTTTTTAATTATACAAACGATCAAACCCAGTGGTTCCCAACCATTTTTTGGCCATGCCCCACCTAAACATCTCTAAAATCCTGATGCCCCCCATCCCCCTTGACATATAATTCTTATTATTCAAAAAGTGAACTCCTGTTCATGTGGAGAAAGCCATTAACTCGGTCTAACTCATTATCGAATTGCCCCCCTTAAAAATCAAACGTGTGCCCCACGTTGGGAACCACGGATCTAAACAGTGGGGGGAAACAGTTAACTAAGTAACTTTTGCTGGGGTGAAGCTTATAGACCGACCCCATCTCCCCAAATATTTCATTAGATTTCTAACCTACTCTCCACTGTAGCTTTTCCCCAAAAATAACTTGACTTCTGAAAACAGAAAACAATGTGCTCCAAACCAGTCTTTCACAACAGACAGATTGGTTTGTACTCAGCAGGACTTACTGCTCCAAGCGATGATCCAAATCTTCCTGTGACCGTTTTGCAAAAATAACTCACAAATGTGGAAAAAACCCCTAGAAAAATAATAATGTTGTCAGAAGCACGGATTCAGTGAGGGACATGAAACATTTAAATATTCTTATTTTACTGTCCTAGTTTCATTTGTTTCATTAAACCCATGGCTTTCACAGCACAATGGACTGCCCTACAGAGGAACATGCATTCTTAAGGCAGACACAGGTTCATCCAGAATACAGTCTCCAAAGCTGGACTGATTTATGGCATTGAGACAAATAGCTTCAGAAGTTGTTCACTTCTCCTTGGTTTTTTCCTCGGGGGCTCTGAAGCATGATCTATGCCTAAGCCAAGAAAGAAGTCATTTACCTTTTATTTATTTTTATTTATTTTAATATGCAATAGCACTTCTTCTATATTTCTATGAATTATAACATTTTAGCAAGTGTAACTTCTCCTACCTAATTTAGGAAAGCTAATTCTGTGAAAAATTCACCCCCAAACAACTATTAAAAGGACCTCTAAATTAAAATGGTGGTGACACCTCAAAGGTGGCCCATGGTTAATGGACCAAAAAACCCAATCCTATTAGCTGGCCCCTTGATCCTGGGCCTAGGACAGTACTCATACTGGCTCACAGAATACTGCTTGGGAAGCTCATCATTTAATTATTTTAGAATTTTCTAAACTAGTCTTCATCCAGACATGTTTGAAGAGGATTGTATTGATGAATGTCAGTTTCTCTCCAATGACCAAAGAATGTTCATAACACATAATAAAAGCAACTTCAGTGCAAGTCAAAGACAAGTTTTACAGTGGTGCCTCGCAAGACGAAATTAATCCGTTCCGCGAGAGTCTTCGTCTAGCGGTTTTTTCGTCTTGCGAAGCAAGCCCATTGACGGATTAGCGCTATTAGCGCTATTAGCGGTTTAGCAGCTATTAAAGGCTTAGGGGATTAGCTGCTAAAAGGCTATTAAAGGCTATTAAAGGCTTAGCAGATTAGATAAAGGGGGGGGAAAGCGAAAAAAAAATCTCTAGACTCGCAAGGTATTTTCGTCTTGTGAAGCAAGCCCATAGGGGAATTCGTCCTGCGAAGCAACTTCAAAACGGAAAACCCTTTCGTCTAGCGGTTTTTCCGTCTTGCGAGGCATTCGTCTTGCGGGGCACCACTGTATATCATCTTAGGATCCCATAAATCAGGCATCCCCAAACTCAGCCCTCCAGATGTTTTGGGACTACAATTCCCATCATCCTTGACCACTGGTTCTCTTAGCTAGGGATGATGGGAGTTGTAGTCCCAAAACATTTGGCGGGCCGAGTTTGGGGGTGCCTGCCATAAAGAGATAACCAAGGAAGGCTTCTTACCTGCAGAAAGGTACGCTGCCATGAATTGTTCACGTCCCAGAAGAGAGACTATACTGGTTGAGAAGCTCCACAGAACATACATGTTGGCTGCCATGTGTAGAAATGAGAAATGACTAAATGCAGATAGCAACATGGGAGAGCACACAACTCCTAGGGCAAAAGGAAGAAAACAGCTGTTAAGACTACTTTAGCATTTCATCTCTCCATTCACAGTTTACAAGTTGAACTATTAGAATGGAACTTCTAGCAAGAAAAAACATAGTCATCATTGGGTTTTCAAAATCATTAAGCATTATGTTTTTGCACATGGTTTTACTTCTCAGAAGAGCCCACCACTCTTTAATCATAATTTTAAAAAGATTACCTTAACATTTTTGCCTGCAGTGTGCCTCTTAGGTCACACTTGTACACTGACTTTTACAGCTTTCCCTCCACTGTAGATTTTGGCATGCGCATAAAAATATTTAACTTGTGGCAGTATGGAACACTTTTTTCCTGACAGTTTAGTGATTTAGTTGAGAAGGATGAAAATGAACAGTACCTAAATAAATCTTAATCATCCACTTCTTAGGAGATGGGACTCCTCAACAGCAAAAAACAATGAAACATTACACCATACATAACATTGAAAAACTGGTCACAGATAGGACAAGTGAATATAGAGGAAACAAGTAACTAAGATTCCCCTCACTTCTAATGCACTGTTAGGCAAGGTTTTACAAATTATGAAGGAAAGAAGACACCAAAATTTTAATTGAGAATCTGAATTTTATCCCCCCTTTCTGCAAATAGTATATATTGTCACAGGTTAGCTTATAGTAAACTACCCCTAAGTGTTGAAAAACATAGATATTTTTGTGTTTTCTACAACTGGTGTATCTGCCTGGCATATTTTTCAAGGCCTTGGTATGTTCTTTCAGCATATTTGACTATCATCTTCTTTCCCTGTCTAGTTTAGAACTGAGTGTATCACAAAGTAAGAAGATATTCTAATTCTGTAAGATTTATGCAGGTAAATTGTTTCATTAGTTTGTCCATCCCAAACTATTTGTACTGTGGAAACCAATTTGCTTGGTATTTCCTTAAATCAGGTGGTCAATCCACAGCCCCAAAACAAAACAAAACAAAATCTTGCACAATTTTGCATGTATTTTAATGCACACTTACGAGAAGTTGGATTAGATGTGAAATATGTAAGCATTACTCGTTGCAAAGAGGGTATCCTCCATAAACAGAATACAAAGACGTTTGCAGCTATAATGCCTATGGATTTAACAAGAAAAGTGTAGTGACAAAACAAGCAGTAAAAGCATTATAATATATAATGTATACAACCCACAAATAAGTTATTGTAAACCCAAGCACCACAAAACAGTTATTTTCAAGTGGATTTTCTCTCCGCCCCAGAAAGAGATGTCTGGCACCAACATACAACCCTTCAAGGGCCAGGTGAAATATATTTATTTGTTGTTACTGCTGCCTCTGACTTTGCTAGTTTGTTAGTAATGCTGCAGTTTCATGGTTCTATTGTATTTGTATGAATAGCTTTATTCATGCCCACAAACATGTCCAAATGGATGAAGGGAAGTCTAGAAATATATATTTCTGAAAATAATATTTTCAGGAACAAAGCAAAGCCAAAATTGCACTGTCCATTCAACACAATTCACAAAACCCGGAAGATATCTGAAGGTAGCCCTGTATAGGGCAGTATTTAATGTTTGATGTTTTATTATGTTTTTATATTTGTTGGAAGCTGCCCAGAGTGGCTGGAGCATCTCAGTCAGATGGGCAGGGTACAAAAAACTACTACTACTACTATTCAAGCAATAATGATGGTGGTGATTATTTGAAATCAAACTGCACTGGGCTTTGTAAGCATCCACAATGAGCTGTTTACTGACACTTGCAAAAAGCTGTGCCATTGCCCATGTGTTCTGAAACCAAACCATGAGGGCAAAGGAAAATGGGTCACCTGGGGTCATCATGACATCAGGTGACTGAAGCAATGCACTGTCAGAGTTGACCTGCAGGTAAGGACTTGGCCCATCAAGCAGTTCCTTTCCCCCCATGCCTTGGATGCAACCCAGTAATCATTCAGGTCACAAATAATTGTGCTCAAACATTCTTTAAAGACTACTTGTATTTTTGCTTTCATATGAGACTTTTCAAAAATTGCCTACAAAATACTAATGAACTGTAATCCACCCTTAATTTTTTTTTCCTTACTGATGAAGAATAGAGAGTGGAAATAAAACATGTTCCATCACCACCACACACTTACATTTGGAAACCATATCTTGATTTGGTAAACCCTATATTTTTCATGAAATATCAGTTTCTCAGTCCCCAATAACACAGTACACTGGAACCTCGGTTGTCAAACGTAATCCATTCCGGAAGACTGTTTGACTTCTGAAACATTTGACGACCAAGGCGCAAAGGGCGGTCAGTGAAGTCAATGGAGAAAAAGGGGGAAAAAACACCCCAGAAGCCGTTTGAAAATGGAAGCAATTACTTCCGGGTTTTTGGCGTTCGAGTTCTGAAACGTTCGGCTTCCGAGAAGCTCGAAAACCAAGGTTCCACTTGTTTAATTATATTAAAACATTTACTAAGTAGTAATCAAACTATTTTTGACATTCTGTTACAACTTTCTAGTAACAGAGCCAGCTTCTATGCAGGAAACAATCTTGTGTGACAGAGCCATAATCATGGAGAAAGTCTTACGGAAAGCAATAGGCAAGGGTCTTCAACCTTTAGAACAGGGGTGAGAAATGTCTGGCCTTCATCATCTATGGCCATGCAGGCTGGGACTGTTGGGAGTCCAACAACAACTGGAAGGCCACAGGGTCTCCATCCTTGTTCTAGGAGGAATAATCTGAGCATAAAATTGCACTGCATCCCTCTAAGTTAGGGAGCAATATTACATAATGTTAGGCCAAAATATATTATGTAGTGGAGCAAACTAAACACATAGGTGGAAAAGACTGCCTTAGGTTTAACAACTTGTAAGCATGTTATCAAAGCTATCTAGTGACATACTGTACCTGTTTGCCATATTTCTCTTCCTGAGAATGTCTAATACTTGTAAGCTAACACAAACCTGACACAGTACGTTGCCCGTTGCTGAGACTATTCCACCACTGGTTAACCTGAAAGAAAATGAGCAGTCTTAATCTGGCCTGATCCAATATATACAGTATCTCAAGACAATGGATATTAAACTCATTAATATGCAATTTAGTATTTTCAATACACAAAAGCATTGAAGAAATCAAGTATACAAAACGAAAGAAGAATATTCTATCCCAAAACTTTTCTTAGAAAACTGTAATTACACACAGGTAACGAACACCTATTTTCAAAAGATAACTGCACTCTCTCTAGTTAGTGTAAACCAAGGCTAGGAACCTTTTTTAACATAAGGGTAACATTACCTTGTGGGTAACCTTTTGGGAGCTGCATGCCAACGATGGGCAGGGCCATAAAGAAAAGTGGGTACAGAGATGACTCTTATCTGTAACAAATCTAAATACTATATCCATGTAGTAAATAAGGATTTGTTCCTTTTTATGTCTGATTTCTAAGTGATGCATTTTCCTAATGAAATATACATATTTTTATATCAATTTACCTCTGGATTGCATAAACTAAACATTGTGATTAGATATATTCAACTGGTATGTTTCGAGTTTGTGAAATAATCTTCCAAATAAATGAAAAAAGTGCTAATGAATTGACTCCATCTCTAATTAAAAATGTTATTTCTTGCCATTCTTCTTTAACCCAAAGATGTTATCTTATTCATGATGGCTGAGTCACACAACTTTAACATTCATAATTTTTCTCTTACTATTGAAACATATATATTTATATATTCATTCCTCATGGGTTTTTCCCTTGAGATTTGTCAAGAAAAGTACGATAATATCCAGAAGGCTTTGCAAGGTAAGGCACAATAGAAAAAATTTCGGTCATCATGTACAATAGTTTCAATAGTAAAATTATAATTAGTGCCCAAAATACCTGCCTTCTGAAGTCCATCCCTTTTTGGGGTCGCACCTTATCCATCCAGTCTGCTCGACTGTCTTCAAAATAGTTCTGAACCTTGGATTTGAGGTGTTCATATTGCCAAATAGCAGCTGATCCAAAAGCACAGCCTGAAAACTAATATATTTAATTAAGGTTTCAGGTAACACATAATTCAGATAATTTGTTACCATAAGCATTCAAATTAGCACCAGAAGACTGTTAACTCATTGTATGGCATGACCTCTACAGTCATACAATACCAATAATATTTGATCTCTATTCCCTACATAGCTTTTGGAGTCTTTAGACTGGAAATACAACTTCTATTAAATGCTTTAATTTGGGTGTTATGCCTAAACAGGAACTATCTACATATACAGGAGGCATGGGTCTGCACACGCTGGGTCTGCTCCCAATATCACTGCAAAAGCTGGCCCCGACCACCTGTTTTCAAACTTCTCAGATTGACCAGAAAACATTTGAGGTCTATCTACTTGTGTTTGCTTTAAAGTGAATAGAACATGATGGGAATCTTGATAAAGCAGGATTTTGTACTACACAGATGTTTCCACTCACATTTAAGTGAACATGGGTAGAAGCCCCATTCAGACCTACGGTGTTCAGAATAGAAACAGTGGGTAGGGATGGGAATGTGGGCAGCCCTGTTCTTCTTACTCAGGCATTATATGGACATGGATCCCAATACTTTAATTGTTCTACAGATTAGAAAAATTTGATAAACATATCTTCAGCTGTCATGGTGCTGCAATGGGTCTGCCTGCCAAAATCCCGCCTCTATATAATCCCTGTTCTATATGAAAATTCTGTAGTTTACCACTAAACAAACCAGTTTTTGTTAATTACATACGGACTGTGACACATTATCTGTAATATCAAACAATTATTACCCCAATTGTAAAGAAGAATGGCTTCACAAGGATTTTCACTGAACGGGAAGATTCTTGATAGGCTGGAGGAGACAAACTACTTTTCTGTGGCTTAATACCAGTTTTTGGGTTTGGTGTTTGCGGATCACTCTTCTGTGCTGGTCTTCTGAATCCATTTCTTTGTTGTGTATATAGGGTATTTCTAAAAGTAAATACATATGGAACACAAAGTGGACTCATTCTAAATGTTTCCAAGATGTTAAGAAATACCAGTTTCTTATTCAGAAATACCAGATTAAGAGAAACCAAAAGCACCTTCTCACCACTCCAAAGTATTATGATCTTTTTGTGATTTGCCTATCCAGAATATTACCTTTCATAGTTTGTATGTCAACTTGTTTTGCAGCTTACATGGTTGTTTTAGGCCACTTCAGATATAACACTAAACTATGATGTTGTACAGTGGTACCTCGGGTTAATTACTTAATTCGTTCCGGAGGTCCGTTCTTAACCTGAAACTATTCTTAACCTGAAGCACCACTTTAGCTAATGGGGCCTCCTGCTGCTGCCACGCCGCCGGAGCACAATTTCTGTTCTCATCCTGAAGCAAAGCTCTTAACCCAAGGTACTATTTCTGGGTTAGCGGAGTCTGTAACCTGAAGCGTATGTAACCCAAGGTACCACTGTACTAACAGTAGTTTAGGAACCCAAACGATACTCTGTGTTCTGCCTATATAGGCAAAGTACAGTTTCTGTCTTATTCTCCTTTTCCTAATCATCCCTAGATGTTATCCCAAACAGCAGCTTATGAGAAAAAAGAAACACCTAAGCCATGTTTTGTAATTTCAGTAGGAATATCAATTGAAACTTGTCAAGAAGCTTCAAATTGTAGTTTCAGAATCATGATTTGTCAGATGGGACTGGATATCAGAACAATAAATGATTTTGTTTCTGGTTCTCACTTTGGATATTATTATTATTATTGTTGTTGTTGCTGTTGTTATATTTGTATCATTGCTGTTAGGCACCTTAAGCATCATTTAGTAGATGGGATGTAAGGTTAACAAATAAGTAATTATTATCAGGGTGCTACCAAGGAAATCTTATATTTCCATTTTGTACTAGACTCTGTGAAGCTACTTCAGTCCATTTGTCTACCATTGCACCGTTGTGCCATTGACACACCCAACTCTCTTTCTCTAATCCGTCGGAATAAGGAGAGGCTGTGTAACTGCTGGACCAGTGTCTGGAGACATCGTACTTCCCTCATCCACAGCCACTCCTTTACTACAGGCTTTCCCTCTTCCTCGCCCTCGATCAGGGTGGGTGGAAAGAGAGACACAGGAACTGGATCCTACCCATCGTTCTGGGTGCCGTATTTCTTTTTTAAAATAACAGACTCCTGGAAAAGCCGAGCGGCAAAGTTGACAATCCCACCGCTCTCCCAGTCACACCCTCGCAGCGAACTCCTCGATACCCGCAGCAGCACACCACCTCTCCCACCTCCAGCCCCTTCCTCTGAACCCCACCGCCCTCCTCCTATGGGTAGCAGCTCCGCTTCATTCCCTACCTGTGTGTCCGGATTCCACTACTACCCCATAACTCCTGTCTAACCCAGACTCGGGCACAGCAACTCCACGCCATTTTCCTCACCCTCCGAAAATAACACTTCCGGGTCGGCGGGCGCTTCCTTCCGCCATCTTGAAAGGGGGGTGGCCTGGCTGGCGGCGCCGGATGACGTCATAGCCAAGCGCCGAAGCAAAAATACCGTTACCTTGCCTGCCTTTCCGGGGAAAGGGCGGCGCGGCCTACAGTGTCGTTCTGTTGGGGCGGTCTTTCTTCCGGCAAAAAATTATTACGGCGTCCTATTGAGAGAGCTTAAAAACATATGGCGGGGGGGGGGACCCTTTCGGGTTTTCTGTCGCCATTTTGAAGCAATTGGTGCTGACCGGATTCAGTCCCCATTTTATCAAAGGCGCTGAGGCTGGACTGGGCACCGAGGCTGTGCCTCTTCCTTGCCAGAGGGCCTTTTCTTCCTCGAGGCAGTAGCTTCCACTCATATGTTCTCATAGGAAAAGGAAAACGCAGACATGGATTGTGTGGGCAGCAGCGGTAAATGGCAGAAGTAGGAAAAGATGCTGACGGAAATCAATGATAGCCATTAGCCTGCCGCTCTTCAGTTGGGGATGTTCACCGTCTTTTTTCTTTTCTTTGCAGGGCCTGTATAAAGTAGCTTTAACTGGCGAAAATGGAACACGAGTTTTTCCAATATTTTCCAATATTTTAAAACCGCTATTCATTTACCTAAAACCTTACAACAAAAGCGTATTTAAAAGTCAAAGTCAGGAATTGGCTAAGTATTCTGGAAAAACTACACCCTTAATTGCCTACATAAGCTTGACAAAATAAAAAACTTTCAACAGGCATTTAAAAGTTGAGACAGAAAGTGCCTGCTGAATGTCTCTTGGCAGAGTATTTCACATCTCCATGCTGCTAGATTTGTGCTCTTGTATAATGGTTAAAAGCACAGGAGCCTTGGCATAAAAAAAGTTGGGAGTACAATCTGATATTTAGCAGGTAGTTTAGTAGCATTTCTGTGGCAACAGTGACCTCCTTTTTGATACCCGTCATTGAGAATGAAAATAAACATAGTATTGGTACAGGAAGGGAGAGAATGAACCTTGGCTTTAGAGAAGTGTCAGAAGGACTAATGCTTCCAAGTGAATGACTTGGAACCCAAAAGTACTGCACTTGTAGCATCCTACCCATATCTAGACACTTAAGTGAGTCCATGCCTCAGGACGTTTGCAGTGGACCCAGAATCACTGAACAAATAAAGGCACATCTTCCTCCCATCATTCCTTCCTACTTTACATTCCCCATAATCTTAGCAAAAATGGAGCTGGAACAATATGTTTGTCAAGCTAATGCCTAATTTGGCCTTCTGTTTTAGCTACTCTCAAAATGGAGCTAACACACTGGCCTGTTTTACAAACTTGTTGAGTCAGATTAGAGTATATAAAGTGTTCAGAATCCTCTAAAAGTTGTGTTATGGTTGTTGCTATATGGAGGATTATTTTGAAAATACTTGAAGTTTGGATGTTGTTTTTGCAGATTGGAATAATCTCATTTTTCACAGCATCATTTCCCTGAGATAAAATCATGAGTTTATTTTGGAAAACATTAGAACAGGGACAGCCAACATGGCACAATCCAAATATCTGAGACTACCTCTCCCATCAGCCCCAGTCAGCATAGCCAATAGATAGAGAATATGGGAGTTGTAGTCCTCAATGTTTAGTGAACACCACGTGGCTTCTCTCTTTAAACGTAAAGAACGTTGGAAGTTAATATGGGGTCAGACACTAGAGGAATACTAATAGGTGATTTTATTCAGGTTCTGTAAGAACCCTTTAGCTACAGGGAAGCTAGCCGGGGGGTTTTGCCCCGGGTGAAGCCTCCAGATGGACATCAGTGAGGTTTCCAGCCTGTGTGTGTGTATGCAAATACACATGGGGCAAACTGGGTCTTTGACATGGGTGAAATAAAACCTCGATTCGCCCCTGCTGGAACAGGATCCATTTTGAATAACATAGTTCATTGGATCAGCTATACGTCTTGCGCAATGGTGAAGTCAATGAACTGGCTGGAGGCATTGATTTTTAGAACAGGGGGGAAAGGTCCTAAAGTGTTACAAAACGTTCACTCTCAGTTTGGCAAAACTGGCCCTCACAAGCTGCTGTCGTGTCTCTGGAAAAACTTCAAAGGGGAAAATCCAGAACACAGATACCTAAAAGTAAGTACATATATATTATACAGGACATTGAATCTACATTATACACTTCAGTAAATCCAGTAAAATTATTTAAATGTGTTAATTCAGTTAATTGGCTTTAAAATACATTTGGAAGTTGCAAATTAATTGTTCATTAATGGTTTGCTGATAATTCTTTATGAAGCAAACAACATATAGCCACATTACTTCCCCAATCCTCACTTCTTCCTTCCTGCTCAAACATAACCCACCTCTATTTTTTCAAAGAAACAAATATTGAAATGGAAATTATTATTATTATAGATAACAGTGAATTCCTATGCCAGAAATACTGTCCTATTTACCATGTTTCCCAATAGTTCTGATTCTAACTACTATTCTGCATGCGATGCTATGTGCACCTCAAATGTATTTGAAGCTCCCATCTTTTCTTCAAATTACTTTTGAAGTAATTTTTTAATGAAATGATTTTGAAATGTTGTCTTATTTTATTGTTGTTAGCCGCCCTGAGCCCAGCTTCGGCTGGGGAGAGTGGGATATAAATAAAAATTTATTTATTTTTCTTATTATTATTCTGCATTTTATTCTTATATCAGAAATACTGCTCTATATGCTATATCTCAAAATATTGACTGCTGTTCTGCAAACAGTACTGTAAATCCACTATAAATGCATTAAAAATGAATCCATGCTGTATATCGGATAATAACTTTTAACCTAGCATGCAAAGAATATTCTGTGTTAGAACAGAAGCTAACAGTTTTGTTTTCTTCTCAGCAGAAATATTCCTCATATAACGAGTGTGCTATTACATGGTCTCTTATCAACTTTTAAAATAGGATTTTGACATCACAATTTGAGAGTGAATCTTTGAAAATTCACTTGTCATTGAAGGATGGCGTCGTCAGCTTTTCAAATCTCTGCACTGCTTCTGGCTTTTCTGGGTCTCATCCTTTTACTGGTTGCCAGTGTGTCCAACTGCTGGAAATTTTCTATTCCAACTACAACGCTTATTACTGCAAGCTGGATTTATGAAGGTCTCTGGATGCACTGTGTAGCTACTTCTCTGGGCTCAGTTCAGTGCAAGAAATTCTTTTCCTTGCTCAGTTTGGAAAGTAAGTTAACACTTTTCATACATAAAATGCTGGATTCTTAGTCTGAATTTGTGCGCCACTTATGCGAACATCTGACATTGTGTGTTTATAGATACATAGGAAAGAACTTTAATGCAAGCCTGTAGAAACAAACTTTCATATATATTCTGTGATCAAATGTTGTGTCAACAATAATCTAAATCTGTCACTGAAAACATTTGTATTTTTAGAAGTACTGTATACAAATAGTACAGTTTACATGCATTTGTCCCACTCCAGGAGTGTTAATGCAAAGGAAGGAGCTCTGATGTACATAGTCAGTGGCTGCTCCCTTTCAATATTTAAAAATGCACATTTACAAAGTATATGTCCCAGGTAATCACTGCCACTATTTGATCTCTGTTTTTGCCTGTTGGGCAACATTTTGTTAACATATTGGGTGTGAGATACTAGAGCAGTCATTATCCAGGTTCAGCTCCCTCCCTAATGTCTCTAGAACAGAGGTTGCCAAACTATGGTCTGTGGGCCACCAGTAGTCCACAAGGTTCTTTCATGTCGTCCATGGTATGTGTATGAAGATCTGTGGCTAAAGATGGGCGGTAGCGCATCCATCGTATTAAATATTCATAATTGATTTTTTTCTAGAATTCAATTTGTAATACAAAAAGATATAAGGAATAAAAAATGAAACATACAATTAAAAATCATACAACATCTAACACATCACACTGTAATTGTTGCAGCAGGCAGGTCTGTGAAGATGTTTAGCAATTTTCAAGTGGTCCATGGTGGGAAACATTTGGGAAGCTCTGTTCTAGAAGTTAAATCTCAGACATGAGTGAAGATGTACCTTTTGTCTAGTGTTGCACAAGCATGTAAATCAGGGTGGGGAACAGAGTTTGGCTGGTGGGCTGTTTCCTGAGCCCTTACTCCACAGGCCATTTTGACAGGTGGGTGGCTCTCCAGACATTATTTGACTCCATCATAACCTACCATTTGGCCATGCTGGCTGGTGCTTGTGGGAGTTGAAGTCCAATTACATCTGGAGGGCCACAGATTAGCCACCCTTGCATTATGCAGTGCTTACATGTTACTGTCACTTCTCCTGTATTAAACTTCATTGAGAGGTATTTAATTGCTGTTTAATTCTACAAAATCTGATAAATGTGTAGCACGTTGGTAGTTGATTTTTCTGGATGTGGTATAAATAGCTGAGTGTTTACACAAGAAAGCTACCATTAGTGTAGTTGCTGATAGTTTATCTAGACACATTCATTTTCACTATTTTCCCGTGGAACTTGACACCATATACTTAAATATCATCTTAACTCTTAGTTTATCCAGGGATCATTAAAAATAAATAAATTAACCATTTGAGTAGGTCATTATTTGTATCTTAAGTACTTTCTAATTATGCCTTAATCTTTGAGACTTTGTCTCCTGCTCTGATCCTTGTGCTGTGTTAAATAAACATAAAAATCATGTGGTGTCAGGCTTTTATTTTGCCCTGACGAAGATGCATTAACAAGGAATCAATTTCCTTATCAGTAAATCATTAAGACTTGCAAATTAAACATTCTGGAAACAAGTATTGGAGACAATGCTCACTCAGATCTTGTTTTTCTGCATAGTCCAAACACAATTTAGACTTAGTATCTATTAAATGTTTCTGGAAAGTGCTTCTTTATGGGCCACTTTTATTCTAAAAAGAAAATCTCAATGCATATTGATTCTGCATTATCCCCTATTGTTCTCATTTGAAAACGGATAGAGGCAGTCCCAGAAACGGGGGTATATCTACACCTGCCCAGTGATGTGGGTGGGCATATAACAAGATAGCAGTTACCATTTCCACCTTCATCTGGGGCATAGGCAAGGGTGTGTGTGTGTGTGTGTGTGTGTGTGGATACATCCCCATTTGATTCCTACATTGCAGGGGTTGGACTAGTTGATCCTCGGGATCCATTCCAATTGTACAGTTCTATGATAACCTAAACAAGGGAAGGGTTTTCAAATGTGCACCAGGTAACTACACCCATGCTTGTGAACAGTGGGATCAAAAATCAATCTAGATTAAAAGCTTATTGAGGATGAGCATGCACAATTCTGTATTGAGAAAAACTATTTATTTGCACTACAGATTGGTAAGTAACCTTAGATTACTGTGCTAGTAAGCCAGTCCTTACAACTTGACCAAACTGCGGGAGGCAGTGGAAGACATGAGTGCCTGGTGTCCTCTGGTCCATGGGGTAACGAAGAGTCAGACACAACTAAATGACTAAACAACAACAAAGCCATTCCTATAGCACATTGTGGGCAACCTTTTCTGTTGAGGAACATGCTTGTTCACGGGTGAACTTTTGGGGTCTCTGTACTGGTAGTGGTGGAGCTAGACCTGATGATGGGAAGAATCGGAGACAGAGTGTTCTGAATTCACCAGTTCCTGGTGGTGCTTTAGATGGAGTTGCAGTCTTGCTAAAAGAAGCTGGCTTATAGTTTGTGGTAGGGAGGGAGGTCTAGCATTGCTTCTTGAGACTCAGCTGGCCTTGGTGACTTAGACCAGCTTTGATCAGCTTAAGCTAACCTAACCAGCTATGACCCATTTGGGGAGAGATCACCTTACTACAGTTGTAAATGATTTGATAACCTCCCTGTTGGATTATTTCATTGCATTATATGTGGCACTCCCTTTGAAAATGGTCTGGAAACGTCATTTGTTCCAAAATAAGGTGGCTGGAGGTATTGATGGGGAGTGGTAAATATAATCACATCACACCAGTGTGCTGACATACACCTGTGAACTGACTCTCAGTCTGCTTCCAGGTTCATTTCAAAGTGCTCCTTTGAATCTTTAGTGCCCTAAATGGCTTGTGGGCCAGACTACTTGAAGTATTGCCCTTTCCTACACATACTAACTCAAAGTGCCTACATTATGGTGTTTAGGTACCGGGTAAAGACCCTTCTGTATTCCTATTCCCTCTATATGCTGGTTTGAGATGAATTTGGTTGATTTTAAAATTAGTTTTGTTGTGCAAAATTGGATTTATACTTAGTATTTTTAATGGCTTTGTAAACCACTCAGAGTAGAAAATCTTGGGGTCTGAAATTTCAGCAGCACCCTATCCAAGGAAAAAATCTCCCCCGCCTATCGTGTTCCATTCTAAAGAATTGTTGCGGTGCCCCCTAAGCACCTTACCCAGTGCGAGTGAACTGGTCACGCTCCTCTAAATCAGCCTCTGCTGACATGGGTATCATAAAGGGCAACCTAAGCAGTTTCTGTGCCAAAACTGAACCTAAGCCCCAATTGAAATGGATCTAGAAAATCAATGTCTTCCAAGAGTGCCTGGATCTGGTCCATGACCTCTCACTCAAGAACCTCTCCCAAAAAGGGGAGATTGGCAACTGGCCAGTAATTGTTTAGATTTTCCAGATCCAGGGAGAGTTTCTTAAGGAGTGCTCTTACCACTGCCTTCTTCAAGCAAGCAGGGACCACCCTCTCTTATAAGGAGGTATTGATAACCTTCCTGATCCAACCAACTGTCTAGTTTTTATCAGCCAAGAACGCCAAGGATCTAGAATGCAAGCAGTCACTGTGACTGATCCAAGGACTGTGCCCGCATCCTTGAGCCTTACCAACTAAAACTCATCCAACAGGACTAGGCAGTGCTCTGGACACCCTTTGAGAGCCATCTGTTGAAACAGCAGAGTCAAGGTCCCAGTGAATGCAAGCTATTTTAGCTATAAAATGCTTTGCAAACAAGTCACAGCAAGCTACTATCAGTTCTGCTACCTCTTTTGGGCTAGACTGTAAAAGCACCCACAGTACTGAACGGCATAATGAGGATTGCAACGGAGGCTACCAAGTATACCTTCTTTGCTGTCTTCACTGCCACTAAGTAGGCTTGATGATGAACCCTCAGCAGTGTTTGATGGCATTTGACGTGAGTTTCTCTCCACTCATGTTCAAACTGTCTCTTAGCTTGTTTCATTGCTGTGAACTCTGGAGTATACCAGGCAGCCAAGTGGGCTCCATGAAGCAGGAGAAGGCACTCTGGGGCGATTGTTTCAGTTACCTGAAGCATTAGATAGCTATGCAGATGTGAAAAAATACCCATGCCGTAAATTTTATCAGAAAAACTGATCAATAGCATTTGTCCTTTTGCAAATCCAATGCAATTAGCACTTTTTTCTTAAACCACGCCTCCAATTATTAAAAGCAATGTGCTACAAATCTTATCATTTAGTTGACGGAACAAAGATCAAAGGTAGCTTCATTTTGGAGGAAACTAGCTAAGACAGCAAGTGGCCTTTAATGGGGAGATACTTCTTATATTTCATCTTAATACAAAATAGATAATATATCTGTTAGAAGTTTCAACTATGTCTGCTGTTTTGGAACTCACTGGTTTTGTACTCACCTTGGGTGGCTGGGTAGTGATTGGAGCAACTTTAAAAAACAGTTACTGGAAAGTCTCCACCGTACATGGGAGTGTGATTACAAGCTCAAGCTTGTATGAAAACCTGTGGCACAGCTGTGCGGAAGATAGTATTGGAATCTCCAACTGCAGAGCGTTTGATACACTTTTGGCACTTCCTGGTATGTCTTTATTTGATGTACATGTCCACGTCTTTATCAGTTGAAATAATTCATTGGGTGGGTGCATGGAAAGTATAAATAGTGAATTTTGACTGAAAATAACATCAATGAGGCATTTCCCTCAAAGAGCTTGTCAGATTATAACAGACTGCTTGTTTGAGCTCCAAAAGTGAAGGATTTTTGAAGTTTCTTGGCATGTCGATATGTGGAGGACAAGATTCTCTCTCCACCTGCTCTGAAAGGTGATGAATCAGAACACACTGAAAGTAAAGTGTGTGTCAGTGCATTCCCTTACTGAAGGTAACACATAGTCTTCACAGAGCTTTAAACAAAATAACATTTTTTGGCTGTTATTAAAAACAGCTAAAGGTTTGTGATGGCCGGTTATTTATCTATAGAGAAGGTATTATTGGCATTGGCAATGGGGCAATGTATTGTAGAGAAGCAACTGAGCTTTAAATAAGCTATTAAAAAAATATCTGTACAAAGTGGTGTGCCTGTAATTTAGGGGGATTTGTTCGTCACCACTGATGTGTTGGGTTATGATCAGGCTTTGTTAAAATTTATTTTGTAACATTACATTTGAAAATTTGCATTTTGCTTTGCATACACTCAACAAAATCTGCATTGACCTGAAAATATATAGGCTTGCTTTTCTGCATTTTCAAATAATGTACTTCTGGCTTCCATGAGTATTCTGCAGAGGCAATGCTACGCTACAAGGATTAATTCCCTTTGGATAAGAGAGGACTGGAGATTTACAATGTATAAGCAAAGCATATTAGAAACAAATACCGTATTTTTCCATGTGTAAGAGTAGGGGTTTTTTTACCAAAAAAATTAGGTTTAAAATTGGGGCTCATCTTATACACAGGTAGTGCTGAGGGGTGTTTTCTTAATCAGGAGTCTCCAAAAATAGGGGGTGTCTTATACATGGGGGGGTCTTATACACAGAAAAATATGGTAGCTTCTTACAGGAAGTAGAACAACTGCTGAGCCTGCATCAGATTCCCCAAATGAACAGCATGGATCTTCACAGCCTTCTGGGCTACTTCTAGTTCAGCTACCTCTGGCTAAAATCTCTCACTTTCTATAGCCCCTTAGAGACAGTATAACCTCATAAACATAAATATGTATGTGATGTGGTTGAGAGTGGAACTTGCAACCAATTTCCCACCTGCACACATTTGTTCTGTGTACCGTCTGAAAGTGCCCTTCTTTGCAAATGCTTACTTGCTCCAGTCTATTTCTCTGTTCTTCCCACTAGCTGAAGGGTGGGAGAGACATTCCAGGGCAATAGTATCCCCAGTCATCAAGGAACACCACTGTCCTTTTGTTAGGTCCAAGCCATATTTTGATTTGTCAGGCAAAACCATAGTGATGGGGACCCAGTCACAGTAATAAAGACAGTCAAACTCATAACAGTGTTTTATAGATTGTTTGAGCAGACCATGCCAGAGTTATGACTGCCCTCATTTTACAGTTTCTGACCTTCTTGTCCAGTGTTTCTCAACCTGTGGGCCACGACTTGCAAGTAGGTCACAAATCCTGTGCAAATGATATACAGGCTGTATCAGTAAATCCAAAATAATTGATTGCTTGAAATCTTTCCCTGGTATAATGAATATATCTTATAACTCTCTTATTTTGGTGCCGTGTTGCTGTATTGCAGCTGAATGTCAGAAAGGCTTGAGTGTTAACATTTTAACACTCGGGAATCGCTTTTTGGCAACTGCCAGTAGATCTGGTGACAGCTGGCTACATGGTGCTCATACAGGAAGTTGTCTGAAAGACTACTATACTTCACTCCTGATGGGCAGGCACCAACAGCACCTTGTGGCAAGCTGTCCATTGCCAGATCTGTCACAGATGAGCTAATTATTAATAGTGATTTGAGGTTTGCTGTGTCAAAGTAAGAAACAATATATTTACTCTATGTTTCAATAGTGATCTGAGACTACGTGAGGCAACCATCAAACCTTGCATTGACCTACTTGGTTGGTGAAATGCGAGCTCAGCCATCTCACTGATACTTGCCAAAATAGACTTTATTGTAAATAAAACGATTAAAAATATTTATAGTTCATTATATCTAACACTGCTTGTGTAACCTTTGTTTTTAGGAATTTTTTTTATAGCTCATGAAGCATTATCCTGCAGCCAGATGGTCTGGGTTCTTATATTCTCATAAACAAAACTGAATAACTTTGTAGGTGCTATAAATATTTCAACAAATCCACATTAATAGGGGTGTTAAGCAACTCTTGGCTTGGATGTCTCAAGTAATGCATATAAAATAGACAAATGCATGAAACCAAAGACTGGAAAAGATGTCAGGGCTGAAATTCATGTGACACTAAAAGGATGGGTCGGCATATCTGAGCCAGTGTTACCTTCTGGAGAAGGGATAAATCTTTATTCCTTTGCTTTATTGCTGATTTCGTACAAGTTCCTATCCATTTGCCCAGTTTGTGGTTGAGATGGCATGACCTTAGTGAGAAATGACTAACTAGTTGGTTATATTATATGTTTGCTGAATTGTGACTTAACTTTTGGAAGAAGATTCCATTGTCTGTACAAAACACCATTCTTTCCTATAGGAGGTGATAATTAAACTTTGCTGGTAACACAGGATTATTATTTTTTTATCTTTATATATTAAGAGGTCAGGATATTTATTCATGCTTTTCAGGTTTCAGATAAGATAAGAAGTTTCAGGGTTAAAACAGGTCATAATTTCAATTTATGCCAACTTCACTGATGCTATGATCTACAGCAGTGTTTGGGAAATGCTTTGGGGTGCTGGAACGATCCAGGGATGTGGTAGTAGCCCTGGGTCAATTGAGGAGCATGAGATAAAAATAAGGGGGTGGTGGAAGCATAAAGAAGAGAAGAAAATTTTGAAAAACCGTTCATATATGTTTCACCTGCTGTGTAATGGCGCTTACCGCCAGGTTGAGTGGCATTGTGGGATAGTGACAATGCCTCCCCTGGATCCGGTGGTTGTGCTGGAGGCGAAGGGTTTTCCTTGGCTTGGCCCAGGAAGTGGATCGCAGCTTGCCTGCCCATTCAGCCAATGGAAGGTGGGCTGTGGGATGCCGTTGGAGCGTATTGGACTGTTACTTCAAGTGAACATGCATGGGATTCAGCTGCTTGTTAACTTATTTTTCAAGAAGTTGTAGGCATAAATGTAGATATATAAAAGAATGCAAAATTGTCACTGCACCTTTCTGTTTATTTGCTTAAAGAAAGTAGATTCCCAGGGGGTGCTGAGTAATTATCATTTTTTAAAGGGGGTGGTAGGCCAAATAGGTTTGGGAACCTCTGATCTACAGCAATAAATCATAGGAAAAGTTTAGACTGGCACACATTTCTATGGATGCTCTTCAGGGTTTCAGGCTGAGTTCTCTCCCAACCCTACCTGGAGATGCCAGAAATTGGATGTTACCATCTCTGTGAAAAGTAGGTGCTTTGTCGCTGACCTGTGGACCTTCTTTGTGTATCTATTTATATATTTTTAGAAACTTATAGTGTTTGCACTTCATTAAGGAATGGAGAGCTACCTAGCTTTGGAGATTGCATAGTTGACTCTTTACACGCAAGTAGCTGCTGACACATTTGCTGCCTTGCTTATTATATTACTCAGCTATCTGATAAGAGGGGCAATCAAATCTCTGTACTGAACATAGTAGCAGCCTGTTCTTACTGATATATATAGTTGTGATAGTATGGGAGACCATTTGCTTTGCACCAACATAGCAACAGGTCATGTGGCATCCTACGTTACATAAGGAGTTGGGCAAGCAAGCCCACCCAGAGCTAACCCAACCACGCAAGCATGTCAACTAGTGGTTTCAGCAGTGTGACCAGGATGTAGCATGTTGGATTCCTCCCCCTCCTGCCATGTGTGGGGTCGCTAAACATATTGAGTCAGTTGGCACATTTGGATTGTTGAGAAAGGGCTGTTGGTGCCACTCACAAAATGGTTGCTGTGGGGAGTGGCGTAAGATAAAATGACCATTATGTCTCAGAGTGAAAAGAGGCAGGGCTACAAAATGATGTTGGCATTTCCCCTGCATTAATGGAAAGACAGGCACCTATATCAGCCATTGCCATGCTTGCTCTCAGAGAGAAGCTCTTTGCATCTCTTCTCTCTTCAGAACAGAAAGGAGAGAGGATATCTGATCCAGGCATCCAATGAAATGTGAACATGTTTATGGGGATGTGTTCAGTGTAGGGGAGGGTGAGCCAATGCAAACAGGAACTGAGCAGGAAGAGCAAACAGTTCCTTGTGCATTGTGGATTTTTGAGGGAATATTTACTGAGCCCTTTCATGCATACCATAGAGCAGGGGTAGTCAACCTTTTTATACTTACTGCCCACTAATGCATCTTTCTTGATGTTAAAATTTCCTTACCGCCCACCAGTGCTCGATGGAAGGAGGATTCAGCTTGTGCCATAGAACCCCCTACCGCCCACCTAGAATCCTGAAACACCTGAAACACTAGTGGGCAGTAGGGACCAGGTTGACAACCCCTGCCATAGAGGGTACTGGTGGGCACACTGGTCCCTATGGTAGCCCCCTGCAGGTCTAACTGAATTTGGGCATCTAAATAGCTACTTCCTTGATGCTTGTGGGAAATAAGTATGATGTCCAGGCAACCAGCCATCGAAACTGTGAAGTTTTGTTTGGTTGTATCCAGTGGTGGCTTTGCACTGTGCATGCTCAGGGTGCCTGTTTTTTACCAATCCCTGCTCCCCACTGCAGTCCCCCCTGGGATCATATGGATTATGGCACAGAATTTGCAGTGAGAAAGTGGACTGGTTTGGTTGCTCAGCAAAATAATGTGCCTCAAGTCATGGGATGCAAGCCATTAGTGAGGGGCTTTGTATCTTTGTATCTTTAAGTAAAGGTTAAAAAGATAAAGTATCCCTGGACTGTTAAGTCCAGTTGAATTTGACTATGGGGTGCGATGCTTATTTCTGCTTTCAAGCCAAGGGAGCCAGCATTTTTCCACAGGCATCTTTCCAGGTCATGTGGCCAGCATGACTAAACCGCTTCTGGTACACCATGACAGAAGCCATAGCGCACAGAAACACCATTTACCTTCCCGTCGCAGCAGAACCTATTTATCTACTCACACTGGTATGCTTTCGAACTGCTAGGTTGGCAAGAGCTGGGACAAAGCAACAGGAGGTCACCCTGTCACGTGTATTTGAACTGCTGACTTTCCAGTCAGCAAGCCCAAGAGGCTCAGCAATTTAGACTACAGAACCACCTGTGTCCCTTTACCTTACCTTTTATACAAAGTACTCACATAGATCCATGTATGCACAGGGGCAGCCTAGTCATGCTTCTTGCTGCAATTATTATGCAATTAGTTGGAAGATTGAACTGAATTGTCCTTGACCTTGTTTCTTTCTGCTTCTACTCTCTGCGTCTGGGTTCTAACTTTTAGAAGAAAGTAGCTTTGCTTTGATGGTGTGCCATTAAATATATATTTTGCTCAAAACTTCCCTGCTTTCTAAAGGAGGTTCCAGGTTTCTTTCGTTTTTTTTTTAAAAAATGCCTTTATTTTGCTGACCATTAGAGGGACAATACTGCTTCCTTCCTTCTTTGTGCTCTGACTGCACATAAGTGCTTTGTGAATTGAGTCTGGAGGGGAAGAGCTAGATTGAGACTTAAAAATAGCCTTTTAACTAAAAGGATTCCAAAACAAACAAGTCCACAATTTCTGTCCTTATTAAACCAGTGAAAGTATCTGCCAGAACTAGAAATGTATTCTTAAAAAGAAAATATCTGATCATCAAGCGTTATGCTTTGCTCCTTTCATAATAAACTTTGTGGTTGCAATTATACCTTGGACTGCCTCTGGATTTGCTGCCAAAAGCAAGGCAGGAGGTAAGGTGGCTGCTTAGGAATGACCGAAAAAGAGGTACTGCCTCACCAGAAAAATGGAGGTGAAAAGAGGACACTGTTAGAATCAAGTGGTATATAAATTCTGGTTCAGTGTCTACAAATGTCTACAAAGACCAGCAGTAGCGTTAGGGTGTGTATGTCTGAACCTCCATGCGTGCCCATCTCCCACATATATCCCACGCACACTCCCAAAAAGTTTAAGATCTTTAAACATTTGTATGTTAAGACTATGTTTCCTGCCCTTGATTTTATGCTCACAAGAAATTAACAAATGAGGAATAAAGAAAGATTGGTTGGTTACTTGAAACAAAAGTGACAGAGTATATAGATGTTGTTTTCCAACAACAAAGTTAAATTTAAGCAGTCAGCATATCTCACAGAATGTATACCTTGATCTTGAGAGGGAAAAGGAACCCTAACTATCTCAGAATCCTAGACATTGAGTATGACCATTTCCCACACTAAAATGAAGAGAAAAGACAACTTCTTATGTAAAATTCCTAACTTTGGCTGATTCATACCATACATAAATGGACTATTTATCCTGTTATTATTGCTGTTAAATTTATATCCCACTCTTCCTCGTAAATCATCCCAGGGTTGCAAACAACAAGTGACAAAACAATAAAAACATCCTTAAAACATCTAAAGCAATTCTGCTACAGATGCAGAGGCCTCAACTTGCTGAAAGACTTGTTGAAAGAGGAAAGCCTTCAGTAGGCACCAAAAGATGATGCCTATCTAACATTCGAGCGGAGGGGATTCCACAGGATAGGGGCCACAACACTAAAGACCCAATTCCTACATTGTGTGGAATGGACCTCCAGGTGGTGTCCCCAGGAAACCCTCACCTGCAGTGCCATGGCAGATTAGGTATATACTTTGTTGTTTGAAACCTGCAAACTACATAGATAAGTTTACATTATAGAACCACCAGACGCTCATTAAGGAGTATGATAATGCTAGATGATAGCGTAGAATTCAGTTGCATAATAGCTACAGAAAACATGTGGCTTACATTTATTTGTCACCTGTTCTTGTCACTTGATTCATTAATCATGTGCTGCAACTCCTATTCATTGGTACAGTGGATTAATAAGTTACTTTATGAATCAATACTTACCAGTGGATAGTATTCTAGGGAATTTCTCACTACATCATAAATATGCTTTTGTTTTTTCTCCACCAGCCCCCAGTCTGAATGTTTTAATTGTTTTTACTAATAATTTTAGTGTTGTATTTGTTTAGTAACCTGCTTTGAGGTTTTTTACAATCAAGTGGTATATAAATTTAAATGAATGAATGAATAGTTAGTAATTGGGGTGTCAGTGCTGCTGAGCTACACAGAGTCAAGATATAAATAGAAATGGCTTTGCAAACCCAATATGGGATGGAGAGAATAGCTTCAAACATTAAACTGGCAAAATGACCACCAGATGGTGGAGATGTTTGCATATAGAATAATTATGCTGGTTGTTGCTCATCTCTGTATGCTTGCATTCAGTCTTGACCATTTACTTCCAGATCTGTCCAGCATCAATCTTTGTTCCTTTCCTTTGTTATGTTGCTTGCTAAGCATGCAAACAAGTATGAGATGAGCATGAGGATTGGTGTAATGGCTTCTAATATCTCAAAGGCCTAGAGGACTCCCTAAAGAAGGAAGGAACAGTGATATCCTCAATGTATTTCTTAAAAGGAAGGAGAATATGGGCAACTCTAAGAGGAGAAGTCAGACCAAAAGACAGATTCACATACATGTGGGTAATGTAAGATGTTTCTGACAGTCTAAGGGCTTGAGAGATTTCCTCTAGGGTGGAATCATCGTTTGGGCTGGTTAATCTCACATCTGCCTCTATGGGCTTCCTGATATTGCTTTCTATTAAACCAGATATATATATATAATGTACCATCTGCCCATTGTTGCTCCCAGCAGCCACACATTTGGATCAGTGGGCATGTATTGCTGTTTGACATGTCCTTTGCCGAAACTGATACCTTTCTTGACAACATTTTCTTTCCTCTGCAGCTTATATTCAAGCATGTCGGGCCCTGATGATCACTTCGCTTATCTTGGGTATGTGTGGGACTCTGCTGACATTGCTTGGTTTGAAGTGCACTCAGCTTGGATCCAACAGTGAAAATGCAAAATCAAGAATTGCCATGCTGGGGGGAATGGTCTTCATTTTAGCAGGTGAGATATCGGTAGACCGTGCACCAAAAAATAAATAAAGCTAATGTAATAATACAGTGGCTCTCAAAGGATGTTGTGCACCATGCTGGTGTGGCAGGAGGATTCAAGGGCAATCAAAGAAACATTTAAACATTTCAGTATAGTGTAGTATCAAAATAATGTTTTTTTATTTGAATAATATGAATATCTTTTCAAAATAAGAGATGTTGAGGACAACCCTGCTAGTGAATCAGAATCACCGTTAGAACAGAGTGCTGGAGAAGATGTGTTTATAATTCTATTTTGGGAATGATTAATGTTCTTATGCAGCTGCATCATTTTATGCTTTCTGGATGCCCCGTGATCATATTATAAAGTAGTTGTGTTTTGTGTTATAAATCAAGCACTGCTAGTTGTTGTTTCTTTTTGTTTTCCAATGTATTTCTTTTTGATAAAAAAAATCTATGTGGTGCATGCAAATTTTTATATGTGGCCCAGAGAAAAATTTTTGAGAAGCAGTGGAATAATAGGAAAGGGGAGGCACTCAATTGCCATCTTACTCAACACAATGTAATGATGCAGAAACACATCCATCCAGCAGCCCTGAGCAAATTAACCAACTCAGCTGAATTGAGTATTCAGCTGAAACTCATGAGGCTGAGTAGGATTTCATTAATCAGCTGATGACTTTATTATATTTACGTACATGTTATTTCTGTAAGGCACGGCTGTGGAATTCGTTAGTTCGCTCCATTAAAATGGATCTGTATTGTTTCCCTAGGTCTCTCATCAATGGTTGCTATTTCTTGGTATGCAGAAAGGATCACAGCTCAGTTTTTTGATTCATTTTATGGTGGAACCAAGTAAGTTTACAGACTTGCATGTTGTTGTTTAAAAAAAACTCAGTTCAGTAACTGCAATATGTAAATGGCTTTAGGCATTGTTAAAACTCACATGAAACTAACATTTGGCTTGAATCTTTTTTGCATTGTACGTTTCTTAACAAAAAATGATGAGATTCATAAGAATACTTTGAATGCATGTTTCAGTAACATTCTGCTGCTTCCTGTTGGCCTAGTTCCTGATTTCAGTCTGTTGGTCATGCTGAAATGTGACCAAAGGACAGAGGAATTAATGTCTCTGACGACCATAAAAGAAGATAGGTTGCGGGGGGGGGGGGTGTTTAAAGGATTACTGTAGGTGAAAGCCCTGCTTTGGCCCACCTCAGTGTTTGCAGATCATCTATTTGAGACAAAACCCATTTTCCTGCCTTCTACAGAAATAACCTGGAGAGCAGCTGGTCATATCTCCTAGCTTTCTCCTCCTATACTTGATTTTTTTCCCACTGGCAGCCACTACATTAAAAAAATATGGCAAAATGTATCTGATTTGATTGTAATGATGCTTCTACGAAATCATTTTTTTTCCAGATATGAGCTGGGATATGCACTGTACTTAGGCTGGGCTGGTTCCCTCCTTTCTATACTTGGTGGGATCTTCCTGACATGTTCAGCATGCAAAGAAAAACACAGGTAGTTGACCAATTGCTATTACAAGAGTAAAAAGTATCAATGAGATTGTTAAAGATTTCACTGAGCTGTCTGTTTTGTCTGGTAACAAACCCCAAGTGTTTATATTGCTTTCTAAGCATTTTGAAAATATATAACATATGCAATGAAATGCCTGAAATAATACTGAAAATGATGGGACTTTCATCTGAGCAAACATGAATAGGATTGGATTGTAACCTCTAGTAAAGGTAAACGGACCCCTGACCATTAGGTCCAGTCTTGCCCAACTCTGGGGTTGTGGCGCTCATCTCGCTTTATTGGCCGAGGGAGTCGGCGTACAGCTTCCGGGTCATGTGGCCAGCATGACTAAGCCTCTTCTGGCGAACCAGAGCAGCACACGGAAACGGCGTTTACCTTCCTGCCGGAGTGGTACCTGTTTATCTACTTGCACTTTGACGTGCCTGACTCAGTTAAATTTCTCAAAAATAGAGAGAATGAAAGAATGAGAGAGCAGCAGCACATTGACACCTCTTTTTAATTACAGAGACTACAAGTATGCTGCTACCCGGCAAGGCAAGGATGCACGTATTTACATCAAACAGTCCGAGACAGTCACATCTGCCAAAGACTACGTTTAGATTTTAAAATGTTTCATATGTTCTAACTCATTACTGTATAACATCTAAGCCCTCCATTCCCATTTCCATATTCCACTTTCAACAGACATTTTACATATATGTAGAATTTCCTTCTGGTAATAGTTTAAGCTACAGTGTCATTTGGGTGTATGAGGACTGGCCTAGTAAAGAAAAATAATATGTAACATGTTAGCATATTCCCAACACCCCCCCCCCAAAACAAAAACAAAAAAATAACACCCAGGAGGTGTTTTTTATCTAGTTTTATCTAGTTTATCTACATTTATTTAGTTTGTCATAATGTTGTCTCATTGTACTAGGGAACACTGTAAACTTAGGATCTGAAGGATTCAGTATTTAACCACACAATATGCAAACACTATATGAGGAATGAACTGATTCTGACAAGTTATCATGGACCTTAATAATATTGGTACCACAGTATTTGCATAGTGCTTTAGAGTGTCCAGAGTGCTTCACACACATATTATCTCTGTAACCATTACAACAGTTTTGCATGGTTGATCAGGATAATCCCCACACTGCAGATGGAGGAAGGGGCTGAGGAAGAGAGAGGGAAATTTGCTTAAGGCCTCCTACCAAGGTTGTGATGGAGGCAAGATTCGAAGGGGAAACATTCTCATTCACCTCACTTAGGCATTGCATCACAGAGCTCTCATTGGCCAGAGCTACTGTTAAAGAGACTTTTTGTGCAGAACCTTTGTTACATGTTTTGACCTGCTGCTTATGAATGTATGTTCTACCGAGTGCTAACATCTTTACTGTTTGTGTATATTCAATAAACCTAGAGTTTGTGCTTCTTTATAACAAAGTTTTGCTTCTCTTGTGTGTTATTTTACCCACCGTTAGACATCGGGGCCCACATTTCCATGAACTTAGGCAGAGATAGCCAGTGTGCTGGTTGCGTGACCACCCCACCAAACGATCTCGAGTAAGTAGGTCTCGAGTAAATATCCTCAATAAATGAGAGATTTGTTTGCTCTTCTTCCTCAGTTTCTGTTTGCACAGGCTCAGTCTCCCCTACGCTGAACAAACACTCCTTAAATATGCCCACATTCCATTGGAGGCCAGGATTAGACACCCTCCCTTCTGTTCTGAACAGGAGAGATACAAAAAGCTGCTCTGTGAGTGTAGCAGAGGCTGATGTAGGGCCACCCACTTTTCCATGGATGGGGACCATTTTAGGGGCCTATATCTTCTGCTGCTTGTTTAGATGTGGCAGCTATTGTGTGTTATGCCTTACCACCACGACTGCCCACCCACCAGTCACTGGCACCCATTACAATTTCTTATAAAACCCAGTGTGCCCACTGACCCCAAAAGGTATGCAGTTCCTGGCTTAGGGTAGGGATAAACAACATGTTACACTTAAAAGAAGCCCTGGCCTTTTTTTGAAGAAGAAGAGTGGTAGGGGAGCTGTTTGTGTGTGTACTGAAGCAGATGGGAGTAGGATTGGGAGTTGAAAAACAGCCAGCAGGTGGGAAAGTTAAGAACTCACCCTTTCTCTTCTCAAAACAGAACCCTCCTTCTTATTAAGCGGCTTGGTTAGAGCATGGTGCTGATAACACCAAGGTTGCTGGTATGGTACAGCTGCATATTTCTGCATTGTAGGGGTTGGACTAGATGATCCTTAGGATCCCTTCCAACTCTACAATTCTATGATTAAGCTGCCTTGCATGTAAAAATTCAGCCATCACTAAGAAACTAAGATTACTACTTCCACACCCTAAATACTTTATTCATATTGTATAATCAGTCATCAATCATAATCACTTTCAGAAAAATATGCCAATTCACTAGCAGAGTACTGTTAATCGAAAAAGAAAATACTGATATGATTTTAATGTAGACACATAAATAGCTACAGGCAATCATAAATGCAGGCATAAAATGCAGATAAGAGTAGATTGATATATTTTACATATTCGCAAAGACAGTTTTCATCTTGCCCAAGGCCATTATTTGTTGTTCTGTCCTTCCTTATTATGGAGCCAGCTGTTATAATGTATGTTTCACATGAGAGTAGAAACTTTTATTTAAATACAGGTGATTGTCAGTCATGCCAGTGGGCACTCGCAACATGCTCAAAACACATATCTATTGGTGAAATAAAACACAAATGAAGCAGTGTTGCATTAAAACACATTTTAAATAAATTTTCAGTCTTGAGTAATGCAATAGAGTGCCAACATTGTGCATCATTTTTCAAAGATGGATACCAACAACACCCAAGAATCACACACAAAAGCCCTCCAATCTGGAGGGGCACATAGCCACATTTTGACCTCAATTGTCAACATTTATTTTGTGGCTTCAGAGACTACTAAAGTTCCAAAGAATAATGTTTTGGGGGATGTCTGTGTGACTTCTGGGCAGTCCACAAAAACGGCTCCTCAGGAACTAGGCAGATGAGAAGCATGCTGATGGTTATCAGTCACAGAGCGAGTCTGGACGACCTGACTTTTGAGCATCCATTCTGATTTGCTGTTAAACAGAGGCTAGACTATGCTCAGTCTTTATTGATCATTTGTTCTGATTTGTTTGCCAGGTGTTTGCCATGATTTGCTTATGAGGTGATTACATGTTTCACCATCAACCATTTGTTAATCACACACTTTTCAAAGGCTTTCTCCTTCGTTTTCCAAAAAGCAAAAAATTCATTTTTTAAAAAGTGGGTATGTTGTGTAGGACAACCGATAGCTTTAATCCACTTTGATTGTGCAAACATAAGCTCCTGCACACACTTGAATCTCTCCCACAAAATTCTTGTGGGATAACCAGCCTCATATAACCATGCTTAACTCTAAGGGGTTAATACCGTAGAGTAAGCTGCCCTGACAGGCTTAGGAGGTCACTTCCCCTCAGCTTGAGAGGGACTAGGTCAGGGGTCTGCAACCTTTAAGACAAAAAGAGCCACTTGGACCCATTTCCGAAGAAAAAAAAACTGGGAGCCGCAAAACTCGTCATTATAAAAATAACTTTTTTGTCACTTTTTTATTATTTCTTTGTTTGACCCCTCAGAATTACTCCTCCTCATAGAAATAAACGTTAAATTAACAAGTTACCTTTTTTGTGTGTGTGTTCTTCACTCCCCTTCAAAACAGTGACCAGCGTACATGCCCCCTTTCAATGCAGTGACCAGCGTACATGCCCCTTACAATGTAGCGGGCAGGCGGGAAGGTGACGTCGGGACGGTGCGTGACTAACGCACGCACCGCCCCCATGTGACATCACAGCCAGTACAGCGCCCGCCACAGTGGGGAGTGTCGGGGCGCACAATGCGCCTCCTCCCCTCGCTAGTATCCGCCCCGGAGCCGCGGCAAAGGTGTAAAAGAGCCACATGCGGCTCAGGAGCCGCGGGTTGCTGACCCCTGGACTAGGTAATCAAGCCTATTGTTCAACCAGTCTTCCTGAGAAGCTCAATGTGTGAGGAGGTCTAAGTTGGTTTCTGCAGCTCACTTGGTTTCTGGCCACTCTACTCTTGAGTTCCTATACCAATAATTTAGGAACTTTACCACTTTAACTATGCCAAGTTTTACTGCCTGTGCAACTTTTTCTGAAGTGCAGGAACCTGACCATTGGATAGTTTGTAAGTAAATCATTTTTAACTTACCAAACATGCGGTATTTTTCTATGCTAAGGGAAGAGGGAAGTTTTGGAACTCAGAAAGACATATTTTAAAGACCTAAAGGCCTACATTTCCATGCTTTACTTTGCTGTATATTTTGTGATTTTAAATCTCTGCTGGGGTTCTCTCACCAAAGAGTACTTGCCACAAAACTGGATCTTGGCATCTGCAGAATTCTCCTTTCTGTATACCTATATTTTTACCTTGCCACCAACAATACTGACAGTCTGGAGGCATCTACAATCTTTCCAAGCTCTTAGGACACATACACCTCCTTCAAGGAGTTCCCCCCACACCACAGTCTGGATCAAAACAAAAATGTTTATTGCGAAGTTATTTTTCGAGAAGGATCCATCTGATGTTGCATTTGTAAATGCCCTTCATATTTTTGTAACTGGGACCAAAAGCCAACATTGGGCTCTGCTACCGGCCTGGCCATCTTCACAATCTACAGGGAGGAAAAAAAGAAATGTATTACACACAAAGGAAGTGACTTTCCCACAGGCTGGCCATTTACAGTTGCCCTAAAAGTGGAACAGTATCACTGAAAAGAAGGCACAGAGTGACATAAATTTATGTGCTAATTTATATGCACAGATGCAAATTCATAAATAATGACTGTAAATTTAACAGACATGCACTACATCTCATCATAGCAGTCTATAGGAATGGGCAATTTTGTCAATTTAGATTTCTACCAGTTTTGCATTGTTCCAATCTTAAGTTCAGTTTTCCACATTTCTATATCAGTTTGGATTATTATTATTATTATTACCTTTTAAAGAAAAAGTCCTCATGAAAATCCATCACCATTTGCTACACACCATATACACAATATAAAACACATTTCTTCCCTCTAAGAATTCTGGGCACTGTAGCTTGGAAGGGCTGCTGCAAATTATAATTTTGTGGTGAGTGAACTACAGTTCCTAGAGTTGGGGGAAGATCTGTGCTTTAAATGTATGGTGCATATGCAGCCATAGTATATTAAGGTCCTGGCAAAAAGAACCAAATTGTTGCTGTTTGCAGTCCTTGCCACCCCTTTGCTCCCCAAAACTAGTTTTCTGGCAATACAACAGAGGTCTGTACTAATGCTAGAAACAGGCAATAGGTTTTAAGAGAGTTGAAAGCAACATGTGAGTGGCATTAACTTCCAATGGTGTACAAACATTTTTGTCTCACTCGGCTTGTTCACACCTGTTACACTGAGGTACAAGCTGTCACTGCAACTATTGATGTGAAAGAGTGTACACTTGATTTGTACAGCTCAGCTATTGTGTACACAGCCACACACACACTATGCACTCATTAAATGTTGCATGTGAATAACTATGAGTGTACAGCTCAAGTAATGTGTGCACATATTGTACACTCATTTAAAATAATGTGTAGAAGCCCTTACTGTTGCCTCTGGTCAAGTAGCTATTTGTAAGAGAACAAACACCTGTCTGGCAGAGGTAATAGTGTGAAACGTGTCCATGCCACAAGCAACTATTACATTCTTTGAAACCTCCTTTGCATGAATTTGACTAACTTAATAAATTTGACTAAACAACATACAATATTTCTGAAATGCTTGAGTATTATTATTATTATTATTATTATTATTATTTTAAAGTGCATAGGGAGGAAGCTGCAAAACCTCCTGTATAATGTTGCCAGATTTTATTTTACAGGAGTTTAAACTCCTGAATCTGACAATTCAGAATTTACTTGCCATTGGAATTTCACTGGGCCAAAACATCCCCAACAACCTCCAGTCAGAGTTGGCTTTATTTGCCCAACTGAGAAGGAAATTAGGCTGCCTTTAAAATTAATTGTCTTTATTATCCTTATGACACTTTCCCTGGAGAGAGAAAACTGAATCAGAACTATTGCAATGACTTTTGTTATGCAAAGCGTTTCAAATTAGAAAGTAAGATGCTCTTGCCCAGTTGAAATACAAATGCTTCTGCATTTCAGCATCAACAACCGAGCTATAGAACAAGATAGTTATTTTTCCTGCATGCTCACAATACCTCAAAGGCATCCTTCAGGCTGAGATTTTGGTGCTTCATCAAGTAGGCAGTGCAGATGGCAGCAGATCTGCTGCGGCCGTTTTTACAGTACACTAAGCACTTCCCACCACTCTGGACTGCGCCCTCTATGGCATCGCTGCAGCGCTCAAAGTATCGATACAGGTCCTCCGAGGGATCATCAAAGACGGGGACCCTCAGCGTCTGGACTTGCTGAAAGCTCGGGAAGGGCTGCTGCCTGGAGACATTGACACAGAACGTAATCCTCTCTTGAACGAGGAGATTCTCATCGCAGGCTGACCTGGAATTGCTAATGAACAGAGAATCGGTGACCTTGCAGAGGGTCAACATTTGAAGGGGAATGGCGGGGCTGCAGGAAGAGGAGCAGCTGACCCTTTCCCTGGTTCAGGAAAATGCCGGGGAGAGGCAGAGCGGTGCTTAAGACTCACCTCCCGAAAGCGCACAGATTGTCAGATCGCTCTGGATGTCTTGTTCTGCAGCCATCTGCAGGCTGTGCTATATTTATTCTGCTTGTAGCTGAAAGGATTACATTTCAGACTGTCCTAATGCCTTCTGTTTTTTTTGTTTTTTTTAATGGCAGCACTTAGCAATATTGAGCTTTGGACAGTCACTTTGGAACAATAGAGCAGTTATTCAAGACTCTCTAGAATTTCTTTAAGATCACACACACACATAATCAGACTTGTTGGTTGGACTCAGGGCCCCTCCAGACTGGTGTTTTATTGCAGCTTTATTCTGCAACATGTTCTTGACACAGTAATAGTGCATTAGTGATGGATTTGTTCTGCTTTGTTAGCTGTTCTGTGATGCTTTCCCAATTACTGCTGTCTGGAGGGGCTATAGTGCCATAAAAGTTGAGCAGAAGGGGAGAATCCCCATAATATATTTGGTAAGAAAAATTAAGGGATTTTAGCAGGATCATCCTGTTTGCACAAGGAAGTGTGTGGAGGGAGCTTTACTGCAGTAATTTCTACACATAGTCACCAGGGAAAGAATAGAATTGAATAAGAACATATGCCAGTCTGGTGGGTCGACAGGCGTTATTAGTGAATGCCAGCATCAGGAAATAACACTCCCACAGAATTCTGCAGTTAGCGAAGTGACTGGATGAAGCATGTTTGCAATGTTTCTTCTTTGGGAAAGTGAGAAAGCTATTAAGACATTGTGAATATAGATAGCTTGTTCCAGAAGGGTAGCCATGTTAGTCTGTTGCAACAAAAAACAGAAAGGTGTTTTGTGGCATCAGAAAAAAAAGATTTGTGGCATAAGCTTTCATGAATGAAGTTGGCTTTAGTCCAGGGATGGGCAGATGGCAAATCAGTACATATGCATCGATTTGAGCAATTTGCAGTAGACCAGCAAGGATTCTGACTCCCAATTGTTCAGTGGCAGCAACAATAAAAAAAGCTCCCTCAAGTTTTGAAACGTGTGAAATCCAGTCCAACTCAACCTCAGCCTGCAACGACAGGATGCAGTGCAGCTTCTCTGATTTTAAGAGGCTAGCATATGCTATGTGCTGGAACATTTAATGAGAGCTGCTAGCATCCTCAAAACAAACTCGTCTAAAAATAACAGTGAAAGGGGTCAAAGTTATAACATGTACTCACCGATGAGTCAGACGTTTACTCTTGTCTTTTGTTATTTCTAGAGCCTAGCACTCTATGAAGGGTAGAGAGTATGTCCACTGTAACATTCCACTGCCACAGAAAGGGGATCAGCAGGTTGGCTGAGTATATGAACTGCCACTCAGCAAGTCTTGTCGCACTTATGCTGCTGTGGCCATACACTAAAAAGTGTTGCCACCCTCTTTGTTTTTTCTTTTTTGATGCTTATTTTATTAAAACATACAGTGACTGAATATCAAGTAGTTACAGAGAACAAGAACCAGCGTCTGTCTCCCCATATTGTGCTGTGAAAGGAGGTTTAGGAGATGCTAGAATGAAAGGCTAGTGGGACTTGCGGCCATTCCTTCTACAGTGGTACCTCGGGTTAAGAACTTAATTGGCTGGGCCTGCCATTATGCAGAGTGAGGCAGCCATGTCAGGCAGCTGATTTGGGGTGTGGTGAAAGCAAACCATCATATATTTGAGGTGCCTGGGAGATTTTCTGACTTGGGTGACAATATAAATGAATGGCCTTGGTACTATGCAATTTGACTTGTGGGAGGGGAGATACAGTGGTACCTCTGGTTATGAACTTAATTTGTTCTGGAGGTCTGTTCTTAACCTGAAACCGTTCTTAACCTGAGGTACCACTTTAGCTGCCGCTGCACGATTTCTGTTCTCATTCTGAGGTAAAGTTCTTAACCCGAGGTACTATTTCCGGGTTAGCGGAGTCTGTAACCTGAAGCATCTGTAACCTGAAGCGTCTGTAACACGAGGTAGCACTGTACTGTACATATGTCAGGAAGCATTGAGTACAAACTCACAACATCCTGAGAGGGATCTGGGGTGTGGGTGAGAGAGGACAAGGGAACTACACTTCGTAGCCTGGTTGGCAATGGGAGACCGTGTCTTGCCCAAGGCAATCAGAGCAGAGAGATTGTGTATTGGCTCTCCTTCACTGGAGGTCTTGAAGCAGAGACTGGATGGCCATCCGTCATGGATGCTTTAGCTGAGATTCCTGCATTGCTTTCCACCCTCTTTCTGATCTGGGAAAGGGGTGGAGACCTCTCACCAATTCCAGTGCTAGCTTGAAGGAAATGCCAGTGGAAGAACAAATCATCAGCTGGTGTGAAAAGTAAACTGCAGGCACCATATGTCACAGAATTTATGGAATCTGTGCTATTGAGACTTGTCCAGTGATATATTCCTTTTGGTCTAAAGCTGTTGTCCATAGCAATTTTGTATTGTCAAAATCCTTGATATCTGGAGGCATCCATATACCTGTAAAATAAATGTCTGTAGTATTGGGATGAATGGCAGGACAACAAAAGTGGATTTGATGAGCCTTTATGGTTGCCAAGAAACTACTGCTTAGGGCCTGGAAGGATAAACAGCCACCATCTATTATGAAAAGGGACCCCTGACCATTAAGTCCAGTCGCGGACGACTCTGGAGTTGCGGTGCTCATCTCGCTTTATTGGCCGAGGGAGCCAGCATTTGTCCGCAGACAGCTTCTGGGTCATGTGGCCAGCATGACTAAGCTGCTTCTGGCAAACCAGAGCAGTGCACGGAAACACCGTTTACCTTCCTGCCAGAGCGGTACCTATTATCTACTTGCACTTTGACGTGCTTTTGAACTGCTAGGTTGGCAGGAGCAGGGACCGAGCAACGGGAGCTCACCCCGTCACGGGGATTCAAACCGCCAACCTTCTGATTGGCAAGCCCTAGGCTCTGTGGCTTAGACCACAGCACCACCCGCATCCCACCATCTATTATACAGAGGCCTAAATACCTTACTGGATGTCAATCTCAACATTTGGAGGGAATATATCAATTCATGTGAGATGGATGTATTGATGGTTATTGTATCTTTTAATGTGGGCAGATGGGCTTTTTCCGCCTCAGTTAAAAAAGAGACAGGAGGAAAGGCAACAAATCAGTTTTGTTTAGTGGATCAAGTGCAGGTGCTGAATCTAGAAAACCTGGCTGCACAGTCCATGCAGGAACTCATTAACAACATGGGAAATGTATCCCTCACCCTGCAAGCAGCATTCCACTTGTTCAATGGGAGTTCCCCTTTCTCTCCTGCCCCCAAAATCTGCTCCAGAGGATCTCCATTGTGCAAGCAAAACAACAGCATTGGTAACAACCCTTAGTGCCAGCATCTAAGCTTGTATACTCCATCTGTAAAATGGGAATACAGTGGTATCTTGGAACTTGAATGACTCTGTTCTCAAATGTTTTGGCTCCCAAACGCCCGAACCCCGGAAGTAAGTGCTCTGGCTTCAAATGTTCCTCAGAATACAAACGTCTGGCACTGATTCCAGTGTACAAAAACCTAGCTGTTGGCCAATTGGAACTTAAACGTTTCGGAAGCTGAACGGTCGAGTTCTGAGGTACCACTGTAACCATGTTATTCCCATGGTTGCTGTTAGCTTGAAGGACTGAAAAGGAGCATAAAGCACCCCACCCTTTATAAGAGAACTCTGTAAGTAACATCATCAGTAGACAAAGGCAAGGCAAATGCAGCTACACCATGCAGGCCCCATCAGGATTAAATACATTTGTAATAGGACACAACTCATACCATCCTTTTGAACAAAGCAGTAGAATCCAGTCATATTGCAAGGGAGTTTTATTTGAAAAACCATAAAGTTTGAAAAATACGTTCAATTTCTCAGGGGAAATAAAAGCTTATATAAAATGAACAAAAATATTTGGTACAAATATTCATAAAAGGGTTGTGAAAAACAGTTATAGTTCTACCACTGTGATTCTCCCCACTCCATCAGTCAACTATTAAAGGAAATTGGCATGGAAAGCATTGCTTGGATTTTTTTAAAAATTCATTATGCGCCTGGAATATTTATTAAAGATGATTTAACATTTTAAATAAGACATGAACTCTAAAGAACTGTCATAGCAACCTCTTTCAGATTTCAAATCTCCAAAGGAAGGCAGAATGATCAAGCATTTCTTGCATTCTCGAAGCAAGAAAAGGATGGGGTGTGTGGAATCTCTCTCTCTCTTGTGAATGGCTGAAAAGAAGAATCCAGATCAATAAATAGGTCCAATATCAACCCTAAAGATCCCCATCATTTGGAATGGAGTACCAGAGTCCTCTTTTCTGTGCTGCAAGCGCAAAGGAGGTGCTTTCAACGCTGACACCCAACATCTACGCATTGCAGTGTGAGGAGAAACAACTCGGGCACAAAACAAGGTCCGCAAGTCACCGCTTGGGAATATCCAGAAGCTCAGCGTGCAAAAACACTCCGCATTCCAGAAGGTGGAGGTTCGTCCCCTTTCCAAGACTCTGTTTTTGAAACCGTAACAGTCTCCATAAAGATGCACTTGCCCCACCTGGGTGCTCAGTTGCTGTTCCTTTGTGGGATGGGGAGATTTTCATGAAGGTACTTCATACTTCCTTGCTCAGAGAAATCGGAAACGATGTGATTCTCCCCTCTTAGCAGCCACTTTGTGGTCAACAGCCCCTCAATTCCAACTGGCCCACGGGCATGGATGCGCGATGTACTGATGCCAACCTCAGCCCCTGTGTGCAGAGAATAGAACAACTGGGTTGAAGAGGGCAGGAAGGAAATTCTCCAGTCTAATGGCACAAGTCAAGTTGACCAGACCTCGTTCACCCATATTTCAAGATCCCCCCCAACTTTCTCTCATCCCTTTTTGCACTGCATTTGAGCTGTGGACCTGCCAATTTGCTCCTTCACCTTCATGAGGTTTAGACAACTAAGGATTTGCGGTTTCATCTTCTGGTGCGGCACCACAATGAATGCTTGAAGGAAAGCAGCTAATTCCTCAGTGCCCACCGAGTAATTTATCTTAAGGGTTTTTTCTTGTGGAATTGCCACATTGTACGGGACTTAATGCAGAGTTTGCTCACAGACCTGCGCTTTACCCATATGCAAATATATGTGTTGCCATAGATTACTCCAAGCGGCGGTCACTCTTTCGTCACTGACTGCCTCAGCTGAATCTCTCCTACAGTACATCTCTAATAATAATAATAATAATAATAATAATAATAATAATAATAATAATAAAATTATAACATGTCCATCTGACTGGGTTGCGCCAGCCACTTTAGGTAGTTTCCAACATAATATCTAAACATCAAGCATTATAAATTTTCTGATACAGGGCTGCCTTCAGATGTGTTCTAAAAGTCAGATCATTATTTATCTCCTTGGCATCTGTTGGCAGGGCGTTCCACAGGGCAGGTGCCACCACTGAGAAGGCCCTTTACCTGGTTCCCTGTAAGTTCACTTCTTGCAGTGAGGGAACTGCCAGAAGGCCCTTGGAGCTGGACCTCAGTGTCTGGGCTTAAGGTAAACTGGGCTGAGGTCATTTAGGGCTTTAAAAGTCAGCATCAACACTCTGAATTGCACTCAGAAACATCCTTTGAATTAGGCCAGTCTTCCTGAATTCTGGGTTCCCAGTTGTTGTTGGACTACAACTCCCATCATGCCTGACCAAGGGCCATGCTGGCTGGGAATGATGGAGACTGTAGTCCAACAACATCTGGAGATCCAAGGTTGGAGAAGGCCATTCTCTACGTTGTCATAAATGCTCTTGTTTATGGTAGCCTCTACCTCCAACTCTTCCTTTGGGATGGCCTGGATCTCTCTAATTCTAAAATACTCCAAAGCTTTAAAAAGAAGTTCCAAGTAAATCTCCTTAAATATTCTTAACTTTAAAGGTGACCATGTGTCCTCCTTGAACACTCTCAACCTCACGCAAAATGTGTAACTTGGCCACCAGCGGCACAGGCCACCCATCGTGCTCCCTTACCTAGCCCAAAGCGATAGCCATCCGAGAAGCGGGTGCTGGCGTTCCAGAACACACAGGCACTGTCCAGGTGCTGGAGGAAGAACTCTGCTGTTTTCTCTGGGGGTGACAAAAGGATTTTTTTTAACACAGCTGCTTTACAATAGAACTGTGCCAAATGTGGGCTGAAACAGAATGGTCACATGTTTTAGAATTATTATTTTTTATATCACTGCTGCATTTTATTATATTTAAAATGCTTGTTGATGCTTTGTTGTTAGCCAGTCTGTGTTGTAAAGGTGGGCAGAATAGAAGCTTGAGTATGAATAAATTTTATATTATGTCTCTTTGCAAGGGGGACTTGCAACAAACCAAGTTGCTATGTGGAATGCTCCTGCTCAAGGTTCCAGCCAGCCAGTCATGGCTTATTGCAGGATATTCCACCCCATTTCCCCACTGCTTTTCTCATGTTCAGTCCTCATTGGAGCTTCTACTCCCTTCTTCCTGGTTGCTGCTGTTTTGACTACTTAAGACGGGCACTCAGAAAATGAGCTTGCCATTCATTTTTATTGTTCTTCTCCATAGAAAAATAAATGTTAACAGTAGGGAGCTGAACACTCAACAAGAACAAGCAGTTTTAGAAATGAGGGAACAAGGCACCAGCAAAATTTGCAATATTACTTTTAGAGAGTGCTTTTTTCTTAAAATACGTTTAGGGGTACGCTCATTTTGACTCAAGAAAACCACCCTTTTATAGTTCAAATCGGGAAAAATAAATACAGTATATGGACAAAAGTACAAAGATTCACAAAATGTTTAGGGGCATGCGTCCCCCCAGAAAAAAGCACTGCTTTTAGAACATGGAAGTTGTTGCAGTTTCTTGAATGTTGATGGAACCCGAACAGCAATTTGGACATAGCCAGTGGGATTTGTGACTCAGCCCGCCCCGCAGTCCCAAAATATCCACTGTTGGAGGCAGTATGCCTTTGAATACCAGATGGTGGGTATCACAAGTGGACAGAGTGCTATTACACTGATGTCCTGCTTGCAGGCTTTCTACAGGCATATGGTTGGCTACTGTGAGAACAGGATGCTGGACTAGATGGGCCTTTGGACTGATACAGTGTGACTCCTTATGTTCTTAGTGTGTGCTCCTCTTGCACTGTTCTGGTAACTCCAGCCACACAACAGAAACCCAGGCCACAGCTCCTCCCCACACCTGCAGCAGTGCTCATGTACCTGGGAAGGGCAATACAGGCAGGGGAAGAAGATGTGGCTTGGACTCCTCCAATGTGGTCCAGATCACCAGATGTTTGTTCCTAGAGCAGCAAAGGAAGAGACACACATTGTGGAGGGTGCCAGGCCCTAGAAAGGTAACTTCGGAAAAAAGCCCCTCAGAGTTCCAACTGAGGCAATCCTGGAGCCCCCAAATGCAGAAATGCAGAAAGAAAGGAATGTAAATGCTGCACACAAGACGTTAGACTGGCCACCAACCGTTCTCTGTGATGATTACATCTGTGTGGGAGCTCCCATATTTGTGGATGTGTTCAATCGCATCCTGTGCGCTGTCCACCACTTCAATGCAGCACTCCAGGTCCCCATATTCCGTGCGGAGTGATTTCACCTCCGAGGGGCTGAATGTCAGGTAGGAGGCAAACTTGGGGCCAGCGTGAACCTTCACCTGATGGAAGAACAAAACGTTTTCACTCACATTCCTCCTCCAAGCTTCTATGCAAAGAGGGAAGCCAAACAATGCGCAGACGGGCCATTGCTCAGTGATAAGCACACACACTGTTGCCCACACGAAAGATCCCCAGCCCAATCCCTGATATCTCCAGGAAAAAGGCCTCTTGTCTGAAACTCCAGTGAGCTGTTGATATTCAGAGTATAGTCAATACAGAGCTAGACAATCAGCATAAGGGAGTTTCCTATGTCCCTTCCTTTGTACTTTTGAAGGAAATTATCTTCCACTCTCTAGCACTTTCCTTACAGTAGCCTACTGCCACAGTTCCCATCCTGTTTTACGGGCTTGGTGGCTGAATCTCATTCAATCCCGTTGTTCAAAGCTCTCAGGCTTCAAGTTAGTGGATAAAGCACATTCACAAGCCAATCCGAAGTCCTTCTTCAAGAATGCCCAACGCAGCAACTGACCTCTCTCTATCTTTTAAGTTCTGCCCATCCCTACTACAGAAGATCAGCAAGCAGAAGATTCCAGTCTCCAAGAAGCTTGGACTAAGATAACTTCAACAGGAACCTGCTTTCCATATATGCTTGTCTTCTATGGCTCTTCAGCCTAGGCAGAGGTGCAGCGCAGATGCCTTCCAGGACCTTGGCACCAAGATGCATAATTAGAAACGTGGCTCAAAGTGCAATGTATGCTCAGGACAAGCCACACACTACTATAAAGACAAGGCTATTGCATAAATCTATATCATGCTGCAACTGGAGCAGGCGGACACTCCTCAAGGTTTGCATCTGCAGCATCCATTCTTAGCTGGCATCTCACTGAGAAGAAACTCGTGGCAGCCACTCTCTCACGTCCAGCCTGTTCCAGCCGTCTTTACTTACCTGTTCCACTCGCAACATGTCAATGATCTGGTCAAAGACGGGAGTTCTCAGCAAGTCCCGGTGTATTAAGAGAGTCTCGAGCGCATTGCAGGCTGCAGGATATTCACACTTCGAGTCTCTCACTGGATGAAGGACAAATTGTTGATTACAAAGGTGCTGCACAGATATTGGGCATGCAGGATCTATACTGGGGTTTTGTTTTGTTTTTTACTAGAATCCACCAACCGTAGCCAATTGCTTAGGAAGGGGAGCTAGTCACCTATTGCACCCCATGAACAAGACACTGGGTTTGCCTGTGGACAGAGGTACAAATATACATCCAAGTTACTAAAGATCAGGGATTCTAACAGCCTAGTTTAGGAAGCAAAACTCTTTTCTTGCTACTTATGCTAAAAGAATTAGGAGTCAGAAACTGCCATTACCCTACTGAAAATTATCCTTTGATCTACCGATCTACCAGTAGATCCCAATCTGACTTCCGTCCCTCCCCCTGCTGTAGAGCATCTGAAATAAATAGGTTAAGGAGGAGCATGTTGACCATCCCTGCCCTCTCATACCGATTACTTAGCCCAAACCCTTTTAAGAAGAAGAAAAATCTCTGTCCTCTCATCTCACCTATCCTGGTGACCTTCTCCACACTGGCCTCCAAGTCCACATACACGTGACAAATTCCTTCACTGTGGCCCATCACTGGGATTCCTCTAGCAGATTTCTGGATATCCCGAACCAACTGAGATGAGCCACGGGGGATGATCAAATCTATCAGCTTGTCTAAACGGCAAAGGTCTTCCACCTCCTCCCTGGTATTCACCTGTAAAGACCACGCCAGGAGTTACAGAGGTTGCCCATGGAAGAATAAACACAGTATGGGACAAAACAGAGAATACATACCCAACAGTAGGGAAACTGCCCAGCTATTTGGGCACAATTGTGTGTGTGTGTGTGTGTGTGTGTACACAACAGAAAATAAGTAGCTTGTCAAAGCACCTGGACAGAAGGCAACAAGTCCCAAAGCAGCACAGTAACGTTAATGGGGCAGGTGATCGCCTGGAAATAGCTCTGAATGGATCACAATTCCAGATTACAGACATTTCCAGGATCCCTGCCCAGTCCCAAAGAACTGCCTGCCATGTATGAACTCAAAAAATTTAGGTACTCAACACAAAGAATCACCAACCAACTTGAAGCAAGATTTAAGCAGCCTAACACATTTCAATTAAAAATGCATCTTCCTCTTTTCATAAAAGGGGAAACAATACTTAAATGAAATTCTTTCTGCCAGGGTTCTCTTTCAGGCACCATTACCCATTATTTCTTTTTAACTCAGAATATGTGGAACTTTATTTTTTTTCTTCATTCAGTAATATATCAGATTCTGACCCCCCTTGGACGCTGCCCTCCCAGCCTGTGTTTTGTCACCACGGTGCTGCCTGTTCCCCACTTTCTGCTCATAGGCACTTACCAGCTGCACCGCGTCCTTCACCCCGTGGATGGAAAGAGCTTCTTGAGTCAGATGGTGAAGGATCTGGTTGCTGTGCGATGCCTCTTTCCCTCCTTTCAGCAGTAAGCCATTTCCACTGGCAATGGCCAAAGCAGATACCTGCCAGAAAGAAGGGAGTGCGAGGAAGACAAGCATTAAAGAACACATTTATAACCATTTATTGTGAGAGTGCTGTGAACCATTTCTGATTTAACAATAATAGATGTACAGTGCCATATTTCACAGGCAGCCAATGTTGTGCCCTATCCTGCTCAACTACAATAACCATCAGGCCCAGTCAGCATAGCCAATGCTCAGGGATGATGGGAGTTGCAGTCCAACAACACCTAGAGGACAATGCAGTGGCTACTCTTACTTATAACTCTTATTTTGAATCTTCATTCCCCTTGTCCCTTTCTTCCTCTCCTCACCACCATTCCCTCACTTTTTGACAATATAAAACACTGAATGGGTTATGGTCCCATCAAGCTCAGATCTGTCACTTTGCTGTATTTCAATAGTAATGCTTCCAAGGTTGCAATGCTGCGTGTTTTTCTGCTAAAGCTTTGTTTTTGGAAGGTTGTAATTAATGGTGGGTATGCAATATATCTGGCTAGGAAGCAGGGGAGTTGCTATAACTATGTCCCTTCTGAACTCCTGATTAAAATTCAAGGAAAGATGCATAGCTCCAGAGACTACTTGGGCTGCACAACTTTTTAAAAGGACCCAATGGAGGACACTATATAAAATAAAGGACAAACCATCAAGCTTGCTGCAACACATTCACGTCCTAACCACAACACACAAACCTCAATTGGCAACACTTTCAGTACTAATTATTTCCCTCCCCGGGGAAGCAAGGTGGGGAAATCCACAATCAGAGACCTTCCCAGCTCATAGCAAGTTATATTTGCTTTCTTTCTCAGGTGACTTCTTCACACACCTGGGGGAGACAATCGGGCCGGGATTCAAAAATCACTAATAAGACCCCAATAGGCACAGTCACTTGCTCCAGCTCCAAATCCTTCGCTACTCGTGTTCTTCGAAGGACACGGCCAACACTATCTTGTGATGACGCTGCAATCTGTCGCAGCCCAATGGCCAAACTATTCAGCTTGGAGGTTGACAGGCTGAGTCTCTTCAACAAAGGAAGGGCCAGTCTTCCTGAAATGGAAGCAGAAGCCAGCAAGTCAGACTTCATTTAATGAATGATTAGAATGAAGCAACAGAAATGAAGACTTCAATCTGAACACTGAGTCAGCTGATGGAAGTAAAAACTTAATTTGAAAAAAATCAATACAAAGGTGACAATGTTCAGTACAATCAAAGAACTTATCACATTATCCTTTCCTGCAATCTGTGTTTCGGCTGGTCTAATGAAACACATGAATGGCTTTATGTAGAAAAAAAGATCCCTGGGTTTGCATCCATGGAGAAGTCATAGGCTTTTATGGAATAGGAAAAGCCTTTGTGACCTTGTTGCAAGACCTTCACCTGGTTCCTTTAGACAACTGTGAAACTAGGCTGTCTAAAGATTTTGGCTAGAAAGATTTCCTTTCTGTTTTGAAGCTGAAGTAACCCCTTGGGTAGCATGAACAACAAAGGTGCTCAGGTGAAACAAAAACAAAGTCTCAATGTTAAAGGAACATTTGGCCAAAGGCTTTCTAAGATTTCTTCATCTTATCTTTGTAGTCTGTTGAAGTAATAAATGGCAGCCTCAGACATCTCCAGCATCACCCGCTTGGCCTGATGAGAAATTGTTCTCACCACATACCCAACACGGACTCCACCTGCCTTACCTTTATGCTCAGCTTCTTCCAAATCTTTTTTGTTGGCCTGAAGAATCTCTTCTCGCTGGTCTGTCAGAAGGTCAGCAAGATGATAGATGATCTCTGCTCTCTGTGGTAAAATAGACAGGGAACCACCATCAGGCATCTGGTCACCATATTGACATAGGAGATGTTGTTAGCTCCTTCAAACCCACAGCCCAATCTCTCACTGAGTTGCCAGGCCCTTTGGTTTATCTCCAAGACTGCTCATCTATTCTTCAGTCAAGCTGCTGGATAGGTATCCTTGCCAGTTCAGTTTGCAACTCAATTTATTCCCCCTGGAGCACCTGCTCTACAAAAATCAACCTCCCCTCCCTTCTCCCCTCATCCTAACCATGGCAGAAGGTGCCACATGCTCCAAGTGGACTGATCTTCAGATTTCAAAGCCTAGATCCTGCTGCTTGAGCTATGACTCAGATGTTTTGGACTATAACTCCCTGACCATTGGGCCATGCTAGCTGGGACTGGTGGAGTTGGGAGTCCAAAATATCTGCAACTCGGGGGAAGATTAATTTAGGCTATGAAGATCTCACTGAACATGCTTCATGAGTAAGGCATGCACAACTCTCAGCCTGTACTACTCTTGTGGTCTCTTCCAATTCTATGATTCTAAGCCAAACAAGATTCCAAGAGCCACATTATCATGGCCCACTAGGAGCTTGACAATCACAGTTTTCCAGTCCAAGGCAGGCAAAAAAGCAGTAACTTTATTGAGCTACTGATGGCCAGAGGGATGAATTTAGCTCAGCAGGTCTTAAAAAATAGCAGGCCTGTTCTGTATTATATAGTATATGTACTCTTTGACACAGATGTTTCATGATTGTGTTAAATTGCATGCTTGCAGAAGTGAAACTCAATGTGCTTGATCAGTCTTAATAGTAGTAAATAAAGCTTGATTTTGAAAACTATTAGTGCAGATTTCCAAAGTGTCGTTTCCACCTATTATATGGGGAAACTTTAACCTTCAACATTTATGCAAGCTGTCATCTCAGTTGGGGGCTACTACCTTTTTTTGCATTTACTGCAAATGCCCTGTATGTGCTCTCAAGGCTGTAATATACATTATGTGACTGACTGGGCTGGTTACCTGTTCAGGCTGAAGTGCTGCCAAACTCCTGCCTCCTGTTCGAGCCATTTCAGCCTGCTGTTCCACGGTTGGGCCTTTAAAAAATAAAAAAGCAGAGGGTGGTTACATACTAACTCTCATCACGCTAATTCTGGCCACCACATACTCAATGGAGAATATTTAGAAGAGTTTATCTTCACTTCTCCCACTCTTGAATCAAAACATGGCTGAACACGCCACACCACAAGTCCAGAGAAAAGGGTGCACATTGCAGAAGCAACATTTACCTCCTAAATGTTTAGCAGGACAACCCCTAAAGTGGCCTTAAACACCCTTCTGCCTCATACAACAAAAGCATAAATAGTTATACCCTCACAGTTCTTTTGTGGCTTTTATTCTACAGCTGAAGTAACCAACTGCCTCCAGCCTCCCAAAAATTCTGCACCATGACTGTCATTCTTTGTTCCCCACAAATTCTGGACCTGACCATGCTAACCTACCTGCAGGCTTCACCTCTGAAAAAAACGTGCCCACTTTCTTCCCTTCCACAATATCTGTGATGACATGGCCAGAGATCTTGGGATGAGTTCCATTGGCAATCACTACCGAGGTACCTCCCTGGAGAGCCCACAGGGCAGCTTTCACCTGCAAATGAAGAATATTTTTAAACGCGTGTTTTCAAACAAAAGAGCATTGTTGTTTGCTGTAACTTCTGGTAGGAGTGTAAAAACTCTTTTAAGGATCAACACTTTTTCAAGACATAAAAAACAGAGGTAACTTTCCTCATTAGCCAGGAATGGGGAATCTGTGATCTTCCAGATGTGTTGTTGGACTCTAACCCCCAACAACATCACTAATGGTCAGGGATGATGGGAGTTGTAGTCTGGAGGGCCACAGGTTTCTCATTACTGCCACAAGCAGCTCGTAGTTTATCTCACAGGCATGGCATAGGATGCAACAGAAAAGTGTTTTTATAAAATAAATCTAGAAAATTAACATGTTTGTTATAAAGGCTAAACGGGGTCTTAAGATGGTAAATGGACACAATCACAACAAAATAGTGAGGAGCTTGACCAACCTTGGCTTCCATGCCTCCCATTCCCACCCGTGATTTGGTTCCAAATGTCACAGACTGCTGGTCTCCAGGATAAAATATGTCGATGAGCTTTGCGTCATCTGATCCTGGGGGGCTATCAAAGAGTCCTGAAATGGAACGGTGGAAATGAGCTACCGGAACATACCTTCAATATCATTATGGTTGAAAAACAATGCGCATACATTTGTAAAATAAATCTTTGACCTCTACCATTCAGACAAGAAAAGAAAAAAGACTGAGGTAACTGGATCCTCTGAACCATAGGGACTGCATTGCTAGTATCGAGTCATCCAGTTGGACTGTAAGCTATCACACTAAGGGATAGCCAGGGTCAGAATTTAGAAGCAAAAGGCAGAATATGATACCTCAGGTAAAGTAATCTGGGAAGAGGTGAATCCATTTCTAAGCTCTAAGAAACTGTCAGCAGTCCCAAGACAAATAATGTATACTCTGCTTCTCTGTTTCTAACCAGCATGAATAAAGCAATGACTAATCCCTTCTCCTTTAAAGGCGTGCACTGTGAATATTGCAGTGTTCTGGCTGACTACAATTAGCCTCACAGTCAATTCCCTAAATTTCCTCTTCCTGAACTGCAGCGCTGAAAAGGATCACAAAGCTGCATTGGCCATTTAGCCAGAAACAGAACAACTCTCGTACCCTCAACATCCGAAAGAACAATCAGCAGGTCGGTCTTCATTTCCACAGCCAGACGGGCTGCTAAGCTGTCGTTGTCCTTCACACTAATTACCTGGAACACACATTGTAAAAGTCAGCAATACTAGCCAGGCGAGAGCTAACCCAATGCCCAAGCAATTCATAGAAAAGCAAAGCAACAGGAGATGGTTAGGAGTCGTACTACCAGCCTCGAGTCAACAGCTAGCCTCGCAAGCTACACCAAATAGCCAGATCTACTACATCTACAAGCAGCAAGTCACCTTGGAGAATCCAGAGCGTTATGACGTTAGCGTGCACTACAGCCCGGAGTCAGCGTGTTAGCGGGTCCACGAGCGAGCAACCACCACCCACTGAAATGCGCTACCCACGTTTACCCCCTGAAGATCACTGTTTGGCTCTGGGGGAGGAACCACAGCATCGTTGGTGTTGATTATGGGGACAATGTTCATCCGCAACAGTTCGTGCAGCGTCCCGTTTAAATTCCGGCGCTTCTGCTCGTCGTGGAAATCCAAGTTGGTGACTAAAATCTGGAAGGAAGAAAAGAACTGCTCTGACAAAAATTATCCACTATCAGTTTCGGCATGAAGAGGGCCGCCAAGCGTGCAAGTTACGAACGAACTAGCTAAATTCTTACAACAAAGGAAATGGAAGTTCTGTTAAGTCAAAGCAAACAAAGCGAGGGGTCGATGTACAAACCACTTCAGATGTAAAAGGTCGGCTAGCCTGTTGTGAATCTGAAATGCAATTATAATGGCCTTATTGGGGGGAGGAAAGGGGGAGTATTAAGTTGGGCAAAGCAAAGGAAGGGATGGAGGGGTAAGGTGTTGGCATGTACTGAACTGGGGGGCCCTAGCGTTGGAATAGGCTTCCTGGCAAATAGCATGAAAGAGAGTCTTCTTCCAGGAGTCAAGAGAGAACTTGCATGGTGCCCAAGGCAGCTGATACACTCTGAGGAAGAGTGTGTACAAAGTTCCCTACCTGGGCTGCACAGATGCTGTACTGTGTGAACATGGCCTCATAGAGAGCCATCAGCCCGCTCTGACCGGCAGCTGCACAGGCTCGAGCCTCCAGCACGGGAATCGCCTGCAAAGATTAGAGAACAAGTCAGCCAGGAACAGTGGTTTCTGCACCACCACCGAAGAACCCAGGTCGCTCTCCGACTTGCTTACCATGTCCTTGAGCTGGTTCTGCCCTGAGTGGAGAGCCTGCCTCACACTCTGAGAGAGCAAGATCTCGTGACGCAGCCGCTGCTTCCCAAAGGCCACAGCCCCGCTGGTGACGATCATCATCTCCCGGCCCTGGTTTTGCAACATGGATACCTGCAGGCACGAGAGAACCAACCCTTAGTCTAATTTAAAGCCATCTTACCTTGCTTCCAATTTTTAGACGCTGTTGCGATCATTCTGTAGGAAAACATTTCTCCAAAGCAGGAAGAATGTAAGCTTTCTTGGGTTTATATGTTGCCTAGCACACAGGGTAACTGGGAGGGAAAAGGCCGACTCAGAGACAATCCCTACTCTTTGGAATATGTTGGGAAAATAAATTTAACCATCCCTTCTCCCTATAACACCCTAGGTTTATTATCAGTTTCATGACTATGGCACTCCTGCCTCAACATGACTGCAGCAACACCTCGGTGGGAGATGTTTTGAGGGCATTAGTATTCTGTTACAATACATCTTTAAAATGAGGATTATTTATTCCCCTTATGTTACTTCCCCACTTTGGGGGTTGCCATCATTGCAAGATAACACAGGCAGATCCTGAGATACCATTAGTCTTGGTGGGAGTCTCAAAAACATTGCCTTTTAATGTTAATATTTTAATATTTATCACATGTGTTTTAATATTAAACCATATTTCTCCCCCTCTGCACTCTACTGCTCATAACATTTAAGCTCTGCCTTCAACTGTTATCTGTATATTCAAATATTCCTCTAATCCAGTGGTTCCCAATTAGCTAAGTAATGCAGATCCCCTGTTTTTCAAAAGGCAAGCCTTGGACATGCCAACTTTTGGAAATAATAATAATAATAATTTTATTATTTATACCCCACCCATCTGGCTAGGTTTCTCCAGCCACTCTGGGTGGTTGTTTTTATTATGTGAATGGTGCCACCATACCCTCCAACATGCCCCAGCACAAAACATGTCTTCTGGGCTGCACTCCTGTGTGAGTCATGTGACCTGCGTGAGTCATGTGACCATGTGAGGGCATGACGCCCAAAAGCAGGATGTTCTGGTCAGTTGTTGGGTATGTGCCACAGACCCCCTTAGTGGTGGTGGGGTGTTTACCACTGCTCTAATAATCCAGTCTTCTTCAGCTGATCTCAGGGTGGAGTACAACGCAAGCAAATACCCAAATTAAAACAATAAAAACAGCAGGAAACGGCAATCTTTGAAACACAGTGTGGGCTGCACATTTCTAGCAATAACCAGGATTAACTAAAAGCTAATGGCCTACGAGTGCCTGGGCATTCCAGCATAAAGTGGAGACAACTTTAACCACTGAGGTGCCTGGCAGGGTTTGGTAAGGAGAACAAGCAGCCAAATACCCACAGTGCCTCCCGGCCTGCTTACCTGCTCAACAATGGATGCCAGTCGCCCCAGGGCTAAGCCACATTCGTCTCCTCGAGTCACAACAGCGCTGCCCAGCTTCACCACAATCCTCTTGGCATGCTTCAGCTCGCTGCGGTGAGCAAAGGACTTGCCATGGGTTCGGCTGAGGGGCACCGTGATGAACGGGATGTTACTCCAGCCCCGAGCAGACTCATTCCTCAACACCAGGTTAGGAGCCAGTAGACCTGTAGTTGAAACACACACAGCAAAGGCATTAGAGGCAAGTACATTGAACCAAAATCCCACCCCCCTTTTCCAGGTCCCAGGTCAGGAGAGAGTGGGGGAGTCTGGACATATCACCTGCCTCTACCTAGTGTCCAGCTTTTAAATGAATGAGAAAAAACATTAGCCCAAGGAACACCTTTGGAGAGCAAAATAAGTATTCCAAGTATCACTTGACCAACTGACCAGAATATTCTGAGGTCATACTCTGTCTCTTGGTCTCCTTGCAGTTTTATGGAAGCCTTTTCCTTTAGGCTGAACGTCAGCCAAGACAGCTAAGGGCTTGAAGAAACTATGTTTCTGCAGCAATGCTTCAACAAGCCAGTAGGGGGCAGAGTAACACAATACATTGCCAAAGCCGTGCTGCTTGCATTTTAGCAGTACAGTAGTAAGAATCAGGACACCTCGGTCTGGAATTTTAATTGCTGAGAAATTCCCAATTCTGCAGTGTTAACAGAAAGGCCTCTACCCACAGTTGCCTCCTCCTTTTTTCTTTTTTCTAATCAATTTTTATTGATTTTCTTTTCTCATAACAATATCTATAATCATTACAGAACATTCACATTTCAGTTTCCCCCTTCCCTGTTGACCTCCCTCAACTTCCATCCCTGGTTTATTACGTCTCATGTTGCATTCCGCTGTTTATATATACTTTATATTGTCATACTGTTAAATTTCTTGTTTTATTGTAAATAAAATTGTAAATGTTTATTTAAAACATGCCAATGAGTCTATTTTTTTTATTGTTTCTGCAAATATAATGTAAAAGGTTCCCATTCTTTTTCAAAGTCACTATTTTCCTTTTAAAACAATTTGTCTGTTAACTTTGCCAGCTCTGCATAGTTCATCAACTTTTCTTGCCGTTGTTCCATTTACGGTATTTCTCCAGACTTCCAGTTCTGTGGTATCAGAATTCTTGCTGCTGTTGTAAAGGTAAAGGTAAAGGGACCCCTGACTGTTAGGTCCAGTCATGGACGACTCTGGGGTTGTGGCGCTCATCTCGCTTCACTAGCTGAGGGAGCCGGCGTACAGCTTCCGGGTCATGTGGCCAGCATGACTAAGCATGACTAAACTGTTTCTGGCGAACCAGAGCAGCGCACAGAAACGCCGTTTACCTTCCCGCCAGAGCGGTACCTATTTATCTACTTGCACTTTGACGTGCTTTCGAACTGCTAGGTTGGCAGGAGCAGGGACCGAGCAACGGGAGCTCACCCCGTCGCAGGGATTCAAACCACCAACCTTCTGATCGGCAAGCCCTAGGCTCTGTGGTTTAGACCACAGCACCACTCACGTCCTGTATGCTGCTGTTGTAGTGTAAATAAATAATGTCCATTTTTCTTTCGGCAGCTGTTCTAAAATTCCTATCAAAAAAGCTTCTGGTTTTTTAACAAATGTCATTTTAAACATTTTTTTCAGATCGTTGTATAACAGCCCACAGTTGCCTCCTTCTGATACATACAAGGGTGAGAGCCCGCCACGTCAGTCTGCCGCCAGAATTGTCCTGAAGAACGCAAGGAAGGCAGAAGAGCAGCTCGGCACAGCATCTTGATGGAATCAACAGCGCCTGCAAGAGAACAAGGAAGCCTACATGATTCTCCATTATTCCTGTGTCCCAGACAGTCTCCCCATGGCAAGTTGCATGATAGCCCTGCAGCAAAGTTTAATATGTGAGAAGTGGCTCATCACTGCCACCCAGGATTTCCCTCCAGTGTTTCAGTGGAAGATTTGGGAGAAAGGTGAAAAATCTATTATGCATTGTTTTTCTTTTCCAGAATAATGTGGAATGCTGTTTGAAAATAATGTTGCAGCCAGTTATGCTACTACAAAAACTCAGAGTTACGATTCAATGGTAGTATTGTTACTTGCAGTATTAAACAAGCAATATGCTTCAGATTTTTACACTGGGAGTGCATTTTCCAAGTGGTAGAATACAAAGCATCTTCTCAACGTATCAGGTTCAGACTATGAGTCTGCTAAGCATATTGCTCCTTTAACAAACAACAATGTACAATGCAGCCCCTGATTCTTCACTTGACTCAAATTCCTCCTAAATCAAGTTTAAAGATACACAAATATAACCAAGGGCCACCGGACTAACATGAGAGGGCAGCAAGAATTTGCTTCTTTTTACTCGCACACCTTCCATTTTCTGAAGGCCATGAAACTCAGTGCAAAAGAAGCTATGGATTAGGCAGGTGCTCGTTAGAGAAATAAACTTGAAATGCAATCAGTTTAACAATGGAGGGTGAACAAAAAACAACAACAGAAATATGGGTACAGGATAGCCAATTTTCTTTACAATTACTGTGAAGCTTGCTTCTGAATGTGCATGTATATGTAGCCGGCTCCTAATTAAATGTACACAAGACAGCAGACTTATGATATATATATATATATATATATATATATATATATATATATATATATATATATAACTATCCAAATTTATTGCTGGTCTTTATTTTAGGTATTTTCTAAGCCCTTTCTCTTAAAAATATTATTTGTTCCTGCTTATGCAGAATAATACCATGGCTAAGACCAGATAATAAATCTTTATTATAAAGCGGATACAGTGGTACTTGGTGTTACATACGCTTCAGGTTACAGACTCCACTAACCCAGAAATATTACCTCGGGTTAAGAACTTTGCTTCAGAATGAGAACAGAAATCATGCAGCGGCAGAGCGGTGGCAGTGGGAGGCCCCATTAGCTAAAGTGGTGCTTCAGGTTAAGAACAGTTTCAAGTTAAGAACAGACCTCCAGAACAAATTAAGTTCTTAACCCGAGGTACCACTGTAGTTTCACATGTTCAGTTTACTTTTAATTTCTTTTCCTATCTTCCCAACTGGCAAAAACTAAGATATACCTAGGTTAGCGTGGAAAAACTTGCAGCTCCAACACTGGATACATTTGTAACTATTGTTTGACTAAAACCAAGACCTTTAAAACTCCCAAATATAGCACCAACTGTACAATTTCAGGTGTTCTGTTACACACTATATATTTCATGTTCTTGAAATAGTTAAGTAAGTTTCAATTTGGTAAGAAAGTATTACAGTACAGTATTACAGTCCCCCCCCCCAATTGCCACCTGGTACTGTCGGTTCAATTTCAAACTTGCTTCAGACAGTAATTCAATCCTTCCTGAAACAATTGCTGCTCCATTTGCACTGGAAGAAGGGAAGATGAAAACGGCAATTCCAAAGATCCCATCCCATTCTCATTTTGACAAGAGCAATAGCAAAAAGAGGATTTCCATGTTTCTCACCCAAGTATTTCAGATAAAGAGAGTCTGGAAGCCCTTGCAGAAAAGCACTCCAATAGAAGCACTAAGACAAGGGATAGCATCACACGATGACTCAGTGATGCTACAAGCCCCAGTTTTTGCCTTCAGCTCCCTAGCACTGGATTAGAGAAAGCAGACATAAGCAGCCCAGGCACTGGATCCAAGAACTGTCTTTCTGAAAGCATCGATTCCAGGTGCAGAAAACTCACAATGTCAAATAAGGGCCTGTCCCTGCTCTTCAAGAAGAAAAGCTGGAGGCAGGGGTGGGGGGGCAGGGAAACCCCAGATAGAAGGAACTGCAGAAATGTCCAGAGTCGAGAGAGTTACGGTAATTCCTGAAAATCCAGCTGAAGCCAATTACGACTCCCTGGCAGCCGCCAATCCCTGAGCTGCTGCCTGGATGAGCCACATCAGCTCCAACAGAAAGACGGGAGAGCCCTGGAAGGAGCTGATGCAACCTGACTCCCAGCAGTCAAGGCATCACCTCCTCACACCCTACAGCTCAGCGGCTGATGAAAAAGTTCCACGTTGCAGCACAAAATCCAAGTTGAAGGCTGAAATGTCAACAAGTGTTACAGATCTCCAGTGCAGACCAGATCTGACAGCCAGTAATCAGGCCCTCTCTGCTTCTTCAAAACACACACATGCACACACACACACACACACACACAATTTGCAGGTGTCTTCTCTCTAAGCACTTTCAACTCTGCTAAAGATATGAAAATTGCATGCATGTTTCAAATGTGAATTACCTCTTTGCAAATATGGTAACCAGACCCTGCTTCCATGCATTTTAAAGGGGAAAAAACATGCAGCAAAAATTTCATATCCAATATCTCACAATAAGTGTCTCAAAGCAGATTTGGTCATACCACATGCCTTGGTATGGAGATTATACCCCAGAAGCAAGGAAGGGTGACCTGGATGGAGATATTCCTTGCACTGGTAATTATCCAGGAAGGCGAGGGAACCAGCTCTAGGAAAGTGCTGCCATAGGCACTCCAGTGACCCAGATTGAGGGCTGTGCCATATCTTGTTAAAGCGAAAATTTATGCGCACCTAATCAAAAAATAAGCCCTGTTGTGTTCAATGGAAGTTACTGCTAAGTATGTTTGTATAGCTCGACAGCCTTAAGAAGCATGTTATCTTTATGTCAGCCTTGACCTCAGATGTAAAACTCACCATCTAATACAGCCATGCAAAAGTGGGGTTGACATACACCTTAAGGTTTATATGGATGCCCTGCCCAATCTTCACCATCATTCCCCTTCAAAGACGTCTTTCATCCCCTAGAGCTCAGGGGAAGAGATGGTGCCTGGCATACGCTTCAGCTTTAATTTCCATTTCGACACACCATTTTCTTGCTCATCGATTACACAATCCCAAATTATAGTGCCGCCCAGGTGTCCTTTCTCCAAAAGTTCCAGTGCAACCACGTCCCTCACTTTTCCACAACAGGGCAGCACCATCAAATTTAAAGGACAACTTCTGTATTGCTCCTGCCCAAGAGATGTGCTTCTGCTGGCCACTGAAGTAGCAAGATGCATAACAATCTGGCTATACCTAGCAAAAGAAACTCAACTTGTTGTCATCATGGGCAAAAGCATCTCAGATCTCAGCAATTCACAGAGATGTGGGAGAACGAACTGCACCTCTGGACTCTTCTATGGGTTACGCTCTCTACAGATTCTTATCCTTGTCTCTTCCCAGTTATGTTCGTGCACTGTAAAGAAAACCACTCAGAACTTAAGAGTTTCAAAATACTGTGTTTTGAGACATATGGTTTCACATGATTGCTGAAACTTTCTGTCAAAGACTGCAGTTGCTGAGCAGAACCAGGAAGAAGAAGAGGGCAGCCAGCCAAAAAAGCAGCAAATGGTTGCTAGGGGAATGCAGCATGCATAGAAACAAGGCTGAGGTCAGGAGCTCATTGATGACCCCTCAACACACCACTTTTTCCGCGTGGATATAATCTCTGTAAAGGAAGTGTGTGTTCTGCAATGTACAAATTGCTGATTTTGCTGTCAGATTTACCAGAATCAGCCAGCTAATGCATGTGACAGCAGTTCAGTCCATGTAGTTAACAAGCAGGAATAACAGGATAAGAAAGGACTGAATTATGGGATAGCACTGGCCCTCCAGTAAGGCCCAAGTGAGGAAGAAGGGAAGGGGCAAAAGTACTAGTTCCTTAGCTAGAGTTCTAAGGAGTGCTCTGTGCAGGAACAGAACCTGCATGTCAGACTGCAGAGGGAGTATGAAGAAGAGGGGCTGCAAATGGGGACTGTGCATGCTTGGATGGGGATCTAGGGGCAGCCTTGCCCAGTCTGGTGCTCTCCAGTTATTTTGGAGAACTCCCATCAGGCCTAGTTAGAATGGCCATGCTGGCTGGGGTTCATGGGAATTGTATTTCAACACATCTGGAGGGCACCAGGCTGAGGAAGGCTCGTCCGGGGTACAGGTAAAGGTAAAGTGACCCCTGGCCACTAGGTCCAGTTGTGGCCAACTCTGGGGTTGCGGCGCTCATCTCACTTGATTGGCCGAGGGAGCTGGCGTTTGTCCGCAGACAGCTTCCAGGTCATGCGGCCAGCAGGACTAAGCCGCTTCTGGCAAACCAGAGCAGCGCACGGAAACTCCATTTACCTTCCCGCCAGAGTGGTATCTATTTATCTACTTGCACTTTGACGTGCTTTCAAACTGCTAGGTTGGCAGGAGCAGGGACCGAGCAACGGGAGCTCTCCTCGTCGCGGGGATTCGAACTGCCAACCTTCTGATCAGCAAGTCCTAGGCTCTGTGGTTTAACCCACAGTGCCACCTATGAAATAGCTTTTTCTTCTTCTTTTGGTCACAAGTTATCTTGTACTGACAATTCCCCCCTGCCCCCTGTATTAAAACCTCCTTAGGAAATTACCTACAAGGGGTCAGTTCAATATTTAACTATGGACCGAAGGCCATTTTCTGATTACTCCTCAGTACATAGCTACATGTAAATCTGATTCCTTAGAGGTGAATTCCCAAGGAAACTTCGCAAGAGGAGCATGACCAGAAAAGGTTGCCATGTGATGACTCCCCCCCTCCCCGCAACTTGTATAGGTTTAACCTAACAGCTGGACTCTGTTGGAGGAATATGGGGAAAGATTTTGTTCATCCTTTTTCCGTCCAGTCCATCCTTTAATTCTTCTACTCTTTGTCAGCGTATGCACTTTCTCTGCCAGCTATTAATATGCAGAAGTTTGAAGAAAAGAAAAAACTTTTGCACACTTTGCACAAATAGGAGGCTTAACCATCACAGGGTGTAGCAATAACAAGGTTGCCTTTAAAAAGAGAAAGAACTAGGTATCAGAGAATTACCGTATTTTTTGCTCTATAAGACTCATTTTTCCCCTCCTAAAAAGTAAGGGGAAATGTGTGTGCATCTTATGGAGCGAATGCAGGCTGCGCAGCTATCCCAGAAGCCAGAACAGCAAGAGGGATTGATGCTTTCACTGCGCAGCAATCCCTCTTGCTGTTCTGGCTTCTGAGATTCAGAATATTTTTTTTCTTGTTTTCCTCCTCCAAAAACTAGGTGCGTCTTGTGGTCTGGTGCGTCTTATAGAGCGAAAAATATGGTATATTTCATTCAGGATCTGAAGCAAATCATGTGACCTTAGAAAGCTCGGTAAAATATTATGCATATACCACTAGCATTAGTTGGAGACAGGATTCTGCACTGCATTCTCTATTAGCACGAACCAGTAAACCTTGTTTCAATATAGTACGTCCCTGTTTTTATTTCCAACCACTCAGCAGCAAGTCAGCAGAAGTGAGCCTTAAATTAGGGGTGGGGAATCTTTTAAGTCAAAGGCCCCAATCCCCCAGGGGCAAGTGTTTAGCTAAAGCCAAAAGCAGGTATGGCCAATTCCAAACATGGGTGGAGCCAAAGCCAGAAGTAGTTTTAGATCACCAATATACCTTCCTGCAAGATGGAAGTTATTCCAGGGAAGTGTAAAATTAAAAAACTCTCCTGGTGCTACAAGGGCAGAAGATGGCAACTCGCAATCTAATGGTATGGCAAGCTAAGGACAAATTTCAATGGCATAAAGTTGTCTCTGAGTATAATATTCTGGACAAATGTTGCTCTTAGAAGGTAATACCTTTGCTAATAGTTTCGTGAACCTTCGCTAACCTTTCCATGGTTACCTTTGATCCCTCAAGTAATGCCACATGTCTTTGTGTACCCGCTTGCACCCCAGAGAGGTCACTTCAGTGCTTGGCAACACAGCAAAAACAACGTAGGAGGCAGCAGTTACAAGTTACTGGTCTCTGCAGCCACAACAGGCACTGTGATTCTCCAGCAGTCTGACTTCACCCCTGGAGGCGCACTCCATTGTCTCTAGAGGCAGACGGATGCCAACACCAGTAACTCCAAGTGCAGCTACGTCTGCAAGCTTTAGAAGCAACTTTGTGTGAAGTCACAAAGCACAACCCAAGAACAGAAAGTTCAGGACAGGAAACACACTTGTGTCTTGCTTCAATGAACTATCTTTACAGGAGCAAGCCTAGGCAACCCTCAGACTTGTCTGCTTCCACACACTCCTCTCCTCCTCTGGCATGGCCACAAGGAGAAGCTCTTGCTTCCATTTTTACTAATGGCAATCTCCACCCTCCGAGTTCCAGTCCTCATAACTACAACTCGCTGCCTTCAAAAAAAACAGTAATTTCATGGCAGATGAACTATAGCTTTCAGAACATATTGTTTATTAAACCAAACCAACAACATATAACAAGTGAATGTTCATAGGCTAAAAAGAATATTCATTAGAATGCTTGTTAACGCCAGCCGTGGTTTTCCACTGAAATACTTACAAAACTGAGGTGGATACAATTCTGTATTTTCAAGCTATACTGTGTGAAAAAAGCACATGGAGGTATTCAGGTATATGCATCCATTAGCTAAAAGTGCTTAATATAAATAAGAAGGGGAGAAATATCATGTCAAGACTTACCCATTCAGTTCTGGTTAGACTTACCGTAATTTCACTCTTAAATCCTGAAAGCTTCCCTTGGGAAAACTTGTTTAGAGCATAACAAGTTACTGCAAATCCAGCTTGTCTAGTCTGGCAATCTGCAGTGGCCCAACCAAGCTCAACATTTCAGAGGAAAACTACTGCTCCCCCCTCACCCCACTAATTATATAGAGATCCAATCAAGCAGTTCTAAACAAGGGGAAAATTCCGGTTCAAAGGCTAGAGCTAACAAAGGCACCAAAATAAGATTTAATCTCTGCCGTTGGAAAAATTGGCTGTTTAGAAGATGCTAGAAAGACCTGGAAAAGAAAAAAGTTCCTTCTGTTGCACCACTATTATTAATAATTGCATTTAGAAAGAGAAACAAAGAGGTTTTGAGACAGTTAAATCCCCCTCTTCCAAAAGTTCACACACTTAATTTTACTGGGTTTTTTACTGTTTTGTTTCTGTGTATTTAGCACACTAAACAAAATGAAACACTAAGATCCTGACCAAAATTGGACGTGCATATTTTATTTATTTTTCCTGTTTAAGCTAGCCAGATATTATTAGTTTAATTTAAACTGGTTTCCTAGGATCTAACCCTGCTTTTCATGCTGAAGAACCCCTATTTTTAGAAGTTCCCAAGCAACCATAATCTTAAATTGAGGAGCCTGTGACCTGAACATAAGAACTTAAGAGCCTTGCTGGATCATGCCAAAGGCCCATCTAGTTCCGGCATGCATGCACTTCTTTCAGTGGCCAACCAGACACCTACGGGAAGCCCAAAAGCAGAACCTGAGCACAACTGAACTCTCCCCATCTGCAATTCCCAGCAACTTCATGCTTCTTAATCAATTGTGCATGAAAGCTTATATTACAGTACATACAGCCTTGCATTTAACAGCTTGCCTGGTACAAGTGCATAAGCAGCCTGGCATGTGTGTGTGTGTGTGTGTGTGTGTGTGTGTGTGGAATTGCTCCATTTCTCCTCTGCTAGCCATAGAGGAAGGAAAGTCTAGCAAGTGGGCTAGCAGAAGAGGTATAGAGTGATCCACCCCTTCTTTGGCAGCAGCCAGTTGAGAGGGGGATCTTGTCTGAACACCCAGGACCTCCAGCCGCACTGCCCAGGCTTGTGCCCCATAAAGGTCACTTTGGTGCTGCTAATACAGTAAAAAACCTTTTCTTACTAGCCTAAGAGGAGGGAGCACAGCCAGCATGGAAATGCAGGCTACTTTTTCTTGCAAACTAGTCATTTTTGTAGGCTTACTTACAAGACTCACAAATCTGTTCCTATTCAAGGTAACACAACACAAACTCACTTTTGCTGTAACAAACTATGCAGCTGCACCTCTAAAAATGATCTCCACATCTGTATCTACTCAGTTTTACAGTTCCCACTGAGCCTTTGTTCCTATATCCTATAATAAAAGTGGCCCAAGTTGGAAAAGAGGACCTCAGGAAAGGATTTGAGGTTTTGTTTTGATAAAAGGCCTATATGCCTTTCCATACAAAGTGGTGTTTACAAGAGTCTTTCTACATATAGCAAGTTTTGTAAGTGAGACTTTAAGCTTACATTACCTACTTAAGAGTGTCCACCCTGAACTCTCAACTTCTAGGCAGAATCAATTCCAGCTGATGTCCCAAATTCAATGCCTTGATTCATGCAATCTGCAAACACATAGCTTTTCCTCTCCAGCACCCAGAAGGGGGGAAAAACCCAGAGGGGAAAAAAACCACATCTTTTTTCTCCTACCCATTGTTAAATAATGACCTCTTGCCCCTCTAATCCAAAAGGCAACATGATCTATAAAGATAGAGACAGAGGAGTTGAGAGTAGCACAGAGGAAAGGGTTACAGAGACAGATCTGTGTATATAAGCTTTAGCGAGATTTTAGTAACCAGCAGCAGAGCAGGGTTTGTGCAACTCATCAAAGTCAAAAGAACAGAGAAAGAATACATAATTTTAAAAGCAATCTTGCCCAGAGATTGGCTGACTGACAGTTTGATTGTTAAAAAAAAAATGGAAAGGAAAGATAGAAAGAAAAAAAGAAAGAAGTTCAAGCAACATCATAACTCCAAAGAAAAGTGGGAGAAAGCTCACCCTTTAAAATACCCCTCTATAAGGTGAGAACTCAGCCTCATCCAAAGGTAGGATGCAGGTGTAACAACTGCACCCGCATTTATAAACACAAGAAGAGGGCATCAGGGTTAACACAAGTATTTATGGCAAGCCTGATTGATAAACATTTTGCATCCAGAATGAGACTTTGCCCTTCACTTTATAGTAATTTTGAAGTCTGCCCTCTCACAAGGAACTTATCTCAAATTTCCAAAAACGCAAAATAGCCTTTATCACGCAGGAAACAGACATAAAAGCAGGGGTTGCGATGGGATGCAAACTGCTCTCGCAGAAGCTGTGTTGCGCCTGCCTTTTCTTTCTTTTAATCTAAAAAAGCATTATTCTGCACACACTTTTCTTAAAACACTGCAAGTCAGACGGCACTGCTAGACGCTTGGTGGCCTTGATCGTAAGATCAATCAGCTTCCGCCTAGATATATGCCAACAGATGATTCTAGGTCTGTGCGTGACACTTCACACACGGTGGGCGCAGCACCAAGGATGCTGGACATGATGCAAGAGGCACCGTATATGTCATCACTCTCAACAAATGACCCAAGACAGCAGCAGCCGATGCCCCGGACTCTTAGAAAGGCTCTGCTGTATATTCAGCCCCCTTACGTCATACACAGAAGACAATATCCTGTATTTAAGTGCCCTGCTTTCATGCCCACAACCACCAGCAAGGGTTCAGCACCCCCGTCCCTAACCTGCCAATGGAAGCGTGGGGGGGACGGGGCACAAATATATCTCTTTCCCACTTGGATCGCCCAGGGGGTTAAAAATATGGGAGTGGGAATGGGGACCCTGCCCTCCCTCCAGGATGGATGGCAACCGAGTGCGTCAGATCCCAGCCGGGTCCATGATCAGAGCCCGACTCGCTCTCAGAGGAGGATGGGGAGACCGGGGCGATCCTGAATCCCTTCTTTGGGGCGCAGGGTCTCTATCCCCAGTTCCGCCCCCTACGGGCTCTCGCAATGGGAAGAGAGAGAAGGGATCGCCGGCCCGCTCCCTCCCCCCCCCCAGCTGCGCCCCCCTCCTCCGGCATCACTTACAAACTCTCCGGACGAGGAGCGGAGCGGAGCGCACCCCGGACTCCCCCCAAACACCGATCCGGCCGGCGGGCGCGATGTCAGCAGAGGCACTTCCGGCCAGGGACTCCGCCCCCTCCTTTCCCACCCATCCCCACTGCTTGCCTCGTGGCACCTGCCTCCCCTTAACGTGGGTGGGCTCCTTCCGCCCGACCCCCCCATCTGATTGCAAAGATCTTCAGATTTATTTATTTATTTGGCCGTGCAAAAATAAAATAAAATATGAAGCGTTGGGAGAGTTCCTCCTGCGAAGAGGAGCGGGCCTTCTCTTGCGGAAGAGGAATTGTTATTGAAAGGATGCGCCGGGTAATGGCAGGGTCTAGGGCCGCCCGCCCCCCAACCAAGGCAGTTTTCTGCCTGGGGAAGAACGGAGCCTGTCCTCCTCGCCCTGTCAAGCTGCATCACTGCCCAAGGCCTGCCAGGCTGTCTGGGAACCTGAGGCAGAGAATGGCATCAGTAGCTCCTTCCCTCTGGCAGGAAAAGATGACAGCAACAAATGAAATAATTTAGCAACCTTGCCCTGGTTGCTAAAGGCCTGGAAGGGCCCAAAGGAGTTGTTTCTGTTTAAATGTAAATTGTCCCGGCTTACCACCCTTACCTGGGTTGTCTTTGACAGCTCTGTGAGGCAAATCCTTATTACTGTGCGGACTTAAGTATGTTTGCTCAAGTACTCCCACAATTCAGTCAGATCTGCTTCCCTATCAGGATTGTAGGGATTGTAGCTTTATACCCATTTTACAGGTGGTGGACATAACTGAGGCAAAGGAAAAGTGGCTTTCATAGGCTACTCCATGGGTCCGTCGTGGGCAGGAATTGCCCAACTAGATTGCACCGCTGTCTCTGCTCTTAAAGAAAACACAGTGGTACCTCGGGTTACATATGCTTCAGGTTACATACGCTTCAGGTTACAGACTCCACTAACCCAGAAATAGTGCTTCAGGTTAAGAACTTTGCTTCAGGATGAGAACAGAAATCGTGCTCCGGCGGTGCGGCAGCAGCAGGAGGCCCCATTAGCTAAAGTGGTGCTTCAGGTTAAGTACAGTTTCAGGTTAAGTACGGACCTCCGGAACGAATTAAGTACTTTAACCCGAGGTACCACTGTATAAACCTCATAAACCATCTGGGCCTTGGGGCAAGCTAAAGGCTGGCATGTGGGCACAAAATTTCAAGACAGCAACGGAACTGTGCAGTTGACAATCCATGTGCATCAGAATGCTAAAGTTGGCAGAGTTCTACTGATTTATAGTGGCTTACTTCAAATGACAGTAGATTCCAGTTTTAGAATTACAAACTTAAGAGCAGCATTACTTAGGGAACATATGGGCCTTATATTTCTGAAACCTATTTTGGAATGTGGTCAGTTAAGAGAGAAAATATGCTGTCAGCCTCCCCCTGCCACTTTATTTGTTGCTTCATATTGATTTTTCAGAGTATTAGTTATCATTCTCCACCCCATGTTTATGTTAGTAATGTATGCATTTTGTTTTGGGCATTCATTCAGAAATGAGATTTTTGGCTTGTTGCTATGGCTCCCCTTAGTACAACACAGAATAGCAGACCAAATATAATTTTGTCTGTAAAATCCAAGTGCATATCCTTGCTCCATTATAAATCTTCTTGGGTGACATTGTGCAGACTACCCTACCTCAAATAGGTTATAATTTGTAACATTTGTTCGCTTTTTTAAAGCAGGATAAAAATGTAAGTTTAAAATGTTAAGACATGTTGTAACCCACCTTGAGATAGGAAAGAAAAGGAGTTACTAATTTACTACTTGCACAAAAAAGTCCTGAAAGCCAAGAGGCCACTTCCTTTGCTTTTCAACCTTTCCACTGGAAGTGTCTTGCTGGGAGAAATGGGGCAAAGCAGAGATTAAGAACTTTGTCCTGTCCCTCTTTGCTCAGCACACAAGGAACTTGCAGCAGAATTTAGTCTCACAAGGACAAATGCAATATCTGTCTCTCTCCCAAACTGGAACTTTCTGCTTCAAAACAAATGAAGGGACAGTCCCTTTCAAGCGTTTGGAAATATATGGTATGCACTGGTATCCGACTCAGTTCAGCTGTCATACTCCTCCCAAGTGAGAAGACAGAGTGACAATTTGGACCTATATACTTGACCTTAAGCAGATATTATCGTATTGTAACATTGTCATATATTGTTCTATCAGAACAGGGTTTTAAAAAAATAAATAAAAAGAAACAAGTCAAAACAAAAGAGTCCAGGCAGGCTTCTTTCTGGAGACATTGAGGGGCAGGTCAGGAAACAGCTTGTTCCTAAGAGTTATCCATTAGGGAGTTGGCCTCATGCTTAAACACCTAAAGTCAACAAAGCTGGACTTTGTTATTGCATGTTCTGTGAAGCCAAAGCCCAGACGGGCAAAATGCACTATACAGCTGGGACTCACACAGGAATCACGTGCTCCTTACAATCAGTACTCAGATATGGGTGCTGCGCAGCCAAGCTTCTAAAACACAAACCATAAAACTAAGATGCATGGAACAGCATATAGTCAGGGCTGCAATCCTAAGCACAGTCACTTGTAGGCATTCTCTCACTTCTGACTAAACATGGTCAAGAAAGTACAGCACGTGGCCTAAATGTTCCTTAAAGGCTACTTCTAGGAATATATGTGCAAATGACTGCTGAAAGTGAATTAAGGAGACAGAATGCGTTATGGTTTGCCAAGACAGAGCTTTATGAGACTTTCGTAGGAGTGTGAACGTTCTTTAAGCATCTACCTCTCACCGTGCGAATATGGGTCTGCACAGTGCTGTGACTTTATGCTAAATAGGGGGACACTGACACCCTCCTACTAGAAACTACCTTTTGATAAGGGAGAAAAACACGGGGGAGGAATCTGCTCCTACAAGGAACATATTACCCACAGAAGCCCCACTTGCACTGAAGTTATTTATGAAACAGACTGCCCGCAGAATTGAAATTAGCCTGCTTTTAAAAGAAAAATAAGTGGAATCACACATAAGTTGGCCTCAGTGGAAAGGGTATAGTGTTCTTTTTTTATTTAAATCAAATACAATGTTTACAAAAGAAACACAAAGTAAGAAACAAACAAGTCATTCACATCAGCACCAATTGGTCAAGTCAGCCTAAATCCAGAATCCGGTTCCAATCACACACACACACACACACACACACTCTCTCACATACACGTTTCTATTTCTGCAACACTGGATCTCTGTAGCTAACAGTTACCCATTTTCCCCATGTACACAGTACCTAAGACAGACCAGCCAGTTTGCTATGGTTGGTACAGGTACAGATGGAGATTTCCAACACCGAGCAAAGACAATTTCTGCAGATATCTAAAGGTTCATAATAAAAATTGAGTTTGTCCTATACTTTTTATCCACCAGGAAATGTAATAGTTTTTTAAAAACTTAAAATAGTGTCAATATCAGATTTTTCCTTTTTAAACTTCTAAAAAATATTCCTCCAGCATAAATTTCATCTTACTTAAGAATTGTCAATCTCATGTTCCCACTTTGTTAGAACAAAGTTTGTTAAATCTTTGAAGGAAATCATTCTTCATTCCTTGTTATCCTCCAATGCTGAAATTTTTATTTACAGTATCTTCATCTTTCTTTTGGGAAGCTCAGAGCAGCTTACACAAGTCTTTCAGAGAACCTTGCCTCCAAGTAAGCCCCACTTAGCATCACATACTCTTCAGCCATTCTCTGAACCAAAGTATGCTGAGGGACGATCACACACAAGAAAAAGCAGCTGAGATACACTTAGTAGGACTTTGCAGATAAAACCCTTAACACCTTTACAAGGTACTACTACTTACTACTTTTCAGATGAAGAAATCCAAAAGTAGAGGTGGAATTTGATCTGAGGTGCAGTCTGCACCCTTATTTGTGGAATGTTCAGTGACATTTCAGTGGAAAAAGAACTATAGAGTTGGAAGGGACCCCATTCTCCTCAATGCAGCATCTCAACTAAAGCATACATGGCAGACGGCTCTCTAACTTCTGCTTAAAAAACCCCAAGGAAGCAGAGTCCACCACCTCTCGTGGGAGTCTGTTGAATAACTCTTACTGTTCCACTGTTGAATAACTCTTACTATCAGAAAGTTCTTCCTGATGTTTAGTCAGAACATCCTTTCCTGTAATTTGAATTAATTGGTTCAGGTCCTAGACTCCAGAGCAGGAGAAAACAAGCTTGCTCCATCTACCATGTTATAGCCCTTTAGATAATTGAAGACTATGGTATCTCCTCTCAGTCTCAGGGGACAAAACCTATAATTTCTTGCCACCCACACAAGCAGCCCAAGAAACACATTTTCACAGTGCTCATTTTTTGCCAGAACCCCAGGTGACATGAGGACGGACAAGCAAGGAACTGGGCCAAGGCATTATCACCTGTGATTTCATATCACACTCCAACTGGAGAGCTGTAAATTACTAGTCCTCCTACTTGGACTTTGAGGCTAATTTTTCCTAAAGTGTCCTTATTTTAGAGTTGACAGGGTAAGGTCACTTTCTGCCTACCTCAAGATTCAAGGCAACTCTGAAACCATAGGCTTGAAGGTCACTCTTCAACTGATCTTAGTGGACATATTTTGAGCAACAAAAGTTGAGATAGCTGGATTCTTTGGTATGAGACATATTATAAAGATATAGTATGCCATTTTGCTCCATTCCCCATTAACAATGCCTCTCACTAAGCTTTTACTGTCTCATAAGGGCTACAAAAGTAGATGGCTACCTGAAATTAGAAGACTTGAGATGTATACTGTAAAGGCAATACATTATCCCATGACAATGGGTCCCCCTACCTCTCATAGGCATCCTTTATTTAGGCTTTAATTTTACAACTATTGACCCTGAGAGTAAGAACCATTGAACTTCATGGGACTTACTTCTGAACAGAAATGTATAAAAATTGCACTCACAGGGTGTTTTAAAAAAGAAAAGAAAAGAGATTATTGTTATTTGATAACAAATAGGTATTATACATTTTTCCAGATTCTGGAAGAAGCTATAGTTCTATTGTATTGCAGGGAAATGCTAAAAAGCAACTATGTTAGAACAGGCCTACACCAATTACTTGGACATGAAAGGTATCATTACTGAAATCTGTTAAACAGCCCCATATGCTGTGAAGCAATAAAGCAGAACAGAAATTATACTTGTCCCACATCAGATGCAGACAGGCAGAGTAATTATAACAAGATGCCCCCACAAAATTCTTAATTTTTTTATACACTGGCTTTGTTTATTAAGGCTGTTGGTTAAAGTGTAATATATTAGGGAAGAACTCTTCAGTAGGACATAAGCTGCAACACTCCTAAAATTAAAGCCCACTTCCCAAGCTCCCATAGTCAATAAACAAGTGTGCATAAGTTCTATAACATAAAAGGACATTTAGCATCAGTGCAGCTTTGTATCCTCTGCGATTGTGGAGAGATTTCTTTTTCAGTAATCGTGTCCCAATTTGACTCCTCTAGGAAAGCCAGCCATAGTTAGTATAAAGGTAAGAGACAGGTATTATCGAGGTGAGTCATGAAAGGCGTGATTGTTTTATCATGAAAAGAGGAATGATACTAGTTTTTAATGACAATCCATAAAGATAACATAGTTTCATTTACAAAGTTGTGCGTTATCAAGTGTCCCAAGTTTCCCCCTAACAACAGACAAGGGAAAGCAGAATGAAAGCTATAGAACTTTCTACTTCTAGTGTTTTCTTCAAGAAATAATGCGTCAGAGTTTGTGACTGAGAGCTTTTTCCTTGACTGAGATCTAACGCAGCCTGAGATCGTCCTCAAGCACTTCCGCACTGGCAAGGGTTTTGGGGAACATAAGGGGCTGCACAGAAGAGGCTCAAAAGCTTCAGAATGAGGAGGAAGAGTGCCCATGTCACTTTGGGTCCCAACTCTTTCTTCACTAGATTGATGGCCAGAGGTCTTGTGGAGTAAAGAAAGACATCCATAAAGAGGCATGGCAAGTCACATATGGCACAACTGTTAGCACTTACCCTCATGAGCTGAATACCAAATTCATGTGTGGTATGTGCATTTGATCAGCTCACCATGGGCTGGTGAGTTTTCAACAGGTCACCACAAGTCCAGATAGTGATATACAGAGGTTCCTAGACTTGACTACAAGCATCGCAGTCATGTGACGCAGAGTTTCCATTCTATACCCTCCACTAGGAGGAGACTGTTTCTTAAACACACTTTCCCCCAAGAGGGCATCCATTCTGATTCAGTCACTTCATAGCAAGCAATGCTATGTAATACAGCAATGCCAATATGGCTCTTGAAGATCTTGTTCTTCTTATAAAAAAAGACGTTCATGAGACAAGTAATTTACAAAATGTTAATGCCACCAGCAGAGTACCAGGTAGGCTGCCTGAGCTGCTCACAGCTCCACTCAATGCCACTTTAAAAGGGAAGAAGAAATCAAATGGAAGCTTCCAATAGGCTCTGGGCTGACCGCGGGGTGGCTCTGGCCATTTCGTAGCATCCGTGAAGGCAACTGTGGTTGTCAAAGGCAACATGTTCACCATGTTGCCAATGGACTGGAAGAAAAACAAAACTATCATTTTAGAATGTATAGAGAGCCTTGCTTGGTTCCTACCTCACAGCAAATTGCTCCACAGGCCTCTTACACTAGTCCATGGTAATTCAGAGCTGTTCCCTGAACATGAAAGGGAAGCCTGAGACATTTGTCTTGGGCTTGCGACATGACATGTTTGTCCTTAATGTCTCTCAAAATAGGAGACTGGGACTACTCTACAGCAAATGGAACTGAAAAGAAAAGTGATATCCATTTCTATAGCTATTATTTCCCACTACCAGCTCCCCTTTCACCTTACCACTGACAGCTGCAAACCTGTTCTTTGTGATGCACGAACAGGCATACAAGTGAAGAACACGGAGCCTAGAGACCATCCCCCCACCCACTGGACCTCCTGACACACAGCTATTAAAATTATTCTGTCACTTGTTTAGCCTCCTCCTTTTGGCTGTGGACAGGAGCTGGAGGCTACACCTGCCTTCCCTTATGAGCTCCACAGTGGCAATAGCTGGTATTGCACTACACAGAGAACTAGTCTCTTGTCTTGCAACTCTCTCTGTCAATGTAGCAGATTAATCCTATACAACTCCTATACTTCTTCCCTCACACTCTAGTGGACAGGAGCAGGCTTCTTCACTGATCTCCTAATATTTCCTAAAATTCTGGTTAAGTAGTATGAGTTCTTATTTGTTACAATCATTTTTACTTTACCTTGGAAGACAGTTAATAAGTAATAGTGAAATACGGTGGTACCTTGGTTCTCAAACGCCTTGGTTCCCAAACATCAAAAACCCAGAAGTAAGTGTTCTGGTTTTCGAACGTTTTTCGGAAGCCAAACATCCGATGCGGCTGTCGGATATTGTTTCTGGGGCGCCTGCACCAATCAGAAGCTGCAACTTGGTTTTCGAACATTTCGGAAGTCAAACAGACTTCTGGAACAGATTAAGTTTGGGACTCTTCTTTTTACTATTTATTTTGCATTTTTGTTTTTGAGGCTTTTCCAGTTAATTTGTTTTTGTGGCTGTGTGGAACCCAGTTCAGCTACTGACTGACTGATTGTGTGACTACAGAAATGGATAAAAGTCCCTCATCCAAACAATGACTATCATCAGTGCAGGAAAGAAAAGAAAAATAATTTTAATTTTTATCATCTACAATACTGTCTTATTTATTTTATAGTACAGTACGTTGATTGTTGCTTTCATTTTATGGATCAATGGTCTCGTTAGATAGTCAAATTAATGTTAAATTGCTGCTTTAGGGGTTGTTTTAAAAAGTCTGGAATGGATTAATCTGTTTTGCATTACTTTCAATGGGAAAGCGCACCTTGGTTTTGGAATGCTTTGGTTTTGGAACAGACTTCTGGAACGGATTACGTTTGAGAACCAAGGTACCACTGTAATTCATTGGGCTGGTTCAGATTTATTGCTAAACTTATGGTTCAGTGAGGGGTGGGGAACCTCCAGCCTGCAGGCCAGATGTGACCCACCAGGCCTCCTCATTCAGCCCACCAGTTCACTTCCTCCCAAACATCAGACAGTTCAGTCAGTAGAGGATGAGACTCTTAATCTCAGGGCTGTGAGTTTGAGCCCCATGTTGGGCAAGATTCCTGCACTGCAGGGAGTTGGACTAGATCGGGGTTGTCAACCTGGTCCCTACCGCCCACTAGTGGGAGTTTCAGGATTCTAGATGGGTGGTAGTGTAAGCTTACCAGATTTTTTTCAATGAATCCCGGGACACATTTCAACTTCCTACTAAGTAGATGGATTTTGTCAGGGGACTGATTTGTAAATCTGGGGACTGTCCCCGGGAATCAGGGACGTCTGGTAACCTTACGGTAGGAGGTTCTAGGGCACAAGCTGAATCCTCCTTCCATTGAGCACTGGTGGGCGGTAAGGAAATTTTACCACCAAGAAAGATGCATTAGTGGGCGGTAGGTATAAAAAGGCTCACTACCCCTGGACTAGACGAACCTTGTGGTCCCAACTCTACAATTCTATGAGCTACTAGTAAAGCTGATCCCTGCAGAAAGCAGGACTGAATTACCCAAAGCAGAAGTTGATGCATGGGGTATTCAATCCTGCTTGGTCACCCTCTTGCTTTAGATGGTCCTGCCCAATTGTCAAAGTTGGCCTGCGGAGTGGGGAGGGAGAGGAAGATCTGGCCCCTGGTTTAGCCTTATGTGTACAAACAACATTAAGTCTTGGGCTCCCCTTTCTCCTCTGGCTTGTGTCAGAGAAGATTATAGGAAGCATCTGCTTCTAGTTTTTAACTAAGCAAGTTCCTGAAATAGGGCAACTCTGGTAGGTTCAGACACTAGGTAGTGAACAAATCAGGATAATAAACCACTTTTGGATCCTAGCTTGTTTGAACTACTCAGAGTTTAAACAAACCAGAATTCACCAAGTTAAGATGCAACAGTGAGCTCTGGTTAGTTTAAAACCGAATGTAGCTTTCAATCTTCTCTGGTGCACAAAAAAAGTCAAATGTGCGAACTCACTATAGCTCATATACTTTGCATTACATCTGAAATGGTCCAAAGAAACAGAAAACAGCCCTAAGACATTATTTGTGACAGACCTCCAGAGATTTGCAGAGATAATGGTATCGTGCTCCCAATATCTGAGCTTGCGGATTAGACAGGAGGCCTAAGTGGGCCCATATCACTTGGATCTTCAGGGAAATGGGAACCATACAATGCCCCTCCTAGAAAGAAAAGGGGAAATTCTAAATTAAATAAGCGTACTTCCAAAGAGTTGTATTCCTGCTGAGTAATCAGCAGTACAAAGGGGAAGGTCCAGAATTACTGCTAAATTTGTGCTCAAATATGGAGCAAAACATGATGGCTCTACTCTGCCTCCACAGTTGGAGGCAGTATGCTTCTGAACACCAGTTGCTGGAAACCACAGGAAAAGAGAGTGCCCTTGTGCTGGAATCCTGCTTGCATGTCCCAGGGAGGACCTTACCGTCTTCAAACAAAAACATCTTGGAGGTCCTGGGCTACAGGGAGCTTAGGCTGGTCTCAACCAGAGCCAGGGCTTTTTTGGCTGCGGCCCCAATCTGGTGGAACGCTCTGTCACAAGAGACTAGGGCCCTGCGGGACTTGACATCTTTCCGCAGGGCCTGCAAGACAGAGCTGTTCCACCAGGCCTTTGGCTAAGGCACAGTCTGACCCCCTCCTTTGGCAATCCTCACAGAACTCTAGCCCAATGGTTGCCATTAATTTGATTTTGAATTGATTTTAGAATGAATTGATTTTAGAATGCTGTGTTACTTTTATTGTTGTTAGCTGCTCTGAGCCCGGCTTTGGATGGGGAGGGCGGGATATAAATAAAAATTTAATTTTATTATTATTATCTGATTGGCCACTGTAAGAACAGGATGCTGGACTAGATGGGTCATTGTCCTGATCTAACAGGCTCTTTTGTGTTCTTATGAAGAGAGTGACATCTCAGAGGTAGTCAGAATTGCATGGGGATGCAGAATATGATGTTTCTACAGCTACCTCTCCTTTCATTGGGAGGAACAAAAGGAGACAAAAGACTTATGGCCCAGTTGAAGGAAGTTCTATGTGAATACAGTAGGGACCTGTGAATGTGCCACTGGTCTTGGCAAAACACAATGTGCTCCAGCTTGACACGGTTAGAGGGAAGTTTCTTCTATAGGGTAGATGGTTGCCCTTTCATCCTTCAGGTGCTGTGGCAAAGCTTACAATAGGATGTCAGATACAAAGCTAGCTACTCTGTCTCTCTGCATATTACCTGTATTTTGCACCCCTGGGTGAAGATGTTGGTCCGCTCTCCTGGACGGCTTGGGTCAGCATTGCCAGTTATGGCCAAACCGCCTAAGTTGTATGCTCCCTCAAAGGCTTGGTGTAGTGTTTCTTGGAAATGGCTACAGTTTGCTTCCTCTAGCTTGAAGGGTACACTGGAAATCAGACAAAACAGGGAGCAGCCATTGGTCTCATGTCAGTGAAACTTAACTACCATTCAGAAACACATTACCTTTACATTACTTCTCAGGAATTACTGAACTGGAACATGTCTAAATCAGTTCTTCAATGGAGGTACATTTGGTGAGAAGTTAAAATTATCCCTTGCCAAGTTCCTTAGTTTATGTGCTAAGCAGTGAGCAGTCAGCTCTGATTTACAAAATTTGGCTGTCTATACAAGTCTGTACAAAGAGTGTAAACATTCAAGAGAATATGAGGAATATTACCTGAACTGGCAACTTGTCCTCACATTCTCTCTAAACTGTACTTTATACCTTTCAGTTGCTGAGCATTGACCATCAACTTGATTCTGTAAAATGGTTATCTGAGGAGAGAGGTGTCAGGAAACTAAACTAGAATACAACGGAAACCAGAGAAACTGTCTTCGGTCTTGTGGACAGAAAGCAACTCCAAGTGTGTACATGTGTACACAACTAAAATATGGTGTGCACATATGTACACAATCATTTGTTTACATTTTAACTCATTCTCAGGTTTGGAGAATATCAACTACTGATAAATAATCTGAAATATTTTAAGACAAATGGTTTTAATTTAATAAAATGCTAAATGATTACTACTTTAGCCTAAATGATGAAAAGGCAGCCAAACACGAACACCTCAACACTTTTGCCAGTTCTCCAAATAAAAATATTTCCCCCCCAGTTGTGGGGCTGATTAAATGCAGCACATGAACAGCAAAGAGAATGCATTCTCAGTTGCTCCGTCTTGGGTATTATAGTGGGACATATAAAATACCACCTCATCTCCAAGAACCATTCACAGGCTGTTTGGAACCCATAATTGGCTCATGGCAACATCTTAACTGAACAGCTGGGCTCATCCACATGTTCTTTCTATTGGATCCAAAAACTTAGAAACAAAAGGATGTTGCACAGACCTGAAAACAATTGAAAAGCCAAGTGCAGGAATAAACAAAGAAATATATAATTGCATATACACATTATCACATCAGCCTACAGCTTTTTAAGAAAATCTGAGGCCAGCGGATCAAGTAATACATTGCAGATAGCTCTGCAGGATGCTCTCATTTGTAGTTAAAAGTGTGAGGTGGTTACTAATACCAAGAGCATTAATTCTGGGCCTTGGTTCTCACAGGGCATTCACATACGTATTAATATATGCAGTGATATGAAGAACAGTGGGTGAGGTCAAAATCTTCTATACAGCTCTACAATCATCTAAGACCTAAGGGTACACTCCTGGTATCAGGCTACACTCCTGATACTAGATCAAACACAGTGCCAGAAAGGATACATGCTGCTGGGTGCCATTATACAGAACTATCAGTGGTGCTCCTATAATATATCCAGGGTTCCCACTTCTCTGTTTGGTGAGAGAAGGGCTCCTGCTCTGCAAGAGACAAAATAAATTACATCAACCTTTTTATACCATCATCTGTACATACTTTGAAATACAATAATTTGTAAGGGACAAAATTCAAACCTGGCCTAATGGTTAGGATTGACATGCCAAAGAAGTGGGAGCTGAGCCCACTCATGCCAGACGAAGGGGGCCTTGTTTTGTCATTACACATACTAAAATCCTATAATAGTGCATTGGAGTACCATACATGAATCCACTGACCCAACACCGCAGTGATGGAATATAGATAATCTTGGGGCACTGTCAGACATGTGAATGAAATGGAAATAAAAAAGAACACTGGCTAATACACCAGGCAGTAATCCTTGCATGATGCAGCTGCTCCCATGTGGTGTTATAAGCAACAAGAAATGTAAGCAGCAATTTGCAGGACAACAGTGGAAGCAGTTTTGCAGAGATTTGCAAGAAGCCTCTTCCCTAGTGAAAAGCAACAGAAGAAATTATGTTGCCATCATGTTCTGCTTTAGTCATGATTACGTCAAAGTTAATAGATGAGCAACTTGCAGCATTATTTCCTTTTATATGTGTGTGTGATTTATAGAAAGGCTACATGTCTTTTAGACAAGGAATAAGTATGCGAAGTCAGCATCTGTGGCACATCTTTCATTCTCTAAGCAAGTGGAGAATTACTGACATAGGCAGAAGAGAAAAAGTGGCAAGGAAAGGCAAAGAATGAGGATGATTAGTTTGTGTTTGATGCAGAGGGAGAAAGAAGAGTATAGTTTGCCCAGAAATTCATACTCTTATCTCCTCTGCACTGTCTTCATGACTCTTATCAGTCACATGGACTCAGACTATGGGCATATCTACCACGGCACTCCACTCTCCAAAATAAGTCACCAGGCAGACATAGCAATTTTTTTTTTACCAGTATACACAAATAACTGTTATTACAGGAAGTGAGTTAATGAGACTAATACCATTGTAAGCAATTGATTGCCTATTCATCTGCTTTACTCTATTGTTTATGTGATTGCTTCACAGGTACACAAAGTGAGAGACAAATTTAGCAGATGGAAGGAGAAAAAAACCAATTTAAATACTTTCTAGTCTGTTTACCACTCTATCATGACAGCTTGTGTAAGAGCTGATCAGAATCTAAGATTACAGGCAAAGCTAAAAGTGTACTAGACGAAGTGCACAGATTCTGTCCAGTTTGAATACTAAAAACTCAGAATCTTCTTAGAACTGCTGGTGTTAACCAACTAGACAAAAGAAGTTTCCAAAACATTGTACCCTTCCCCTTTCAATGCATGCAAGGCCTATCTCCATTTAGAAATGTTTGGCATGCCATTTCAAAGCACTGATAGCTTCCTTTCCCTAGCTCCAAAATTAATTTGCATCACTTTGATAAACAGGATGGAGACTTCTCCAACTTGATGTCAGACCTAGAAAATGCTTCTTCAGCGCACCAGCCTGAGACTTTGACAGCCCTGAGAAGAATCTAGACTTCTAAGCCATCACAATTGTTCTGAAACACAAACTCAGTCCTTTCTTTGATCACATATGGCCAAGAAATAAATATGGAGCCACACTTGCAAGCCCGTTTTGTGTTTCAGAGTAGCCATCTTACTTCCACAACAGCACCACCATTGAGGCCCATGACAGTAGAATACTGACTCTGGGTTCCACTCTCATTGGGCTCATAACACATCAAAGGATCCAGTTGCACACAATGGCCCCAGCCCAACCCTTTTCCCCACAGTCCAAGAATGCATATAAGAACAAACACTGACCCCAAAATGAAGAGAAAAGTGCTGTTGCAGTGTGGCTCTTGGATTTCCAGATATACTGGCAACTTTGAATTGAACAGACACTTTCTGAATTCCATGAATCCCATTGAACTCCACCTCATAGCTCACCTAAAAGTATGACATACATGTCAGAGAGAGACAAGGTATGAACTTAGGCCTCAGGTCACCTCCCCACACCTCTACTAATGAGGACAGCACTCGAAGAACTAATGATACCTCAGAAACAACATTGTGGCACGTGCTACCACTTAGTGAAGGAGATGCAGGCTCTGAAACAGGGGTGATGTTGACCTGGAGACACGAAAGATATTTTCAGTTCTCATATCATATTTATCTTCACCCACATAATCTATCCACAGTCATCTTAGACCAGGGGCATTTGAAACTTCCAACCCACTTCACAAAAAATAATCTTCACAACTATTCTGCTACTTGCAGCGGGAAACTTAAGCATTCCCTTGAGACCATATACAAATAAACTAACATCTTTACAACACTCATTTCTTTGTGTATAGCTAGATCCACAATTTCCAGTCCATTTTCTAGACTATGTTTCAAAATTATCACTAGGCAAAAACAAACTAAGATCTCACCTGTATGGGTTGGAAAATAGTCATGTTGACTGGGACCTGAAAATGAAAAGCCAGCTATACTTTAGTGTCTGCACAAGATAATGATTTACAAACCTTTGATCCCAATCTTACAGTCTCGTCTTCTTTGCAGTGTTTTTTTATCTATTGGGGATGAGGCATTATTTAGGAATAGGCAAGAAAAAGGTTTATTCATCCAACAAATTTTGAACCCTGCTGGTTCTTCTTCAGGGAAATTCAGAGAACAGTAATTCAAAATTCAGATGTGCTACCTCATCTATTTTTTAGCATAAGAAATAAAAAAGGTAGCACATCTGAATTTCCCTGAAGTAGAGTTAAAAATGTGTTGGATCAATAAACCTCTTTCTTGTAAATCCCATTGTTTTGCTTTTGTTTCCAGTTGCTTTTTTTTACGGTGGGGGTTCTTATTTTTGCTGGACATTATTTAGGAAAAACCTCTTAATTTGTAGGCCCCAAATACTCTTTATGTCTGTAGTAGGCCAACAGAAATATCAATTGTTTCCCCAATATTTCAAGGTATTTGACAATAAAAAGAAATATTTTTAAACCTATTCTTCATTTGGCAAGGAAGCAGAAGACTCAAATGTGCTTAGGAAATGTGGAAACATACTTGAATTAGGAAAGATAACCAATACTATACCAAAATAGCAAAATAAAAAGAGTTACCTTCAGCACACTGAAGCCACGGTAGTATGAAGCTGCATCCAATGCAGGGTCAGTGGTGCAGCTGCTTGTTAAGTCAGTAAGGATTCGAAGGCAGCTTGTGTTTTTGCTCTCCAGGAAACCTAAGTAATTAACAAGTCACATAAGCAGGTAGGGACACGCAGTAAATGTCATCCTAATGCACAGGAATCCACAAATGCAGTCAACTGGGCAACCCAACCTGTAACATGCCATGGTGTGTGTATGTCTTAAATTCAGAACTCCCAACAGCCAGGCTCCAACATCTTATTACCTGGCTGTGCCACCAACACACTGTATTAACTGCAAGTCTGACAGACTGAGCACTGTACTTCCAAGGCATTGCCTGGGTTGTAGGGCCAAGCCTAGTTAAGTACTCAGTCAGTGGATCACAAGCACAAATTCCTGTCCACTGAGACCTATAAAGCCCTAGCCTAACCTGTTCATCAGCAACTCAGTCCAGAGCAACTTGCCTCAGCAAAGAAGACCTCAACTAGCTACACTTTTGCTGTAGCCGGGTTTGACCCACTGCCTGGGATTATACTGCCAGACTTTGACCCTTTAGTCACTGCCTCTGGAACCCATCTTGCCCATCTTAGACTGTATTACCTGCTTCTTTACCACAGGAGAAATAAGTATTTTAAATGCTGCTGGCAATACTGAAAGGCTCTTTCAAAATGATATTAAGTTGCATATTGTATTGAAAAGCAGATCATATCACAGGTTGAAACAAAAATGTTGTTATGCACTGTGCACTCTATTGTTAACTCCCTCTCTACCACCACTACCCCACTTATCTGGCAGAAAAAAAGAGAGGAACTCCTTTATATTTGCCATTGTACAGCAGGAAGCCAAAAAACTCATTAGCTGCTAAAAACAATTACTCGGCACTAAACTCCAACGAAGTTTGTGGAGCTCAACTAACAGATGTCAGGACTTTGCTGAAGTTCCCATGCTCACCAGCAGGATTCTCATCAATGCAAAGTTGGCTGGTTCCAATGCCCACTGGTTGTTTGAGTATACTTAATACAGATGATGCAGCAAAGTAAGTCTGTATAGGATCTCCCACCTGAAATGAAAACAGAGGGTGCTATTCAACTAAGTTTCATTCAGAGTAGACCCACTGAAATGAATGAATCTAACTTAGTTATGTTGATTAATGCCAGTAGGTCTACTCTGAGTCAAGCTTAGTTGATGAAGAATTCTTTTATTATTTATACCTCACCCATCTGGCTGGGTTGTCCCAGCCACTCTGTGCCACTTACAACACATATAATAACAAAACGAAACATTAAAAACTACCTGAAATAATACCACCCAGAGCTGAAAAGGAATCACTCAAAGCAAAGCACACGCAAGAGAGGCCCATAATCATCTATTCTACTGCATGAGGATGAGTATTTAAATACAGTGGTACCTTGGGTTACAAACGCTTTGGGTTCCAAACTCCACTAACCTGGAAGTAGTTGTGAACTTTGCCCCAGGATGAGAACAGAAATTGTGCAGCGGCAGTGGGAGGCCCCATTAGTTAAAGTGGTACCTCAGGTTAAGAACAGTTTCAGGTTAAGAACGGACCTCTGGAACAAATTAAGTTCATAACCCAAGATACCACTGTAAACTTAGGAACACAGGAAGCTACCTTATACTGAATGAGACAACTGGTCCAGCTAGTTCAGTATTGTCTACGTAGACAGTTTCAGGAAGGAGCCTCTCCCAGCCCTAACCAGATATGCTGAGAATTGAGCCTGGAACCTTATTGTAAGTTACTAGGAAGGCTGCATCCATAGAGGAAGTATGGAGATTGAAAAGGAAAACTTAACCCTGACCTCTTCTGTCTAGATATTCTGTCTAGATTTATTAGAAGCAGCCTTCTCACCACGAAAACCTCAAGAGAAAATCCTTGATAACTAGAGGCTAACTCACCCGGTAAAAGGCAGATGGTGATGACAGAACTTGATCAGGCAAGTTGAAAGAAGACCCTCCATATTGCGCTGAAAGTGCTGGAAAGTTGACTTTTGTAACCACCTGTGGCTGCTGTAAATAGTTCAGCTTTGCTATATGTAGAATGGGGGGGAGGAAGGGGATACGTGCAACTGAAACATCACAGTGTTAAAATGAAATTTCATTCCCCTTTGCAATTCTGAACTCCTTCTAGAGGGAAGAATTTTTCAAGGCAAGCTATAGGACTTGGTGCTTGTTAAAGTTTTTTTTCTCTCCACTCTCTGTTAGAGGGCACAAAAATACTGAATGACTGCAATCTCAACAGATGTCAGGATTAGAGGTTTTATTATCCTAGTACAATATTTTCTTGCTCTGCTACTACAGGATGCTCCCTTTTACGCATTGCACTGGGTATACGATGCATAAACACTGGGGAGCTCTGCTCCTCAGAATAATGAAAAAATCATGCAGAAGGCCCTTGGGGAGTAGATAAACGAAGACAGCACCTTGTGTCACACTCTGTGGAACATCAAAGAGTGTACATAATTGCAACTTCAATATTAGTAAGGGAATTGTAGACAGTTCAGAAACAAAGTGGGTAGAGTTGGCAACAGGATGTCACCAGCTTCTATGAAGCAAACCTCTATCCTTGCTCTAAAAGGAAAACATATATATAAATGAACAGTTCATTATCTGCCCTGTATAAATGCAAATAAGTTAGTATAACCTGCACTTCTATTTTTAAAATCAGCTTCAGAGAAGAACCTTGACCAAACAGAATAGCAACCTAGATACTGATCTAAACTTACGATCATTTAGCTCCACACAGAACAGCAATACACATCCACCAGGACCAGGAAGGACATCAGTATGGTAAGGGGTGTTATTTTGGAAAATTGTGGATTTTTCCAAGCACACCTGACTCACAGCCCTAATAAGAAAACAAAAGCACACCGCAGGAGTGTTATTTAAGCAAACACAACTCAATAATATATTTTCTGAAGCACTTGCCTATTCCGTGATTGGGTGACCTAGCAATCTGTCACTCAAAACCACCCGAATATAAGACACTGTGCATATTGATATGGTCCCTGCATTAGTTTGTCATCCATCCTGTAACCCACTTGAGAGGCTATCAACATCAGAAGTCACAATGAGGGTAAATTTTACCATGTTAAGTTTGCCTAGTATAGGATTAGTTACGACGATTATTTTGCTTTAGTATTTTATTTTTGTTGTGATTGTGCATACTTGCTCTCTCTCCCCCTTTCTTTTTTAAAAATAATTCCTTTAAAATGAATGGCCTAATTAGGTTTTTAAGCAATACTAGTTTCTGGACACACTCACAGTTTGCGCCCCCCCCCCCCCCGATCATTTGATCTATGCTACTGGTTTGAAATGCATGGGAGCACTGGCGGGTCGGAAGAGGAGTGCGGGGGGAGTGCCCCCAGCAGAACAATCCCAGTGGGGTGCCATTGTGGCTGCCCCCCGCGCTGGGTGTCATGCCCCCAGAACATGTGCCACACCCCTACGGGCAGCACACCCCATCCCTGGGATGTGCGCCAGCCCCGCCCCTGCCTGCTCTCCGCCCCCTGGTGCCGGAGCATGAAGCTCCGCCACTGCTTGGGAGGTCAAGCAGGGTGACTGGCTGAAGCTGTCAGGCATGAGACTTGGAATTTGGCTGGCAGTATCCCTGCTTATAGGCAACTATAAGCAATCCTGTACTCTGTTGACCAAGTGAGCTGGGTGCTACCATCATTGACAAATAATACCTATCTTGAATAGTGATGGAACTTCAACACTCATGCAGAGGTCTTTCCTAGCCCAGCTACCTGAGATTTTGTTACCCAGAGATACCATGGCTTCAATTTGAAACATGCAACACATGTGCTTTGCTTCTAAACTACTAGCCTGCCCTCAACATTTGTAAAAAAAAAGCAAAGGCAGCAATATTAGTAGCTCAGAAAAAGATGCCTTTCCCCTTCCCACATCTTTATAGGACACAAGATAAAGGGGTACTCTCACTTAACCTTTCCCTGTAACTCTGCTTGCAAGTTGTCTACAAACAAGTTTTCTTAGACGACACTTAGAGGGCAGAACATACTAAAACTTACATTCTTACCATTTCACTAATGTGTTTACTGCTCCTGTCGGAATTCTCCAGCATAGGTGTGCAAACCTCCTATCCACCCAAATGGTACTCATGGATCTGACCACTGCCACCACCAAGCATCCTGGCTTATTGAAGCTAGCAGACTCATTCAGATCCCAGGCCACCCCTATGTCTTAACACACTGTGGAGAGAAAATTGTGCCCATGCATTTCACCTGGTGCTGCCTGGAAGACAAAAAGAGAAGGGACATTCAGGGCCCCCCGTGCTACAATCTGAGCCACAGCTTGAATCACAGCAGCAGTTGAGGTCGCAGAAGCCTGGGTGCAGATCACAGGGGCAGATGGACGAAGAAGCACCTGTGGGGGACAGAGAAAGAGTTAGAACTGAAGGTGGTAAGGAGAGGCTGTGAACTGAGAAACGGTCTCGGTAAAGCATCGCCTAAACGGGGTGGGCGGGGCGGAGGGTTATTCACATATTGCCTTTAGGGCACCCTCAGCCTCTCCCTCCCTCACCAGCTCTGGGTTCGAGTCTCTCTTTCCTCTCGACTTCGGCCGCCTCACTGATGGGCGCCTCACTGGGGCTCGTCTCGTTCGTGGGCGCTTCCTCTGCTTCCAGAGTGCTGTTTGCATCCCGGGGCTTCGCCTTCCCCGACGTCACGACCGACAACAGGAGCAGCAACGAGAGCATCGGCTGTGCGGCGGCCATAACGGACGCATCGCCCCGTTGCTAAGAAACGGCAGTCGCACGTTCATGACGTATAGGCGCAAAAGAAGTACGTCAGCCTCAGCCGCTTCTGTGTATCCGTAAAAACCATAGAAGTAGGAAGTGAGAGGAGTGAAAGCACAGTCTCCGAAGTTTGTAGATAGTTGTTTGCTGAATTTTACTGTAGCTGTGATTGGGAAACAGCAAACAAAAGGCAGCAACAAACGAAATTAGCACCAGACAGCAATTAATTCTCTAGCTTAGGGGTAACCTATGAATAGATGTTTTTTCAAAGTTTTTTGCAAATATTAAAAAATATCCGATTTGTTTCCCTTATTGGAATATATTAACAGGGAGAGATCCCTCCAGCTTCTCACTCTTTGGTAATGATTAGGATATTTAAATAGCATCTGATATTTAGTGAACCAAGATTGTAATTTGGTATGCTGTTGCTATATTATTCTGAAACTTTATTATTTTTTATTTGGCCAAAACAAATGCAACAGTAAGCGAATTTTTAATTTTCTCTTAATAGCACTGACAATAGCACTGATACAGCTTACGTCGCTGGTTTGGGGAGGGGTTGTGGTGTTGCAGTCCACTGTTAAGATTGCAGAGGTGGTGCCGATGTTGGTTTGCATTTCCCGCCAAAAATCCCCTGTAAAAAAACACTTCAGCTTGGACGATGTTTGCAGACTTCAAAAAAAATAAAAATAAAATGCATTTTCCACACGCAATAAGACCCGAGGTAGAAAAAGCGTGAAGTCTCTGTTACCACCTTAGGCGTACGAGGTGGGGGGACACCTGCTGCTGCCCCATTACACTTATCGTAAAATTCAGTTCTAAGCGCAGTTGCGCCCCTAGAGTTCCAATGCAAATTCGGGCATTTTGTAGCCGGAGAATAACTTTCTTTTGTATATGGATAGTTAAGAGCTATTGCGGAGGCGAGAAAGACCTACTCTTCTCTTCCTTATGTTGGGGCTAGAGGGAATAGGAAGGCATAGCCGAGGGATGCATCTTTGTAGGGGGTAATGCGGGTCAGCAGTTAAATTTGCTGGTCTGGGAAGAATACTGTATTAGCCAGCCGTTTCCCGCTGCAACTCTGAGATGGATCTGGCTGGGGTTACATTTAAAGCACGATCCACCCCCCCCTCCCACGTCCCGCCGGCGAAGAATCTTGGGAACTGTAGTTTGTTGATGGTGGAGTGTATTGTGATGGGTTCACTACTTTGGGGATAAATGTATAGTGTGCATCCAGTTGATGGGCATTGCCATTCAAATAGTGTGCATGTACTGCGTCATGTGATTGATTATGCAGGGTGAGAACTACCTGGCCTCCCCCAATATTTTATACAAGTTGGCACCCCAATAGTGTGTATGAGTTTGTATGCTTTTGTAATTCACCAGCAGGGAGCAGCAGAGAAACTGGTTAGAATGGGGAAGGAGGACCTGAGACTATTTGGGTTTGAAAACGGGACCAGGTTCAAAGCGAGGGGTGGGGGGATTAACAGCAAGCGGGGCGATGCTGATCTGGGGCATGATTAGTATGCCTGAGTCAACTTCAAATAGGGAGAATCTCTCTCTCTCTCTAGATCTGCAAAAGAGGGATCTGGAGTGTTAAGCTTCTGGACGTGCTCAGTTATCCAAAGCTCTCGTTATAAGGCTTGGGCATCACCTTGAACGTTCAATTTCTACCCCATGCTTTTTGCTACAAATCCTGAACGGATACATTAGAAATTCCTTTTAACTGGGGGAGGGAGACTATAGCATCATGTTGTTGTGCAGCAGCTATCGCTGACCAGGAACACACAATACAAATCCAGAAAATGGTATGTGTGTGACCCCATTATGAATGCAGGATGCAATCACTAATGTGCTAAGTTTTATATATAAGATAGATAGATTAGATTAGATTAGATAGACTATCATTTCATTTGACATACCGTATTTTTCGCTCTATAAGACGCACCAGACCACAAGACGCACCTAGTTTTTGGAGGAGGAAAACAAGAAAAAAAAATATTCTGAATCTCAGAAGCCAGAACAGGAAGAGGGATCGCTGCGCAGTGAAAGCAGCAATCCCTCTTGCTGTTCTGGCTTCTGGAATAGCTGCACAGTCTGCATTCGCTCCATAAGACGCACACACATTTCCCCTTACTTTTTAGGAGGGAGAAAGTGAGTCTTATAGAGCAAAAAATACGGTAGTTTGTATGGCTTTGTCTTCCCGCATGAGCACCACTAGGGGTCACCAAAACCAGACCTATACAAGTGTACAGGCTGTTCTATTCTACTTCTGCGAAATGAGTGGGTGGATTTCAGAAAATGTGCAAACATCATGAACTGAAGAGTAGGGCTACTCTCATTTGTGAAAATGTGTTCTGTATGCAGAGTACAGAGTCTGTATACAGTCTCATCCTGCAGCAGCCAAAGTATAATTTTAAAACTGAATTTGTGCATCTTGAGCTTTCCGTGTTAATGTTTGCTAAGGCAACTATTGCAAAATATGCACCCATAATTACAAAAATTCTTAACAGACCTTTCTAGCATCTGATTAGGAAAGCATTGACATGCAGTTAACATGCAGAAAAGATATCTGACCATATACACACACACGTCAGAAATCTTATTCACTGTCCTTCACCACTTTGATTTCCCAAAATAATTGTCTTGATCAATTATCCCTCCAGAATTTAAATTACTTTCTAGATCCACATGCAGTGTGAAACTGGGCAATGGCGCACTGCCCACCCGTGACTCCCAAGCCTTCCCCAATCTCCTGCCCCTTCCCCCTTTGTTTTGACAGATCGGGGGAGGCTTGGGAGTCGCAGGCGAGTGGGCATTGCCCAGGAGGGGCGCAAGGCATGCGGTTTATCTGCCAGGCAAGGTGCAAAGCCCTTCTTACCCATCCTGTGAAACATAAATGTGCAGAGTTTAAAAAAACTGGGCAACGCCCTCCCTCCCATGACTCCTGAGCCTTCCCCAATCAGTTAAAACAAAGGGGGAAGGGGGCAGCAGATCTGTACCACCGGACGTTGCCGGTTCCCCTTTGGCAGTGGCAGCGGCAGTCAGCAGCCCAGAGCCAGCCTGGTAGCGCAGTTGGCTCTGGCTGGCTTCAGGAGCTGCTCGCTGCTGTGGCGCCCACCATGTTTCCTCTCCAGAAGTCCCCATATGATGTGTCTTGTGTGCAACACATAATATGGGGACTTCCGAGGAGAAAAATGACGGGCGCCATGGCAGCGAGCAGCTCCTGAAGCCAGCCAGAGCCAACTGCGCTACCAGGCTGGCTCCGGGCTGCTGAGGCTGCCGCTGCCACGTTTCCCAGGGACAGATTTGCAAATCTGGGGACATTCTGGGGACAGAATTTGTCCAGGGACAGATTTGCAAATCCGGGGACTGTCCCCGGGAACTGGGGACGTCTGGTAACCCTATCTTAAACCTCAACTCTGGCCTTTTTCTTTCTAACTATCTCTCTCCAAGAACAAGACAACCACAGACAAGGTTGACTTTTGCTTACTACCAGCTTACTACCAGCTTTCATCTGAGGCCCTTCTTTGTGTGCCTCTTCCATGAGAGGTCTGGAGGGTGGCAACACAAGAGCAAGCCTTTTCTGCAGAGACTCCCTTCTTGTGGAAAGGTATTCAAAGGGAGGCTTACCAGGCACCTTCATTATATATTTTTAGCTGTCATGCAAAAACACTTCTCTTCTCCCAGGCCTTTGGCTAATTAAACATTCTACGGCCAGGGGGAGGGGTTGTTTCTGTTTGTTACTATGTTACATATTTTTGTGTTTTTATATTGTAAACCACCGTGTGGTCCTCAGATGAAGGGCAGTATAATAACAAAGTTAAGTTCAAACAATGTTGAACCACACAACAAACCACTCTAGACATGGCATGGTGGAAAACTATGAAGTCATTCATGAAAAAAAGCCAATGTTGTTAAAATGAATATACTTAATATTCTTAAGGATCTATCTGCCTTCATCCCAAAATCTTTTGTGACCACAAAATTCAACAAGGATTTCTAGGTCTTTCTGTGCAACACACAGAATGCACATACCAGTTTAAAAAGGTACCTTTAATATATTAAGGTGATCACAATTCATTCATAATATCCCAGACCCTGCAACTGAAACTTCCCCATACTTCACAAATACATAGGTGGGCAATTCTGGAAATGTTTGCAGTGGGCTGCTTCTTATGGGTAGCAGGCAAGGACAAGGTTCCAAGCACTTTGCTGTAAAATAACAAGAATTTGTTATCATTAAGTCAGCCAATAACATTTTGGTTCAGCCTAGGCAGATAGTTTGTATTTGATCCTTTCCTGATTATAATTGTGCACAGTATTACTCAGTCGAGGACAGCAGGAAAACCTTTTCCCCTTCACACTCTGATACAAATTTGGGTTTTCTGACATAAATAGATTATTAGAGAATTAACTTATCTTGTTTGAAGGACTTAACACTAGATACAAACTTCCCAAATCGGCACAATGGCAATTTATCCTATGATACTGCCACCTTGCTAAAGTTAAGCAGCTCTGGGTCTGGCTAGATGAGTGGCCACCCAGAAACCATATGTATACTGCCTCAGGCTCCATGATAGAAGAAAAAAGGATAGAAATGTAAGAAAACAGACAAGCAAAGTGAAGTGATATGGCCTGGGTGGCCAAGACGTCTGCTCTGTGTGACCTGCCTTGTGGCTGCAGTCAGTGATTTCAGCTCAGCTGAGGAGACAGTTCCCCAGCAGTGATTTCAGCTCGTGGAAGCTAGCCTAGCATACCATATGTTATGTACTGAAGTTCTCACCCTGGGCCAGCAGGGGGATACTGTACATAGTTCAGGTCCACATATGCAAATAAGGGATCAAAAGTGACATTCAGTGATTGGATAGTTACAGAAAGTTGTTACAGTTACGTTGTACTGGAGCTCTATATAAGCAGGCTGGCTGAACCCTTCAGTTCAGTTCTGTTCTGACCTGTGAATAAACAAGAGCTGTTTGGAG